GCAGGATGTCCGAGCCCGCCCTCTACGCGTCCGACCACCACCGCTACCTCCCCGCCTTCGCCTTCAACGCCCCTGCCGTCCGCACGCCCGCGCTCTTCCGCGGCGCCAGCACCAGCGCACTCGACTACCCCCCGCGGCCCCGCGACCACCCCGAGGACCTCTTCCACAGCGCACGCACCGACGGCCTCGACGAGCCCATCTCGCCCCTCCAGCCAAACTTCTCCGGCTCCCTCGTCGGCTCCCCCTCCCACCCCATGCACTACCCCAACGACAACAACTACGGCCCGTCCCCGCCCGGCACCGGCACCTCCACCTCCTCCTCCGTCGCCCCCCTCAGCGCCCTCGACGGCCCCGCCAGCCCCGGCCACCGCTTCTCCCACCGCCTCCAGCCAGAGCCAGACCGCAAGACCTACTCCTTCGTCGCTCTCCCCGGGAACGCAGTCAAGAAGCGCCCCCGCCGCCGCTACGACGAGATCGAGCGCCTCTACCAGTGCTCATGGCCAGACTGCAACAAGTCATACGGCACCCTCAACCACCTCAATGCCCACGTAACAATGCAGAAGCACGGCTCCAAACGCAGTCCAGCAGGTAAGCGCTCGTGATCCGCTTCTACTCTCGCGACTTATTGCCCCCGGCGCGCGCAGAATTTAAAGAGCTCCGGAAGCAGTGGCGCAAGGCCAAGAAGGAGCAGGAGGTCGCTGCACTTGCCTCCCGCCGCGACTCTTTCAGCGAGGGCTACGACGACCTCTCCGGGTTCAACCACCGCTACCTCCACCAGCAGGCCCACCCGGGGATGCGCCCGCACCATCACCACCACCAGGGCATGAGCCTGCCCTCGTCGGTGACCATCGGCACTCAGGAGCGCTACAGCGTCTCCGTCGACGATATCCGCTACCCGCCACACGAGCCGCACGAGCGGGACGACCCCTCGTCGTCTGCCTCGACCGCTGGCGGGATGGGCGCTTATGACACATCTGCGGCGGCGTCGTCTTCGTCCGCCCAGCGATACGCCCACGGGGCAGGCGGGATGCCCGCCTCGTGGCACGGGACCTCCTCCCTGCGCCAGGACGATGGTCCGCTGTACGCCCCGTCCTCGCTCCCTGCGCTGCAGCACCACGCCCACGCCCAGATGCACCCTCATGCCCACCCGCACGGCCAGATCGGGATGGGCCCCGAGCGGATAACCTCCCCGCGCGGCCTGCCCCAGAACAGCACCCTCCTCACTCCGCTCCCGGGCTACTCGCACCACCCCCAACACCCGCACGCCCAATCGCATCACCAGCAGCAGCAGCAGATGCACCACCCCCACGCAGACACGGGTCATAACCGACACAGCGGGTATCTGGACGACTATGCGCTGTACGAAGACGGCGGACGTCCGGGGACGGGGCACAGTCATGTTAGCGTCGGCGGCCATGGACATGCACGGGACGAGTTTGGCTTCGAGCACGCGCAGTCGTAGGACGGCGCTAGCGCCAGTGTTCTGCCTGGCTCTGTGCGTGCGTGCGCCATGACCTTGCGCTACCCACCCCTTTCGATTTCCTCAATTTTTCGACTCTACGACCTTTCGACTAGGCGGCACGGCAGCTCTCCTCGAGGCGCCCATTCGTACTTTACTGTCCGACAGAGTGGGCGGGAAACCTCCTCCCAACGGCCTGAATCGACTAGGGCGAGCGGTGAACCCAGCGGCCTACAGCCTACAAGCCTACAAGCAAGGCGCGAAGCCAGAGACCTGGTGGACGAACGGCGATCCCCTCCCTTCTCACCCTCTCTACCTACCTCCCCGTCTTCCCACCTTCCTACCCATCCACCTCACCTCGGCCTAAGGCCTTCCCATCTATCGACCCACCTCCCAACCTGGTTATTCGCCGTATTCACCGGGTCGTCCTGGATCAAACGGGCTGTTTGTCTACATAGTTGACGGGCCTGGTTCTCAGGCTTGTGGCTTGCAGCCTGTAGCCTGTCTGGGACGAGGTTTACGGCTTGTTTGCCAGTTGACGGCGTCATCCTTACGGCGTATAGACGAGTCTATGGCCTGTCATATCCTCATTTACGGCCTACCTTTACGGCCATTTGTTTGGGCCACAGGCAAGGAGGCGAGGCGAGGTGGAGTGGGGCCGGTACGAAGCCCTTTCCTTCCGTACTTCCAGCCAATCGCGTGCCCAAATCGAACTCTGGCATGGGCGATTGGGAAAATGGGGAAACGGGGGTCAGCACGGGGGTGAAACAACAACTCCTGAAGGACCTTCTATCGCCCCCCCGTCCCGCGATGGGACGATGGGATGCGGTGTTCTTGAGGTTCGCTTCCCACCCACCCACCTACCTACTGGGTGGTGGTGGTGTTTGGCCTGGTGTTGGGTAGGTGTTTTGCTTGGTTGTGCCGAGTGGGGGGGCTTGGGTTCCCTTGGGCCTCACCTGCCTCACCTGCCCGTCGTTCGATCGAGGGCTTCTTCACTCGCCGTCACGGTCCAACTCTCGAGCGTTCAATTCCCTCGCCGCCACGGTCTGAGCACGCCTTCGCCTTCTCTTCGCTTTCGCTTTTGGTCTCCCTTGTCATCGTCTTCGCCTTGTCTTTTTTTTTCTTGGTTCTCCATTCCCTCCCAACCGCCCTCACGTCGACGGTCGGATCTCGTCGTTGTCGCCTTGCCCTGCCTTGCTGTCGATCTCATTTCTCTTTTTTCGCCTTCTCCTTACATACCTACGATCTCCGTCTATTTCGTCGACATCTCTTACTTACTGTACACCCATATTCCCCAATCTATATTCGCATGTTTACCCACCCCACGTCTGTTTGCGTCCTTGCCTCACCTACCTCATTTACCACTTTGGTCTGCGGTCTTCGACCTTGGACCTTCGACGCATACAACATACATACCGCTTTCGGCGCTCTTCTCTCGCCGTCTAAAACACACCGTCTTCGGTGGTCTTTTCTCTTCTTTCTTGTGACATACAGTTTCATTTACACTTTATATATACCTACATGAGTACAGGTTCGCGTTCTCGTTCTCGTTTTCTTTGGGCTGTCACTTCCGAGCTCACCGACTCGCCCTGCCTTGCCTTTATTTATGTTATTTTACGTTCGGCCTTCCATTATTATGTACTACTAGTATCCCGGAGTCCGCCTCATGATCCCGCTGCCCGGCTCACGTTCACGCCCCCCTCCCGACGCCGACGCGCCGACGCTTCTTTCTTATTCCTTCCCCTCTTCCGCATACCCACCTCATCTCATCTCGTTTCATCTCATTCCGCCGATCTCATCATCATCCTGTACACGGTACCCTACACTGTCATCGCTATATAGTCCCTCTTAGTTATTTTTTACTTGCTTATGGTCTACGACATGCATAGGATATACTCTAATATGCACGCAAATTGTACTTGTCCCCTTCGTCCCGGTCTTCCTATCGAGTTCGTTAGTGGACGGAATTTAGAGTGGATGGATTAAAAGCTCGAAGTCGTCAACGACGCAAACGTTTCGAAAGAACCATCCGGTCCCGCCGCGAAGGCAGTGTCCCCATAGTCCCAAGTAAGTCCATTGGCTCGATGCGCGTCGTTCAACGTTTAACCGAACCCTCGCCATCAGCCCAACTTCGCACTAGCGCAGAAGAACCGCACATAGAGATTAATATTCGAGAACCGCGCGCCGTAATATATATCAAAGGCTCTGGCTCGAAGTAGTAGGAGAGAGCCGTAGGCCGTAGCCGCTCTTTTCGCTTCCGCTTCTTTCGAGCCCTTTCCTGTTTGGGCACGGTCCCCGGTCTGCGGCTGCGCGGGACCTCGAGGAAGACTTGATTTTTAGCGGCTTCGGGTGCGGGTGCGGGACCAGTGCGCTGAGATGCCGACGCCGCCTCCCTATCCATCTCTCTTGAGGCGGAGGTTTGGAGATGGAGGAGGGGTTTTGTGAGGGAGGGAAGGCGACTCGAAGGCCAGACCGTGCGCCACCGTTCTTCTCCAGATAAAAATAGACAATTACAAGAAAAAAAAGCATCCCTCCCTCCAGCCCACCTCCAAAATCCCGATTTTCGAGCCGTTGACTCGAGCTCCCAAGGGTCTATTCACCGGCCGAGGGCCCAAGGGAATCATCGTTCTCCTCCCGTGTCGGGGAGGCCAAGTTCGAATGTCAGTATGTTGGCGCCGCCCTAAAAGGGCTCTCTTCTCACGCGCAATATATCGGTTTTTAGTTAGCGTCGAATGCGTGTTGTTGCAATACGTTGGATTGCTGAATGGGTGAACGCGTCCAGACCGTCGAGGTGACGGCCTCCAGAGCGTTCTTGAGCGCCCGAGAGGTACGTATGGGAAGGTATGATGCAACCGCGTCAGATCTTCGGATTTCGACGCCAACCTCGAGCCTGAACATGAAGTTGTGGAGTTGGAGCAGGCTGCTGTCGCCTATTTTCTTAGATCGAGTATGCACACACTTACGCGTGTAATACGCGTGCGTGCTTTTTTTTTCTCTCTTTCTCTTCTGTGATTGTGATTTCCAAAAATTCACACTGAATTGACTCTCAACTTAAGCGACAAGCACTCGTCTTCTTTCTTCTTTTTTCAATTATCCCTTCATTATCACTGTCAGGCCTCTTTTTCCTCCCGACTTGGCCGTCGGAGACCCACTCGGAGACTCGGAGTACTCGAGTCCGGGGCAGGCAATTGTACGGCTCTCACGCGTTCCCGCGAAGACTGAACTTCACGTTTATTTCCTTCCAGTAAGTACCCAGTGATCCAGACAGATATTCAAGATTCACTCGGGGGTAGATTAGGCTGGGCAGATGCGACCAGGGATAGCAAGCAGCCAGGGAGCTCGAGGCTGAGGACGTGGCGGTCGCTTGGGTATACGGTATACGAATTATGATTTACATGCGCCCTCCCTCGGAATATCCGTTGGGGCACTAGAATCAGACGAGAATAAGAAAAGGAATTGATAGAATTATAAAATGAACGGACGCCGGGATGGGGTGGGGGTAAGTAACGTCGAACGTGGAGAAGGAAATAGCTTGCTTGAACCTTTTCCTTGCGGATACAGATGCCTTCTCCTCTCCCCGCCCGTCGAACGATTTCTCCAGATCTCAGAGTCGCCGCCGCCCCCTCGGACCTCAGTGGCATCAGGTTTGTAGCGCGTCGGCGGAGGCGTTAGAGCGACCTCACCGGATCGTTTTACGGTTTTTTGGCCGTGCCGTCTCCTCCTCTCCGGATGTCGGTGATTTTCTTTTTCTGTTCGCCATTCGACCTCCTCACTTCCCCGAGGTCGCCTTCTTACCTCAGATAACCCACCACTACCAGTGACAGCATCAAATTTCGTTTACAGATCGTCTTGAAAAATGAAATCTTTCGGCATGCCATATCGCAATGGCGGTGATCATGATATTTCCACCTCTGCCCCAAATGCAAGGACAAGAAAAGCAAGGCAAGGGTGTTTACGGCTGTGCCTCCAACCATCCCCGTACGGAATATGTATGATGTATGATGCGACGCAGCGAGGCTCTCCCGGTGAGTTCGTGAACGTGAAATAAAGTTGGGTTCTCGTAACGGGGTGATTTTTGATCCTGTGGCATGGAGGTGCAACACGCTCTGGCAATCAGTAAAAATCGACGAAAGGGAGAAGGTAAACTGCATCCTTTTTACCGCGCGTTCCTTGCAAGTGGCGCACTTGCGTTGCGTGGCGGTCCTCCTCGGGGAATCCTGCCGCGATTCAGCCCAAGCGAGGCTTTGGATCCTAACAAAGATAGGAAAAGAAGTCGAAGTGTAACGGCTTGCGATTACTTTTAGTGCAAGAATGCTGATGACGATGGCGATCGCCCACGGTGACGCATCTAGAGAGGGCGTGGGCAAGTCTTAATTATGGTTATAATTGGCGCGTTCCGCGTGCCCATATGGGCATGCAGCGATGGACGGGCGTTGCTAGCGTCTGTGCACACGCGAGCGCGGAGCAGCGCGCAACGCGACTGGCCCGCGCGTCCGACGCTCCGAGCGCTTGGCGGAGCCTGGCTGTGCCACGCCACAATCAGCGATGACGATCGTCCATTGGTCCAATTGGATTAATGGCTACCCAATCACAGTCTGGGGAGGCGCCGTCCCGGCCTCCCAGCCAACCACAGCCCAACCTCGCGTCGCAACCATGACATGCCCTCTGATTGGCCTTGGAAATTTTCGTCTTTGGGTGCTGTATTCATGCATGTTCGCCAGCTTCATGCATCCACAATGGTGGATTACGGACCCAGAAAGAAGATCACATAAATCCTTATAAGTAGATTAAATGCAGCGTACGTAAAACACTAGGAGCCTCATGTTCACATCCTCGCAGGTTCGCAGCTTGGGGAAGCTCCCAACGGAGTGGAAGACTCTTGGGCCAATGAGCAGCCGTCAAGAACATCACGACAGTAATAACCCACCTATGGCGACACAGGGAACTCTAAAAGAATCGTGTGCGTATGACGTTGATGTCCTTCAAAAAACAAGAAGTGATGCCAATTGGTTGGCGAGCGGGCGGGTTCACCATCGCCCCAAATGCTTCCTTCTCCTTCTGTAGAAATACAGGAGGCACTCTGCATCTATCAGGAAGGTGCCGGAGAGACCTGATAGAAGTGCGAATAGGTTTGAATATGTTCGGACTTTTCAGCTCACTCTCACCCTACCCTGAGTCCCCGCACTCCGGCATCGATTATGACCCGAGAGGGACATCGCAAGCCAGAGAAAACTTGAATCATGCGTCATACTATCAGCAGACGCGCTGGGTGAGTAACCTACCCGTGAGATAAAGATAGACATCCTCTGTGAGAGCCTTCGCGGTTAGGTGGTTACGGCGAGTGGCTTGATCTGCCTTCACGTAGACTGGGCCAGACCACTGCTTGGACTTCTTTGGAACCGTGTTACGGCGTGGTGATCCCTGGAATGCTTTTACCTGACTTGATATATGGGTTTGCGCAAAGAAGCATGCCGTTTTACTCCAGTCACGTCACAGGAATCAGCAGCGCTTCTCTTCGCCGACCGACAGTGAGAAATGTCGAGTCTCTGCCGCGCCAATTTTAATTGAGGCCATGGACCCTTCGCGGACGAAGCGGCTCTTGGGTTCTTACTTTGTAGCTTCCATGAAAAGAGCTTTCCTAAAATTAACTGACGGGTAATCAGCGTGCGAACAGAAAGTTAAGGTGAAATGATACAATGCGGCAAGAGGTTCTCTGACATATAAGGATCTGTCAACTGTCTGGCGTTCGACATTTCACTCGATTTCCATGCCGGCGTTTGATAATGACGCCATAACAGGCTGCGTAAATGCAGACAAGCCCATTGTTGATATAGCTGTCTTTCGGTTTCGAAGCCCGGATGAAACGAATTCCGAGTCCTTAGCCCGAATAATAGGCCATCGGAGCGGCGGCCACCAGACAGGCGCGAACAGATCGAAAATTCCGGGAAAAAATCAGTTGCTTCTCCACCTCGAGTCCATGAGTTTCGGAGGCGTACGTACAAGCGGATTGTTGGGGGAGATAACGAGATAATTGTGGCCAGACCTCCGAGTCCATATGATAAGTGAACCCTGCGATATTTGGGAAGGGTGCCATTGACAGTGAGGCTCAGCCGAATTCGCCAGCATCATCGGTACGTTGGTACGGTGTTCCAGGCCGGAACAATTCTCGATTGACTGTGGCGCCGAGTCGAAGAGGCAGGACGAAGGATGAAGCTTGATGCCACTCCATACGACAGCAAATAAACCTGAAGCATGCGAATAGGTCTAAATGAACCAGGATAATGGTCAGATAGAATGAAGAGCGACAGACAGACCACGAGTGTACCATCAAGTAGGTAGAGTTCTAACACTCTGATACGCTGTATCGTACATCCAATGCCAGCCTTCGAGAATCGGCGACCAGAGCGAAGTCCGGGGACCGAGCAACAGCGGCAGATATTCGTCCCCCAGATGGACACCATAGAATCCCGGCTGACAGAGACATATAGGTCCATACGTGATGTGCACGAACGCTGGCACTATTCTAGAGACCGAAAAATGTTGAGAACTGATTGAACCGACCGTCAAAATATCCCATAGACAATATTTAGAATACCTGTCGGATGACACCTATTCAGTAGCTAAAAAGACGATGTTGATAGTAGTGTGTAGGGGTCTAGAGTGACCCATTTGATAATGGGGACCCAACAATTTGTTGAAAAAAAAGCAGGGATAAACCGATACGGAACGGGTTCCGAGGAGTTGGAATAAGAACCTTGTACATCAGTGCGCCCATTAGAGCATCTGGTCCCCAAGTCGATGACAGAGAAGACTTGTATATGGCCCGGTGAGGTGTCCGACTCCATCGAAGACAAAACATTGGCAAAGCTGGCCCAAAGACTCTCTACTTCGGGATGATGGACAAGGAAGCAAGCAGAAATTCTTTCTCCTCCCGGTACGACGAACAAAGTATGACAGCTCGGTCGAATAGGTGGGGGCCCAGTCAACCTTAGATGTTGCAAGAAGAATGCCACAATTTAGGTCGTGCGAGTCAGGCGGACTAAGTCCAACGTCTTTTTCGAAGAGCAACGAGTAGAGATAGTCGTTATCGATGGCCTGAAATAGACGATAGCCACGCCCACTGTCCTAAAGTGTGCTGAACCGACATTGTACCATTCAGGCAAGTACGGCGGCAGAGTCCATGAAAGATCGGTGAGCGAAGCAGAAGCGCGTCCCCGAGCTCGCTTCATATCGAACAATGAAGGACTCATAGAGCCTTTCATTCAAGAAAGTTGATGGGCAATTAGAAAAGAGTCAAAGTGAAGGTAGAAGGCAACGCATTATTGGAACCGCGACGCGACGTGAAAACGGGTGCCAAGCTAGCGCAAATAAGCGGCCCGCCGCTCCCGCTCTCCGATGAGATCATAGCACAGCCACCAGATAGCGCAGTCGTCGACGTCAACGACTAGCTTGAACTCCAACCCCGACGATCTAACCGCCTCTAAGCCTAGAAACCCACGAATACAACTTACCGTAGATCCGTTTAATTACCAGCTCGCGATCCATCATGCTAGCCGATCTTCCTATCGAGGTGCTGCTCGACAATCTTCTTCCGTATCTTCCAGTACTCTCACTTGTGAGACTTGGACAATGCAGCAAGGTATGTCACGATCCCCTGTATTTCTAAGCCTCTAGACTCACAAGTTTCCCTTCTTAAGTTGTTTGCGACTTTGTGCAATGATGAGACACTTTGGAAGCTGAAGCTCTCCGAAGACTACAACTTCTCAGACCAGGGAACCGCGAGGACGAGTGGCTGGAAATTCATCTATCGAGGACTCTTCAAACCAAGGGGTTAGTCTGTCGGTGAAAACTCTTTTTATATGCTTACACGCAGAGCCACAGTATTTGTCTGGGGGTGAGACTACTTCTACCAGCTTGATTCACTTTTCACGGTCCACCAGGGAACGCGCCAACGGGCGCCTTGGGATCGAATCTCTTCCGCGAAGCTTCAGCGGAGGAATTCCATATCCTATAGAAGTCAAACTCCCGGGAATTCGTGTCGTCAGTCTCGTGGCGGGTGGAATGTGCGCGCTTCCCTTCGACATCTCCTTCGTTCCCTGACCATTCTCGTTCTCAGGTCCTTTCATGCTCTCGACTCCCATGGAAAGGTGTACGTATGGGGAACTTTGAATGGCACAATGTACGCTGCCAGTAACTCTGGCTTCTCGAACGAAGGGACGCGTGCAAACACGCCTCTCAGGCTAGCGATGCCGGCGCCAATCCGCAGTATCAGGTGAGTGATCTCTCCCTCATCGAGGTCATTCGCTTGTCTGGTATTTCACACCTTCCGCTGGGGCCCAACACTTCTAGTCGTATATTCATGGGAAGCAAGGCACTAAGATGCCTCCAGAGCGCCGGGAAACCGATGGACATCCTGTGTCGCTCTCATACACAGGGTATTAAGCTGCAGCCTTCTTCTGGCTAGGCGATTGTGGATGTACTATCCCATACTTGCCTGCCGCCGGATTAGAACCTCAACGATTTTGGGATAATTGTGTCTGCGAATGGCCTCTTCTCTAAATGCAACGGGCAGAATCTCTGAATTCTTTTCTCATCTAGTTGTGGGCGACTTCACTCCTCGTTCTTGGATAGCACAAACAAGATCTGGACATTGACTAACTGGGGCCGGCCATTTTGGCTGTCCTCCCAAATCCTCAGCGATCCCGATTATACACCCAAACAAATCGAATGCGGATGGGCGTTCTCTTCTCTGCTCACTAAATCCGGCGATGTTTTCGTTTGGTGGCCTTTCAGCGGTGCGATGGGCAATCTTGTGGCAGAGAAAATGAACGACATGGATCAGGATGGCGGGAAGAAAGCCGCTGCAGTGTACGGCGCGATTCCCTGCGCAACGTGGGATCTTGACATGATGCCCACCCGCCTCCCGTCTATACCTGTCTTACCAGAAATCCAGAACACTGGGATAGAGGAAAAGTCTGAAGAGATCAAGCTCATCCAGATCGCAGCGTTTGACAATCACATCGTTGGGCTAACCAACTACGGGCATGTTCTGAAGTTCGGTGCGCTCCACGACGAAACCGGAGTCCCTCATGGGCAATGGGAATACGTGAGTTTTTCCCAGAGTCCAAATCTATTTTATGCTCAAAGCCTCCGGTGTGGCAGCTTCCACAATTTAGCGAGATAGACAGAATCAAAGAACAGCCAGCTTTTTCCGGAACGGATGACAGTGTGACGAAGGTTATTGCACCGCAAACGATGCAAATTACGCATGTTCGTTCTTCTTTTCTTCCATGTATTCCATCCATGTCAGGATGCCTTATCAACCACAATTAAACAGGTATCTGCCAACTTCCTGCACTTTGTAGCGTACTCGACGGGTTCTTCTTCTATCGTTCTGGTCGGCGACACAAACACCAAGCCAGAGACGGCACCTCAAATAATACCGGCGATCCAGAACAAGTCTGTCATCTCGGTGGTCATTGGGGACTATCATAGCGCCGCTCTAACCGCTGATGGCAAGCTTCTCACTTGGGGGAAGTATTCGAAGGGCGCTCTTGGGCTCGGGGATCCCGCAAAGCTTGACGTTGGTGTCCCAGGCGGGTTTGCGAGCGAGAGAGACTTGGCACACTTCAGGGAGAGTCGACGCGCTGAGCCGCCTGCCGTGAACATCCCCACAGAAGTAGGATTCGACCACAACTGCGCCAAACCCAGAGATCGCTTCTGCTTCGCCACCACGGCAGCGGGATGGCACACCGGGGCTCTGGTAATTGATTTAGAAGTTAGTTGCCCCAGCTTCTCTTGCGTACATCATGTCATTCATGTCATTATGGGCGCTTTCGATGAAAACATACTGATGCTCCACTTGATTTATTTTAGCCTGGCGATGATGAAGAGGAAGAGGCCGAAGTCGAGAGGCTGAAAGAAGAAGACCCGCCCGCCCGACCACGAGGACCGTTTCGCGGCCAGTGGGAGACGCCTCCAATTATTCCAAACCCCATCTTTCGGCTTGGACACGCAGCTGGTCGCGGGCAGTACAGAATACCCCGTGACCCTCAACCACCAGCCGGTGGCAGTTCCCAGTGAGCGCAGCCGAAAGAATTCAACCAAATTCCGTGCACGTCAGAAGATGCAGAAAGGAAGAAGCAAACCAGACATCTATTCTATATGATGTACTTGTACCAGAAGATGTTCGGCATCGAAGTTATGTAACTCTGTAAATTTCTCAATTAATCACAGTGGATGCGGATTCTGGCGCTCGAAAATGAAAGCATAGAATCTATTCAACAAAAGGCTAAAAGGCAGAGTGCTCGTGAGGCTAAATGGATCGGGACAGGAGGCAAAAGATAACCACAAGGGCCTGACCGGGAATTGAACCCGGGACCTCCTCGATATTGGATGGAACACCCTAACAAGGAATCATACTACTAGACCATCAGGCCGATGAAGATGTTGGACAATTGCTTTCCTAGTCCTCATGCGTACATTATATCTAACACTTGTAATTTCAAGGAACATCTACTTGAACCTCGTCAAGATATTACGCAGAGGAACGGGCATGCGGCTCTTCTTTGCAGACGCCGACGGAGCTATCTCACTCTCCCTTCTCGCCCGGTTCTCATTACCTTCCCACTCAGCACTGAGTGAGACCGTCGCGCGCTTATTGACGTCTCTGCTCGCGAACATGGGTCCCTTTATGATTCGACTCAGGGAGTGTCTGCCCAAGATCTGACTCTTTGAACGACGTAGGCCAACTCCAGGAGCGTTGGGATTTGGGTCGGCACTATCGGGAGTGGAATTTGGCCTCGTCTCATCTGGCGCACTGCTAGTCGAGGCCCTTGGTTGTGGGAGCATCGACTGACGGAGGGGCGATGAGACGACGACGGAGTGAGCTCTGACGGGGGATTGGGCGTCGGGAGATTGTCGAGGTCTGGGAGTGGCCTCGGTAATCTCGGGAGCAGCGTCTTTGCCCTGAGGAGCGCCGTTCGTTTTGTTCCTCAGCAGCGCGCCAGATGTTGCTCGACGGACGATCCCAGGCTTGCAAGGTGGGGTAGCGATGGTAGATTTAGGAGTAGTACTACTGCTCTTCACTTGTCCAGGTGGCGCGGTACCGGTCTTGTCTCGAACCTTAGAAGGGGGAGGAGGCTGCTTAATGGGTGTAGGATTTGAAACGTTAGCGACCGCGCTCTTCTCAACTTCGCTCTGCGGCAGGGCGAAACGAACGCTCTTCCACGGCTTCTTCGCCTGAGAGATATCTTGCCGAACCATGGCCGACCGCAGGGGAGCTGCTTGCACTTCACTTCGTCGGACAATTCGCGCATCACCGGGCTTTTTGGGAGAGGAAATAACCTTCCGTTTCTGCGGGGTCGGCACGGACGTGTGGGTCGCGTGTTTCCTACCCTGGGTAGAGCTACGAGGTGACGTGGGACTTCGAAGATGGTGGATACTAGTAGGAGAAACAACCGGCGGGTCTGAGGCGCAATAAAGGCTTTCCGCGAAAGCCCATTCGTCTCCATCCGGTTTGGGCTCGGTGCCGTTCAGACCTTCCACCCTCCCGACCGATGATTTGATAACCGAACGCGAGTTCCACGAGGAGTCCACAGGAGGAGTATTCAGTGCCATCGTCGAGCACTGCAGCCGGAGATTGGTGATCATGTCCTCGACACGCAGAGCAGGCGTGTTGTTGTCCTTAGTTGACTCGTAGTGGGCGACATGCCTCGTCGGAGATCCAAGGAACGCGGTTGGAACCTCGGGATACGAGAGCTCAGGAGGTTTATGCTCCATCTTGAGGCGAAGAGGTGTAGGTGCCTTCCTTCCTCGTCTATGCGCAAGCGATGGAGAGCTGTGTTGGGCGATGCTCTGAGTCGAGTCAAGTGGGAGGGGGAAGCTAAACTGAGAGGTCGAGACTACCAAAGCAGGTAAAGACGGCGCAGCGAGCGTCTGAGAAGTGAGCCTAAGGTCCAAAGTATCCTCCTTTTGCAGAGAGTCCTCAAAGAAAGATCGTAAGCCTTTGAGTTCCCGCACCATATCAAGAATGTCGCCGTCGATAGATCCATGAGCGAGCCTCGGGTCCGGTGGGGTAGTGGCAACAGGTGGCTGAATACTTGAAGTGCTGACACGTCGGGCGCGTGCTTCTGACAAGGCACGAGAAAAGCCTTCAGGGGAGAACAAGGAGCCTTCCGGGATCCAACTCGTCGCCTTTTCTTCATCAATATTTTGCCAGGGAACATGGCCTGGGGCGTGCCAGTCAGTCGAGCTCTCCTTCAAAGTGACAGAAGTAAGCGACGATAGAAAGGGAAGAAAAAACTACTCACGGCCCATTTCCTTATACTGAGGCATTCTTTTAGCATCACTCTTAAACGCGGGGACGTAGGAGCAGCAAGCATGACCGTAGGTTCAACAGAGAAGCCAGGTTTGTTCGATAACACTTCGGAAAACATTTTGAGGTGGTCGCCTAGAGCAATGGTAGCAAGTTGCGGTGATTTGCAGGTAGGAAAGGGCGGTAGTGCGTCTGATGACCTGGTAGAGAGAGAATCCAGAGTGACCGATTCTGACATGAGAGGTGGGCACCTCGCGCTCGCAAGCTGCTGTCCAATGTCCAGGGAGTTCGCGGAGAAACTGGTCGGCATCCTCGTCCGGGATTTCGTGCTGACAGCGGTATTCTCCATTGCGCACCTGGAGAGAATGCGGGCGACCATGGAACCCTGATATCATGGGTTCTGAAGAGGCTGACGGACGGACTTGAAACTCTGCACATGGATGGATTTCGGCGGTGGCTGGCTCCGTTGCAATTCGAAGGGACCAGGCAGCTGCGATGTCAAGGACCTGCACGAACGCGAGTCGGTGGACCGTGGCTACGTAACGCGGCCAGATACGAGTGGGCCTTATGCCGATGGCAAACTCGAAGAACGCGCAAGACGTAAGATAATCAGAGGAACGAACAGCCAACTTGTTGCATCTTATGGCGCCCTCCACTAAATCAGCCTCCCATGTGGAGGTCTGGCGAAATTGCATGGACGGACGAGATAAGAAAGCTTCCTCCGAGCAGTTCGTCGTCCCGCCTGTTACATGGCAACAAACGCAAACATTCACTCCAACTCGACATCATCTCTCACCTGGTACGGCCAACTCAGTTCAAGAAGGATTCAATGTCTTTCACCACGAAATCGCCGCCTTTTATTTCCCTTGCCACCTTCGCCTTCACTGTCGCGTGTGGAGACGGCTGCACATGCCGACATCGTATCACATGGGCCTTGGTGGATGAGATGGAGAACAGGCCTCAACGTCTGCAGAACGGCAGAAATACCTTGTGGTTCTGCGAATCGCGTGCGCTACAAGCGTGGTCTGACTTGGGCTTGGCCAAGCGACCAAATGGTATCTAAAGACTATCACTCTTCTGAACCGCACGGTTACAACCAGTTGATATCTCGGCGGAATTGATCCTCGATGCTATACTTACCGCATGGATGCAGACATATATTTATACAGCGTGAATTGCTAGGGTTCCCGCTGTTCGCCTAGCCCTCCAGCAGCGTCCGATCCCTTCGTTTTCAGCAAAGATGCACTTCACTCGCCTGCTCTCTCTGATAGTTACTTCCCTGGCTTTGGTCAGCGCAGTACCCATTTCTCCATCGGAGATCGAGACCAACAGCGCTAAAGGCCTGCGCCTGCTCGACCTTTCGGAGGATACTGAACCGGTTTGGAAGACTGAGGACGAGGTGCTCGACCTCCTGCGAGCTGGTGTCAAATTCGTGAGTCCACCATTTTCTCGTTCGTAACGTGTTCTGATCCGTTGTCGTGTGTTAGTTTGACGTCACAGAAGTCTACGTCGACCAGCAGAAATGGGCCTCGACGGCGAAGTTGGCGAAGACCAGCACTGCAAGTGCGAAACTCGCCACCTGTGTGTTCAATTTCATCTCTTCCACGAGGCTTCTTGCTGACCAGATTACTACTAGTCCCTGCTCCTTCTCACCAAACTGCGCTCAGGCCCATTCTCCAGACTGTTTCCACCGCCAACATGCAAACGAGTCTTACTGCCTTGACCAACTTCAACAACCGTTACTACCGAGCTACCACTGGTGCTAGTGCTAGCACATGGATTCGCGACAAGATCCAGGGCGTGCGTACATCTTACCATTTCCATCTATTCTACGCACTGACTCCTCCTTTAGTACATTACGCAATACAGCAGATCGGACGTGACTGTCGCTTTTTTCACGCACAGCTATGTGCAATCGTCCATCATTGCCAAAATCCCTGGAACGGATCCTTCTGGCCCTATCACCATCGTCGGTGCCCACATGGACTCCATCAACTTGAACAACCCCACGAGTGGCCGTGCTCCTGGTGCTGATGACGACGGCACGGGAACCGTCAACTTGATCGAAGGCTTCCGTGTTCTGCTTGCTGCTGGCTTCAGGCCCACGACGCCCGTTGAATTCCACTGGTACGCGGCGGAGGAAGTTGGTCTCCTCGGCTCTCAGGCCATTGCGACCAACTACAAGAACGCTGGCAAGAACGTCAAGGCTTTCATGGAGCTTGACATGAGTGGCTAGTAAGTGTCCTTCATCTCTGTTGTCGCTGATCTTGCTGAAACCCTTTTATAGCTTCAGGCCAGGCTCCACCGAAGTTATGGCTCTCCAGGCTGACTTCATCGATGAGGGCCTCAACACATTCCTTAAATCGCTCATCACCGCCTACTCTAGAATCCCCTGGGCTATGGACACTCCTGTAAGTTTCGGGGTCACTTTATACTTACACATACTCAACCCTCTGTTCAGTGTGGCTACGCTTGCTCCGACCATGCTAGTTGGTACAGGGCCGGCTACCCCTCATCCTTCCCCTTCGAAGCCGTCACGGGCAATGACAACCCCACCATCCACTCTGCATCCGATACCACCAGTGTCAATGGCTTCTCCTGGGCACACTCCCTCGAATTTGCTAAGATTGGTGTTGCATTTGTGTACGAGTTGGCTATCTAAAATGGAACTGTGGATGTAATGTGTAGCACCTAAGTAATAAAGAAATTAATTGCTACTTTCTCTTTGGAACGAATGAGACTTTGTGGAAGATCAGGGTTGTCGATGGGTCTTGGGCCCGGGCCCCGGCGCGTCCTCGGTGTTAATGATATATTTCCCACGGTCGTCCTACTAGCAACACTGCCCTGACGCTGACGCCAACGTTGACGGTTGTCTTCTCACTCCTTAGCCTCACTGAAAGGTGTCTCCTCCTCGCTACTACTATACCCTTCTTCTGAATATACCTACTCGATTTCGTGGTTTATACTTGGGATTATTCACTGGTGAGCCCTCGTCTCATTTTCCTGATATCTGCATGTCAGTCAGAACACCAGTTCTTTTGGACAAGGTGGATAAGACGGATTCTACGCTTTCCCGATCATATACTGTGTTCAATATCTGTCTTGAAACTAACTTTTGTCTGCTAGAATCCACTCTATTGAATATTCGTTCGCTTTCGCAAACCCTTCGCCCCTGTTCTTATTGCAATGTGAGTTCCTGTTTCTTTCCGCTCGAATGATGAATTCTCGGACATTTGCACGTCAGTCAGACCGTCCTTTTCATTTGGAATTGGACATACAGGGTGCCATTTACGCTTTTTCTGACCGACTTGTTCTCGTATCTTATCGGCATAATACTGACAAATTTTTCCTAGATTTTTCTTGTTCTCCAACAGTCCGTCGGGAGGAAACCGCTATCCATTGGTAACGACAGTGAGTGTTAGAATACCATATATGCAGACGTAGAGGTTAGACACCCTGTATTCTAGCTGTATATCGTCCCTCCAAAACCATTTTTCATCCCTCCACGCCCATTCGATGATGTCGACGTCCGGCCATAATGCCGCAAATGCTCGGAATACCTTGGGCCAGCCAACTGCCAATGGAACGAAGGCGAAGACGGCCTTGGTGCCGACGAACAACGTTACAACCATGGAGGGCCTAACAGTCCGAACGCGCATTGACCCGACTCTAACGGTGGACGATGTGATGAAGCAGCTGTGCATCAGTCTGGAGATCAAGCAACCGCCTTCAAACTTCGCATTGAGGGACGAGACGGATGAGCTGGTGACGAATGATAACTTGAGGAAGAAAATAAAGAATAAGGTTAACCTGAAGTACGTCCTTTTCTTATCCCAGAGTTCATTGTCTAAACGCGAGATAGATTGGTAAATGCACCGGCTCGTGAGGCAAGAGAGACCGCCGAGAAACTGGGCAACAGAAGCGACCGTAACTTGAGGTTGACGCTCTTTTCCTTGCACAAGTTCATACGTGTATGTCGCCCTTGTTCTATTCGGTCTCTATTGTGCCTCACGTAGGGCACAGGAGGAGGAATTCGCGCGCGAATTTCTTGATCACAATGGGCTGAACGAGTTGGTCGATGTCATTTTCAACACCCATGGAAACACACTGGCTGTGAGTCTCCATTTGTCCCCGGTAAGTTTTGTCCGTCTGACTGATCGTTAGTACGCTTTGACGGCGATGCAAAATTTGATGGAACTTGAATACGGGTGGGAGACCTTGACCGACGCTTTCATCCTAAGAGTTGTTCAAATCCTCTCATCCCCGCAATCCTTGATCAACGTCTGCCGGCCGGCCACGGCGATCCTGAAGAAACTCGTCGAGGCCGATCCGATGAGTGCCGCTGGACCACAAGTCGCTAGCTCAAGTCGTGGACCTCCGACTGCTCAACCGGGTTCGATATACCGTTATGGGTTCCAGGTCGTGTTCGAGCAGATGAGAAAGGAGCGTGGGTTGTTGGAGACTGTGGTAAACCGGCTGGGAAGTGCGGATACGGCCATGGCGCAATACAGGTGCGAAGTCTTCACCCTGGACATGCTTTCTTCATATCTGACCCTTGCCTTTTTAGCATGATGCTGATCAATTCTCTGCTTTCTCATGCGAGCGATGCGCGATGGGAAGAGTTTATTTCAGAGTTGGAGCGGTTAAATGTTCGAAAGGCGGTTGTGGTGCGCCTTGTTTGCCCGTCTTGCTCTGATACATGGCCCATTCTTTTTTCTCAGCGGTTGATGTCCCTTCACACCATCGAAGACTTGACCTCATGCATCCTTGACTTCCAAGCAAACATCGTCAGAGTCACCTATCGGAAGAAGACAACCATCGTCGATCCGGAGGCGGAGGAGGCACACGCCACAGCCTTGAATGTCATATGGGCACATAGCAAACTGGAACAGGAAGTGGATGAGAAGGGAGAAGTGTTGAAATGGCGTAAACTTGGGTTCGAAACGGAAGACATCGTCCAGGAATTCAGTGAAGTGGGGTTACTTGGTTTGGAATGCTTGGTGTGTCTGCCAGGCTTTCGAATACATCTCTATCCATCATAACTTGTTTTCTCAGAAACGGTTTGTTGAGAGTGATCCGGACTTTTCAAAAGTACGTCAAGCTTCTTTTCTTCTTCCTCCGATATTAAATACCCGTTGCAGGTTATTCTTGAACAGTTAAGCCGGCCTGCTGAGCGCAGATGCACGCTGGCGAAAGCATCAAATGAGGTAGTCGAGTTGCTATCAGAGCATTGGGCAATCTTTGCTCCCGGTTGTACGTTCATCTCCGCGTTTGCTAAAACAAAAATTAGACTTGACATCATTGCTTAGATTCAACATCGACCACCTTCCAACCTTTCTTCCTTGACTTCCATAAAGTTCATTCACTGGCAATGCATTTCTTCATGCGTATGTGGAGCGAGAGTGGGGCAGCGACAGACGACTTCACGCGTGTCGTCGCCCTAGTCCGGAGTCAGTGAGTACATGTCCATCTCGAAACGCAGAGATCTGGAATTGAACCCGTTGCAGGGTGAAGGTGGCTCTCAGAAGAGAAAACGTCAGACCGTGGCATGAAGTTGAACAAGAATTCATGGAATGCGAATACCGTGCCGTCAGAGATCGACAAATGAAGGAACTTGAGCTTGAAGATGATCTGTTGAGCAAGGTCCCCGTCCGGTGCGTGACCATTTTTATGGCACAATCGCAGATCTTGACAAAAGGGATCAGCAATCTCCGTGCCAAACTCTACAAGGAATCATACGAGTTCGTGCGGCAGCAGAGAATACAGTGCCTCCTCCAAGGAGCGTGGTTTGTCAACGCCATTCCTCAGTCGTCTCCTCGAGATGCTGCTCGGCGTCCACATCGACCCTGGCGATTCATGAGACTGGTAGGAGGCATTCGTTCCCGTTAATCCTTCAGTTGGCCTTACAAGTGTTTTAGGATACTGGTTTGAAGTACCTCCATTATGTTGACAGCGCAATCAAGTTCCCTGTCCGCAACGGCCTTGAAGACTTGCCTGAAAGGATCGATATCTCTATGATCAGCGAGATTGCGACCAATACCTGTGCTCCTCCTCCGAACATTCTTCGAGACCATAGCGACCCACATGTCGCATCTCCACTCTCTTTTTCTTTGCTGAGTGCACACGAAGGGTCACTGGCTGACCAAATTGCACCTGATCAATCACGCTGGGCAGATTGGACAGACGGCTTGAACATGTTGAGAAGAGACGGCGGCCATGTTGCGTCGAAGGAGACTGCCGGATTCGTGCAAGCCCTGACGGAGATTGGTCTGAAGATCAAATTACTTGGTTGGTGTCTACCTCTCCACGTCGCCCACTTTCGCTCACTTCAGCTGCCCGCAGATTTGTCGGGTGAGATGGTGGAGATCCCTAGCGGGCTTGTATCTGGGCCTCCACCATTGAACACTGATTTCTTTTTCTCGGATTTGTAATTTCATTCGTTCTTTCTGGTCTACTTAGTAGTAACAACACCAAATGCGATTCCTTTATGCGAGTAACTAGATGCCATGTAATGCGTGGGATATCTGTATGATAAAATGCAGTTGATGCAGAGTATACGTAAGGATGAGAGTTGGGTTCTCGTGTAAGTCGATGCGAAGAATGCTACAAGGTTAGAAAGCGAGTGGATGGTCTAACGAAACCCATGCAATGGCTAAAAGAACACCGGGGGTTGAACCCGAATGTCTACAGATAAAAACACAAATCAAGAAGAAAAAAAGAAAAAAAAGTCTGGCAACGAGAGATGGGCATTAGTAGTGACCGTTAACAGCAGGAGCAGATTGTTGGGCCAGGTATTCGGCTCCTGCCTTGTAGAAAGGCTGGAAGATAGCATCGGAGCCATGGAAATCGTTGTGGACAACGTTCACAAGGAATGAGGTTTCCATCAGGTCAGCAATGAGTTTATGGGAAGGAGAATCGTGTTCGTAGAGCTTAGCCCACTGTGCGCCCAGTTCATAGGCCTCGTCCTGGAACAAGATCGTTGAGATTAGGGTGATAGAAAAGCGAACAAATCATACCTTCCAGGCCATGAAGCTAACAGCCTCAACAATGGTCGGTTGGACGATCTCCTTGCCAGGGAAGACACCCCATGTCACAGCGTTGGGGCCGTCAGAGTGCGTGTTTGTCCTCAGATCGCCACGCTTGTTAATCACGTAGTAAGTGATGTTGCTGTCGCGTTCGATATGCGTCAGGAGGAGCCCGAGTAGGGTTGGGTTCACAAAGAACTCGAGGTATGCCTGAGGTGAAGTTCTCAGGAAAGTTCCTTACTGGGCCTAAGAGACAAACCTTTTGGTAGACATAACCATTGCTTGGGCCCCAGCCAAAGACTTTGTCGTCGCTCCTTGCGCCGTTGACGGCGGGCTGAGAGTTGATGGTCAGGAATCCGAGTTCGTTGATTTTGGCGAGGTGCTTGGCGATGACGGAGGTCTCAACTGAAGGAGCTTGGTCTGACCACGGCAGAGCTGATAGTTCAGAGGTACAGAAACGAGAGAAGAGTGATGTAATGTCGGCAAATGTTGTTGGATGACCCCAGAGCTTGAGGGCATTCTCTTTCTGCAGGTGAGGAAGAACAGGCTCAGAGAAGGCGAGTCGGAGAATTGCCGCGGATTACTCACTGTCTGCTTGATCCAGACACCATAACCGTCAAGTTCACCGTACGCAGGACTGCGCGAGTCTCCGAAACGTCCGTTGGGGTATTCATCCCAATTCTCAGTTCGAGAAATGTAGGACTTTGTCCTGTTAGCCCAAAAGATGGGTCGGATCGTCTCCTGCCGTCTGGTAGGCGTAAGGCATTGTCTCCAGGGCAGGGGCTTGATGGTCTCGATTCTGGGCACGAGATTCAACTCTTCGAGAAGCATCTTGGTGCCCTTCTCAAGGTTCATGGTGTAGAAGTGCAGACCCCGTACACCAATGTCCTCCTTCAAGATCCTCCTGCACATATCCGCGACGAGCCTCGTGCCGATCTCTCGCACTTTCTCGTCGTCGTTCTTCACAGGCTCAAGAGCGTCGAGGAAAATTTGCGGGATGGCGATTTGCGCAAGGCTGGTAGCACGCTGGAAGCCGTTCCACGTCTGGATCGGGGCAATGCCGGGTACAACTGGGATCGTGATGCCCGCAGCTCGGATAGCCCTCACCCAGCTGATGAAGAGGTCGACGTCGTAGAACATCTGCGTGAAGATGAAGCTGACCCCGGCGTCTATCTTCTCCTTCAGCCACCGAATCTCGTTCTTGAGGTCTTCTTCGGGCAGCAACATGTGCTGAGGAAAGCCTGCGACGGCAATGTCGAAGTAGTCGCCGTACTCGTGTCGAATGTGCTTCACGAGATCGATCCCGTGCACGAAGCCGCCGTCGACTGCCTCCCACTCGTCCTTGCCCATCGGGGGATCACCTCGGAGAGCTAACACGTTTCTGCATCCATGTTGTTTCGCATCCTACACAGTCAGAAAGTAAGGGAGATGCGTGAAAAGAGACCCATGCGATGGTTTACGCACCCGAAGAGCAATGTCGACCTTCTCCTTCGGCATGTTGGTACATGTGAGGTGCATGCATGTCTCAATCCCAATCAATCCCTGACATGTCTTGACCATCTCTGAAGTCAAGTCGGACGTTCTACCGCCAGCGTTCCTGCATTTTGGATCCAAGCGGTCAGACGTCATGGAGCAGTAAGCCAGGAAAATGGTGAGACCCACCATGTGATGTCTATAAATTCTGGACCAAGTGCCCTCATGCGCTCTATGCGATCTAAAAGATTTTGTAATCCCTGTGGACATAGTGAGAACATCCTTCGGCGACTTTGAATATCGATATCAAAATACCTGAGCAGTCCGGGGAGGAAAGTACTCGAACGACCACCATACTTTGTCGTTCTTGGTGGCCTGCTGGATCTTTTGGGTGATTTTCATGATGTATTAGTCGTGCCGATGTCGTGTAAATAGATGCAGGAGAGAAAGAAAGAAAGGCGGAGATGGAAGAAAGGAAAGAAAGCTGACTCTGCAAAAACTATATACCTGAAAGATCGAACCATCAATATCCAATTTTAGGCCACGTTTTCTTCGGGGTGCAAGAGTCTAAAGATATGCCGATTCCTCGATCCCTGCAGTGTTGATTACTCTCAGCACGTAAAGATATGGGCATTCCTGTAGATTAATTGCTCGATTTCCAGCTGCTGTTTAATACATACGATCGCTACCAGTTTGACAAGAGATTCGGAAGGCTATGGGTCCGGAATTACCCCCGTTTCGCCTCCGATAGTCCGATGTCAGTAGCCAATCAGAAGCTAGATAAGTGTAGAGTAGTGCGTCATATGTATTACTGTCAGCAAGTCGCAGAAAGAATCAACTTGGAACAATGAACAGCTGGAGTTCGTTGTACGACCGGAGGAAGGCATACGAAGATAATTTCATCAGGAGTAATCTTCACTCTCCGGAGGTTGATAAAAGTGATGAGTAAGACTTCGCCGACTCGAGAAGGAGGGCACGAGCTTAGGTCACGCCAGTGATTGAAAAGCCTCAATATGGTGGGGTGCTGACAGAGACAAGGTATGCTGAGTGCGCATCGAGGCTGTCCACGTAAGAATGTCGTGAACGGACGATAGTCGTGAAGTCTTCGGAAAGGGAGGATAGGTGTGAGGAGAATACGTGTATTGGCTGCAAGGTTCCGCAGTTGTAGAAATGAGTCGCATTGAGTGGGTCGTACAAAATGAATAGCAGTAAAACGCCGGTCGATGTTCGGATGTCGACAATAAGGCCAAGGCGTAACGCGAGATCTTCATTCACCCTCCTTGGACAAGGAGAACGATGCAAGTCCCAAAAACGACACCCGCAACACCACCCATAAGAATCAGGTGGTTCCTGTCAATCAAATGAGAGATGGAGAATAAATTAGAGAGAAGAAGTCGACATACTTCGTTCCCGTCAAGAATGCTTTCGTCTGCCTAAGGTCCAGATAACCGGTGTAGTACTCCCATACACCCGCGACTATCGCTGCGATCGCTGCCGCGAATTCAACCGATGCAAGTGGTATTTGGCTCGAATGAGAATCTTCCCTCTCTTGAGGAACGAGCCGTGCATGCAGGAGAAGAGAGGATGATAGCAGAGAAAGCAGGAGTGCGAGTTTGAAGTGGGAAAGTATATTCCTCTCCAGCATGCAAAAGTCCCGCGCTGTGCTTCCCGTATTTGGAACGAAATGCGCTGGGGGCATCACGAAGGTCGTTATAGTCGTATATGCTAGTTGTTGGACTGCAGTGGTGTTCAAGAGAGCATGGATGGGATTGTGGGAGGATGGAAAGGTGGGTCCGGTCCGTGAGTCCGCTCAGCCTCTGATCACGTGGTATATGCGCGTCCATATCTATCCATATTTGTGCGTATTTGCTCTAAGTTCAAGTCCACGAGTCCTGGGTTTCCCTTCAAGCCCAACGTCAGCTCGCCACGCTCCTTTTCAACAACACTCCTTTACGATGGGCCTCCTCAAACGTTTATTCTCTATCGGAAGCAAGAAGAACAAGAAACAGCGTCCCGCAATTGTCCACAATGTTGCTCTGCCCGAAGAACCAGAAGTTGAGGGGGCTCTTAATGATGCTGAACACGAGGCTGCTGTTGGGCGTCTCTTGAGGTCGACATCTGCACGATTTGTCGAGCGCCCGGAATTCGACTACGCCTCTTTACGACCTATTCGTACGTAATTCAGTGTTATCTGCTAAGCTTTCTGTGTTCATTTTCTTCTGTAGCCCATCCTATTAACCAAGTCATTCAAACCCCTGCTTCCTCGGCGGTCAGCTTGGCTAGCTCTACATTGAGCCAGCGTGGGACCTACAACGTTACAGTACACCAACGCACGAGACATGGCTCCACAGAGTTCCCTAACGCGAATCGAGGGCTCGAAGAAAAAGGAAACAAGAGGCAGTCGCTGTTGCCAATGGAAGATAGTCGGGTGCTTAGACTGCGGTCTGACCCATCTGTTGCCAGTCTGATTGACCTGTACGACGAACACGGCAAGCTCTCGAATGACGCCTTTTCCAACAGCCTTTCCAATAGTCCTCCACCCGCCGAGCCCAAGAAGGAGGAGCGGGCCCAATGCCGACGCAGCGGTTCCACACTCCGTCAACTCCTTGGAGCACCAGATAGCCTGCGCTCGCGACACGCGAACGACAGTGGTGGAGAAGGAGATATTTCCTGGGCAGAAAGATTCTTAGCGTATGTCGCTCGTTGTCTTTTTTCTAGAATTTCATTGATGACCCTTTTCAGAGAGACAGAAGCTCTTTCGTCAACCTCGTCTCTGGGATTGCCAACTCCAAGCACTCCCGAATTCCCTCCGCAACATACTCAACTAGATATTTCTTTTGTCACGGATGCCGACATTTCGACAGGGACGTTCGATAATCCCGCCATTTCATCTATGGAGGTGGAAATTAATGACTCTCAAAACATCTCTCAAGACCTCGAAAATTTGCACAAGAAGAACAGCCCCTACAGCAATCCCGAACCCAGCACACCTCAAAGAGCCTCCCAAATCTTCGGGTTCTTGACCCGTGGCAAGCAATCCAAGCCAGCAGAGGAGTTGATGTTTGATAGGACTCTTCCCGATCCGCCAAGCTGCTTCAGCTCTCCTTCCGACGAAAACGCCCACGACCGCTCTTCCGACTCCCATATCATGTCAATGGACACCTCTACGGATTTTACGTTTGCCCCAACACGATTCTCAGCGATACCCATGCCTCTCATCGAAGATACCCCCCGACCCCACCACCGCCTAGCTCAAATTGCAAATACGCCAATCCCACCAAGGGAGTCGCAGGTCCTGCGCTCAGCTTTCTCTGACGACAGCCACGATTACCACATGGTTTCGACGATCAACATACCTTATGATCGTGAAGAGCCACAGCCTTTAAGCGCTCCTCCCGAGGTGCCGGATAAGCGACAAAACGACATCAAGGTCATTATGAACGGACCTACGAAAGTTATTGTCACCTCCGCGACTCCCTCCACCAATCACAACGGCCCTCGTCTTCTTCGGGGCCCTCGCGCTCCCCCCAGGAAGAATTCCACCGGCAGTGTGTCTCGGAGACGATCTGCCTTGGTTGAACTTTCCAACTCATCTCCCAACGACCCGTTCACATCCGCGCCGCCTCGCCATCGACCACAACATCGCCGTAGTAGCTCAACGACGTCCATCAACTCGCTCTCGCGGAGAAATTCCGACCGGAATGCTGACTATCATTCGAGCAAGATCAAGAAGGCCGATTTTGTTTCTCAGCACAAGGAGAACAGACTTGGTCTTTCGGTCAAGACTGAGTTGCCGTCGACGCCTCTTCGTTCAAATACCACAGGCTCGCGGTCTCTCCTACGCTCAGTGATACAACAAAGCATGTTCCAGCCCCCAGTCGGGATGACCCCTTCTCCTGCCTCGTCATCGTCAATGTCTCCTATAGGACAACAAATGATGATGGATGTCCGCCAGCAGAGGATGAAGGCGCGAGAGGCGGACCGCGACAAGACATCTCACAGATTCGCGTCGGACCGGAATACGAACCGGATATGATAGATGGGTTTCTTGAACATTGAACATTGGCATTGGCATTATTCCTACATAAGTTTTCGTTCCTCTCAATATTTCTTTATGGTTTACTTATGACTATGCTCTCCACACCGCTCTTAGTTTTCGCTGTCGTAGCTCTCTCGTGTTTTGGTATTTATAAACGCAAATCCATTCATCTCACTGTCACATCGACTGCGAGGGTGCTCGAAGCCCTCTGCGTTCAACCTCTGCACTGAATAAGTAGCTGGAGGCTTCGAGGTTCTGCCCGACGGCGTCGCAGAGAACGTCTTCCTAAAAGGCGAAAGCCCACATGTTGAATTTGTTAGCACGCCTTCGAAGACACGACTAGAGTCTCTTATCCATAGTCCTCTTTATCCATAGTCCTCTGGACTTCGCCCGCCCGCCGCGTCACTGGTGACTGGGGAGACGGTTCCATATGTGGACACTTCTCCTGAGCAAATCGTCAAGGCGCTCAAGGGGCAGGACATGATGGATCAAGGTCATGTTGGTGTGCTTCAACGTTTCGTGGGCTCGGGGAGACAACCAACCTGACAAGGCAAAGTTCCTGGGGAACATGAGTGGAACATAGTGGGCCCAGAGCTTTATCCCGACATTAAAGTGAAGACCATCGAGGCAACCGTGAGTGAGGTACTTTCGGGTGGAGGAGGTGATATGGGTGGCTTGGGTGGTGATGACTCTGAGCACTAGTCCAGCATTACAGATGGACTGGAGATGGCGAAGTAAGGCATTTGGAGTTTCACCCAAATTTTACGTTGTCGCAAAGTAAAACAGATTCACTGTATCCAGCTCCTGTTTGTCGAAAGGTGAATTGTCTTACGTGTATAATGGGTGCTGGAATTTCAAAAGGTTGGATACAACGTCGATGGAGAGAGAGCCATCTTGTGCTGTGCCCGTTTGTGGATTTGAAATTGGAGATAGGGGTTGTCTGTCACGGACGCGTTATGATTGTACGCGTGATCAATGTGACGAGCGCCATTGAGTCACGCTGGTTTTCTACAACCACGGTGTCTGCTGTTCCGACATCCATTACTCCTCTCGACTGGTAGTACTTTCTCTTCCCAAGGCCAGAATGTCAACTCCGGCCATATCTGACTATCTGACGAAGCAACTATCCATTGAGAGGAACGTCGTACGTCATGTTTCTCCTGAATGTGACGTATCCATGTATCTAACGCGGGCGGCTAGGTAACCTACCGTTCGCTGAGCAGACAGTTCTCAATACACGTGAATACCGCGAAGAAGTATGTCTGGCGTGATCTAAATGCCTGAAACCACTCCTCTGACCCGTGTACGGTCAGTGAACTAGCCGCATATCATCATGAGGCGCCATACAAGTCTCTGCGTTCTGCTGCCACATTCATTCTAAGTGGGACGCCAAGGAGGAGTTCAAGCTACAAGTATGAAGATGACGATTATGATATGGACGCGGCGAACAACATAGAAGAGGAGTATGATGATAGTGAAGACGTGCCGCAAACGCACATTACAATCGTGAATGAGAGAGATCTTGAAGGTGTGTTTCGAATTAGATGTGGGGGATATTTAACTAAAGTATCGGTGTATCAGGTGCCAAAGCTGCATACGACGAAATTCACTCAATACATGTGTACAGCCTATCGCCGGCACCCCTCCATGTTCGTCAAAATTTACCTCGTGAAGACGCGGTCGTGGATTAACGCCTCCTTGTAGGATGCAGGCTTTATTTGCACTCCTACGGAATTCATACGGAAGACGGATGTAGATAAAGGTCCGGAATACTCTGCTGTCGTGGGCCGTATTGTAGGCAAGGGAATCAAAGTGGGTACTCCTGAGACCGTATTAATAAACATGCTCATACAGCGACGAGTAGCTAGGTGCCTCAAAGAGAGGACGAGGCAGAATGGCTTCCGGAGGCCCGGTGGCTGGTCCTTCCAAACTCAAGAAACCTCTTCTTCCTGCGAAACCACCATCCAAGTCGGAGTCAACCGCTCCTGCCCCTGCCCCGGCGGAGAGGCCCAAAGAGAAACCCAAACCCAGTGGGAAGCTCGATTTCCTTAAGAAAGCTAAAGAACCAGTGGTCGAAGTCAAGAAAGAAGAGTCGACGGCTGATACGAAGAGGAAAATGTTCTTCTCCAAACCAGTCGCGAAAGAGCCAGCTAAGGAGCCCGCTGTGAAGGCACCTTCGCGAGCCCCTAGCGTTGCAAGTGTGAAGGCAGAGAAAGAAGAGCCTTCGATACCTCCAAAAGAGCATGCGCCAGCTCCGGTGTGTCGTTATTCACTCTGGCGGTTCGTTCTTTTTGCTCATGTCATTCCCAGAGAGGCATCAAACGAAAATCTTCCGTCGGACTCGAGTTACGAGAAAGGACACCAGAGAATCCTGCCATTACGAAGACAGACGGTGGTGCACGCGTCAAGGGACGCGTCGTGCTTTCTGACGATGACGACTCGGATGCACCTGTGAAACCACCACGTAGGAAAGGCAAGGCCACCTATAGGAGTGCAAGCATGGACCACTCAGAAGCTGAGCGTGCAGCTATCGCGTTGATGGAAATCGATGATGGTGCATCTTACTTTCACCTTCTTTCCACAGTTTGTTTGACCTTTTCTTTCGTAGACCTTGTCGAGCGTGCCTCACATGCGCCATCAACCGTTATAAGCAGCGAAGACGCGGATGACACAGAAGAAAGCATGCAACAAGATGAGGATGTTGCCATGGCTGAACCCGATGAACCAGTTGTGAAACCAAAGACGAAGAGAAAACCCAAGGCGGTGATTCCAGTTGGGAAGAACGGCCTGAAGAAGAGAAAGGTGACAAAAACCAGAAAGGCACTGGACGGCAACGGTTATATGGGTCGGTCTTCCTTTACTTCTCTAGTTTCCCTTCAACTGCATGCTAATTTACACGTCCCATATTTTAGTCACGGAAGACTATTCAGATTGGGAGTCTGTGGATGATGATGCTGAGCCCGAACCGCCTGTTCCAAAACCCAAAACAAAGAAATCGATCGCTGTCAAAAAGGAAGATGAGAACACCGACATCCCACCCGCGAAAGAAAAGTCCAAAGAGAAGGGGCCTATACCGGTGAAGAAAACCGCAGCCAAACCTGCTCCAGCTACGAAATCAAAACCAGCTGCGAAGGCAGCAGGCGGCAAGCAGCAGAAGCTCAATTTCTTTGGGCCGACGAAGAAGACTTGAAGTCGGGTTCCACCCTTTGGACATCTTTGCGATACCTTAGATACCACTCTCCGCGATGTTTATGGATCTCGTTTCCCATTCTTGTTTCGCTTTGCACTTCATGAATGCAGGAGTCTACACTTTTTTTCATTCATTACAAGATTACGAGGTCAACTAATCGTGAGTCAGTCTGTCTATACTTTTGGCCAGCGCCGTCGGCGATGAGCAACTTGTCTGGGGGTTTGTTTATATTCTATGGGCCCATCTCTCGAGCACATCCTACAAGGCCTCTACTTAAGAAAAGAGTCCTCTTCCGCCTGCATTAACTAGGTAGGAGAGAGACAGACGAAGGAACGGTCGATCGGAAGAGGAGGGAGGAGGAAAGATCGGAAGAAGGGAGTCGAGTCGAACGTTGAAGCGACGAAAACACACGATAGCGCGACGAAACACTGCAGTGGCACACCATTACAAAAACATGAAACGGAGAAAAAAGATGGATGGATGGGGGACAAATAGATATATAATGCTCGACAGGTTCAAGAACAACACAACAGAGTCGCTAAGAAAAGGAAGAAAGAAAAAGGAAAAAACCAATGGATAACGACTGTCCCATGGCGATGTACTCTAACACGAAGAACGCAAGAAAGAAAGCGAGGTGCTTTCGACCTCCTTCCCTTGTTATGTCGATGGCGACAGCGGCACTACACCCCCTGCTGACGGCACCGAAAGACGTTGCGAGATCGTCACATCCCCACCATGGTCTTCTTCTACTGACATCAAAGCCATTTGCGCCGCCAGTGCATTACCTTGAGCGGACGGAGAATCATTCCTTACGTTCATGTTGACTTGTGCTGGGCTTGATGGGCCTGCACGTGCCGGACTCGTCCCGTTCACCAGAGGTGGTCCAGGCCGCTTGATGAGCTTCGGGTTGTAAACCTCTCCAGCCTGTATACGCGGTGGTCGTCAGCACCATACAACCACTCGAACACACGAGAGAACCAACCTTTCCAACAGGCCGCTCGCCGTCCTCCTGCCTCGCGACCGGGCTCGCATTCTGTTGTACATTAGGATTCGGGCTGTTCTGCGCCGACACTGGGGCACTCCCTGGGGGATTCAAATTTGTGGTGGCCGTGTTCACATTATTCGCCGCAGGCGACAATATCGGCCTCGCACTGCTCCACGCACCACTAACCACCGGAGGCCGTACCCTCTCCTGTACATGCCCAGCAGCAGGGTTCAGCGGCGGGAAATCCGTCGCCTGCAACGCGTTCGAGCCAGAATTCGACCGCGGAGGCGAGATGGGCGATATCGTGCGCGAGTTGCCCGTCGAGTTCGGGTTGGAGTTTGAGTTGTACAGGTCGTGGTGCCGCGCTCCTCCTGTTGCAGCCAGCGTTGGCTGGGCCTTCATCCCGACGGCCCAATCTGGCCGAGCGGGCAGCGGGTGCTGCGAGGATGTTGTTGAGGTGTACGTCCGGCGCGACGAAGACGAGGTCGTTGATGAGGACTAGGAGTCATAAAAATAGGGCATGAGTCAGAGCATCCACAAAAAATTTTGGAAAAAGAAAACATACAGCAACAGACGAAACCTCATCCGTGTTCGACGACGACCCTCTGCTATTCCCTCCTGAGCTTCCATGGCCCGACGTTCTCCTATTCGAATTCGAGTTCGAGTGGTAAAATCGCGGCCCAACAGCCTCTCCTCCCGCATTCCCATTCCCGTTCACGTTCCCATTGACGTTTCCTCCGGCGTTGTTCCCAAAGTGGGCAGGGAACCCGCCCATCCCGACACCAGGCCCGTAGCTCCATGCAGAGCGCGCAGCAGGCGGCACAGGCCCGCGGTGCTTCCCATTACCGCCAGGCCCATTCGCGTTGTTGTTGTGGCCGCCGTGGTTGTTAACACCACCGCCAAACCCACTTCCATTCCTCTGCGGCCCCCGTCCTCCGCCATTTCCAATGGGCGAAATCACCCCATTTCCAAGATTATGGCGGGGCGGGTTACTAGCATGGTTCTGGTGGTTGTTCTGGTGCTGGTTATTCAAGTGATTGTTATTGCCGTTATGGCCGCCGTTGAAGTGCCCTTCGGGCGGCCCTGGCCCGTGCCCAGGAGGTGGCTGCATGGGGTTTGCGTTCATATTCATCGACCGCGGAACCTCGTAGCCAGGGTACGGCTGCTGCTGCTGCATACCGCCCTGCGCATGCGCAGGCAGACCTGGAGGCGGCGGTGGCGGAGGAGGGGCCATTTGCTGTGGCTGCCCAGGCGGAGGTGGTGGTGGATAATATGCGCCCATCGGGTACGTATACGCATGCTGAGAGTGCATGTTATACGGTGGGTACGAAGGTGAATGAGGGGGTGGCGGAGGATGAGGCGGATGAGGACCTATTGAATGAGGCAGCGGAGGTGGAGGCGGATTCTGCTGTGGCTGCTGTGGAAGTGGCGCATGCATTGTATGCGGAGGAGACTGCAAAGGCGGTTGGTTAGGATGCGGCTGCCACCCATACGCTGGCCCGTAGTTCATCTGATGCTGGGGAGTGTACTGTTGTTCTGGGCCTGGAGGTGTCGTTGGGTCTTGCTGCTGGGGCATGGGCGGAGGGTGTTGGTACGGGTTGTAGGGCTGGGGGTAGTATGATGGATAAGGGGTCAAGAATGGCGGGTTCGGGGCATTGTTGGGCGGAGGGTACGAGTACGCGAAGTGGTTGGGGTGGTATCCCATGTTCGGCGGGTGATGCTGAGCAGGATCATAGATCTGTCCTGCTGATGGCGAGGGCTCATACAGCGATGGCCACACGAATGATGGTGACGGCGCTCGCGAGTTGCGCGAGCTGCCTCCAGAGCCGTTGGCATGGAAAGACCCTCCGCTACGAAGGGACCTTGATGATGAGTTTGACCCATTGTGATGCCCACCCCGTCGACCATCCTTCCTGGTATTCGATCCAGAGGGCGTCGACCACTCGCTCTCAGTTGCAGGAGAGCTGATTGCATCGTCAGTATCGCCGAGGCTACTTCTACCGCCTGCGCTAGTAGACGTCGACCCGCTGACACTGAGCGACGAGGAGCTGGCACTCATGTCCTTCTCCTTGCCCCTCTCCTTCTCTTCAAAGTTCATGAAGATGCGAGATCGAGCTTCATTGTAAGCCGCCTCGCGCTCTTCGATTGTCATGCGTTTTTTGGTGCTCGAGTTGCTGGTGACGTTGCTCCTGCCACCGAGGCTGCCGGCCTCGGAGGGCTCGACGTCGGAGAGGTCAGCATCCTCTCCTGCGACGGAGCCTGCGTGGGACTGGGGCTTCGAGCGTCGTTCTTGCACTGATCGCCGCATGATTTTGAACGCCGGTTGCGTGGGCGATTCAGCTGGCACGAGTTCGCATATGCGTCGCTCGGGTCTGTCGCTCGATCAGTACGAGAAGGCCGAGGACAGGAGACGGACATACATTCTACTCTCAGGCGAGATGGACACAGAGATGCCCTTGGTGGCAGGATCGCTCTCTGGCACCAACTTGTAGTAAGCCGAGCAGCGATGAACAAGCAGTCGCTGATAGGATGTCGCAGGCGTGAGATCACACCGCGGCCTTTGGGATCCAACAGTCAGTTTCATCAGATACAACGATCGGCAGACGACCACCAGCAGCAGGCCAAGGAGCCACAGCTGAATAGGGCAAGTGGGCGCTTATTGGACAGAGAGTGTGCTCACCTGCGTTCCTTAATGAGCGTTTCGAACGTCTCGCCGAGCTTCAGGACGTATATCCTGTCCTTTCCCCGGAGCGCCTCGAGGATCTGGGGGTCAACATCGAGCATGGCAGGGCTAGGGTTGCTTGCAGAAGTGTCTGAGTCGCTTTGGGCGGAGCCGGTGGACCCTGGTGCCGGTGAGGTGGATGGCTGTGCATTGCCTGGGTCGAGTGGGGTCGGAGACTCGATGTAGGGGCCTGGCGAAGACGAGGAGGGGGCGACGCCAGGGGAGCTTGAGCTGGATGTCAGGCCAGTGCTTTGATGGTTGGCGGCGAGTGCTGCGTTGCGTAAACTGTCGATGCGGGCGACAGATGGGTCTGATTGGGACATAGCGAGGGCGTGGTCTGCGATGGGCGATGAAAGGGCCGGCGGGCAGGTGAACGACGACGATGAGGGTTGTGGAACGAGGAAACAATGGCTGCTACGCACCAAGGGCCATGATAGCGGGTGCTGGCTCTGACAGTGTTGTCTGCGGTGGCGGATGGGTGAGATGAGTGGGCGGGGGTGAGGGTGACGCTAGTCAAGACATGGGTGGTGGGGAAGACAAGTCGAAAATCCGGCGAGCACAGATCATTGGAAATGCACCGTGGGTAAATGCATCACGACCCTGACCACTTCTCACTCAGCCCGAATTAACTCCCTCTTGTTCTACTTATATTGATCCCTTCCTCGTCTTTTGGTCGTAAACATAGAGACAGAGGCCTATTGAAACGGCTCCCCAGGACAGGACATAACACCCTCGGTTGATATCCCGCCACTAACTTTTTTCGTGCTTTAATTTTTTTGTGGCCCACACTGAGGCTGTCGCTCTTGAAAATACGCCGATACTAACGCACATCCCATAAGACCAGCATTAATGTTAAAAGACTTATTCCTGTAAGTACTTAGTGTAATATATCGATCGTATTAATTCACATTTCTTTTGTGGCCCATGGCCCTGTGCAGAAAATGCCCTATAATTCCGAAGGCTTAGAGTTTGATCAGGTTGCACCCCGACTAACATTTCCTGTGTCGTATAGAAAGAAAAAAAACTTTATTTTCGAGGGAAGAAACCAGAGGGCGCTTCACAAGTCATCCAATTGAATTTTGTATTTAGTTTTAACCTACTTTATACCTGTGCTGGTGGTGGCCCGCCGGGCTTAAGCACCTTCGGCCTTGACCGAATCTTGCGTACAGGCTAAGTAGGCGCCTCACATAAAAACATGTTATATTACATCGATATCTAATGTGGAATAGCATGGAACCCGAAGTTTAAAGCTTTTACAGCTTTACAGGATAGGCATTTTCCCAAGAGCCCACCGCGCAGCAGATGGATGAAGGTGGTACCTCAGTTTCCTAATTGAGGGCATGTGGCGTCTCCCAAGTTGGCGGTTGCCAACGCGTCGGAATGAAACCACAGCCGTAACACTACCTTGTTCGAAAGCTGAAACTAGTTACATACTTACAACCCTTAAGTGCGACCTGTGCCACCACCGAACTGACCCACTCTATCTTCCAGGAAATTTTACTTGAACGAGCGATATATCATGACCGATGCAGCTCTGGTCCCGAAGAAAGAAGGGCCAGCACTACTCAAACACCTTCCGCAAGGCTGGCTTCTCCATTTTTTTGTCAAGAGAAGCAGCCAGATGTGACCCACCTTTCACGTCTGTCGTCATGCAATTAATAGAATAGCGGACATTCTCTCCGTGATCCCACCCCTCCCAGGTTGCCCATCATGACGAAAGGTCTTCTCGAAGAGCCCCAGTTGATTTCTTCTTTACGCTATGATACACTCTAGAGTACGTATAACACCCCTAGTCTTATTCTAATCTCACGACTAAGCGCTAATGTGCTGCCCCCTTGTCTTGTATTGTAGGGTATGATTTGGTAAACGTTAAAACTTAATCTATAGGAACTTCATTAGCACATTCCTTGTTACTTGTTGCACGAGGGCCACTTACCAGAACACGCTATGCCGTACGCCATAGATCATCAGTAGGAAAGCGCCCATCAACGAGTCGTCTAGGGGCAACTGCACGAGCTTGCTTAATATTTTCTCAACATCTTGAAGACGACTCACCTTCTAGCTAATGAAAGAGTCCAGGAAAGATGAACGAAGTTGAGATTTTTTTACCAACGTTAGCACGTGTCCTAGGTCACTGGAAGTCTTTGACGGGAGATCCTCTCGAAGAACACATTAATTACCCCTTCTCCGTGATGATACACTCTATAATGCTCATAGTATAATCCAACACTAAGCGCTAATGTGATCTCCTCTTGCGCTGTACAATTTAGTAAACGTTAAAGCCTAAGCTGTAGAAGTTTCCTTGGCACGTTCCCCGTCACTTGTTGGACGAGGGCCACTCACCAGAACGCGCCATCCCATGCGCCAGAAAGCACCCAGATTCAAAGACTTGCTCGCCAAAGGAACGTCTCGGGTCAACTGCACAAATATATTGATTTTCCGGACTTGTTGAAGATAAAGGGAGCGAGACTCACCTTAACGCTTAAAAGGGTCAAGACGAGCTTAACGAAATCGTCGTCTAGGCTTTTTCACCAACAGCAGCACATGGCCTTGGTGGAAGAGAGGCAGCTCCCACATGGGTGTACATAGTTGGAGAAGACGGCGGCAGCAACGACAACGACGACTCGCTCCTGAAGCTCTGAGGTCAAGAGGTACCTGGCGGTGAGGTTTCGCCCGACCCGGAGGGAATTAACTATCAGAAGAAGAGTAGTGGTTGCGGCTTTCCTTGGACCCGGATACTTACCCGAAGAGTGTGATGACCTCTTGAGTCAGGACGGCTGTGGTACCGATTCAGATGGACCCGACGTGGATTTAGACGATGAGCATAAAATGCACATAAATCGAGTCACAAACGGAGGATAGGACGGGGCGTACATACCCAATAGTAATTGACGCCCCGAAGCACTTAGTGGCCATCACGCCGTCCAAGAAAACCGTCGGACGCGGGAAGGTGAGGGAGATAGAGTACTGATGCCGCTCATCCGGAGGTGATGGTGGCAGGAGTCAAAGACAAAGAACGACGCCCAAAATTTGATGGCCCATTCGCCTTCCCCTGGTTGCTGAAAAAGGGAATTACTTGCAGGTATGTGGCGCACCGAGATCATTCACGTAGCGCGAGCAGCAACATCAGGGTCGCAACGCTGGACTGTATTCACGTTGGAATCGGCGGAGTGGTACCGAAGGCGGGATACATTGCAACCTCAGGACCGTCGTCTGTAGAGGCGTCTCGTGGCCACCTGACCCCATGTCGAACCAGGGCTTAGCACAGCGAGCAGTCGATCTGCATTCGGACTTCACATTTACATGGTCCACGTCCATATATTGGTGACCGCGTACATCGATAGTAGGCCGATGGAGGAGGGTGGAGGGATCTACGATCGCCGGCGTGCCAGAGGGATGGGAGCCGGGGGCTGATAACTGCTGATAGGTGGATGGTCGGGACACCGGACCGCAGGATGGAGCGAGACGGACAAAATAAAGGGAGCAGGGCGATGGAGGGGATCGACGCCCAGGATGTATAGCGAATGCTTGGGTGGGTGGATCATTGGAAATGCACCGTGGGTAAATGCACCACATCCACCTTTCCCTCTGCATGAACCCAGAGGCTCCCCGGCTCCCCGCACGCAACGTCGAGCTCTTCGACGCAGGCGGCGCCGTTATCGCCGGTACGTCCCCTATCCCCTCCCCCCAAGTCCAACTATGCTAACGACGGTCCCTCCTACTAGGGTTCTGGCAATACGGCACCCTCACCTGGGAAGACTTCTACGCCTACCTGGCCCTCTTCATCGTCACCGCCTCGCCTCAGTGGTCTGTTTTCCAATACAATATTGACGACGCCGTGCAGAGGGAAAGGCACCGTGGGCCACCGTGTCCGTGTCCCGGGTCCACCGCTGTGACGTCGCAGATCGTACAGCCGGGAGAGTTTTGGTGAGTAGCCCATGCATAATTCGCGTTCAAGCCCACTTACAATGCATGGACGCTACGTAGCTGGCGACAGCGTTCGCGTAGGCCTTGTAGCCACCCCTGTCCGCCCGCGCGTCCCTACGCGTTCCAACACCCCCTCTTCTCCCCTCATCAATGTTAGCGAACCCAAACACCCTTTGAACGCCCTTCTGAATTATTCAGCTCACCCGCCCATCCCTCCGTACTTATGTAGGAACACGACTACCGCTCCCGTACACTCGCCCGAGACGGCAAATGCCTCATCACCGGTCTCCACCTCTCCTCCAGCCGTCTGCAGGTCGCACACATATTTCCGCGCGCACATGAGACCGAGGTGAGCAGCTCCTCCCTCCTTAAGTTACCGCACTTGAGCTCTAAAATGCTAAACCGCCGATGGTAGTGGACAAGCAAAGGCTACCCGTCAAAATCACCGACCCTGGCCCCTCCTCCTTAGCCTGTATGGGAGGGCCGAGCAAGATAGACTCGGTGCAGAACGCCCTCACTCTCCGCTCTGACCTCCACTCCGCCTGGGCCAACTACGAGTTTGGTGTCGATCCAAATGTGAGCGTGCCCTTCCCTTCTCCTCCCCTCTTCTCTTCCTTCTCTCTCCTGTTCTATTGCCATTGACGGCTTACCATCATCCCTCCCAAATCCACCATCTCCCCAACCAGGACAACCACCGCATAACCTCATTCACCAACGGCAACGCCGACATCCACGGGCTGCACCTCCACCTATCACACATCTCCGACGCTACCCTCCGCCCGCTCGACGACCTCCTCCTCGACCACTTTACGCAGGGCATCCTCAAGTATATGCGGGGGCGCGGTCCCTATCCCAATCTCTGTCCCGGTGGTGCTGGTGTTGGTGGTGCTGGAGGAGGACCTGGTGGTGGTAGTGAAGGCGAATGGACATACGACGACTATGAGGACGTCTTCGAGGGATACAACGGCCTGGCGAACCCGAAAGTTTGGGAAACGAGAGAAGGGAAGGAGGGGTTTGAGCTTGTGCTCGCGGACCGGTTGCATGCGCTGAGGGTGGCGCAGGAGGGGCAGGAGGAGGAGGAGGGGGAGAAGCAGGATGAGACGACGACGAAGGTGTAGTAGTGCTTCACGCTCTTCAAGCGCCGTCCTTCAAGCGCCGGCTGGGGATTGGGATTGGGGTTTTGTTGGGTGGTAGTGGCATCGACAAACGCCTCCTGCGAGGTCAATTGACTGCTGCACGTCTTTGTTAAGAGCAGCAACTACTCCATCGTCACCCAATCAACGAACACTTAGAGGACATCTCTCCGCACTCCCAACCCTCGACCCATCCCTTCACGCAAGACCCTCTTCTCGACTCAGAGCCCCAATTAATTACTTCTTCTACGCTATGATACACTCTATGTAATGCCCCCTAGTCTTACTCTATCCCAACAATGTCATTTAATGTACCGCCGTACCCTTGCGTTGTGTAATTTGGTAAATGTTAAAGCTTAAGCTGCATTTCCGTGGTTAGCATACGCTTTCTTCATGATGAGTTGGGAAGGGGGGGAGACGTACCAGAACACGCAAACGCATATGCCATAGATCATGAGGAAGAAAGCGCTCAGATTCAATGACTTGCTCGTTGGGGAGTCCCGGGTCAACTACGCGAGTGTGAGTTTGTTAGTTAGTTTCCTGATACCTCGAAGACAAGAAGAAGAGAGCGACACTCACCTTCCAGTAAAACAGCCCAGGCAAGATGAACGAAATCGTCGTTGAGCCCGTTGCACCAACGAACGACAGCACTGCAAAAAAAGGTCATCAGCCCCAGTCCATCCAAACACCCCGCCTTCCTTAACCCCCATGTACTCACCCATCTGCAAGTCATCCACAAGGTACGCCACCGTAAAACCCGCCACAATAATCCCCGCCGTCAGCAAAAAATGCTTCACAGCCGACATCTCCCCGTGGTGTCCGTGCTCGTCGCCCTCTGGCTCAGGGACAATATCCTCGCTGCTACTACTACTGGCGTCGTCCGTCTCAACTACCACCTTCTTGTCTGAAGATGCTATGTGCCCTGGGTGGAAGACCTTGTCGAGGCAGTTCCTGCAGGGGTGCACCTGGAGCGGGTAGGAGAAGAGCACGAGGACGACGATGGCGAGTTGGCCTACGGCGATGAAGAGCGAGGTCGAGGGGTACATGGCGATGATGTTCGGTCCGACCTGAGGGTACATTAGTTAGTTGGGTCATCTTGAGAAAGGAGGGAGGAGGGAGAGTGGTGTAGTATGTACCTTGGACCCGAACGTTAGGTACCCGAAGATCGCGATGATTTCGTAGGTCATCGCTGCTGTGCCGATGGACCCGACGATAACGATGTTCATACGCTTTTGGCTGTTCCTCTTTAGCTCGTTGTAGATTGGGAAGAGCTGAAGAACCGTCAGTACTAATCAACGAAAAGAGAAGGAGAGAGACGTACGTTCTGGGCACACGTAAACGCGAACACTTGCACCGGGAACGTCGACACAAAGTCCGGCGTGAAGTGGATTAACCGGACCTCCCCAGGTGCCGTCATACCCTGCAGCGGCCAGTAGTAGCACCAAATGACAATAACCACAAGATATGCTGTAGAACAACGATTAGCATAAAAGCCTACACAAGCCACGATACCACTCACCCACAGAGAACAGCGCTATATAGCTCGTATGCCTTAGGCTGTTGAGATGCCTGAGGAAACATAAGGGCACGAGTATGAGCATGAAGACCGAGATCCAGTTCCGGCCGTCGAGTGCCCAGGCGGGTGGGTTGGTCGTCTCGGAGGTCAGGTCGTGGTAGAGCGATGCGACGACGTTGGGCATCAGGCCCTTGATGATGATGAGGTAGCTGGAAGAAGAGAAGCCGGCGGTCAGTAAGTCAGTCAGTCAGACTATGGGTTCATTTCACTAGCACAGCACAAACGGCTCAAGCGAAAATGGCTCAGCCAGGACCCGAGGGCCGAAAAGCCACTTTCCATCCATCATCATCCAAAGGCCAAAGGAAGCACGGCACAAGCGCTCGTGTGCTCGTGTGCGTGCATATATCGAATATATAGAATCGAGGGAGGGCAGGACGTGCGTACCTTATTGACACCCCGAAGCACTTGATGGCGATTGCGCCGTCGAAGAAGACCGCCGCGCGGGGGAAGGTCAGCTGGGACACGGCGTGGAACGACGCGTGGCGCCCGTGCGTGTGGGCCGCACATAATGAGAGGAGGTAGAGCCCGAAGGCGGCGACGCCCCCGGAGAGGATGCAGGTGAGCATGCCCGGCAGGAGGCCGGCGGAGGCCATGGCCAGTGGGAAGGTCAGCATGCCTACATGAGATTTGAAAGGGAACCTTCAGCGTCCGGAGCTTGCGGAAAGGGATACTGAAAGCCAAAGGTACGCACCGCTCCCGATAATGGTGTTCAGCAGGTTGCTTATACAGCTCACGAGCGTCGCCCGGCCTCCGTCGTCTCCCTTCCCTCCCAAACTCGCTGGCCTCACACCACCCAGCAACGCACTCGACTCATCACGCTCTCCCCCCGCATCCACCGGGTCCTCTGGCCCATGCGCACGTGCGACACCATACGTCTGTACCATCTCGTATTCTTCTCCTTCTTCGTCTGAGTCGTATGTGTCAGTAGTGGTCTTGGAATTAGTCTTCGTCGAGTATCTATCCTTGCTATCTTCCTGGCTTTCTTCTTGCCGTTGTTCTGAATCTACTAGTCGATAAGTCTCCCGGGTGAGTCTAACTGGTTCGCGAGCAGTCTGTGCGGACGGGGACGAGGACGGACGCAGGGACCGTGAGGGGAGGAGCCAAGCCAGTCTCTCCGAAAGTGCGACGAGCACGGTGAATCTGGGGACCTGGGCCTTATCCGCGGAGGCCCCAATTCACGATAAGGAGAGCTTGGGGGTGTGGGGCGACTCTTGAGATAGCCCTATAGGGTGATGCCTGGCGTCCGTCGCGTGTAAGCCTGGCAGTGGGAGAGACTTACTGGTGGAGAAAGGTTACTGACAGAAACCGATCATGGGATTGGCAAGGCGGCAGTTTGGGAACGGGTGCTGTTCCCCGCATTGGTTTTCTCACCACGTGAGGCGTTCACCCTTGGCAGCTCTGTCTTGGCAGACGCGGTAGGGAGCATCAGGATTCTGGAGTTGCGGGAAATTAAGGCTTGGGATAGGCGGCAATAACGGTCGCTATCTATAGCAGGAGCTATAGAAAATGCTTATTTCTTTCTCTAGAAATAGTCCCAAAGAAAGGGGCGAACCCGACGAAAATCTCTTTCAAGTTGGACGCGTCCACGCGTTTTGTTATGCTGAAAAATCTTTCAAAGTCCTGAAAATTTACAGGAATGAACAAGGCCCCACACAAACACGTCCCTTCGAAGTTTCCACCCCATTCAAATGTTCCTTCCAAAAGCAACCAGGTCCGGTGACCCACAACCTACGGGCGCCTATTCGGCTCCACACCTCTCCTCAGCTCAAAGAAAAGGAGTTCAAGCGTACCACCTACATTATAGAGCTCCATACTTGGCATAGTGGTATATCGCGATTCCCTGTTGCCTAGCCGACTCTCCATAACAAAAAATTTCCCCAGTAACGGCCTAAGAAAACTCTCTCAAGACGAAGTTGGTGGGCCCGATCTGGATCTGCAGTAGCCATTGGTGCCCCATTCATCTCATTCCAGCAGGTTCTAGCAAGCTATGACACCATATGATATTCAAACCCGGACATGGGCGCTGTCTGGAATGCATAAAAGGAGTCAGCTCAGGCGGTGAGAGGCCCCAAACGATTGCTCGCCTACCATGGAATGGTTACGCTCGAGCCTCGTTGCTCTATACCCTCTGCGCAGAGTTGAAGAGAACGAGGTCATTCCGGTATCCGTCAACTACTTTCCTCATCGGTACGTCTCCCCATCTCATGAACCAGACCGTTGACCGAGGGACCGCCCAGCCAATGCAACTACTCCTGCAAATTCTGTTTCCACACCACTAAGAACCTCACCATCCTCCCGCTGGACGAGGCCAAGCGTGGTCTGCGCATGCTCGCAGACGCCGGCATGGTCAAGCTCAACATTACCGGCGGTGAGCCGTTCCTCAAGCCCACCTTCATCGGTGAGGTGTTCAAGTTCTGCAAAGAGGAGCTCAAGTTGGAGTCGTGCTCGATCGTCAACAACGGCTCGAAGGTCACGGAAAAGTGGCTCGATACGTACGGGCAATACCTGGACCTGATGGCCCTGTCGTGCGATAGCTTTGATGTTGAGACGAATATAAGGTTGGGCAGGAGGGATGGTGCGGGCAAGGCAGATCATGTTCGGCGTGTTTTTGAGGTGGCGCAGTGGTGCCGCGAGCGAGGGATCATGTTGAAGATTAATTCTGTGATCACTGCGTAGGTGGCCCTACCCGACAGTATAGACCGTCGAGAAAGTTTGGCTAATGGCCACCAGATATAATGTCGACGAGGACATGAACGAGCAAATCGCAGAACTCGCACCCATGCGTTGGAAGGTAGGCCATTCCAAGAATCGAGAAAAGTCCCGTCGTAAACAGTATATACAGGTTTTCCAAGTTCTCCTGCTTGACGGCGAGAACACAGGCGACGCGACGCACTCCCTGAGAGACGCAAGAGATCTCGTCATCACAGACGAACAATTCCAAGGATTCCTCGAGCGACACAAGGCGCAAAAATGCCTCGTCCCGGAGGATAACGAAGCTATGAAAGCTTCCTATCTCAACCTCGATGAGGAGATGAGGCGAGTTCTTCCTGTCTAATAAGTGGTGTCTGCCAGTCTCACCAGAGATATGATCAAGGTTTTTGAACTCGAGCACAGGGGGCAAAATACCCACCCGCTCCATCCTCGAGGTCGGCGTGAAGGAGGCCATAAAGGACGCGGGTTTCAACGAGAAGGCTTTCATAGATCGCGGCGGGATATTTGATTGGAGTCGGAGCAGTACGGCTGGCGATAGCAAAGATATGGAATGGTAGAAGACAAAACGTAGTTGAACGCAGGAGCCTGGACTCTGCACTAAATAAAGACATACAACGCGTCTCCGGATCAGGGAATTAGTGAGGCCCTCTTCAAGAGCGTCATCATCATGTTGCATGATTCAGCTCTTTCAAAGCTTCAGTAGCTTGGCCGTCTGAGTGTTCTCTGACCGCCCTCGTTCCCTACACTTTCTCAACACCTTTTAATTCAAGATGCAGTCTTCTCGCCTTGCCAGTTGTGCTCGTCGAACCATCCTCGCCTCGCCTACTCGCTTCTCAAAGCAGGCCGCCTACCAACACAGACTCAACAACTTTCTACGTTCGTACCATGTCGATTTCACTCCACCACCCTCTCTGTCGCTCCCTCGCGGACACCACAGCCTCCTGCCCCTCGTCTACTCATGCAATAACCTCATACTCCCCAAAGACACCAAAGGACCGAGCACAATAGGCACTCGGACCGCAGAAGGCGACGTCGTGAATGAGGAACACGTCATACCCTTCCTATTATCCCAAGACCAGAAGGACGGCCCCGTTGGGTACCTACGTGCCCAAGTCGCGTCTGCGTTGGAGGAGGACCACCAAAAGCATCTGGTCTCGGGTGCCGCATCGCCTTGGGACCTGCGGTACTCGAAGGAACAAGCACGGGATCTTGTATCGGTCGCGTTCGCGCCTTGGGTGAATGAGGGAGGGAAGTATACCCGGACTATGCACATGGAGAGGATCGTATATGAGTGGAAGAAGCATGGCCTGTTCAAGGAGATCCTGAGAGGTATGGCGACCTTTTCTCGAATGAAGAGAAACTAAATTTATTTTTAATGGAGGCTGGAGCGACGAGGCATACCCAGTATACTCGCATGCACCGAAACAGCTCACGTCCAGTCATGACCCTGTGGCCTTTGCTATCGAGCGGGCAGCTCTCCCACTATTCGGTCTTGTCAACTTTGGGGCGTTATTGACAGGTATATACGACTTTATATTTCGGCCTTTCCTTCAAAAACTGATGCAGTTCTATAGCTTACACTCGTGATCCTGTATCTGGACGCATGATGATATGGATACCTCGTAGGTCGCCTATGAAGCGAACGTAAGTTCATTAATTCTTATATCCATCTATTAACCCTATTTTTACTTATCTTCGTCAGCTGGCCAGGCAAACTCGACGTAACAGTTGGCGGCGGCATGGGCCTCGGCGACAGCGCCCTCGAGACCATAGTGCGCGAGTCCGCCGAAGAAGCCCTCCTCGACCAAGACTACGTCGCCCAATACATCCGCTCCGTCGGCGTCCTCCCCTTCCCCAACCGCTCCCCCGGCGGTTGGATCCTCCCCGGGATGTACTACCTCTTCGACCTTTCCTTACCCATCGACGGCTCCATCATACCCAAGACCAACGCGCTCGACGGCGAGGTCGAGACGTTCGAGTTGCAGGACGTAGATCAGGTCCTGAAGAATTTGTTGGAGGGCCAGTTCAAGTCGAGCTCAGCGCTCGCGATTGTGGATTTTCTCATTAGGCATGGGTATGTTACGGAGGATACGGACCCGAGGTTTATGGAGGTGTGTCGTCTGCTGAAGCCTGAGATTAGGCTGCCTGGAGTTTGGAAACCGTATCCCTAGATCCTACTGAACATTCCTTCCCAAGTATTTATTGCCGAGTTTTTTCGTATGCTTTCCAAGGGACACTAGTCCCTTCTGTAAAATTAACTTATCATATCTTGTATTTACAGACGCCATGCAACAATTAGATTCTACCTCCCTGCTCAGATAGATTGCGAAAACCTGCTCAAGAGCCTTTCCGTGATATTCAGACTTTAGATCACATCCAACAGTGGAAAGGGGTGTTCCTTCCGCATCGGGGATCACTGCACCTTGCTTTCAACCCTCGTATCCTTCCTGCTCACTTGCAATGACGACGAAGTTACGACATCACAGACCCTTGATTGAGGAAGAGGACGCTTCGGCATTGAAACTCGGAGCTGGTGCGTTCTTAAAGACACTGCGAAACCTACGTCTCTTGCTTACACCCCCATTCATAGAGTTCAACAATGCTGGTTGTTTACTCATCTCTGAAGTGAAGTACCTGCTGGAGAATCGGGACAAGGACGCGCCAGACACTGCGTGCGTTATCTTTCTCTTCAGAGCTTAGAGCTTGGGAATGAGGCTGATATATGCGCTAGTGTGTATAACAAAACACTGGAATACGTGAAGACGTTCGCGAAGTTCAACACGACCGACTCGGCCAGTGCTGTTCGAGAGTGCGTTCTCTGCCTTGAATTGCCGAATTCCTTGCGTTCTGATGTTGTTAAACCTTCGCTCCAGGACCCTCCGACGAGAACCCAACCTCACGCAGTTCGAGACCGCTCAAATCGCGAACCTCTGTCCAGCAGATGCTGAGGAAGCAAAGAGTATCATTCCGAGGTAAGTCGGCCTACGCCTTCCTTTCTGCAATATTTCTCTTAAATGCCTTCCAAGTCTCGTGAAAATCGACGATGACCGCCTCCAAGCCCTCCTCGACGAAATCCAGACGATGAGGAAGTTCCAGACATGATGCTCGAACCTCGAAACTCTCGACCTCGAAATCTGTCAAGTCGACTTCTCCTGTAGACACCTCTCGTCGCATTCGATTCGCGCTGCATCTATATACCAATATTGTATACATTAACATCCTCCAAGCCTCTCTCCAGCACCCTCTCAGCTGGCCAGCTCTACCCCTCGGTTTCCTCAATGTTCTTCTTATCAATGATCTCGTCCTCTTCCACCTCCCCGTCCTCTTCCTCCAGCTTCTTCTTGATCTCAGCATGATTCGTGAAGGACGTCGTGTCAAAGACCTTCTTCTCCCTGAACGGATGGGCTCGCTTGACGCCTTTCAGGATGACCGCGTCGTCGGGTATGGCGCCTGTCGGGTTGAGATACAGAAAATCGTTACCGGCGTACATGTCGATGGAGCGAATCCAGGCATCAAATCTTTCCGTTGGAGTTAGATTTCAAAATCAGTGAGAGAAAGAGAGAGTAGTCTCACAATCCATCCCGGTCCTCAACCCCTCGCATGTTTTTGTATATGAACTCCTCTTTGAAAGTGTCGATCTGCTCGCGGTAGGGCTCAAAGTCGATGGGCGGTCGGTAGTCAGCGTCGGTTGGTTTGAGCTTTTCGTTGATGACGGTCATTCGTTCGTTGTACGAGCCATATAGCGGTTCTTCGAGAAGAAGACCGAGGGCGGGCATTTTTGGGACGAAGACGTCTCGCTGGCCGTAGAGCTGGCCAAAATTATTTAGAAACGAGACATATAAAGCGAGGAAACTGGATCAGACCTCGCTCATGATTCTTGACGGTGTTCCCATTCGACATGCGAGGACGAGGACTGCCATCATTTTGCGCTGGGCGACGCAGACAACAATTAGCATCAGCTGCTGGAAGAGGCGGCTTCACTCACAATCTACGGTGCAAAATTAGAACCACGATATACAGAGAGTACAAGGAGGCTTGCCTGGTGCAGCATAAAACTCTGCCCATGGAAGAGGACGCTGATCCATTCGGTATCTCCATACACCACCGGATCTGCAATCTTAACTCCAGGCATCAGTACGAACAAAGATATGTGCCTCAGAGAAAAGAGTTTAATCACCTCGATCTTCTTCATATACCGGTAATTGCTCCTGTCTCCAAAATCTCGTCCCACTGTGAAGTTATGGAAATTGTGTGTACCGTGATATCGTTCCGCGAGATTCCTTAGGCCCTCCACCTGCTCTGGACTGATCCTCCACGCCCGTTTGCGAACCATATCCTCTTCCTTGGTGCCAGTGTCGTTGTTCTCCCAAAACGGGTGGGGCTTGCTCGCCGTTTCTGAACCGGCGTGCTTCGCCCAGATGTTAGCGAAATTTGAGCCAGGTTTTGGTGGTATCAAGAGATACGTTGGGAAGAAGTAGGTGTATTTCCGACTTTCACAGATCCTGGAAAAAATGAGGCCACATCAGACGAAATAGAACACAAGACGAAGACGTACAGCCGAGCATTGAACGAGTTTTGCACTCTACTCTGCAGTTTATATGAATAAAAGGAATAGACCCTGCACTGATTCGCTTACATATCCCCATAGCCGGATCTCTGGAGGAAGCTGCTCGTTTATCCGGCCAACAAGGTCCTTTACGCCTGGGATTGCCATGATCATCTTCAGCGACACCAGATTCCCTGCAGCATGAACTCCAGCGTCCGTACGAGCTGCACGAGCCAGGCCAACCTAAAAACAACAACACAAGTCAGTTCAAAGTATTCCGGCCGGAAGGAAACCGAGCCTACTTTGACTGGATTGTCGGCATTGTCTTGCGACACAGCTCCTACTTTGACCAATGCATTGAACAGGACGCCCTCAATGGTGCGTGTATGGTCTGGCTGACTTGGAAGACAGTGAGCAACTCACGGCGCCAATCCACGATTACAGGACAGCTCACATCTGCATGCCGCTGTACCCAGAGCCACAGAATCCCAGAAGTAGAGCACATTGTCGTTTCGGTAGTCGAGGTGCCTTTGGGATAGGCAGCCCGTCGGGACCGAGCTCTGGTTCTCGTTCTTCTTCGTCGTTTCTCGTACGACGTCCTCCACGACCACGCCCATTTTTCTTCTCTTTCCGCATCCCTTTCACCTGCTCAGAGGTTCCCTCTTGTTTTATTATTGCGGTGGGTTGATTCCCGTCTTCCTCTTCATCCATGTCCATTATAATTTCTCCGTCACCAACCAGGCTATCGTTTACGGCTGGTTCCGGTACTCGACTTGACAGGTCGACCGAGCTCGTCGATGCAACAGGTTGGATGGCGTCCTCTCCTAAACGAGGTCGCTTTGAATCCGCAGAGGAAAATTGCTCGTCTACAGCGCGTTTCTTCACTTCAGAGCTTGATCTTGGAGACATAACAAGGCTTCTCGAGAGGACGTGTCGATATGAGAGCACAGGATATCGATAACGACGCGTTAATGAGCCGACTAGCAGACAAGGTGTGCGTTGGGCGAAGATTTGATAAAATGAGGACATACGTTTCCTCCTGCATCTTGTCAACCAGTGGAAGAGGTAATATGGATAATGAGCCCTTACCTGTAGACTTAGTGGGCCCAGAATAGATTCAGGCCGAAGTAGTAAAGTGAGAAATTGAGATATGTTGGTTTGCCAAATTTTGGCTCACCTTATGGCGGACCGGAGCTACCGGAGTGGCTTGGCTGCTCTCAATGTTACTCTATACAAGACTGATGATGAGTGAATTTGTATCTTTCTCTCAAAAATACGCATACATAGTCCTACATAGTAAGATCCAGATTTCGTGCATAGATTCTCTTTCCAACCCTCCAGCTAATTCTTAACACTCCTGGACTCCCATGTCTTCACGACTTGCTCCTCGCACGAATCGTATACAGGGACAAGGTCTTTATAGATCGCAGCAACATCTGGCTGTGGCTTCGCGACGCATTTCAATCCCATAGATTCTCCGGCTGTCATCTCCTCGAAGGTCCCGTCAGGGTGCGTGCGTTTCCACCAGGCATATTTGGCGAGCAGTGCTCCACCTGACGCTGCTGCTTCCTTGGTAGCGGACACGTAGACGTCCATCCCGAAAATATCCTATGCAGAAAGATAAGAATTTAGTCTTAATAAAAGAGAAGTACGCACTGCTGCAAGTTGGCGTATAACCAAGTTCTGTGAAGAACCGCCGCTAATGACCAAGCGACGCAAGTGTGGGGAATTCGCGAGTAATATCGCAGCGATTCGAGAGCGGATAGACAGGAATTGGGATTCCAATATGGCTCTGGGATGAATGGATGACGCTACATCCGACACAGCCAAAGGCAGCTTCACAGTCGTCTTGACAAGTGAGGTCGTAAAGAAATACTCTCCAACAATGTTCGGGGGAATAATCTCCGGCAGAGGGAAGTAAAACCCTAGCGTTCCATTGCATCCTGGAGGCGTTTGTTCAACGAGCTGGTTGAACGTGTTCCAAGCGCCATTGGCGAACCTGTCTCTGACCTGCTCGCGAGCAAGGGCTCCATTCTTGTAGCAGAGCATCGAAATCTTCCCGTCCAGATGGGTTGGGTGAGAAAGAAGGTGCGAGGTGGTGAATCGCTTTGGAGGGATATCGGATGGCGGGACAGATAATAAGAATGTGGTCGACGTGCCCAAGGAGAGTAAAGCGTCTCCTGGAGCTGACAGGGAAATGACAGTAGCAGGGTTGTCGCCTGTGAAAGGCGCAACGAGACAGTCTAGAAAAGTGAGAGATTGCAATTGTTATTGGGATCGAATAATATACCTGGCACAAAGCCCCACTTCTTCACCCACCACTCACTAACAGTTCCAAGTGAAATGCCACCAAGCACCGGTTCAGGTCCCAGCTTATTCCGCAGAGTAGGGCCACCGCAGATCTCGAGGAGCTTGTCGTCCCACTTCCCGGATAAAACATCCGTCAAATTCATCCCACTTGCATCGGAAATCTCAATTGGGGCAATACGACCAAGGAAGACCGAGGGTATGAAGGACGAAACCAACGAGATGTACGCGGTCTTCTCGTATACATCTGGGGTCAGGCGTCTGATCTAGGGAAGAAATGTCAGATGACAAAAACCCGGACGAGAGGCCAAACACACCCTAGATATCTGATTACCTGTAAATCTCTCATATGCTCTGCTGCCAGTACGATCTGCGACTGCCTGCGGTCCGCCATACTCCTCTTCCAATCGCTTGCAATCTTCGGTGGTTGACGAATCCTGCCAGATGGGACACCGGGTTCGAGAGAAAGCTCCTGGGAACAGCTGCTCCGAGAGCATTTTATCGGGAGTCAATGCAGCAAGAAGAGCTTCAGCACCGCTGGACCAGTAGACAGACCCGTGTTGCTGTCACGATCGTCAGACAGCTTCGTTCAAGTATAATGCGACTGCAACACACCTGTCCAGCCCCTGAAACGGCGACGATCGAACCAAAGTTGAAATTTCCCTGCTTCAATCTTTCCAACAACAGATCGATAGCCTCCAACCACATCTGTACCGGAGAGGTCACCTCTCCTTCGTCAGGTCCGCTGATAGCACCGTTGGTGGTCCCATGGTGGGGCAAGTCGCGGTCGAAGTGAACAGCTGCCTCGTGGACGATCGTCGACGCTTGATCGAGTAAGACGGCTTTGAGCTGCTGCGTCGATAGGTCCAGGCCGAGAAACAGTGGTGTAGAGGTCGTAGAGGCCATGGTGGGAGTTGGATGTCCGCTTCATCTTTCCATCGCAGGATTTATGTCGGACCGAATGGTCTTCGAAAAGCCGCAGAGTTACAGCGACATTCTGCCGCGACGGGTCTCCGCTCAATGAAGCATGTTATCCAATCGCAAGCCAGGGATCTTGGAAGACGCTGAGAATAGGGGTCGAGCTGCCCTCTACCAGTAGATGCGTTTGCGGCATCAAGAGTGTCAAGCAAGACAAGAACGCACAGACAGTGCACGGACTTGGCCCTGGGAGGAGGAGGAGGATTGATTAACCGGGGAGGTCCCATTAAGGAACGACCGGCCTGTGTATCTAGAGCTACAAGCTACAACAACTCTACGTTTAGACTAGGAGTACATGCATGTCCTTTACCGCTGTGTTATTCCAACCACTACCAACTGATAGCCCAGGAAGACTCACGGTCTCAGGTACAAGGTACGTTGAATATACGTATGACGAGGCAGCTGCTCTCTTCACGGAAATTCTGGGAAGGAAGATCACTCACAAGCACCTGACTGAAGAAGCCATTTACCGATCGTTCGGATTAGGTCACCACCACCACCACCACCACCACCACACCTCCCATTGCTTTGAAAGCCTGCGCCACTACTACGGTTCTAGTTGGATCTCTCGGTGTCGGAAATCTCTCAAATGCCGTAGGCGCCGATGATGGGGCCTGCTACCCGTCAACCCTAACTTGCCTCCAACGATCTATCTAGCCACCTCGGGAGCCAACAGGCATCGGGATGCCTCAATGGATGAAGTCCGTTGAGATGCCTCGGCAGGCAGAGACCACCGAGACGCCTCGAGAGGCAAAGACCCTCGAGATGCCTCGACAGGCGACAGCCGTCGAGAGGTCCCGCATCGCGAACGAGTCAACACAAAGATGCAAGATATTCTTAGAAGTTGACAGGTCGACCCCCTAATTTCACTTCGACGCGTCTTTCTCAATCTCAAGCATCAATCAAGCCTAAGCCGAAGTCGGCTGAGCAAGTCATAAAAGTAGGAACAGATGAGTAAATACTTATGGAGCGTCTTCCGAAGATCACAAAAGGTTTCGCAAAACTCTATAAATTGCTCTACAATCTGACCCTCAGTTCTATATCATACACCTCATAACAATACCACTGAGTATCTAATCAAGCTCGTCGTAGAGCTCCATAGCGCGCGCCAGAATGTCTTCGATCTCGCGGCGAGACGGAGAACCGGGAGGAGCCCAATATCCGCTCTGGTGGGACTTGGAGGAAGATCCTTGCTGGCGGTGACCATCCTTGCCGATGTGAAGGGTGGTAACGTGCTTGCCCTGCGAGTCCGCGTATTTTACGGTGGAGTGCACTGGGCCACCGTTGCTCTGGTGCCAAGAGTCGTGGACAGTAGCGGTGTTACCGGGGGCGACGGCAGGATGGTTGGGCTCCTGCTGTTTGTGGTGTTCGATAGCGGCGACCTCGTGAGCTTGACGCGTCTTGGCTTTGTTGTTCTTGCCAGCGGAGGGCTTGATCCAACCACCATTTCCGAAGCCGCGTGCCTATAGAAAAGGCGTCAGGGCAAAGTTTAGGAAATGGTTAACAATCTGGGAACATACCTCAACGTCGGCAACCTCATTCATGTATGTTGGGGCAGCATTGACGGCGAGGGTGGACGCAGCGACGACGGCAGCGGCGATGACTTGGGTCTTCGTGAACATCGTAAAGTCGATAGGCGTAAAGAGGGTGAGGTGGATGAACGGGACGCGTAAGAAAGAGAAATTTGTCGAGAGAAGAATGCGATAGTGTGTGTGAGTGTGTTCCGACCAGCGGGTGCTACCTGAGCTGAGGCATTGTCAATGTCTCTCGTGCCCTTATATATCTTTTTGCGAGCCAGAAAGTGTCGGGTTATCGTCCGCCGAGCGGAATGGGAAGGCGTCATGGCGGCATTCGGGCACGTTCTTTGAGATGGATCGCGTGTGCAGTCGTCTAGCCAACGTGTTCGAGATTTGCAATGGCCATGGCGTTTTGAAATGGTTGAGATTTGACCTATTCACCGAGTCTGCGAAGATATCCCCTTTTGGAGCAACGATCAATGTGCGCCGCTTTACTTGGGTGCTTCCAGAAGCGCCAGCGCTTGCACGAAGATGGCGAATCCACGGCGTCGGCTTGCCATTGAAACGTTGAGGAAGACCGCGACGCCGCGCTGATCATATGGGTAGCCTTCAAGAACGTCGGAAGGCCGAACACACCGACCATTCGCACTCAGGAGGCAGAAGGTGGTCTGGTTCTCCGTATAAAAAAAGCCAGTTCGACGAGTGGCTATTTCGAACCATATGCAACCGAAACATAGAACGGTGATTCGCTGGTAGTATCTAGGTGGATCAAGCCCCGACAACGAAATGCCTTGTTTCCCTTGTTAGTGTGGCGCAAACGTCTTGAAGGGTCGCACAAGATGCTCCAGCCCAAGTACCTAGCACAAAGCAGTGTTTAGAGCACCTTCCCCTCTGGAAACAAGAAGACACTAACCGCAAAGTGTGATATCTAATAAAATACGGTTCAGAAAAATCGGCATCGAAAAGGCATTGTGGTCAATGCCGAAAATAACTGTGTGGTGTGCAAAGTGCTTAGGAACATCGCACACGGTGTTGATCAGCCCTGCCGATGGAAGGCCCCATTCAGACAGATTCAGAGTGTCGGCTGTGATGTCTTGGACGGAGGAATGACCCTACATAACAAATAACACCAGAAAGTTATTAGGTGGGCACAATAGGAAGACTGTCGTGGGACTAACAGACTGAAATTGTTCTCATCTTACTTCATCGCCAATACTCCTCCTTGAGCCTCGAAGAAGGGCCCGTACGAGGCCCTACTCCATTCGATGATGTCAGAGTCGGTGCCCTGGTTGGCTTTGTTCCAGCAATCCATGCTGGGCGTTGTGTAGAGGTGTCCTTCCTGTAAATGTCGAGTTTTCGTCATAGAAGTATCCTGGACTCAGGGGAAGGACAAAGGTGAGTATGTCGACGGTTGATAGATGGAGACAAAGCTGTTGATTACCTTGCATTGTGTGCCCTGTAATCTGGTTGTGCGTATGCTTCCATTATATCTATTTTTCCGTCCTGGCAGTGAAACGAACTGAACAAAGAAACAGAGAAGGGGGAGAGGTGCTTACCATTGACCAATTGAATCCAGTGAACCAGAATGCTAATAGGTTCAGGTCGGGTCAATGACGCGCTGATCTCGATGTTGACCACGCTGCAGGGTCGACGTATTATCCGTCCTCATCACAACCTTGTTGTCGTCCATAAGTTCTTCTCAAACACCGTTGTTCGGTTGACATAGCTGGATGAAGGTCACAAGAGCGCATATAAGAAGGGAAGGGTGTGCACTTTACCATCTCCCTGCATTCGCCCAGAGTGTGAGGTCTCTATCGGTACATTCTCAGATTGAACGTATCGGGTTGGATCATCCCAGATAAAGAAATTGAAATCGCTGCAAAGATTCCGAAGAGCTATTAGCAATATTGGCTCTGAAAACCAGCACTCGACGCACTCGAAGAAATTCATTCCAGAATATTCGTCTTCAGGAAGCCAGAGAAAGGGTACCCCATCTGGATTGTAGTTCGTCCCATCTTATTTCTGCAGGTCTCTAAATTGTATTGAAGGTGGGCTCTGGGCAAACCAATCTGGAACGCTGATTTTAGAGGCAAGAGTATTCCAGATTTTCTATCCGGGCAGTGCATGTGAGGGTTGGGGCTAGATGGCAAGAATGAGAGCAAGGAGATACATTGGGAATGCGTTCAAAAGCATGACATCGTCCCTGGAGGATCTGGGGAACTAGCGGCGGGATTGCGGTGTACTCTTGAACCTCGGAAATCGCGAAGTTGATTCAGAAGAGTCCAACTTGGATGGAAATTTGGCGAGCGTAGAAGAGGTCGTGAAAAGTCGCATGATATGTGGGTGGGAAAGGGCTCGAAAGCCTCGAGGATTTTGGGATTGGTGGAGTAAACCAACCAGCGGACGTCAGTTCGCAGAGATGTGTGGCCTCCTTCCCAGTCTCAGCCAGAGTCTCGCTCCGAGGAAGAGAAAATAAGGCGCCTCTGGGTGGTCGGCAAAACCACGGATCAATTATATAATTTGTTCCCATCCCCCAAGTACCAAGGAATTCGCATGTGGGAGATAATGACGGATCATGCTGGCCCGTCGACTGAGTTAAGTCGTCAACATAACTTGATCTCCCACTCCCATCATGGCATCTCTCGTCTCCCTCGTCAAGCGCATATACCTTGTAATCTCCATTATATGATCTGGGTATGCTTTCTCTAATTGACAACTTCAATTTAGATGTACAGCCCTCCCATTTCTATCAAAGCCACCACGCCGGCGAAACCTCTGAAGTTTGGCATTCTCGGTGCAGCCGCCATCGCCCCCAGCGCTCTTATCACGCCCGCAAAGTCGCACCCAGAGGTCCTAATATATGCCGTTGCTGCTCGCAGCCTTGAGTGCAGGATTTTGCAAAGAAATATGGGATTGAGAAGGCGTACGGCGGATATCAAGGTGTGTTGGAACTTGGTGATGGGAAAGACAACGGGGTCGACTGACCACGGTCGTGTGTACTATCTCACAGCTCTACTGGACGATCCTGAAGTTGATGTTGTGTACAATCCAGTACGCCCGTTTCGTTGGTCTCCCACGAGTTTGCATGCTGACGCTCTGCTCATTGGTCGTAGTTGCCAAATGCCTTGCATTACGAGTGGACAATGAAAGCCCTTGTGACAGGAAAACACGTTTTAAACGAGAAACCCTCAGTGGACACAGCAGAGGAGACGCGTGAGATGTTCGAATTCGCGGAGAAGAAAGGTCTAGTGCTCCTCGACGCGTACCATTATCGGCGAGTAAACTTTATCATCGTCGGGTCAATTGGCTGATACGGGAGGCCAGATTCCACCCAGCGTTAAAACGAGCAAAGGAAATCCTGGGTAGTGGTGAACTGGGAGCCATCAAGCACATCCAAGTGGACTTCACCCTTCCCAAGGGATTTATGAGCGACAACGATATCCGTTTCGACTATGCTTTGGGCGGAGGGGCAATGATGGATCTTGGATGTAAGCAAACCTCTTGGAAATTTTGTTGGACCCCCTGACTTCGAACAGGCTACGCCATGAACTGTATCCAGTACGTGTCATCGTCGGACCCGACAGAGGTGATCGCAGCGGCACAGGACCCATTCGTCCCCCACAAAGCCCCCATGTCTTTCATCAAGAACGTGGACAGGAGGACACTCGCGACGCTTGCTCTACCTAGGGATGCAACTGCAAGCCTCGTTTGCGACCTGAGCGAGCCACCAAGCCTGGGCATCATTCCTAAATTGCCCCAGCTCACCTTCTGGGTCGAATGCGAGCTGGGCACGCTGGAGTTCTTTAACTTCATCCTTCCGACCTTGTACCACTCTATCACCATCAAGATTCGTGGAGGGCACACTCGGGTGGAGAAGGTGTACAAGGCGGCGCATAGGAAAGGAGAGGAGTGGTGGTCGACGTATCGCTACCAGCTGGAGGCGTTTGTCGACAAGTTGCGAGGAAGAGAGCTGGAGACGTGGGTACCAAAGCATGACTCGATAGCGACGATGGCATGGATTGAGAAGGTGTACAAGAAGGTGCATCCTTACGCGGTATGGATGTGTATTGCTTCTAACAGTGGTTTCGACAGACCGGTCTTGGGGTAAGACCGAGAAGTACCTACACGCCTAATTCATAGAAGAAACTCTGCGTAACTGTAGCTGGTGACATGGGTCACTGTTCATAACGGCTTTGGGATGCTGTGCGAGGATTTCACGACACCACGTTGGGCTTGTCTGTCTGATGTGAATGCAAGGCGGCCATGAGGCAGACAGACCTGTCCTTGGACCTATGAAGGAATGAGTAGCAGGCATGTGACACGAAATACCCTTTTTTGACACATGTGGAAGGATTTTCAAGTTTTCGTCCCTCGATTTCTGTCCACAGCAGCGGGCATGGAAACTGCGTGGGAATACAGCCCGACGGGCGCCTATTTCTTTCGAACAGGCGTAGAACCTGGTGGGTTGGGACGAGCCTCAATAGAGCACAGAGAGGCTGCAATTTTGAGCTCAGAACGTGCACTTTCTACAGATACTGAGCAAGTTAATCTACCGCAATAGCTGTATAGTCGATATTGAGTAGGAAAAAAAGACAAAGGGACTCGCGACTCATTCTGGAGGGTATTTCTCTGTTTGATGTCCGATTTGGGTGTAGTTCCATCTTGACTGCTTGAATTTTACTGTTGCAAGAGCCAGCGAGGCACTCGTAGTCCAATATCATACTTGGACACCTCGTGGTGACACTGCTGGTGTTCAGGTTCCAGGCTATCGGCAGTTTCTTGATATGTAATTCACCCTGAGAGTAACTTGTGATGGTACTGCATTGCTGCCTGATGCATCTCGGGATTCTCATAAAGAATGACGAGATTAATGCCGGGGTGCCAAAGGCCGTTAACTATGACATCGCGGCTACGCACGAGGGCACATTTCAGGCCTTGGCGCCAGACTTTGTTTACAATTTTTCGTCTCTCGATTCGAGCTCGACGACGAGTTCGCTGGTGGAAGGGTATGGGGAGATCGTCCCTCTTGGTGGGTGAGCGGGGTCAAAATACTGGAAGTCTGGAAGCTTCTGAAGGAAGTGGAAAGACACGAAAGGATGAGATAGGCTGTACAAGCGACCAGGAGGAACGAGGGCATCAGTCGGACCACCGGCCGAAGGACTGGCCGCTCGCCGGTCTGTTCACAGCCCTGTTTACTCATTTGTAACCCGGTCCATGGCTTTAAAAGGCTCTGATCCCCTGGTGCCAAATCCCCCATCCCTCAGATCCCCCACCTCTGTACCAGCCATGCCTACCCAGGTCTATCCCAGCACCACTGCGGCCACCCGATTCCCTTCCTTCGCTACCCACGCGCTCGCTCCGAGACGCGTTGGGGCTTTCGAGAGCATTGACACGCGTCTGTACTGGTGAGCATGTCGGCATCATGCCGTTCGCGTCGTTCCGTACCCTAACGTTGGTACCGCGGGCCCGTGATGATTAGATGCTGGTGGGCCGGCGTTGTCCATCTTGTCTTTCCACTGTGCGCTCACCGTCGGGATCCACACCTTCTGCTACCAAGCCCTTCGACATGCTGGCGAGGGGGCAAACGCCTCACACCACACCGACCTCCAGCAGGACGTGGAGGCGACCTCTGGCCAGAATCTGACGCCATGCGAATACACGGCCTCGGCGAAACAAACTCGAGACCATCCTGCGATACTGGAAGCTCACAAGTGTCATTTCTACTATTTTCCTTCCGTAAGTTCGCCGTCTTGCACCTTCATGCCTTCGTCCGAGTCTTCTAACTCGAAATATTTGAATAGAGGCGGCCTTACGCTCCTGCAAATCGAGCCCGTTGTCAATAGTCTCTTTCTTCGCGCTTTAGTGCTGTCGACGTGCATCTCCTCAGTCACCGCTTATTTTGCTGAAAAAGAGTCAAGGTGAACCCGAAAGTCATCATTCAGTCCGACGTAGAGTAAGTAATCGAAGGTTCGATATGAAAACAACTGTACTGAACTATAAGTCACCAAGGCCTCGCCCTTCGTCTCCCCTGCTACGCATCTTCTGCAGTGAGCCGAAAAGTGTTCGGAGAGCTCGCCAGAGTTGTATGGATAATACAATTGCTAAAACTGAGATCCAGGTGCCGCTTAGACAAACTGCTGTGGCAGAGGAAGGACCTTGTTTTTGGTCGGCGTAATCCCACGCCAGAGCGAATATTGCGACCATAAACCACAGTAGACTCCTAATTTCCTCATTAGCGACATCCCCGCGAGACGTCAATCAAAATTGCATACCATACCATAGATGAAAAGGGCAATGAAGTGGCTACCCAGAACTCTTTTTTTCTGGTAGGGGAAGCAATCGAATGAGAAGAAGCCTGTATTATACGGCAATCCTACGTTAATCCAGGAATTTAGCTCGAGATCAGGATGGATGATATGTACCTCAGTCCATTTCCTTGTCATGTTAGGCGAAGAAATTTTTTTCTTCAAGCTCAAGTAGATGCAGCTTGAAACAAAACTTTCCAATGCAAAAACAAAGGAAGATATAACAACGGTGCGCAGAATGAGATTGTTCAGAACGGGGTCGATTTGCAAGAGGGTAAGTGTTCCTCTAAATTCTTGAATTCAATCATGGGACAAGAAATAATGCTCAGATACTCACGGAAGGAACACCCCAGAAGCGATTCCAATGAACTTCCACAGTCTGAGGAGGATCCTGAGCGTGTTCCTCCAGGCAACAGTGTGTTGATCGGGTCTTTCTTCGGCCACGGCGCCATCCACTGCTAAGCCCGGGGTGACAGGACAAGGAGAAGATGTGCCTTCATGTCGGAGAAGGTGGAAACAATAAGTGTGAATGCCGATGGCAAGGAAACACTGTATAATGTGAAGAAGATAAATGCAGAGAGATTGCCACTGATGGAAGAATCTGGTGGATGCTTGTGGGCCACTGCTTGTTGGCTCTGATGGGCCGCTAAGTCGGGAAACAGGAGCGGCCCCACCAGGTGGCAGGAATATGGGCTCTATGATCTGTACGATGGCGCCTTGGGCTGGCATGTCGAAGAATGGTTTATGACGGTGGGGAAGGTTGTTTTCTGTTGCCGGGCTTTATAGACCGACGAGCGCACCAAAATCGAGATCCTATGCTGACAGGTCAGGTGCTTCCTCAAAGGTCTTAAGCGCTGGAGAACTTTGATCAGCACACCTTAAGTCGCCATATCCGACAACTGGATCTCAGGAGATTTGTGCCAATTTGGAATGGGAGTGCAAAGACGTCGAGAAAGGGCTCCATTTTTAACTACAATGTCAGTGCGATAGAGTATAGAACAGGTGTACTCATCTCGTATCCTAATCTCCTGAACTAAGCGCTCATGCCATGCGGTGCACGAGATGGTACAATCGACTGCCACGATGGATGGTACGACTGCACACTGGATGGTACGATGACGCCGTCATGGAGTGCTTGAAATCGGGTCTCTCTTACTCACAACATCGACAACGCTCCGAAAGGTCTTAAGACTTGCGCGCCACCAGGGCTTGATAGCCTTCTGGTGATAGGACAATGTCTCTCAGAGACGTACCGTTTGTGAAAGCGCTTGTCGCCGATTCAGTGCCTTCGTGGGTCGCTTACAACGACGGGTACCTACACATGAGGCGCACGTATGCGGAACTGGGAGGGATCTGGGACTGAAATGCTGGCAAAGAGGAGGAAAGATAGCACAGCACTAGTACTTAAGATAGATGCTGTGATGGCGTCTACAATCGCATAGCTGTCCTAGGATAACGATAACATACGGGCCATTCTGGAAAGCGTGTATGGAGGCGGTGTTCTTGTGACACACCACTTGAAGATGCCAGCGCTTATTTTCCAAGTATTGCCAAAATAGAAAGTCCTTGGCGCTCCAACTCTAGGTTACAGACTCGTTTTGATTTGGGCTACTTCGGGGATCGTGGTACGTCTTCACCATTTTTTGTTCGACTAGGGTTTCCCGTCCATGTATGAGTCACCCAATAGTACCGTCACTTTGCAACCTCCGTCTGACCTTCCCCCCCACCCGCAGCAGCACCCGAGCCCCAACTCTGCCGCTGAACACCCGCTGGTCGTAGCCCGCTCGAGCTACCATGCGAGTGTGCCCTTGCCTTCCTCGGCCTGCTCACCAGCGGCTGGCCACTCGTAGCGGTCCCAGGCGGCGACGTCACGCCCACATTACTGATGTACCGTGCATGGGGGACGTGATGCGGCGGTCTCGTCGTAGGGTTACTAGAAAAAAAATGAAAAGAAAAAGGAGAGTGAATATCAGCTCACTGCGGACGCTAGAAGAAGGCGCATATATGATATACTCACTTCGCTCTCAACGACGGACCTCTCCCTAGTCGCGCAAAATTACTGGGGAACAGCGGGTTTCCTGGCAACCTATCGCCATCGCTGATGTACCCACTGCTATCGCCCGCATCGCTGCCGGCGTAGTACGAGCTCTTGCTTTCCTGCATCGCAGCAGCAGCAGCAATCGCTGCCGCCGCACTCCACGACGCGGACAAGTTCCCAGTTGACTCGGACCGCTGGAACGGGCCAATGGAGGAGAAAGAGGATGCCCGTGAGTGGGGGCGCGAGGAGCCGTACGACCCAGACGAAGGGATGGCCTGCGGTTGTGCGTAGGTCTGGGTGTGCGAGGGGCTCTCGCCACCTCCGGAAGGGACATGTGGGTAGGGAGGTAGAGGCGATATGGGGGACAAGAGGGGTGGCGTGCCAAACGAGCTGGCGGCGGGCATTGGCGAGGTGGATATCCGCAGGCCCTGGATCTGCGATGGTGATATGTAGTTTGTGTCGTCCTCCGGCGCGCTGGAGGCCCCTTCACCTGTAGTCTCTGTCGTCGAAGCCGGCGCGTCGGTTGTCGACTCGCCTTCGTTCTCTTCCTCCTCTGCACCCTCCGCGATATCTCCGAGACCGTCGCCTGCACCAAGCGAGCCAGGAAGAGAAAGTGGTGGCGGGTTGCTTGAGAGCGAGCTGAACGAATTCGAGGTGGATGGGGCGAGGATGGGTTCGATCGAAATATGTTCCGTAGGTGTTGGGTCTGCCGGATACACTTCCAGGTGACTGGTGTTAGGAGGGCTGAAAGTCCCAATGACCATCCCATGGTTTTGGTCGGGAGGACTCCGTGCTCCTCGTCCATACGGTGTTGGGACTGTCGTTGATTCACCAGACGCCGTCACGGTGGCCTTATTATCCGTAGATGAGGATCCAAGGCCAGACTTGATATCTTGAAGTTTCTCCTCGATCTGTGAGCTGAAATGGGCTTCGTGATCATCACGTTTTGCAGAATAGAGACTTGGCACCGGGGACTCCATGCTCAGCCGTTTGCGGGCGTAAACCGGCGAATCCATAGTCGCATCCCAATCCGACCAGTGCCCTCGAGCACCCTTCCCCTCGTCGTCAGAAATGTCGCTGGTGTCTGGGCTGCTCTCGTCATCATTGAGGAAGTCATAATCGACATCGAGCTCCGGCGGAATACCAAGGGCACCTTTGATGCGCTCCCATATGAGTTCTGAATGGGAGAGAATGCATTTTCGCGCTGCGATCGCCCAAATGAAGTCGGGAGCGACGTCTCTGTCCACGCGACTGAGATGGTAGATGAGCTGCTGATACGACCATTGCAGAGGATCGCGTGGGAGTTCGACGGGTTGGTCTGAGGCTGTAACAACTGCAGAGGAAGATTCGTCGCTGGGAGCTTTATTGCGGAAAGTTTGGGCGAGGAGAGTAAAGAGTTTTGCATCTGGTGGCGATGATATGAGAGTTGACACCTCTGATGGGCGATCGATGAAAGGGAGATAAATATCGTCGGGTAGCGGTGTGAAGGTGGCAGGAGCGACTGAAGGGAGTGCTTGAGCACGAAGAACCGGTGAGTGGCCGGATATGCCTGGTGATGAGGGGCTGGCTATCGGCGTTGAGCCGTGGAGAGATGGGCGGGGGTTGGTTGCCTGTCGTGCAAGATCGACGAGCTGATCAGGGGTCAGCCGGGGCTTCCCGCCGAACGTCGATGCTGAGAGGTGTGGAGAAGATGGTCGCAGGCGCGGGGAAGACGACGGGCTCGGCGGGTGGTCCCTGCTCGTCCCGCCTGGCGACGACGAACGCTGGCCGCCGAACGACGAGAACGCAAAGCTCACTCGCCCGCCGGGCTGCTCGGGCGATGTTGATGGACCCGATGTCGGGGGCTGTCCGCCGATGCGCCGATGGAGCCTGCGCTGGCTGAGGACGGGCGACGAGGGTGGTTCGTGGAGGTTCACGGGCGGGGTCGTCACTGGCGTGACGGGAACACGGACGATGGTGAGCTTGCTCGACGAGGAGCGGTTTGGATTGAGATTCACGTCCGCGTGGACGCCGAACGGGTCGGGGGCGGTGACCGAACCACGGCGGGCTGAGAGTCGCGGGCGGGAGGTCGATACGGTGGTCATCGTGGGTGGGTTCAAGCTGGTTCCCCGCACTCGCCTTTGTACCCAACTCATATGACATCAGTGATTGCACTTATGTAAGCCAACTATCGCGTCTCCTGACCTTTTTTCTCTTCTACGCGGTAGGCTCCGAGCCTCTTCGTCCAATCCCTCATCTCCATCACCTGGGACTCCTATATATTTACGTGTTTCATTCGCCTTCTCGGATCCTCCTTCTGCCACGTAGCATCTAGTGCACCAACCATGCTTGCCCCAGTGGGTCCATGGACAATTTATTTCTCGCTGGTCCTCATGAAGAAGTCCACCATCAAGTCTTCGGGTTCCAACACCATAATAGAGACCACCAGGACGACTATAACAACGCATTTCCACCAATTATTTCGGCTTGATGATGTTATTTTGTTTGTCAATCGTAGCTCACCTTGTTCAACATCGATTTCTTCCACAAGCACGTCTCTTTTTCTTTCAAGTGCCGCGTCCTTGCAGTGCTTCCGCCAAACGGCTCTTCAGAGTAATCTGCTTCGCCTCAAGGATGGTCGAAGGGCAACTATCAATGCCGTAGCTCAATGTACCGGATAACGTCCTAGGCCGGAAGCCCGATCGACGCTCGCTCAAGTTGCGTCGGATGCAAGAACTCTTCTGGAACTCATCTGTCAGCTCCACACCTCGAACGTATTACATTGGAGCTCAGTTTCTCACGAAATCACCGCCAGGGCGCGTACAGTAACTCTGGTCACACAATTTCGACAGTTGTGTCCCGAACGACATGCTCGGGAGGACGCCATAGTTTCCGCTTCTGACACCCTCGACAATTCCTTCTGTCTTTAAAGCTTAAAGAGGTCTTACCATGAAGGCTCCCCTCAACTTTACATTGGTATTCTTGGCTGGCAGCAACCAGACAATTTTTTGAATCCCTCAGTCAAAATTGACTGATTTACTCTCAGGCCTGGCTAGCTGCACCCAATGCCAATCAATGAATTGCCTTGTACCGTTGAATATCCTCTAGTCTATGAGCGACGCGCGCTCTTTGGGAATTGGCGTCGGGCGTCTCAACTTCGAGTGCAATTTCTCCCGAGGCATTTTCCCCAACAACTATCTCGGATTAATCGAAGGGAGAGAAGACCGAGGATTCCGAGTCATTGGCGAGTGCTTTGGATACCCCCAGGATAGACGAGGCTGATAGACTACACTCAACGCCGAAGAGCAGTTGTAGTTCTTAAAGGGCAAGTCCTTTCCACGTGGCTTTCGGAGCCTCCTCGGGCCCTGAGCAAATCTGAACTGGATCTGAACTCCGGCGATCTTCTTTCCCCGCACACGTGTCACTGTGATCGATGTCACCTGTGCCTAACACGTGATCCGGGCGCTTATGCGGAAGCAAATCCAAATAAATCGCCAAAATAGGTGATGAATTCCGAAATTTGCTCTTCCCTTCGAAATGGTCCATATTCACATCTTGTTATCTTGAGCGGGTCGGTCGATGTTTCACGAGCGTTGTCAGATCCGGCCTCATGCTTCCAAACCCATTGCCCGTGGTGTTATAAGGACTACGGCAATTCGCCAAAGAGAACGAAAATGGTACAACTGAACTATTATCATACGCTGAAACCGAAAGCAATACTTCAGATATGTTGAAGGGAGAGTCTCGGACCCAATGCCCTCCTCTAGACGCGCTGTTGCTGTCTACTTCACAAGGACCAGACTGTGTATGGCCCTCCAGACCTGTGCAGCGGATACGGCGGATGAAAGGAGCGCCGGTGTTGTGGCGATAACTGTAGTTGATGTCAAATGTTGAAGTACGCCTGGCGCTTCATTGCTCCACGCCACAGTAAACAATGCAAGCATGAAGATGATGAACGACCTGTCACGAGAGTCAGCCCGAGAGAGCGCGAAGAGCAAGACCACTAACCAGGCAGACGATGACACCGGCAACGCTACCGCAGGCCAGAACTCGGTATCCTGGATGTGTAGAGGAGAGCTGGCGTGCGATGCCTGTATAATGGAGAGGGTCGCGACGCATAAACAACCGTGACGATACGGAGCGGAGATAGATGGCAACATACCTCGACCCACCGCCTCGCCGTCCGAGGAGACGATATTGCATCCGTGAATGTGAGATACATCGCGCACGAGATCAGGCTTGTCATCGAAAATATGCACGCGGATATGACCAGCACGCGTGCAACAGAGTTGTTTACGATGGGCTCGATTTGGAGCAACGTAAGACATCCTCTGCGACGGAATTCAACGTTGCGGCATTAGAGCGTCCCTCGCAGTGACTCCATAAAACTCACGAAGAAAGGATCGCTGATGCAAAGCCTGCAAGCTTCCAGAACCGCACGACAACTTGGAGGGCCTCGCTCCATGTGGCCGAGTACTCGTTTGGCGCCAGGTCGCCATGGTAGCAGAGCCTCTCGCGAAAGAAGACGTGGAATCCGATTGATAAGAATGCATAAAGGTAATGAAGGAGATGGAGGGACAGAAAACGCCAGGCGTAAAGGAATCTAATGTTCGTGGGGCGAATCAGTGTATTGATGATGGTGGTGATGATGGTGAGGACGGAAGGACGATTACCGATGGTGTGAATCTGCGTCACTCCCCGAGCCCGATCCGGTGGGACCGATGTCCCCCTCCGGGCTCAATCGAATCGCCGGCACGACTGGGTGTTGGGATGCAGGAGCAGCCATGTCCTCGACGGGCAGCATGATGTTGAGAGCTGTTTGGAGGGCTAAAGTTGAAGCTTGAAGAACGAAGGAGGTGGGCAGGAAGGAATGTCTAACAAACCTGAGCCCCACTGTGCCTTTATACCATACCTAAGTACCTCCACAATCCACGGAGAACAAGCGACTTATGTCCCACATTCCCATAATATCCCCGGATCAGAGGATTGGATTTGATCGGAGCGTGCACAGTCCGATTACAACATGACAGAGCCTCCTCGTTCCGGCAACGGAACTGGTTTTGAGAGCCTTTTAAGTCCACCTTATTCCAGTTCCGTGCTGCTCGTGTAAGAAAGGTGTGCTGCTAGTAACAAGTCCCCTAATATGCTGCTTCTTCATCCTCGAATGGTTATATTGGATACCCCACGGAGAGAGAGCGGGTGATTATTGTACGAGATGTTCTGTTATCCTTGGTTCAGGTTTCCAGATGCTTCAATTAAACTTCCATCCTATTCTACGAATACCCCCCTTGAAGACGCCGTTTTACAGTATAAACTTCTGCATGCCACTGGTATTACTTGGTAGGCAACGAAGTCGACTATAGATGCCCCGCTTCCTCAGAAAGCATAGTAGTCGTTTAAGTGCGACTATCAGCTTCCTGTATTCCCCATTGTGCACCCCAAATCCATTTGATTTCGCACTGCCTTCCTGTTTGTCTTTACATGATCTTTTTGGTATTCTCTGTGGTGGAAACATTCTCCGGGCCGAGAGTCCGACCAGCGTCTAAAATGAACCGTCTACACTTGTTCTTAAGAACAACATCGCCGAACGCCGCTCGTCTGAGAGAGTCGCAATCAAATATAAATTTAGCAGATCGATAACAGAAAAGACGTTATGTTGATAATGTACAATATCAAATCAGATAGCTATCGCCTCAGCAAACAAAGCATGGATGTGATGATGTTCCAAGGATGCGGCCATGAGGTTTTGCATCTTTCAGTAAAGGAGAAGTTTACTAGCGGCTCGCAAGAGCTGCACAACAGAGACGAGTTGTGCAAGTGAGATCCAAATTCGTCTCACAACGACGCACGAAGTCGAATCAGAGAGGGGATCATCATAGTCCCAACCCAAGACCTATACCATAGCTGTATACTAAGCCAGACCAGGTACCTATCGGATCGCCAATGTTAGCACGAGTCAGAGAGAAGTCCTGCGAGACTCGCCAGGCAATGGATAAGAATGGGAGGACGATGGCACCCAGCAAATGAGGCTTGATAAGAAGCCGATAAGTGAGCAAATGGCACCGAGATTCCGAAAGTCGAGCAATTCTATTGCCTAGGACCGGATCGATCTGTAACAGGGCGAGGCATCCGCTGAAGGTATAATCAGAGACTATTTGTGAACGAACGATCCAAGTACTCACGCAAGCATCCCCCAGCGGCAACACTGGTGTACTTCCATGCGCGGAAGAGTCCTTTGCTCGCATCTTTCCATTCTTGAGATTCGACAATGCAGTCCCCTGTACCAACAGGCTGCGAGTGAATAATGGGCAAGGGGTAACGTTCTTCGACGTGACCATAGCGCCGGTAGCCGATCGCCTGTGCCATTCCAAGTGTGAAAAGGCATTGGAAGGATGAGAACAACTTCAACAAGTTGTCGAGCGTAGAACACCATCTAAAAACTGTTCATCAACTGAGAATTGTTGGTACATATATGATCATATGCACTGACTGGTCATGTACAGCCGGGGGGACGGATAGTCATGGCGGTTAAACCTGTCTCAGTACTAGGTAGCTGGTTGAACGTTCGCTGATTGCTGATCAGCTATAGGGGGTCCTGTATTCCCTCTGGTCGGCTCAATGCGTTCTTCTCTCGACATTTTCCGTCGTAGTTTGACGGGTGAAGGAAGAGAAGGCGATTGCAGATCTCGGGCTGCTCAGAGACCACAAAGCTCTAGCTATACCCTTGCCAAGATAATGTTCATGCTGCGCGCCAATTCTGTCCTCTCATCGGCTCAATGGGGCAATTTTCACGAGGATAGGATTCTAGGTAGTATTCGGTGTTAGATTCTGGAGTTGCAGCGCCTTGGATATCCTCGGTGGTCATGTTGGGGGGGAACTTGAGGACCAGGAGGTCCGATAGAGGTACCCATGGTACTTATGTCTCGCCAGCTGAATCGGAACACCGCTTTCTGGATGTCAGTTAGCGAGGGTTGGCGAGGGTGCAAGGAGGAGGGACGGATATGGTGGAAGAATCCATACCTGATACACCTCGTGTACTCATCTGGTCTTGTTTTTTTTTTAACGCGAGTCCTCTGCCGAGGCCGGAAGAAGAGTCCAGGAAGAGAACTTTCTGGAGGAAGTAGCGTAGCGGTCATGAATGTGAGTGAAAGTATGGGTCAGAAGAACTGACGATAAAAGGGGCTTTGCCGCGCAGTCAATCAGCACGTACTTGCGGGATTCGGAGGCAAATTAGGACTGGTATTCGGGTATAGAGGAGACACATACACAGGCCAGAACTATCACTGGTCCTTGCCATCATCCAACATCCACAAAGATGCACTACTTCCACTTCTCTTCCTCCTCCGCCTTGATACCCTTCTGAATGAGCTGCGATACGCGCAAGCCCATGTCGACAGCCATCATGAACGGTATCACGAAGAATGGCACATAGCTTGAGAGCAGCAGCAGACGTTGCTCAAAGGATACGGAGGCTACTCCTTGTGCGAGCGTGTGCGCGGTTGTTTCGGGGGTGATAAGGACAACGGCGAGGCACGCAAGAGTGGTCGTTGCTGAGGATGCTCCGTAGAGCGCGAGTAGGGGGTAGATTTTACCGGAGCCTGGATCACTTGTTGCAGTGGGGTGACTTTAAGAGAAGGATGTGCATACCATGGTATAGCCCCCGAAGTCCAATTACGAATACCGGGATCTGGAATACGCTAAATTGAAGATGAGAATGCGTTAGGAGGTCCGGCCTTTCCGAGACTGGAGGAAGACGTACGCTTCCAAGACCAAAAATGTCTTGAACCATATGAGGTGGGTGCTGTCCCCGAAGGCTTCGAACACGCCTCCTATGAGCGGGTCTCTTGACATGAAAATGTACGCGTCAATCGCGCTGCGTAGGAGACCTGGCACGAGCGCAGGCGGGTAGATATATTGCAGGTCGATCATGAGCGAGGCAGGGAGGTGTATCTGAGAATGAAATTGAGAGATCACGTTGCAAGACGACATTAGGACCACTCACTGCAAAGAAAATGAAGTAAACCAAATCAAGAGGGCGCGCGCTCAGTGGAAGAACTGCCTCGCGCTTGTATGACTGTTTTTCGTAGTTGACAAGCATCGTGCTCAAACTCGGGCTGTCAGAGGAAGTCGATTCTCGGAGGTTGGCGACGGTCCAATTGCGATGCTTTTTTGTGGCAGTTTATAGACAAGCAGTGATGCTGCGAAACAAGGATGGTCGTAGTTGGGAACACGTCAATGGACCTCGTACGAGAGGTGGAGGGTGCCAAGCCGCCGCAGAACGCGTCTTGCTATTTTTATGAGCCCCGTGTGAAAAACTGGATAAGATTTGCGACAAGGTTACTGCACCATTGACGTTTGCCTCCACACGAATGCCCTCGTACCCATATTCACACCTCTTCGTCCGGCCAACGCGGACGGTGGCCACCGCAGGCCCGCATATACAGGTCCTCGACACCTCGTATGTACTTGCGACCCACCAGGCCTTCAAGTTCTAATCTGCTGTCTGCCTGCTAGGTCAGGAGAAGTTCTTTTCTCCACAGCCACCCTGCCAGAAGAGCTGCTGGCCGCAGTGGTCAAGTCAGGTCCCGTACGGTGCGCAGCTGTTGATCGCGAATTCAAGTACATCCTCACTTCTGGAGAGGACAAGATCTTGAAGGTCTGGGAAGCGGATGGACTAAAGCTTCTGAGTGGAAGGTGAGTCTGTCTTTGATTCAGATGTCTTGATGTTAACACGTAGAGTGGGTTTAGAGAACTCCCGAAGAAACCAACAGCAGTTGCCTTCACATCCGACGCACAGACCATTCTCGTATCTGACAAGTTTGGGGATGTCTTCAGCTATCCATTTACATACATCCCGACACCTGCCACAAAACAGAAGCAAGGAAGAGACGCGCTTGCATCGCATGAGAACCCTTCCGGCGGCCAGCTCCTCCTGGGGCACGCGTCACCCCTAAATGCATTCATCTTGACGGAAGACGAAAAGTACATTCTCACCGCCGACCGCGACGAGCATATACGAGTGAGCTGGTACCCGAAAGGGTATAACATCGAGAGATATTGTCTAGGGCACCTGAAGTGAGCCTTTCTCATTTTAAAAAGTGATGTACCGACGAGTAGAGACGCTAATGTTTCTGTTATGAGTTAGGTTCGTCACTGTGATCCACATCCCAACGTCCGACCCAGCCTCGCTTATCTCAGGCGGAGGCGACCCAGTCATCAAGATATGGGATTGGATGCGGGGGAAGACGAAGCATGAGCTCAGGATCTGGGAGGCAGTGGAGCCATTTGTAGCGGTGAAGGCGCTTAAGAGGAAACGCGGTTGGGGGGAAGATGGCGATGGCGATGAAGCTCAAGAAGGTTCTAAGAAGAAGAGCAGAGGGAAGAAAGGCAAAGGGAAGGCAAAGGAGCAGGAGGAAGAAGACCAGGTGCAGGAGGGGGGAGAGAGAGAAGCTACTGGAACGCCTGCCCGCGAGATGGAGTCTATAGAGGAGGCAAAACCAGAGAAGATTCTTGTGATGCGGAGAATCAGGAGCCTAGATGCCGATGGAGAGACCTTCATTCTCTTCTCTGCTGTCGGGTGGGTCCACTGCCTCTACTTTCGCTTTCTGTAAAGTTATTGACAACGCTTCTAGGACCACGGCAATATTTTGTTTCCCATTTAGGACGGATGTCGCGCCCACGGATGTCAGACAATTCGACTTTGGGCGTCCGGTGTTGGATTTCTACGTTGTGGAGGATGGATCTATCTTTGTTAGTTTAGATGGAGAGTGGAGGAACCAGGAGGCGGAAGCAGAGGTTGGATCTTTGGTCTTACCTATGGTAAAGGTTCTGAGAGTATCGTCTGGAAACGTAAGCTTCTACAACTCGTCCATCAGTGGCAACTTATTAATGCTGAAGTACAGTTATCGGAAGACTCGGAGAGCAAGAAAGCCCTGGTCGCCTCGTTAAACTCGAGATCTTTACTTCCAGGTCAGAATTTCCAGTGTCCATGCACCATATTCCATCTGACCTTCTGAACCCATCCACCACCCAGCAACTCATGATGACCTAAAAAGGTTCGACCTCTACGGCGACCTTACCTCTATGCCGAAGTACCACTCCCAATCCCTGCCCGATGCCGACCAGCCAGAACCAGAAGGATCAGAGGCGTCTGCTCCGATGGTCCCGATCGGCGCCCCAGAACTGTCCTCGTCGAAGAGTGCCCCGAAGGGTGCAGGAAGGACGGAGTTGAGTAAGAAGGAGATAGGGCGGATGAAGACGAAGAACGCCGTCAAGGCGAAGGCGAAGGAATTGGAGGCAGACGGTGTGGGTGTGGCGAGAAAGGCGGCGTCGGAGAGTGGTGGAGACGAGCCGGAGACGAAGAGGGTGAAGGCGGATGAAGGTGGGAAGGTGGAGGACGTAGTGATGGATGAAGCTTGAAGCTTGAAGTTGAAAACGTTGAATGATCGCGAGGATTTGTCGCATGGTTTCTCCCCCGTCGTCGGCTATAGGTGCCCTATTAGCGAGAACAAAAATTGCATCCCATGCTCGTCGACTCGTCGCGTCAAAGTTGACCAGCGCGACGATCGATAACCCCTGTCCACTCGATCCTCGACGCGTTATTTGGCAAACTCATCTGGCACAAATAACGCGCTTGAAATAGGCTTGAAGTCGTCAGGCACAACTCAGCAGGCCCTGCATTCGAAACCTTGAATTTGGAGCAATATCGACAGGGAGGAGTATCACTTGATTCTTGTATGATGATAGACATGCCCCATTTTTTGGTCTGAAAAGAGACCTCTACTCAACAGATTGAAATTCGAATCACTGCATTTTCTCCTGGCATCATTGGCGAACGCTCAGCTGACAGAGCTGGGAGAGGCGAAAAGGCCAAGACGTTTGGCGACGTGCGTCGTACGGTACAGTGCAAAGCATAGCCGGAAAACGGAACAGTTGGCGTCCTGTGAATATGGACGATATTTCCGAGAAAGCAAGGGTGAACTGAGTCCTTGAGATCGTCGTCTTGAGCTGTCCTTCGATTCGTTTCCTCTCTGCGACGAATACTACTAAGAAACCGACCTGAAATTTGAAAACCAGAAGAGAGCCAGAAAACGCAGGCAATATGGAAAGTCTAGGTCGTCTTTGGGCCTTCCAACTGCAGTGCGCCTGTCAGACATCGAGGCAAAGCGAACGTGCCGCTGATGTCGCATGATCACAGCCGCCTAGAAGAGGTGCAGTGAGGCAGATAAGGACCGGAAAGAGATGCGGATGGGCATACCTGGGGAGGCGTCTTTTTATCGTGAGGAAGGGGTTGTCAGCTCCTGTTAGTTTACGAAGTGGATAAGAATAAGTAGCCCGACGGTGGGTGCTGTGATCAAAGTGAACTGCGTTGACTTGGAATCTGCGGTTGGCGTTGTTGTCGCTGGAGTCAAGTGACCATCAACATAACTTTCCTCCCGCCATCATCATCGACATCGGGGTCCGCCCTACCTCCACGATGGATAGACCCATGGGCCCCCGCCAGCCGCCCCCAGACAAGCGCCATGCCGCCTACGAGTCCATCTTTGGTCGCCCAACGGCAACGCATCAGCAGCAGCAACCATTCCCACCCAACAACTATCCCCAGTACCTACCGCCAGGCCCATCCTACCAATATCCTCAGCAATTTCATGCAAATTCAGAGAGGCGTACCTCCTATGGCACCATTCCCAACCCAGGTTACGCCCCAAACCCCTACCCCACACCGCCGTCGCAGGGCCCACCGTCGAATATGCGTCAATCATACTACCCACCGCCCCAGCCCTCCTATAACCCCCACACGTCCTACCCGCCCTACGTACCGCCTTATCAAGGCTACTCGGGTACGCTCACCCCTCCCCAAAATCCAGCATTGGGTCGTGCCAGATCCATCAACAGCAACAACAGCTCAGATTACTACGGAGGCCAACCCATCAACGACCAACAACCGAATGGCGGGTACGATGCTCCACGTTATCCAGGACTTACACCTGCCCAGGCATATCAAGCCCAGGTCTATGGCGGCAGTAGCCCCCATTCACAGCCAGCCGGTCCGCGAGATTATCCACCCAGAGTTTCCCCAGCTCCTTCAGATCGCCCTCCCAAGCACAACGGAGCTCCGAACCAATTGCAGGAACCTCCCAGACTCGGGATAAGTCTCGAGCACGATGATGGCCGATTGGGAATCGATTTCGTGAGCAACAGCACCTCCAGCGATCTCGGGACGGATGAGAGTAGCAGCGAGCTTCCATGGGCCCAGTCGGAGCCATCTAGTACGTCTCTCGGTTGTTTCTTACCTTACCGTTTTCCACGGCTTTATGCTTATTGCTGCACTTGATTAGTTCCAAATCCTCCGAAAACGCCATCTCGCCAGCATCTTCGACAACCGTCCAGCTCACAGTCGAGCGTATGTGTTAGTTGTGTTGCTTCGTGATGCCATTCTAATCTCTTTATAGCCCTTCCCACCTCTGCATGTGGACACTACGCGCTCCGCGCTCACAAGCTCTCCTCCTTCATCGGCCGCAGATCACTCATCTATCTCCGCAACGTTGGTCGACAACACCCACAACCCAGCCCGACGCTCATCTGACTCGGCACGAACAATGCCGAAGTTTCCTCCCAATAACCCCACCACCCGCCAACGTACCTCTCAGGACCGATCCATGTCCATGTCCGCTGCCACAAACTCAATGCGACCCATGGTTGACCCAAAACGAGCTTCAAGACCAAATGCCTCTTCCTTGCTCGAGGGCAGAGTCTCGCCAACGTCAATCCGAACTCCTGTACGCAAGACCCCCATCGTATATCCCGCTCTCCTTTCTCGTGTGGCGCAGGCGTTCCGCGAGCGGATACCCATCACTGACCGTGTCAAGGACGGGCTGACGTACAAGGACGCCTTCGACGGACGGGAGGCGGTCGATAAGATCGCCTACATCATCAAGACGACCGATCGGAACCTGGCCTTGCTGCTCGGTCGTGCACTTGATGCACAGAAATATTTCCATGATGTCACGTATGACCACCGATTACGGGACAGCGCAAACGAGTTGTATCAATTCCGGACGAAATTGCCTAGTCCATTTGTTAGTGGAGAACTAGGGGAGCATGCGACAACCAGCAATACGTTGTTAAATGGGAACCACCTGAACCTTCGGGTACGTCGATTTCCTATACCCTTTAGATGCCTCTCATGCTGCACTAGGGTGATAACGGTTCGCCATCGCCGTCTCCCGCATTCCCTCCATCACGGCCTCGGAGTGCCTCCGTTGTGTCTGATGAAGTGCCTCTACCCTCTGGAGTGTTCACACTCCTAACCGACTGCTATTCACCGACATGCTCGCGAGATCAACTGTGTTACAGCATAGCATGTCCAAGAAGGTTAGAGCAGCAGGCACGCCTGAACATGAAACCCCAGCCTGGGCTGTCGAAGCAGATCAGCAAAGACAGTCTGAATGACCTTCCCGTGAGCCTTTGTGTCTTTCGAGAACTCAGCTGTCACGTTGTTGATGATTTACTTTTACTGATGTCAGGATGACGGCACGCTCTGGATCCACTCCGTCCCGCAGGAAATCGTCAACAGCGTATCTGACCAGGAGAAGAAGCGGCAGGAGGCGATAAACGAGGTCATTTACACGGAGCGGGACTTTGTCAGGGACATGGAGTACCTCCGGGACGTCTGGATCAACAGGCTCAAGGACGAGGACATCATTCCTCCCGCGAGGCGGACAGACTTCCTAGCCCAGGTGTTCTGGAACATACACGACATCATCGCGGTGAACACGCGCCTGAGGGACGCTCTGAACAAGAGGCAGAAGTCGTATGCGGTGGTAGATCGGATCGGGGATATTCTGTTGGAGGTCGTGCCCCACTTTGGACCCTTCGTGTCATATGGCGCACATCAGCTGTATGGGAAGTACGAGTTTGAGAAGGAGAAGAACTCCAACGCTGCGTTTGCTCAGTTCGTTGAGGTGCGTCTCGGATAGTTCTCTAGCCGTGTGGCATAGATTTTCTGACGGTGTTCCTCGGTGTTCAGACAACTGAACGGCTACCAGAGTCAAGAAAGCTGGAACTCAATGCCTATCTGACGAAGCCGACGACGCGCCTGGCGAGATATCCTCTCCTGCTTGAGGCCGTTCTTAAACACACGCCCAATGATAGCACAGATAAGACGATGCTTCCGCAGGTCATCAGCATTGTCCGAGATTTCTTGGGCAAGGTCAATACAGAGTCTGGGAAGACCGAGAACAGATTCAACTTGCTGCAACTTGATCAGCAATTGGTGTTTAAACCTGGAGAGGAAGTGGTTCGTGATTTCTTTTTTACCTCGTTCTCACTGGTGCTTAAAAGTCAATTTGGGCGGTGTTATTTTTATAGAACCTCCGCTTAACCGACGAAGGACGAGAGCTGGTGTACAAAGGTGCTCTCAACAAGCGCGATGGAGAGATTCAAGTGTATCTCTTCGACCACGCGATTCTGTTCACGAAGCTGGTGAAAACGAAGCAACATGAACAGTACAAAGTCTATCGACGAGTGAGTCTCCTCTTTCCCATACACCCGTATCCCCCTGAAATGGGCATTCATTTCCCTCAGCCAATCCCACTCGAGCTCCTCCTAATCACCGGCCCTCCTGAGGAGATCAACGGCACCGTACGCTCCCAGCAACGCAAGGCCGGTGCGCCCGGAAGCGTGGTTGGGCCTGTGACGATCAAGAGCGATAACAAGGGGCAGCACTGGATCAACTTCATCCATTTGGGACGGAAGCACTATCAGATGATGCTCTGGGCGAACACGTTGATGAGCCAGAAGAAGTGGCTCGAGGCGGTATTGAAGCAGCAGGCGGCGATGAGGGAACGAAGCATGGTGTTTGACACTGTGACGCTCAGCGAGGGGTTCTTTGCGGGCCCGAATAAGGTTCGGTGTGCGGCACCGTATAGTGAGTGTTAAGTCTATTTTTGGTTTTGTGCAGTGTTAATTTGTGGTGACCTTTTTCTTTTTCTTTTGCTGTAAAGGTGGCGGGAGGAGAGTGGTGTATGGGACGGATGATGGAGTTTATCTGTCTGACCTACGAGAGCCTCGGCAGGAACCTGTCAAGGTTCTAGCTCTTCTCGAAGTGCTGCAGGTAGATGTTCTCGAGGACTACCAGCTTCTCATCGTGCTTTCTGGTATGTTCTTCCCATGTCAGGAGTATTTGAGAATCTAATCTGGACGTCCTGTAGAGCGTCAAGTGATTACCTTCCCGCTCGACGCGCTTGACCCTCTGGATCCCATGGCGGGCCTCAAGCGGGCGAAACGGATATCTTCGCATACGTCGTTCTTCAAGGCCGGTTTCTGCCTAGGCCGTGTGCTCGTCTGCATCGTCAAGTCCAGCCAGCTGTCGAGCACGTTTAAGACGCTGGAGCCAATCGACCAGAACATCCGTGGGCGGGCGAAACCGACGTTCAAGAAGCTGCTGCAGGGTGGAAACGACACGCTCAAAATGTTCAGAGTGAGTTCTTGCTACCTCGTTCTAGCCCACTTCGGACGGCCTTGTATGGCCGCGAAATCGCGTTCGTTTACTGATCCTTGCTGCCGAACAGGAATTCTACATCCCAGTCGAGTCAACGTCTATCCACTACCTGAAGACGAAGCTGTGTGTAGGGTGTTCTCGAGGGTTTGAGATCGTCGACCTGGAGACTCTAGATACGCAGGGCCTGCTCGATCCCAATGATGAGTCGCTTGAGTTCGTGAGAAAGCGGGAGAATCTTCGCCCAATGGCCATTTATCGGATCCATAACGAATTCCTTCTTTGCTACGATGGTGATTTTCTACTTGGGCTCATTTTGTTCTTTGGAGGCATTTGCTGACATGTTTTTGTGCCGGCAGAGTTCGCGTTTTACGTTAACAAGAACGGGCGGAGGTCGAGGACCCAGTTTATGGTGCATTGGGAAGGCAACCCGACGGGTTTCGGTGCGTTGCCAGAGTGAATTCTCGAATTCGTAGACACTAAGGAGTGGGTTCTTTTTCTTCTAGCGCTGCATGAGCCATACGTGCTAGCCTTCGAGCCGTCGTTTGTGGAGATTCGGCATATCGAAACGGGGCTAATGTCGCAGGTCATCCAAGGCTCGAATATGCAGCTGCTGTTTGCCGACACTCCACCGTCGGTGACGAATTCCGCGACGCCGCATTATCCGAACGCGTACCAGCAGGGATACCCCTATGGGCACCCGCCGACGCACGACCATTACCAGCGGCACCCGCAGGGGGTGGGACGGGACGAGATCCTGATTGTTTCCGACGATCGGGTGCTTGCGCTGCGACCGCGGGCAGGACTGCTGGTTCATCATGGGCAACAGAGATACATGGCAGACAACGCATCGATGGCGTCGATACCCCGATAGCATTATACCGGATGGCATTTGGGCATTATTTTGCTTGATAATGCTCTCCTGGATTCGTCGTATTTTACTCTTTCGTTATTCTTTTTGGCCACACCTTTTTTATTTTACACTGTCGGTGTTGTTGTTTGACTAGCATCTTCGAAGTTGTTTCGTTGCGAGTGGTATGACTTGTTAGTCAGGACTCAGGAGTGACACACGCACCGGGGCCAGCGTGGGAGAATGAAAAATTCTTGGCGTGTGATGGCAGGAAATGAAAAGGGAGGACCAAGTCGAGGCTGTTGACTTTTCTTTCCGCTCTCTCTCCAGTTTCCTGCGCGCTGCCGCCCCCACACCCTCGTTTGCACCAACCGTCATGAAACTTCACGCAGTCGCTCTCTTCTCCGCACTACAGCTCACCGCTATCAACGCCGAGCGCCTAAACCCAAGGCATGCACATCTCAAGCGCCAGGTCGACCCAAGCCCAAGCCCTTCTGCTCCGACCACGCCTACTCCAGCTCTTCCTCCTCCTCCTGCCACGACTCCGGCAGCTCCGGCGCTGCCTTCTCCGGACACCACCACCCCCGCACAGGCCACACCGCCCGTCGTGAACCCAGTCGACCCAGTCACCCCGCCCGTCTCAAGCTCGACCTCGACAGGACCTCCGCCCTTGGATACTGGCACCACTATCCCACCTCTCGCGAGTATCAGCCTCGGCATGGCCACCAAGGCGCCATTGCCAGCCACGACCACCTACCTGCCCGGCGCAACCCCGCCCCTCTCAGGAGCACCCGTCCTCCCGAGCCCGCGTACGTCCCGCCGTCCAGTTATCGCATTTAGATTTCAGCGCTAACGCATTCCGTCATACAGTCGTTCTTGGCACTTGGCCCGCCCAGGACAAGGTTCCCGAAACCGGTATGTCGTTATGTTTTTTCTTGGTGTTCGCGTGGCAGTATATTTAGCACTTCGGTTCCCTCGTTCTGTGAATAGACTCGGCGGAGGTGCAGGCGTGGATGAAGGAGCTCGATGGGTACGATATTCCCGACCTCAACCCCACCGTCGATGGCTCCTGCGGTGGCGACCCCGCTGCTGCTGCTGACGCTGCCAACCGTGGTTGGTGGACGTGTGGTGGCCACACCCGCGATACTGGTATGTTTTTTTCGACACTCCGCTCGACCTCCATTGCTTATTCCTGTCTACAGATATTGTTGCTTGCCCTGATAAGCTTACCTGGGGTGTCAGGTAAAAACTGGTGATCATTCCATGATTTGATGTTGACTTTGTTGGTCACAGCTTTGACGATGGCCCCTCTCCTTACAGTAAGCGCTTTCACACATTCATTGCGTCTATTACTCACAAACTCACTCTAATAGCTCGAGTTCTGCTTAATTACCTCGAAGAGAAGGACATTTCCGCCACTTTCTTTGTCGTCGGTTCTCGTGTCATCGAACGTCCTGCTCTTTTGATCGAGGAGTACATGGCTGGTCATGAGATCAGTGTCCACACCTGGTCGCACAGGGTATGTCCATCGGTTCTCAGTTTTTGCGAAGACTAATGTCCTTGGTCGTAGTCTCTGACCACCCTCACCAATGAGCAAATTGTGGCTGAGCTGGGCTGGACTCGCAAAGCCATCAAGACCGTTCTTGGAGTCACTCCTACCACCATGCGTCCTCCTTACGGTGATATCGATGACCGCGTACGTGCCATTTCCCTTGCCATGGGCATGGTTCCTATTATGTGGACGCGCACTCCCGACGGTGGCAAGTTCGACACCAACGGTGCGTTCTTACACCATCTATTTTTTGTCATCCCGTTCTGATCCCGAGTTATGTAACGTAGACTGGAGAGTCGCTGGTGGAATCGTCAACGGAACGGAGTCCTTCAGCACCTTTGAGCAGATCCTTTCCAATGCCACTGCGCTCGACACCGGCTTCATCGTCCTCCAACACGACCTATTCGAGATCACCGTCGACCTCGCGGTTGGCTACACCCTCGACTACGCGCTCAACCACCAGCCCAGGTTTAACGTAAGTCCTCCTCCTCCCAAACCATGCTTATGTGCGCCTTTTTAACCGTCGTTTTGGATTGGTTAGTTGAAAGCCATCGGAGAATGCCAAGGCTTCCCAACCGGCGACCTCTACCTCGAGACGAACCAAAATACAACTTTCCCGTACCCCAACACGACCTCGGCCGGCATCGACACTGACGGCGACGGGACTGTCGACACCAAGTCGGGCGACGGTGGCTCGACGGCCAGCAGCAACACTACGACTGGCGCGGGCTTCGTCAATACCGCCCCGGTCCTAGCGTCATTCGTGTTGGTTGGCGCGGCGCTGATTAGTTCCTTGCTTTGAGTCTTTCGTTTCTTTTCTTGATAATCTGGTTACGCCTTTGTCCTACGCCAAATCGATCCTTTTGGTATAATTTAATTGGCTCACCCCTCATGATCATGTATTTTTATGCCTCCCCCCCACTTCCGTGGCTTGCAGCAGTGCTTGCGCTTCCGTAGACACGCATATATTTACACATTCATGATGCCTTTTATTTTAGGATTTAGACCCGCAGCAGATTTCGCACTTGGACTCTCTTGCAGGACTTTTGAGCGCTCGTCAATATACTTAGCTAGCACACACACACACACATCAGTATCAGTATGGTATGGAACGTTCGGATTGATCGTCGATTATCCATCTACTTAGTACAAATACATAAGTAATCCATTTTTTCATTTATCTGATGAGATGTGATTCGCCAGGCTGCTAAGTTCCGAGAGCTTATTTTCTTCTTCTCTTTTGCTGCTCTTTGAGGCGAATCAGGCTTAAGCGAAAGTGTACCAACCATGGGGAGGTCCCTGATTGCGGAGTAGAGGTGGCCATCACCCGGCATCAGCCAGCTAGCCGTGGCTGAATTTTCATTTTTGGCCACAGCCTGCCTAAACTTTTTTTAAGAAAAAATCAACAATTTATATAGCGGTTCTCCTATTTAATTTTTTGAGGATTTATGAAGCAGTGCACAAATGCAGTGCGGACTGCGCAGAACTATTTTTTATGAATATCAGGGAGTGCGTGCTGAGGCGCGCTGCCTCCCACCCCTATCGCATCGCGATATCGTGGCAGGGAGCGCCAATTAAGCGCTTATGACGAGCATGAATTACAACTGGTTTTATTGACCATCTGCACCGCGTCAACCCTGCAGTCCGACGTCCGATAAGCTACGTCCAAGGAACGAGCTTCGAAACAGAATTCAAATACCTGCACAGCTGTTAGGGCACGCGCCCAGGAATTACTATATGCTCCGCTAAATTCTCGACCTAGATTTGGGAAGGAGAATTCTGTGGATGCCATAATTGCTTATGGATCTCAGTGATCAAGTCCGATAGGCTTTAGGATAACTGGCATCGCCGTCGACACCTGGGACCGGCGGCACCGTTTCTGGTAGAAAGATTAACGTTGGAGAGGCGACGGAGAACTTGGCTTATCGTTTTTTGCATCTCGGCCTGAGAAGTCAGGTAAATCGGTTTCTAAACATGTTGCGGGCAATGGTGTGAAGTTGTCATGGACGTGTCGATGTCGCTTCCCTAGCGTTTTTAGCTGGTCCAGGTACGCGCCAAGAAATGTGAGAACTTGCGTCCCAGGGACTGGCCCAGTCGACACGGGCATTGTGAACCTAAAAGAGAATAAATTAGAGCTGGGCAAGAGGATCCCAGAGACCACTTTAATGTAACGCCTGATTGTTACGAAGTCTGAAGGAGACGGTTAAGGTGACACGTACCCCACTTCCACCAGAAATGGCACATAAAGCTCTGTCTTCGTTGCTTGGGAGCGAGGGTCTGAATTGGTGTGAAATGTTGAAGAGCTCGATGTGAACGCTTGTTTCAGTCCTTCTTTGGCCCCTTTGGAGGCCTGGCACAGCTCCATATCAGACGAGCAAGCGGTGCAAAATACATATTCGCATTCGATCTGCAATCATGGTCAGAATTTACCTGGTTCCGTAGTATCATGTTGCCACATTCGATCCTCACTCGCGACCCCAAATCCTGGACCACCAGCCATACTATCAGCAGGTATACCCCTCGAGACATGAAAATGCGTATTACGCAGCGCCGACGTTTGGGTTGAGTTTTCCAAGAGTTTTCAGGAAAGAAGCCTGGTCCGAGTCGAAGAGCTCCTCTGAACGCCACTCCAACCTCTGCTTTCGTCGACCAGCATGGACTTGGATGTCTGATTACACATGCACAGATTTTACGCGGAAGGGTAGGCCTAGCAAGCTGCAAGTTTGAGAGTTTTCAACGTGAGTCGGTTCGATCCTGTTCGATCGCCAACTTTAACCCCATTAGGATCCAACGCCAGTTGCCACAAGCGTTTATTCTCAACCGTACATAGGTGGGGACAGTCTCTCCGGGGCAATGGCTTCTCCCAACCCCAAAAATCTTTCCCGACTCCCCGTCGAAGTTGGACAATGCCCACCACAACTTCTGCCGACTCGGAGTCGCCCACAGGCGTAGAACCATTGGAACCATTGCGGCTTGTTCACTACCATGACACCTCAGCCGCTTCCGGTGATGCCACTGTCCTAGTGGTTGTAAATTTATGTGTGTGCTTCGGGTGAGTGCTGCACATTCGCCCCTCATCGATTAACTGATGACGCCTCGTTGGATAGATCCCACCACCTTTCAAAGGCACGCGTCGGTCACGCCCTCCACTGTCTCCTGACATTGGGTCTACACATATTGTGCTTCCGTAGCTTCCGCCAAAGCGACGAAGACCGCGAATTATTTGCCGCTATCACAACCCCTTCAAACCTTGAAGAGGGCTCTGTTGGGCGTCGGCAGTGGAAAGCGAAGGCAAAAGCCCTCCGCCGAGTCTGGGGGTACACAAGCATGGCGTCAGGCATTATTTTCGCGTTAGTTATTAATGGCATATTTTTGTTTCTCTCCGTTACTCAATAATCGCTGGCTGAATCTCTTGTCAGTGGTTGCCTCGCGTTATTGCAGCTGGACCCGATTCTCAACAATTTGGTTTCGCGTACATTTGCACTATCGGCCGTTATCTGCTCGCTGACAAGTGTGATTTCGGGCATGATGTATCTCATCTCAAAGCCCACCATTTTGGACGACACGTCGGCCAAGCGATGGTTAGATGTGAGTCTACTCAAATTTCCCCCTCTTCAGGTCATCCACCTAGCCTTTGGTTATCAGTCATCATCTGTTTCCTTGAGGTCGTGTCCTTCGGCGACCGAATTTTGGGCAGCACTCGCGCTGCCTTTGTCGTCCCTCGCGTGGTATTTGCCCATTATCATTCTATTCACCCTTCACACATTGTAACTTATGTACCTCCGGGTAGGTGTCTGGTATGGCTTACAGTATGTTTGTTTCTCTTCGGATGGTACCCCGGCACAGGTGAGGCAAATGATCAGTCGAGGACAAGCTTCGTCCTCCGTGGGATTTGGATTTCCACCTTGTTGGTCGTCTCGATCGGACGATTATGGCGATCTATGGTAGTACTACGTTGTACTGAGCACTTCTTCCCTTTCTTTTGTGCTTATTTTTGAAGTTTCCCGGATTGCTACATCCGTCTACTTACGTCTTTCTTGCCTTGTAAACACAATAGGTGAAATCGGCCCTGGGAATTTTCCTTTCACTCGTCGCCATTATTTATGTATGATCCCTGCTCTATGAGCATGTCGCGACATCAGATGACCCTTTTGCCGAAAATCCCTTGGTCCAAGATTCTCGCGAAAGATGGGCAAGGAGAAGGCGATCAAATAAGCGCCCGTACTGGATGCGGACGGGCTGTGATAGTTGAGCGTGGCAATTGCCTTTTACGAACGATTTCGCGCATGTATGTACGTAGGGCTCATTAAACTGTTCCTGGCGGTACAAAGGGAGAGGGGACGGGAGCTCATGCAGTGCTCTTGGTTCACCGAGATGAAGTCATTGACCGTTCAAGGTGTGTCGTAACTGACATGGACACTGTTCGGCTCTACTTTCTCCTCCGTCGCTTCTTCCTCTCTCCTCCTCTCTCCTCTTCGCCCAGCTCACGCTTGTTCCCATGCCTACCACTCTCCTCCGCATAGCCTCTCATCATCTTCAACGCCTTCTCCACTGCTTGCCTGCGTACTTTTTCTGGGACAAGGTCCCAATACAGCTCTTCCCGCTTTCCGAGCACCAGCTCCGGGGAGACGGGCATTGATTCTGCTTGATCCGGCGTGAGGGGTGTGCTGGCCGCATCTAGCCCGGATGACTGACTCGCGGCATGGGCAGTGAAGTGCTCGACGAGGTGTGAGGCGTGCAAGGGCGTGCTGAGGCGGATATAGCACTTAAAATAATGAGACAGGGTTAGTAACACATTGGAGCTACAGCAAGACAGAACGCACGGTGTCCATGTTCTTCGTATAGTCGATATAATCGAGCGCATTTTCGGAGCTACCACCCGTGACCGTCGGTTCAAGTTTCCAAGCTTTCGAGAAGAACGTCTTCAGCGTCGTCTTGTTCGTCTCCGGGTGGATGTTACGAACGAAGACGAGGCATCCAGAGGGGAATCGAGAGCCCAGATGGATGCTAGGTGATGACGGCGTCTGCACTGCCCGGTTGTGTTCCTCTGCCGTGGTCTGACAAGTCCGGATGACGGATGGCGGCACGTTGGGGTAATAGGCTTGGCTTTGGCTGGCCTTCTCTTCTGAAGAAGAATCAATAACGGGTCGGAAATTGACATCGTCAATGTTCCGTTCGTCGGTCTTGGTGACCCCCTTGGATACACTAGAACCATGCTGTTGTGCGGCCTCGATGACCTCGTCTTGGAATCGATTGAGTTCGTCGACGAGCTGTTGCCGGTAAAGGAGATACTCCGCTTTGAGCGCCTCCCAACGTGCCTTGCTTATAGCACGCAAACCAAATTGTCGTGCGGCTTTGCACTCAGCCTCACTCTGGTCATCGTCGACCTCCATCGGGATCTTCTCTTTGGGCGTTGACAGGGATTCCGGAGTAGTATCCCATGGCCAGTCCTTGAGAAGCCTCTCGACATCGGTTTTGTGGGATAGAATCACCAAAGCGAAGCCTTTGCACATTGGAATGTCGCCAGGCTGATCTTTGTGATGTGGCGGGAAGGAGATATGTTGGACTCTTGCTAGACGTGAATAGATGGTGTCGGATGGAGATAACAATAGGGCTGTGACAAGCTTGACAATTCCAGGGAGATTGCGATGCTGAAGCGGAATATTCTCCTACCAAAGCGACGTTAGCCTGCCACTTCAAAGACTTTTAAAAATGCTGAAGAAAAAAATATACCATATACACCGTAAGTCCATCCCACTCGGCCTTGGTATGCTCTATGCGGGTAGGATCCTTCCTCCGAGTTTCGTATCCAGTCCCAACCGAGGTCCACTTTCTCGAAAAGGTGGTTGAAGGTTCTGGCGAAACTATCAACCTTACATCAATATTCTCGGACGCATGGGTCCGCAATGCCTTCACATATGCAGTTTCTGGTTGATTTGAAAACATGGAAAAGGTCGAAACTAAACGAATGACAGGCGAATGGCGAAATAGATAAGCTAGAGGTATATCTAGTTCCAAAAGCGACAATGAATATAACAAACGGGGAAGATAAGAATCTAGGACGCACATCCATGAGATTCGTGTTGGGTTGCCTTCGCGCTTTCTCCATTCGTGATTCCCTCCGTATTGGCAACAGTGTTCACACCAGCTCCTGAGCTCCAGTCGATCTTGCGACGGAGATCCACGTCGGCCCATAGGGCGTAGTCGGAGAGCGCAAGAGAGACGAGAGCGACGAGGTCGAACGCGTCGAGCGTCTTTGACGCGCCAGCAGCAGTATCTGACGGTCTCGATGGCCTGATAGATGCGCCCGTTCGCGAAGCGTCCTTATCTGTGTCCTGTCTGTTCGTCTCTTTCACGTCCCGCCCTTGGTTCAAGTCATTCAAGTGAGACTCCCCTCTTGCGATCTGAGCTCCAGCGAGTGACGGTGCCGAAGGAATTGTGCTACTCACTTGGCTGTGTGGGTGTGCTGGAGATGACGTCGATGTGCTTGGGGGTGCACTAGTTTCGGCCTCTACTTTCTTCCGCTTCACGGAGCGTGGAACGAAGGCAAAGGTGGACATAAGATGTGCAGAACAAGGAATGCCGGGTGTGAAGACAACAACGGCACAGTGAAGAGCGCCGACAAACGTGAACAGAACTTAGAAGAGCGCGCACGGTGATGTGACCCCGTCTGGGAAAGGGGTGTCACATCACCTCGGTTGGCCAAGCCCTCTTCGCCAACGTCACGGTAAGGATCGTCCGCCCTCCAGCACAGAATCCTCCCTTTCGCTGCTCGTCCACGCGACATTCGAATGGATGCAGGTGTCGCACCAAACAGCGACGGGTGATCTCTGAATCGAGCGATTACAATAGAGAATCAACGGGTTGCACGGCCGTTTCGAGTATGTTGACGATCTCTCCGAGGACGCTTGGCGAATGATGCCGAGTTGAAGACTTGAGAAAGGCTCAAGAGCTTTAAATTTCTTCAAGGGTTGTCAAACCGAGTCTTTTCTTCATCTGTTGGTCTCCTCCCTCTGTTTTCCCCCTCACCCCTCCCATTCTCTTATTTAACCCTACACCGTCCAGGGCGTAGCGACCATGAAATTCGAAACAGTCGCACTCCTCTCTGCTCTGCAGATCTCGGTCGTACAGGCTCACAAAGCCGCCCGCCATGCTCATTTCAAACGCCAGGGTATGTAGGAGAAGCCTACTTACTTCGCGGCGCTGTTGCTGACCTGGATTTTGTCGCTCATTTCTCCCCCCGCCCATTTTCCTTTCCCGCTTGTTCATGCTTTGGCGGCTTCCATCACAATCTCCAGCCACGACGACGCCTCCACCATTGGATACCAGCACTGATATCCCACCCTTGGCCAGCATCAGCCTAGGAATGCCAACCAAGGTGCCTCCTGCCTTCACCGCAACCTTTGCTGGGGGCGCGACTGGGCCCATTTCAGGAGCACCCCCTCTTCCGACTTTGGGTCCTGGTATGTGGTCCATATCTCCTGTCGGGCGTGTCCGCTAACCCTCAACTCCTTTCCTTCCTTCCAGTTGCCTTGAGCGCGTGGCCCACTCAAGACAGGATCCCCCCCGTCGGTGAGTGCAATTCTCCTTTATTGGGATGAGATTGCTAATCTCAACATGATACAGACTCCCCCCAAGTCAGGGAATGGATGAAGGAATTGGAAGGCTTCCACATCCCTGATCTCCGACCAACCCTAGATTCGACTTGTGGAGGAGACCCAGAGGCCGCTGCAGATGCTGCGAACCGTGGGTGGTGGACGTGTGGTGGGCACACGCGGAGCTCTGGTGAGTGTTACAACCGAAACTCGGAATTGCAAGCTGAAGAATTCGATGTAGATATCGTCGCGTGCCCTAACAAGCTTGACTGGGGTTTGAGGTCCGAGCACTCGCATTTCTCGTTGTATTCTTAGAGGCTCATAAGATTATTAGCTTCGACGACGGTCCTTCTCCATACAGTAAGTAGCCCCGTTGCATTTTGGAGTAATCATCTGACTTTTTCAATAGCCCCGTTAGTCTCTTTGGAACACTTCCGGTAGTATTATCATCTGATCTCGGTATAGAAACCTCCTGGCGAAGCTCAAGGAGGAAGATATCCAAGCTACTTTCTTCGTCGTCGGATCTCGTGTCATCGAGCGCCCCAACATGCTCATCCAGGAGTACATGGATGGGCATGAAATCAGTATTCACACCTGGTCGCACAACGTCAGTCATTGCTCGTCCTTGCTCGTCCTCTTTGTGCTGAACTCGATGCAATAGGCCTTGACAACGTTGACGAACGAGCAAATTGTAGCCGAGTTGGGCTGGACTCGTCTGGCTATCCAAACCGTCCTTGGCGTTACCCCCATTACTATGCGTCCACCTAAGGGTGATATTGGTACGATATTCTTCAATTCTTAGTTTTGTTTGGTCTAATTGTCATCGTAGATGATCGTGTTCGTGCCATCTCGCTGGCGATGGGCTTGATTCCTATCCTCTGGACTTCGACTCCGGATGGCGGCAAGTTTGACTCCTTCGGTATGACCTTCTTTTGTTTGCTTCGACTTCTATTTCTTCGAGGACTTAGTATTGTCTTGTAGATTGGAGGGTTGCTGGTGGAGAAATCGAGGGACCTGAGTCTGTCGCTGCTTTTGAGACCATCATGGCCAATGGTACCAACTTCCCTACTGGGTACGACGGTGAACTACTTGTCGCATAAGTGATTGTTGCTGACCTTGTATCGCTTTAGATTCGTCACCCTCCAACACGATCTGTTCGAGATCACCGTCAATCTTGCTGTTGGATACACTTTGGATATGGCTGTCAACCACGAGCCCAAGTTTGACGTGAGCATCAGATATCTTTATGGGATACACGCTCCTAATCGTTTATCTGCACAGTTGCAACCCGTTGGCGAATGCATGGGCCTCGGGGACGGCGGTGTCTATCGCGAAACGACCAAAAACACCACTTTCCCGTATAGGAACAACACTGGCCTCGACATCAATGGGGATGGTACGCCTGATATTCTCGTCAACACTGGTACCGGCACTGGCGCTGGTTTCACGATCAGGGTTCCGTTCTGGAGCTCGTTGACTGTGGTCGCACTGGCTACTGCCAGCCTCTTCCTGTGATCGTAGTCAGGTATACCCAGTTCTCGCAACAGGACAGACTATTCTCGTAACTGGACTAGAGTATACTAGTCACTAGTACAGATATATTAGAACGTGGATAGTATGAGAACATCGTGTTTAATTATAAGGCGTCCGTCACGTCACTTTTCTTTGAAAGAGGACAGGCCGATGTTGACGTTGAACGTTGAGCTTTAAGCTCGAAGAGCGATAAGATTACCGGAAATAGCCGTCGTAAGACTAGCGATGACAGGGTCCACAAATGTCATGACAAGGGCCTACAGACGACACCACTTTGCCTCCCAACATCATCATGGCGTCCCTCATCACCCTCGTACGCAACAGTGCGCATCCCCTTGAATGCATACCACTGGCCCGATACTAAACGCACCCATCATTTCTAGAGTTCCTGGAAGCCATCCGATCCGTCAACCCACCCGGAAGGTGGAAGATCCTGGTCGTTGACGAATTCTCGCAGAAGCTGCTGGGCGCAGTTCTCAAGCAGTTTGATATCCTTGAGGAGAATGTCACTTGTGCGTCGCGAATATTGTAGATGTGAGGGGAAGCCATCGCTCATCTATCACCCCCACATCCCGCCAGTGATCGAATCAATTTCGAGCAACCGCGAGCCCCAACCCGACTTCGAGGCGATGTACCTGCTCATGCCCACGACGCAGAACGTGAACCGTATCATCAGAGACTTCACGAACCACAAACAGTATGCTGCCGCTCATCTGTTCTTCATGGAAGGTGCGTCGCGTGCTTGAACTCTGATTAGCGCATCCTGATGATACGCTTCAATCACCAGGTCTGCCGGAGCCACTGTTTGAGCGCTTGACGTCATCTCCCGCGGAACCTCATCTGCAGGCACTAAAAGAAGTGTTCCTGAACTTCAATGGTTTGTTGTGTGATTCCCTGAATCCTGTTTTTGTAGCTGATTGTTTGATATCAGCCGTCGAGGCGCAGACGTTCTCGCTACAGGAGCCGAGTTACTTCTTCAGCATGTACAGTCCACCTCGAACGGAAGCCGCATATAAACTTGCGCGTTTACGCCTGGAAGAGGATTTGCGCTTCGCTGCGAAAGCGGTAAGTGTTCCTTTCTACCTCACAGAAGACTTACTGAGCCTGTTAACAGATCTCAAATGTTTGCATCGCCCTTAATGAGTTCCCTTACATACGATATTATATGCCCTCCGGTCACCTTCCTCTGGGTCCGTTGAAACCTGTCGCCCAGAACAGACCTCCGCCACCATCAGAGGGAGCAAGCAGATGGCGCACGAACTTGGCACGGGGTGCGGAAGCACGAGCATATGAGTCCGTTGAAACCGACTTCGTCACGAAACTTTTGGCGTTCATGGTTCAGAACAACCTGGAAGACCATAAGAAACTGAATCCGGATTTCGGAGTGGGTTTGTTTCTTCAACTCTTCGCCTGGTTTATGGCTGACTGTAATATCTAGAAACCGGATGCTAGCCGACCGAGAGCAACTCTGATAGTTACGGATCGCTCGATGGATATGATTGCTCCCCTGCTACACGAATTCACGTATCAGGCGATGGCGAACGACCTCCTACCTATCGATAATGGGTCAAAATACTCGTATGCATTTATCATTCACACATCAATTTTTTCTTTATCTTCTCTTTTCCCCAGATACAAATTCCAATCATCGTTGGGTGCATATGAAGACAAGGTGGCCACTCTCTCAGATTCCGATTCAGTTTGGACGGCTGTTCGACACCTGCATATGAGAGAAACAATCGACAAGCTCATGGCCGACTTCAATAAATTCCTGGAGGAGAATGCAGTCTTCAAAGGGTATGACCAGTCCCAATTTCTAGCATTGCTGGGCTTGTGTTTACTCTCTGATATAGCGAGGGTGCCGCCAACTTGAATGACATGAAAGAAATGCTCGCCAACCTTCCACAATTCCAAGAGCAACGAGAGAAGGTCAGAAAATATGAGCCTCCCGGCGTAAGCTGCTCAATTGACCGTACCCTAGTTCTCACTCCATCTCAGCATGGCGCAAGATTGTATGGCTATGTTTGAGAAGGAAAAGCTTTCAGATCTTGCCTCTGTCGAGCAAGTGAGTCGTGAACCTCCTTGTTGTGAGCATCTACTGATGGTAGAATCAAGTGTTGTGCCACCGGTTTGAATGCTGAAGGGAAATCGCCAAAAGGTTTGGTGGAGGAGATGGTTCCCTTACTGGATAGCAGAGAGGTTATGTGAGTATTGGCGTCCATTCCTGCGCCTCTGTCGATTGGCACTGACTGTAATGAAGCAACATGAACAAAGTTCGGATCATTGCGCTGTACATCCAGTATCGCGATGGTGTTCCAGATGAGGACCGTCGACGACTATATCAACACGCCAGACTACCGCTAGCTGAACAAGATGCCGTTAACGCTCTAGTGCACTTCGGTGTCCGGCTTACTAGAGTCAGTGTTCCACTGCTTGTATAAACTCGGCCCTAACTATAAAATAGGGACCGAACGACAAGGATACCAAGAAGAGAATCAAGCAGAAACCAAGTGGAGATGAGTACGAACTGTCACGCTTCAAACCTGCACTCAAAAGTGTTCTCGAGGTACATTTCAATTTATTTTCTCTCCAAACGATATAGATAGCCTCAACTTCCGTTTAGGACCAAATAGGCGACAAACTTGATTCCACGATGTTCCCATATGTTAGAGAAGCCCCATCGTCAATGCCTCTATCTCCTAGGTCTCCTCCGCCTCAGACGACGTCACTTCGCAGTCAGAAGCCCGCATGGCACAGGGCACCGAAAGCAGCGACAGTGGCGGACAATCGCCAGCGCTTGATCGTTTTCGTTGCCGGAGGAGTGACATATTCAGAAATGCGCGAGGTTTACCAACTTTCTAGCTCGCTACAGAAGGATATATACATCGGTACGAGGAATGCAAATTTACTGCGAGATGTCGCTGACAGCAGTGATAGGTTCTACACATGTTGTTACACCGAAAGGATTTATCGACGATCTGAAAGTTCTCGAGCTCGGAGGCGCCGGCTCGAAAGCGATACCAAACGGGCTGCGGGAAATGAGAGGAGAACCCAAGTCTATGCAAGATTTGTATGACAACAAGTACTATACCCCAGACGCCGCACCACCTCCACGACAGCAACCCCCAAAGGGTCTGGCCCCTCCACGGCGTGTAGAACCGGTTGCTCCCATCCAACCTTCTCCTACGAACTCTTTCCAGGGCTCGGTGAACTCTATGACACCCTCTGGAAAGGACAAGGACGAGAAGAAGAAGAAGCGAGGCTTTTTCCATTTTGGTTAACTTCTGCGTATGGGCTGTTGACGATGTAATGTATAGTAGATACTTCAGTTCGCGGTAATATTCGTCGTGTACCTTCAGGATGGATTCTGATTGGATGGTTCGTTTTCTCTCACACTATTCGAAGACAAAAAGCACGAATAATGAAGGTATATGTACAGGGCAGATGTGCTATGTCGAGTATTCCATCTTGGCTGCAAAAAAGAGCATTATGAAAATGTGTGCAATCTTGAAACTGAGGAGACTGACTTTCGTGCTTCTTCGCCTCTCCGACCTTGCGAGCAGCTTTTGTCAGGTCCTCCTGATTGATGTACTCGCGATCATCCCGAATCGCAAACATGCCGGCCTCCGTGACAACATTCCGCAAGTCAGCACCGTTGAAACTATCAGAAAGCTAAGAAAGACTAAGTAGCATCCTAACAACGTTAGAAAATATGCCTACCTTCACAATGGCCTCGTAGTCGATCTCTCCACCTTTGTTGACTGGAGCAGCGTGGATCTTCAAGATTTCTAGCCGTGCTTGTTCGTTGGGAAGGGGCACTTCAATCTTCCTGTCTAACCGACCAGGACGAAGAAGAGCGGGATCCAAAGTATCAGGTCGATTCGTGGCCATGATGAGTTTGGTCTTTCCTAAAGAATCGAAGCCATCCATTTGGTTCAGAAGCTGTGATTGAAGGTGAATCAATAGCATACTGTGGCAGGAAGGAAAGAACGAACCTCCATCAGCGTGCGCTGAATTTCACGGTCCGCACTGGTACCCTCTGAGAACCGACGACCGCCTATGGCGTCGATTTCATCCATGAAAATAACGCACGGTTCATGGTCACGGGCGTAACCGAACATCTCTCGTACAACACGAGCGCTCTCTCCTATGTACTTGTCGACGATGGCAGACGAAACGACTTTGAGGAAATTCGTTTGAAGAGTTGCGGCAACAGCTCGCGCAAGGAGGGTTTTGCCTGTTCCTGGAGGACCATACAGAAGAACTCCTTTCGGTGGCTTGATACCTACCCGCTGGAAGAGTTCAGGGTTCATCAAGGGTAGTTCGATAATCTGCGGGATTCCGCTGTTGAGGATAATAAAGGCAACAACATGACGGAGTGCAACATACCTCGCGGAGCTCCCGTACTTGCCCGCCCAGTCCGCCGATTCCAGCAAAAGAAGCACCTCCTGGATCCTCCAAGCTCATCTTGTAAACAAGCGGGTCAACTTCACGGGGTAGGATTCGCATAATGGTTAATGTCGTCATGTCGAGGGAAACACGCGTTCCAGTTTTGAGCTTCGCGACTGGGAGAGTGGGCCGATAGGACACAACATAGCGTGGGCCAGAGGAAGCCTTTACGATGACTGCATCGGCGATGTTAATACTGGAGAAAGTTAGGGAGTAAGCATACTCACAGCGATCGGAATCGAGTTGCTTCATAACTTCACCAATGATTTGACCGACGGACTGAACCGCCTTGATATCGTCCTCGGTCTTCTTATAGGCCTTTTCCAAATCCTTTAAAGAGAACCTTACTTGGAGGATTTGAGATATGTGCCGAAGGATGGATTTAGAAAACGCACGATTCTTCAAGCCCTCACTACTCTTCTCGTGAGCGCGCATTTTCTGTCAAAGGCGTCGAGTGAATAACCAAGAGGATAGATATGAGGAGAGACGGACGTCGCGATATGCTTTGAGTGCATCCTTTCTACGCTGGTCCATCGCGCCAGATGATGTCGAAGGTTGTGCGTCCATAATGTAACGGGAAGGAGAGTGTTGTTCGCGGTGAATGCAGGACGCGTAAGTGTCTGACGCGTCTGGTTTCCCAATTCGGGATTTTTTGACTGTATTTGTCAAAAGGCATACTAGTTCAATGGCCTGATGGTCTAGTAGTATGATTCCTTGTTAGGGCATTCGCAATTTCGAGGAGGTCCCGGGTTCAATTCCCGGTCAGGCCCATTGGATAACTTTTTCTTAGTTCCTCAATAGCTTTCTGTGCCCGCGCTCACTAACAACTCTCATTCTTGAGACATATTTCTGGATGTGACTCACGGCATTATTTTCGAATTAGATGACATCCCGAGCAAGAGAGCAAAGAGACGCCAAAAATACACCCTATTACAGTCATTACACAATCCGTACTCGTGATAAATGAGGAATTAAGTATCTACCGTAAGATCGTAAAGATCGTCTACAGGCTCGTCAAGAGCGCGGGTATATGAAATTCATAAATTCTGTTGAGGTCGTCGAAGGAAGGAATCAGAGTTGGGACCACAATGTTACCCCCACAAGCGACAGGGTAATCCAAGAGAGATCGTATGCGGAACGAGCGGCACTTGTGCCCGCGATCCTCGACAGAATGCCTGTTTCTTGAGGTCGCTCTGCGTCGATAAACGCCTTCCATGCTTCCCGCGTGGCCGAGGGGAATACGTAAGTCGACTGTGTGGCACCGAAACCGTAGTAGATCTCGTCTGCGCCTTGGATGGCACCTTCAAGAGCCGGGTTTTGCCCACCGATGACCATGGGCCTGCCCGAAGGTGTATTCACCACGGTGCCGAGCATGTTATTTCCCAGTATGAATTCTCGCAGGAACGTGAACGCCTGGAAGTCGGAGGAGGATTAGCGAAGGCAGTAAAACAGGGTGAGTGGGTTCGTACATTCGCAGGTGCGTCAAGAGGGACGAGATGCCCAGCACCATAAAATAGCGCGTATGTCCAGCCTCGCTCTTGGTGCACAACTCCAGCGAACTTTCCAGAGTCACCGTACCAAGGCGTTGAAGGCCTTTGCGAAAACCCTTGGATGCCGCCGAAGGTGGTGTTCTGGATTGCGACTGGAAACAGCCCGTTGAGTATCCATGCCACAACCACAAGAGCATATCACTCACTTTCTGTGCCAAGATGCGGGATGAGAGCATCGTCGTTTCCAGAGAACAAGACCACTTTCACTCCCTTTGCCGTTGCATTTGTAGCAAGGTCGGTGAAAATGTTGATTGACATGGGGGTTCCGTCATCTGGGTCTGACGACAAGGGACAATCAGTGGAATGCAGAGGAAGCTGAGCCGGTAGGACCTACTTGCGCCGAATGGGAATCGGAAGGAGAGCGACCAGTCCTTGCTGGTAGGAGCATGTAAGGCGGCCCTTGTGCGAGGATCTGCGAGCGTTAGAACGGTGAGGAGAAGCGTCCGGATGGACAACATACTGTTTAAGAAAACGCTGGCGTCTTGGGCTACCTTGGGGTTCAATGCATCGGGGATGTTGTACACCTGAAATTTAGGTATTAGCGGGGGAGAAATGCAAGGAATATGTTACTTACATTGAAAGGGAACCCTTCTGGGTTATCAGTCAACGCTGGAAATGAAATAAGCCAAGGCGCACAGAAGAAGGAATAGGCAAAAGCGTACTCCAAGGGAAGGTGTAGTTGAGAGCGTAATCGATGAACATGTCAAGGAGGAAGCAACCATACTACACAAACAAAAAAGCCTTAGACACGACGTTGCGTTGTGAAGGAAACCAATGTGACCTACCCACGGGTCAATTGTCCCATTCGCCCGCAGGGAGAGGTCACGCTTCCATTGCTCTCTCCCGGCTACTTGGTCGCGTTTAACCAACGATGGTGACCGTAGCTCTTCCTCTGCTCGACGCGTAAGTTCCATCAGGAACGTCTTCTTCGCGTATCGCTGCTGAAGAGCCCAGGGAATGTCACGGTCGGTTGGAAAAATGAGTTCGACGTCAGGGATGATCCCGTTTTGTGGGTAGGTGAGGTTGACGTCGAAGCCGCAAAGTGCTGTCTGCTCCTTAAAGTAATTAAAAACATCTTTGTCGTAGCCGATGATTTGAGGGAAGGTCTCGATTACGCTAAGCTGCAGCAGGTTTAAGAATTGAAACCGCATAGGACCACTGAGGACTCACTGCAGGGAGAAGCTCGAAGACTTGTTCAGAAGTGTAAGTGCCAGCACCAATAGCGATTTTGGCGATCTTGACTGGTGGATTTGGCATGTCGAAGTAAGCTTTCAAGATGTACGGCTACCGGTAGGATTGGTTAATGCACTAGGCAGGGTTAACACGAAGCGACGCACAATGTATTGCCCAGCAAAACTTTCGCCAGTTAGGTGAAGGGGTCTCGTCGCGAGACTGGGGAATACTTTGACCAAGTTGCCCAAGAAACCCATCTGGAGGACGGAAGTGAGTACACGGGCAGACATTCCAGCAAGAACAAACTCACGAAGTCCTTTCCAATCTGGTCCTCCGTTGGAGCTGCACAGACTCGAGGTCGGAAACGCTAGCGTCAATATAAGAGTTGAGTCAACTTACCATAGCCGTCTGCGTCGGCTGTTGAGTACCCCACCCCACTAGCGAACCCGAGGATAAGTTTATTGTTCCTAAGAGGAGAGAAACATCACGTACACTGGTTGGTCTATCCAGAAATAATCCGCGAGCTTGTCCCAGCTGTATGGGTTAGACTGGAGCGAATAGTCGCCGTTGATTCGAATAGGCCCGTTCTGCAGTAGGAGAATTGCGCTTCAGAGAGGGCAGGCGATACCTTTTTTTTTGGAGCGAAACTGACCTCAAAGAATAGACCAAACATGCTAGACGACCCCGGGCTATGCAGACAATTTGTAAGTCCGGCAGAATTGCCAATGCGTAGTAGGGCCACATACCCGCCGTTCAACCAAATACCCCAAGGATCGCGATTCCGTGAACTTGGAGAAGCTGTTAGAGACCCTTTGGGTTTCTCGAATCCATAGAAGAAGAGGGTGTTGTTGGGATGGCCAGCTCGTTGAACACCGATGTTCCCTGCGTAACTTCGACTTAGAGGGAAGGTTATGCCGGGTAGTGGATCCGTGACTCGAAAATCTATGTGTAAAACGCGTCAAAAACATTCGACGCGATGAGAATAAGACGAACATTTCTGCCATGCAGGGTTATAGTCGCCGCTTGGTTGTCCGGGGTAGGCGTGAGGGTATGAACTTGGGAGCGTTGGAGAGCTTTGGGAGGCGGCCAGAGAAGAGAAGAGCAGCGCCAAAGCAGAGGAGAGGAGGATTCGTGCAGACGACATGACGGTAAGTCGTGAAGCCTTTGAATGATGGGCGGAGTTGCTGGACCTCGGCTCAAAAATGCGTGTCGTCGCGCGTTATATACCGAGTAGCATCCCGGCCTGACAATTGCGGTTCCTTGGTGGGTTCCTAATGCCAACCGACACATCCGCATGGGGGCAGGCCTAGGACAATTGACAGGCGCAAGCATTTCTCCCGAAAGCGAAGTCTGATGTTGCGTGTGGGTGTCTGTGTATGACTTGTTCAGCAGCCTGATTGAAGAGTGCGAATCCCGCTTATTGTCTCGCAATTGTGTCCCTCCTGGAGAAGTGATGCTATCTAGTGTTATCTGATGTAAGTAAGGGTTGGCGGGGCAAGTAAGGCTGAAGAAAGGACACGGGTCTGTCGGATTGCCCACGGCTTTCACTTGGGAGTGGATAGACAATAGCCGCAGTCGCGTAGACGTCGGCCAGAGCTATTTCCGGAAGCAGCTCGGCACGCCCCTTCGAGTCAGGTGCTGATCCGTTGACTCCCACAACTCATTTCCCGACTGTTCACTTCTACCAGGATGGCACGGCGCAAACGTATTCTGGATGACGGCGGCGACTCGGACTCTTCAGCCGCCTCTGATCCTGACTTTGACTTCGACAATGACCCCGATGCACGCGAGGAGCGGACCCTTTTCGAGAATCCATACCGAAAGAGAAGACGCACAAACGGCAAGGAGGATGCGCTCTACGGCGTGTTCGGGGAGAACAGCGATGATGAGAGAACGGAGAGGCGGGGATTAAGTTCGAAATCAAAACGTTCAGACTGGACCAAGGCGCCTGCTTTCGTTACTGGTGACAAACCAGTGAAACTCGACGATGTTATGGATGTCGAACCCGATGAGGCCGAAGGCAACCACAATGTTGACGCCGACGACTCTGAAGATGACGAAGAAGGCGACAGTGAGGATGATGGCTCCGAAGGCGAGGATGAAACTAGAGATGATGCAGAGTATTCTAACGAATCTGAACCCTCCAGGGCCCCGTCTCCCCGTGTTCGGATAGACAAAGAGGAGGAGGAGGAGGAGGAGCCGAGTTCACGGCCTCGCATGGGTGGTTTAGGGTTCAGCAACTCTGCCTCGTCGCAGCTTCCCTCCTTCTCGAAGGGCGGCATTGGTTCATCACGTTCCGAACAACCTCCTTCTTTCGCTGCACCTTCTAGAGGCGGCATTGGTTCCAAACCTTCAGCCAGCCCTGCCCCTGAAGATAACGGAACATCGTCACGGTCGTCCCTAACACCTGATTCTGTGCCATCTGCTTTCGCAAGCAGAATACAGGGTTTCAATCGCCCGGCTAATCCATCTACAAAACCTGTCGCACTCCCCGCATCCGAAAAGGCTCACTTCAGTAAGATCCAGAATACCTTCGGTGCTCGAATGCTAGCAAAGATGGGTTGGCAAGCTGGTACTGGTCTCGGTGCGGAGGGAGAGGGCATTGTCATCCCCATCGAAAGTAAATTACGACCGCAGAAGATGGGTATTGCTTTCAAAGGTTTCAAGGAGAAGACGGAGCAATCGAAACTGGAGGCGAAGCGACGGGGAGAAGCGGTCAGCGACGACGAAGACGCGAAGACGAAGAAAATGCGGAAGAAAGTTAAAGAGCAGGAACAAAAACGCTCTGATGCTTGGAAGCGTCCTAAGAAGGTGAAGACGAAGGTCGAGCACAAGACCTATGAACAGATATTGGCTGAAGCTGGAGAGGAAGCAGTGACTCCCGGTATTGGACAAATCATCGATGCAACAGGTGCAGTGGTGCGTCGCTTCTTATTTATTATTCGTCGAGGCACTGACGAACAATTACAGCCCAGGGAAGTCTCATCGCTTGCCGACATATCCTTGAATACTTGGTCACCATCCAATGACCCAACGAGAATACCAGAAGTCCGCCACAACATTCGTCTGATCGCGGATGCTTGCAAGGCGGACCTCGATGGCCTTGCACGAGAAGCCAAAGCACTACAAGAGCGCAGGAAGTTTGTCACTACGGAAGACGCCCGTTTGCACAAGAGGGTCGAGGATGAAGCCGAGTGTAGGCTCGATCTTCTGTCCCCAGAAGTGATGTAGTCTGACTCGCACTTTCACAGTGATTGCGCGCCTCCAACAGGTGCAGCTCGTTGCGAACGATATCAGCACGACCGCGAGAGATCTCTCCTCCGTGTATGAGGTCTCGTTGGAGCCGTTTTCACCTCTTTTCCAGAAGCTCATCAACGAATATTCTCCGGAATACGACCGATATCATTTGGATGAGATCGTCGTTGCGGCAATCGCTCCAGTGGTACGGCGGATGGCTGCGAATTGGACCCCGCTGGAAGATCCTCTATTCGTCCTGCCAACATTCAAATCGTGGAAGGCAGCTTTGAAGGTCACAGAGAAGGGAGTGCAGCCTAATACACAAGTGGAGATATATGGTTCGAAAACCGTCTCTATAAACCTCGCTGACATGTAAGTTCGCGGTTTCTCGTATCTTTATGTGTGCTCATTTTTTCTTCGCAGAGAGAAGCCTATGACACCGTTCGACAGTCTGCTCTGGAATATTTGGCTGCCGAAAGTGCGGACGTCTATCAACAACGACTGGTCGCCGGATGAACCACAACAAGCAGTCAGGTTGTACGAAGCTTGGTCCTCCTTCCTACCTCCGTTTATCCGCGACAATCTGCTCGACCAGCTCATACTGCCGAAGGTCCACAAGGCCGTAGCAGATTGGAACCCTCGCCAGGCCAAAGTATCATTGCAGGCCATCGTCTTCCCGTGGTTGCCGCATGTTGGTTTGAGGCTTGAAGACATCGTTGGAGATGCTCGCAGGAAGATCAAGAATCTTCTCCGAAACTGGATGATTGACGAACCTATACCAGCGGATTTACTGGCGTGGAAAGCTGTAAGCTCCGCCGTTTTGTTCGTAGAATCCCGTTTTTCTAACGAGCCACTCCACGCAGGTCTTCGATATCGGCGACTGGGATGCCATGATCCTCAAATATGTCGTGCCAAAACTTGGAGCGACGCTCCGCACCGACTTCCGTGTCAACCCCCGCGACCAGAAGATGGAACCGCTCAATCGCGTCCTCGCCTGGGAGAAATTCATCCGACCTTCAATCTTTTCTCAGATACTGGAGACGGAATTCTTCCCCAAATGGTTGGACGTTCTCCATTTCTGGCTTATCCAACCGCACGTCAGCTGTGAGGAGGTCGCAGACTGGTATTATAAGTTTTGGAAGAAGGCTTTCTCTGAGGACGTGCGCACCTTGTCGGGTGTTGAACGCGGGTTTACTCGAGGTCTGCAGTTGATGAACAAGGCGATCGACCTTGGTCCCGACGCCCCTACCAAACTCGCGAAGCCGGACTTCCTCGCAGAAATTGCGGCTGCTCGCTCACCGCGTCCTGGGAAGGATGGCGCGAAAACTTCACGGCCGTCTGCACGCACACACGAAATCACATTCCGCTCGATTGTGGAGGAATACGCCGCCTCACACGATTTGCTCTTCATCCCAACGGGCAAGGCGCACGAGCGCTCGCGTATGCCGATCTTCAGAGTTAGTAGGAGCACCGATGGCCGTAAGGGGCTGCCTGTCTATATTCTGGATGACGCTGTTTGGGCACCTCAGTCAGGCGACGCTCCGAATGTTGAAGGGGAAGAGTTCAAGGCAATCAGTTTGGAGGATATGGTTCTTCGGGCGGGTTAGAGTTGTAGCTAACTATTTTGTTTACCTTGCATTCAAATGGTAGCTACAGTACTATATTGGATCGGATGTTCGCCCACCCAGCTGAATCGCCCACCTCGAGTTTCTCAGCACCGAGGGGCCCGTTCATGCTGAAATTTTGCACACTAGCTGCTATTATGTGTCTCATAACATTGCTATATTTTTTTCACCAAAATTCGAACGGGAAGGAGGTTCGTTCAACTCGTCCATTTGTCACTTTATGTCACACTTTTGGCGGGGTGGGAACCAGGTGGGCGAATTGCCCCGCCAAATTTGATGTGACATTGATGTGACTGGGCGATTGAAGGGGGTGGGCGAACATCCGATCCAATATAGTATGGGTGTCATTCTGCCAACGCACGAGGTCTAATGGCCGGGATACGGCACGGTCATTCCGCTCTATTGTGGTTTGTTGACTAGTGCCCTCGCCGGTGTTCTTGTGTTCGATCACGGTCAATACTTACTTGAACTCATTTCCTATCGTCAACAACTCAAGCATTCACTCTATCGCTATGAGTACGAAGAAAAGGTACGTACACCGCGACACTTGGTAGATGCTTTTAACAGAACTGATTTCAGCTCCAAACTCGACCTTCTCGTTCGTGTCCGATACTCCAATCCACTACCTCCACCTCCATGTCCTCCGAAATTGTTGAACATTCCCACCAACCCCATGCGATATGCGCGACCGGAATTCCTAAATGCTCTGGCGAACGAGACGCCCCTGCCGATGATAGTTGACGCTGAATGTGGCATGCCGTTGGACTTGGGGAAATACGAGTGTCTATGGGAGGAGGATGCAGACGATTCTTGTACGCTCTCAGACCTGAATCAAAGACCCACAATTTTTGAACTTGATATCTTGTCCCAGCTCTTAATCCAGGCCCTCGCAATCTCCCAAAACTCGATCCGAAAGATGCATTTCTGCTAGTCGACCCGTCTTCTTCGACAGGCGCTTACCCAGTGAACGGAGGCAGTCACCCAAGTTCAACTACTGTCCATAGCACACCTCGTGCAAACGCAAACGTTTCATGGTTGCGAAAAACGGAATACATCAGTCGAGACAGTACACAGCGTAATGGAATCCAAGAACCGTGCGTGTACTCAGTCGCAGTTTGTTTGTAGGCACGGCTCGGGCTTATCACTGAACAGAAAACACGTCGTTTCCGCACCTATCGACGTTTCACGGAATGCCCAACTGCGGGACATTGAAGCGTCCTTCGTTGCCTCCAATGAGAACTTCTCTCTCGATTCATTAAGGCATCCCAACAAACCGAACGTCACTGCCGTTGAATCATACCCAGTCCTTCCAGACGCCGACATCTGGGCAAACCAATACGATCTGTTCAGGTTTTCAGAGCGGCCTGGAGAGAGGCCTGTGGACGTGCGCCTAATCTCCACCTGAATTAATTAACGCGGAACTAATCACCAAATAGGCTGAAGACCCAAGACTGGATTGTGCCATTCTGCGACCAATGAAGACGGAACATGACTCTTTCCTTGCTTTCTACCTGACCCAAGATGATGAATCTGCAGTTCAATTTAAAAAGACGCGTTTCGCAGTTCCACCGTACGAGGTACCAGAAAATCAAGAGGTGTGTGCCGTGGTTGGCTGTTGTGCTTTCTCATGACTAAATTTGATCAAGGAAACATTATTCCACTTTGTGCGAGACTACGAGACGGTGAAAGTGGAACAGGAAGTGCCCAACGAATTCTTGTTGGTGCTATACGATGGCGATCCACCTGAATATGGCGACACATTCCTGGACGGCAGTAAGAAGCCGAGAGAAACAGGGGCGTACTACAAGACCATTGAACGCAAAATGCACCTGAAAAAGAAGCGCGCGAATGTAAGTGTTGCAACTTTTCATTTTCCCCCGGCGATCGCTCATTAGAATTAAACGCCAGGCCTACGACCAGTACGAGGATAAGTGGGAGATTATTCGAGTACAGCATGCGCCAATGAGTAATGAGGAAGAAGAAGAACGAGAGGAAGCTTTGGCCGAGGTGGCGGACCCGATGTTCTTGCTGATGAGAGCCGACATGGACGCGGATGGCGAAATTGACGAGACTGCCACTTTCCCTATGAATGGGTTTGTCGATGTTGTTTCAGGAGTGTAGTCCATACCGAGTAATCTTCTTCACGTTCGATTGTGCGGACATTCGATCTTGGGAAATCGATGTGGATTTTGCCAGTGCGAGCGCTGTTCATTTTTGTATAGCATTCATGGGTCATACGAACATACAAAGGTGCATGGAATGGAAATGGAGAAAAAGGACTGCGAGCACTCTATGCCTCTGTGATTTCGCGCAGCCGACGAACAGTGCTATAATACGTTTCAAAAATCAGTACCATATCCTAGACACGGTAAGATGATCACGCACCTGCGGACTGTCGCAGCAGCCGTCGTTGACACAGTCCATGCACCTCCGGCGATCGTCTTCTTGCATGCTCCGCAATGCCAGATTCCAACGGCGGTCCTCTTTACTGAGTCCTACAAATTCCCAACACCATCAGCACAAACTGACAGGAGCCCGACACTCCAAGGAAGACGAACCTTTCCACAGAAAGTGCAGGTGTATCGCGCATGCTGCGAGATTTCCATCTTTTTGACCTGCTTACGCAGGGAGGCACCATAACGCTACCCGGCCACCAACTTCAATGCGAGTTGCTGCTGAGGGTAAGATGTCCCACTTACAGTACCGTATTTACCCGTGATTCCGACTTTCTTGGTGCGTTTTGACTACGATGTGGAAGGACTGGTCAGAATGGGCGAATCAAGAACATAACAGCGAAACGGACCATGTTGAAGGAATTACGGGGTTGGGTCGAGTGTGCGGCGGGTGGTCTTCAATGATGATTAGGACACGGCGCGTGAGAACTGAAATGGAAGTTGCCGAGAACTGTACAGTTGGTCAGCCACAGCAGAGACTGAACCCGATTATCTCATAAGATAACTGACCGCCATTTGAAAGCAATTTCTAAAGCTAAACAGTTGCGACAAATGATGCGTATAACTAGCTACGATGACTGTGGTATATTCCGTGGGCGGTAGATGGACTGAATGGAGAATGAAATCTGTGAAGAAATCCGCTGGATAGTGTCATAACTTTGGAATGGTGAAGAAAGGTACATAATATGGGACCGTAATTCAATTATTATTAGAATGCGTCAGCCAGGCCACCATACCTCTTTGGTAATTCCTCTTCCTTGATATACGGGACTAGGGCCTTCTTGATGGCATCCTGTCCTGTGCCAACGACAGACATCTTGGCCAATGTGTTGGCAGAGAGCAAGGGCTTAAAGGCCCAGAAGATCCAGCTGAGGATGGTGGGTACATTGATGAAGAATTTCTTGTGCTACAATGTCAAGTTGAGACACGATGCGAGGGAGGACATGTGAACGGAACATCACGCACTAGCATTTCAGGATAATGGCTTTGGAAGATGTTGCTTGCTTCACTAGCAGCTGCCTTCGAATTGGCATCCCTGCTGCTCAAGCTAACGCCCTCGTAATCTTGATAGTGTGAGTCGGCAAGTGGTGCTTTAAGGGGAAGCGCATTTGGCTTACCGTGGACCTGAACCGTCTGATCGACCTCATTGAAATCTAGGAGGAAGACACTTCTCTCCATGAGAGCCACCCTCCAACTGGAGAGGAGGTTTAGTAATGTCATAAAAACACGAAATGCGGTGTATACCGAATGAAGCGTCGCACGTCTCCGAAAGCAGCCTTCAAGTCTTGGTTACCGCCGTAAATGTTGTAACTGTAGGCTCCATCATGAGATTTTGCAAGGTAGCAGGGCATAATCAACGCACATGATTGGGCGCCCGCCGGTATCCTTTCCAAAGATATGACCAAGACTGCCAAAGACGTCCTGAGGGAACTCCTCCTTCAGGGCAGCATCAATGTTGAAGGATTCCCTCCACCTGAGGGTCCCAACGAACATATCCCGCGCGTCGGGAACGCTTAGGTTCCTGTACAAATACGCGTCAGACACGAGGTTGACAGCCGTCTATAACACACACCTGGCACGCAAGAACTTCATGAACACGACACTTACGCGAGTGTCCTTCGGATTCTGAGGGTCCAGTTCGACACCCCAAATATTAACCGACGTCTGTTTGGCCTGAGGGTTGTCTGGGAATGCCTGAGCAAGTATCTCAGGAAGTTGGTCCTATCATCATATTCTAGTTAGCCTGCTAGCCTCCGCAGAAAACGGGGCGACGAACACGAAATTTATTCAGTGCTTCCCATTCTTGTTTGGTGAATTTGCTAGTGAGCGTGTTCTGGGGTTCAACTGATGCATCCTTCCCGTCGGTGTCCTTTGCCTCCTTCTCGACAGCAACCTCTATCGACTCAATGGGGGCGGGGTCGGTTGTTGGGGTCGGAACGCTCTGAGTGGGTTCTGGGACAGCAATAGTAGCAGTAGCCTTGGGAGCAGCAGTGGTCTCGGCGGGGGCGGAGACCTCTGCACCTGGGGTGGACCTCGGTGCTGGAGTGGGCTCAGCGACTGCGGCAGCCGTTGTTTCAACGGGTGTCGCCTCGGGTGCAGGGACAGGCGGTTCGCTTGTGACTGGAGTAGGCTCATTTGCAGTAGGAGTGGGCTTCGCCGCGGGGGTGGGTGCTGGCGCAGAGGTAGTTTCCGACATGGCGACACTGAAGTGAGGTGCTGCACCTGCAAGCCGAAGTTGAACTTACCTATCTGATAAGATTCGCTTACATAAGCTGACCGTTACCATTTGTCGCTGCATTGACACCGCATCAACTTGAAACCCTTTCGCCTCCTGCGTTCCCCATCTCCTTCCTGTCCTGAATGCTCATATTTATCGACTAATCTCACCAAATCCCTTAATCCGCTGTTATGACTCCACCCCCGGACCATGTTTACGACTATAGCCACGAGAACGGACGGTTTCAAGAATCAGGGTGGGGAATCCGCGCAGGAAGACTTCCCATGTATAGTCCAGTGTGGACCAACGATAAGCCTTGGGCACAAAAATGGTCGACCAAATTCACCTCGACACTCGCGGAGCTTCCAAACATCGTCGCGCACTATCTTCCTTTATCCAACAGACGATCGGCTAGATCCTTCGTGACCGGAAGACCCTCCATGACGTCCAACACCTCATCTTCCAATTTTCTCTTCATCCTACTATGCGGCCTGTGGTACACCACTTCTGCGTTATCATCGAACACTGGAAAGGCCATCTTGAATCAATTCCGCTACCCCGTCACTCTCACCTTTGTCCAATTCGGCTTCGTCGCATCCTACTGCCTGTTGTTCATGTCGCCAGCCGTTCGTTTCTCCAAGCTTCGAACGCCGACGAAAGCGATACTACGTAGCACCTTTCCAATGGGCCTTTTTCAAGTGGGCGGTCATATTTTTTCCAGTATCGCCATTTCCAGAATTCCGGTCAGCACTGTCCACACAATTAAAGTGAGTAGCTTCGAATTAGAACAAGACGAGAGCTCATCGTGGTTTTCAGGCTCTTTCTCCCCTATTTACGGTCGCCGCATACGCCTTACTATTCGGTGTAAGCTATTCAAGCAAGACTTACATATCCCTCCTCCCTCTTACTGTTGGAGTCATGCTGGCATGCTCATTCGACGTCTCGGCATCCAATGTCATGGGCCTACTGTGCGCTTTCGGATCAGCCATTGTGTTCGTTACCTCGAACATATTCTTCAAGAAGATCATGCCCTCTAAATCCCCCAGTGGATCGTCTGGTTCAAGCCACAAGCTCGACAAAATGAATCTTCTTCTCTATTCCTCTGGAATGGCATTCCTATTAATGATCCCCATCTGGATGTACTACGACCTCCCAGTATTTCTGTCTGGCACCATTCAACCTGCCGTAGCGAAGGGAGGACCCCCAGCCCACTCGGTTTCGTATTATTTCTTCATGAACGGAACCGTCCACTATGCTCAAAACATCATCGCCTTCGTCATCCTCTCATCCACTTCTCCCGTTACCTACTCCATCGCCTCGCTTATCAAACGCGTTGCTGTGATCTGTATCGCTATTGTGTGGTTCAACCAGTCTGTCCATCCCGTTCAAGCAATCGGCATCGTCATGACCTTCACTGGTCTCTACATGTACAACAACGCAAAGGGAGATGTTGAGAAGGGCGAGAAGAAGCTGCGGAGAATAGAAGCCGCCAGGGATATGATGCTACCTACCACTAAGGAAGACTCGAAGATGATGCTGGGCACGGACACCCCTCCTTCGGAGATGGTACCAGAGTATCAACAGGAGGTCGGTCTCGGGTCGGGAACGATGTATGGACGAACAAGAGCAAAGTCTTTGTCGCAGAATAGTCATCCACTTCACCGGCCACCCCCTTCAAACCCGTTACATATCAAGACTTCTGGGCATATACCTCCGACGATAAAGGAAGGCGGTGGATCACCAGTAGACCTATATCCCTCACCTCCGCTATCTAATGACTCTCCTCCGGTGAATACGATTCCCCTTCCAGGGCAGAATCCTTACGGTGTGCAAGATACCTGGGATAGGTCACACTTGCACCACCACCATGCACATCACCCACCGCCTGTGTACGCGTCATGATGCGATGTTTAACTGATATTTATATTTGTCCCACACGCATTTGCATGCAAATCTACGGCAGGATGTCGGTTCCTCATAGAGCTGCATAATGTACATACTGGTGATAGCCTTCGGTGGACGCTGCCATCTCACATCATGTCCCTATTTGTTTGCTTCGAAGTCTGTACTGGTATTTATATATATTCTTAATGAATGCGACATTCATTTGTGGATTTCCGGAGCCACGACATTCCAACTACATACTTACAGTCACAGTTCAAGAGGAGCGGGCCGCTGTCCGGGCCGCACGAAAGTAACACTGCGGGTGACTTGTGTCACAAGGCATCAAGTTTTCGCACGTTGTGCAAAGGTAGCCAAAAGCCTCTCGTCAACAGGCACGCCGAGCACGCCGACACCCTCCGCCTCCTTCAAGAACACTTCAGCACAGTATGGTCCGTAAATCCCACTCAAGAAGTTCTCAAGAGCACTCTGCGGTCGTTATCCTGGCGAAATTGCGATCCTGATCGATGGATGCGTTGAAAGCATGTTGGATGACCTTCGGAGTGCTCTTTGAGGAATCCCGATACGTTGCCGACGGGTACTGATATCCCCCTTCCACCAGGCCCGAGGACCCAAAAAGCACTTGAAGCGCCTGAGCGCCCCCTCTTCATGGATGTTGGATAAGCTGAGCGGGACATATGTGCGTGCTGATATTCTTGATCTTGAGACTGTTATCAAACACGTTCTGCGTCTATGTAGGCACCTCGCCCGTCTCCTGGTCCTCACAAACTCCGCGAATCGCTCCCTCTCACCGTCTTCCTCCGCAACAGGCTAAAGTACGCTCTTACCGGCCGTGAAGTTACCGCTATCGTCAAGCAGCGCTTGGTCAAAATCGATGGAAAGGTCCGCACGGATCCCACCTACCCCGCTGGATTCATGGGTTCGTGAATCATTTATGGCGCGATTGAAGTGCTCTTAATATTTTACCAGATGTGATCTCCCTCGAGAAATCTGGAGAGCACTTCCGCCTTCTCTATGATGTCAAGGGTCGCTTCACCATCCACCGCATCACCCCTGAGGAAGCCACCTACAAGCTCCTCAAAGTCCGTCGAGTTGCCATTGGTACCGGTGGTGTCCCCCACGTCGTCACCCACGACGGTCGCACCATCCGCTACCCCGACCCCCACATCCGCGTCAACGACACCGTCAAGTTTGATCTGGAGCAGGGTAAAATTACTGACTTCGTCAAGTTCGACACCGGAAACATCGTCATGATCACTGGTGGCCGCAACATGGGCAGGGCTGGTGTCATTGTGCACCGAGAGAAGCACATCGGAGGATTCGATATCGTGCACGTTAAGGACTCTCTGGACAGGACGTTCGCTACTCGGTATGCTCCATCGTATCTGAAACTGAGTTTACAGTGTTCATATCTTTTCCCAACAGCATTAGCAACATCTTCGTCATCGGTGAGGGCATCAAGCCTTGGGTGTCCCTTCCCAAGGGCAAGGGTACCAAGCTCACCATCTCGGAAGAGCGCGACGTCAGGAGAAAGCGTGCAGCGGAGTAGTAAAGTAATGCTCAGGTGCTTTTTACTTTTCATCTATGTCCTGTATGCCCACATGCACCTCACTCATGAAACATGCTCTTGGTGGGATTGCCGCGCCTGCAGATTCATTTCACTTTATTCTTTAGTATGCCGCATTTAACATTTGCTGCAAAATGAAAAGAATTTCCTCGAAGACTTAAAATAACAATAGGTCACCAGTAGTCTGGATGGCGATGGGGTACAATGGTGTCCTTTCCTCTCTTCCTTCTCTCTGACTCCCATTTGGCCACCCATTTGGCCATTTTACCTCTGCTTGATTCACTCCCCACGTTGACTGTGGCGATCATCTTCACCCAGCTGAAGGACATTGCAAAGCACGTCAACTCAAAAAATGAGGAATGCTCGGAATAAGGAACTGGATATAGCTGTAGCGACGCTGTTGACTTCGCCGACAGCTTGAGATCCGCCCACGTAAAGTTCTGCTGAGAGGACTTGGAAATGACGGCAGGTATAGAGGGAAACTGGTCGCTACCCGCCGCAGGCGTGTATCTATAGACAATTTTCCATTAGAGACGCCCACTGGGATAAATACGCAAGCACCCACGTCCAACCAGTGGGTCTGAACCCGATAACCCGGTCAAAAAATCCTTGGAAGCGATCCAGATATCCCCGTAGGTGATCTGTCGCAATCGTGGCTAACGGTACCAGGTGAACGGTGGCCTCCAAGGGATCGGTAGTTAACAGGGCATCCAACTCTGGGTCTGCCTGGCATCTCAGAATAGCAGTTTTCTTCGAGTCACAATAAACCATGCTATTGAGAGCATGGGCGATTGCTAAATGGGAATTAGTTAGGGCCTTCACAAGTTCAAGGAGGTGGTTCCTTGATACCTTTAACGATCCGTTCTTTTCCGATAGAATACGTGCTAGTTGACGTAAATCAGCGTCGAAATGCCAATGCTGACTGATACAACGAACCCAACAACAACCAAAAGTTTAGATGTCTCCTTCTGCTTGCCTTTGCCCTTGGAGCTCGTTACCCATGACAGCATACTCGAAGCCCTGTCTAAGGCTTGGCCGTTCGTTATTTTCTTCACGAGTTCTGCACATGCTGATATAACGAGAGGCTGCGGTGGGAAGGTGTACTGGACGCATATAGAACATCAGTATACCTTCAGAGGACGGCTAGTCGAGCACTAACTTTGGGGTCAAGATACGTTGTATCAAGGTAAACATGGTCTATGGTTTTGCCACGAACTGCGGGGTGCAGAATGTGCCGAGGAGAAGCGCGGAAGTCGCCACAATGAAGATACCGGAAAGTCTTGGAGGAACCTACGAACGAGGACTTGAAAGCGCTATCTCCTGCGTTGACAGTTTGAGGGCCTTCGAATAAGAAGAGACAGGACCCAGGGCAGTGATTGGCCTCTATAAGTGTAACAGTTACGCCATTCGTGTTGGGAATGAGCGTAGGGGTGTCCATGGGCAGAGGGTGCACCCATTTACGGTCAACAGAGAGCATATGTACAATCAGATTCGCGGTGCCTTCTGAACAATAAATTGGACCGTTCTTCCAATTCGAGGATAGGTTCGTATAGTGGTCGGAATGAGCATGCCTTTTGACTTAGGGTCAGAATCTTGGGGAGAAAAAAAAAAGATGGAACGAAACACGAACGTTAAGAAATATGCTGTCACTCCTGGTATCGCCCCATATCTAAACGCGTCCACGGCGATAGGCATTCCTTGTAGGACCTTGTAAAATGGAGCTTTCCGACGGTCGCCATTGGCTTTGACTGGTCGAAACGATTTGTCTTCTGCGAGTGAAGCTTCTTTCCATTCCGCGTTCTCTTTGAATGAAGACATCAAGAAAGAAAACGCATTACTCCCACTTATCTTAGTTTTCACATCACAACTGGTTTGGTCCGATATATCAGTTGAAGGAGGGCCAGGAAATACTTTGGCTGACTCTAGCACCCCTAATGTCTCAGGTATTTGAGTATCGTCAGGTATTTCCTATAGAAACGTGAGACAGACACGAACAAAGGAAAGTAGGGACAGTTTACCATGACCCAATCATGTTCGACCAAATCCTTGAGGTGGACGACGTTTTTAGTGTCACTGGAAGACCCTACTTCAATGGCAGACAAAAGGCAAGCTGCTTCTGTGCCATCTTCGTCTACCTGGTTGAGAGATTCGTAGGACATTTCATCATCACCATTCTCCCAGTTGTCCAACGTAAGATTAATGTCCACGATTACGTCTTTCTTCACGACCTGCGTGTCTTCGACGACAGACATTCTGGAAAGAGGGGCTTTTGCCTCAGATTCTGTATCACGGAAGGCGGACATGAGAAGGGGTTTTCCGAACATTGAAGCTGGCGTATTGTGTGCAATCGCGATCTTGGCGTCAGCAGAGCGCAGAAGAATTGGCTCTCCAAACGAGGCTACATCCTCTTTCTTGAAAACATGGAATGAACCGCCTTCGTAAGAGCCGGGCCCAGAATTCTCTTTCGTCGCTGATGGACTGGGGATGCGTTCAAGAGGTCTTAACTTCGAAGGTTGTCCAAGTTTTCTGTTGAAGGAGTTGTCAGCGTTCTTCGGGCTGAGCTTGCGACGCTTGAGAGGGGTTTTTGTATCGAGGACCTCTGGTTCGTCGTCGGAGTCAGAGTCTATCACAATGATCTCTTGCTGAGATAAGTCTCGAGAGCAGGGACTAGATTTAGCAGTTTTAGATAAAAAATTGGCTTGTGGCTTGGATGGGGTTGACGAGATTGGTTTGGCAGTAAAGAATTCATGCAAAGTCCGACTTGTCGGCGTGACGATGCGCGCTTTCTTCGACTTTGCAGATGGCATTGCCAAGGCCCAAAGGCGAAAGGACGAACAAACATCATCACAGCGTGCGAAACTTTCTTCTACACAACGGCACTAGCGGCAGTAGTGGTAGTGATGCCGCGGCATTCTTGCCTTTCACGTTGTTTCCTCTTCCATTTAACCAACCTGCGAAGTACCGTCGATGGTGTTCCCCCCGAGTCCTGATGTCAAGCGATTGGTTTATCCTTCTTGGAGCCGGAGCTTTCATACGCTGGCTAAGGCATAATTGAAGATCAACACAGTATAACCTTCCCAGTGTTCCGGTTGTTCCACCACGCTGCCGGCTACCTGTAGCCCATTTACATGAGTGGCTTCATTCTGAACCCGAAGAACCATTTTACGCGGACCAGGTGATACCGGGATGCTAGAACTGAAATCCGGCGACACGGCTCTTATCGCGCCATCCGATATCAAATATTTCACCACGGACATGCCCGCGACTCACTTCCCTACCTACTCCTCTCTCGAGCGCTAACACCACGATAATGGCTCCTGCTTCTGAAGTGAACCAGTCCTCGCATTCTTTTCCTGATAAATCCTCCAAGCCGATCCCCCATGCCACGAGCATTCTGCACAGAACGCCATGGCAGCCCCCTATTGCCGTCTCCGCTGAAGGGATCTACATAGATCTGGAAGGCGGAACAAGAGTTATCGATGCAGTTGGTGGTGCGGCGGTGGCTTGCATTGGGAACAGCCACCCATCGGTAATGCAAGCGATTAAGGACCAAGTAGACCAAGTATCGTGTGCGTGCTCCTTTTTAAACACATCGTTGATTCTGCTGAACCACCTTTCAGATGTATATAATATGCAATTGTCGAATAAACCAGCAGAAGCTCTTGCGAAAAAGCTCGTCGAAACGAGCCATGGCGCATTTGCGTTGTGTGGGTTTGCTTCTGGAGGTCTGTCGGCTTACACTTCACTCCCTTACAACAAATATGCTGAAGTCGATAAGGGTCGGAGGCCATGGAAAGTGTGTTGAAGCTTGCTAGACAGGTGAACATGATTGTGTCTATGCTGTCCTTGGATTCTGACCTTGAAATACATCTAGTACTTCTTCGAGACCGGCCAACCTAGACGCACCAATTTCATTGCGAGGCAGTTGTCATTCCACGGCAACACTCTTGGGACACTTTCACTCGCCTACCATCCTATCCGACGGGGTCCCTATGCTGACATCCTGGATGATCGGCATTTCCATCATGTTTCGCCAGCCTACGCCAAACGTTTTCAAAAGTCAGGCGAAAGTGAAGAGCAATATGTTGAACGTTTACAACAGGAGTTGGAAAACAAGTTCCTCGAACTCGGTCCTGATACAGTCATAGGCTGTGGGTCATTATTCGTCCGCTGAACCAAGTGATGTTGTTAAGAAAACCTCCAGTTGTCGCAGAAACCGTGGTTGGAGCCACAACTGGTGTTCTTGCTGCACCCAAGGGATACTTCAAAGGTATACCTGACGCGTTTCGTCGATCTCGGTCCTAATTTGCGTTCGCATAGCTATGAAGTCGGTGTGCGATAAATACGGTGCTCTATTCATCCTGGATGAGGTGAGTCCTACAGCCTATCATCTTGCGTGACACTCACAGGTACCTGCATAGGTTATGAGTGGCATGGGACGTCAGTGACAATTCACCAGCACACACACAGCCCGTATTCTAACGCCATGTGTCTCCAATAAGGTATGGGAACTTTGCATGCTTGGGAGTCTTTCGGAGACGGTATTGCCGTGAGCGCGCTCTCGTTAATCTATCCAGAATGCCATCCTGAGAAAATTTGCAGCCTGATATTCAGGCCGTTGCCAAAGGCCTTGGAGGAGGGTGAGTTTGTTTCCCACCGCCAAAAGCATTTTCTAAGCCAGATCCTTTGACTAGATACGCTTCGATTGGCGCTGTTCTGATGTCCCAGAAGATCGCAGACGGAGTTCGAGATAACTCGGGTTTCTGGAAGCACGGTCATACCTACCAGGCAAGTTTCGTTTCCCCCTTTCTGCATAATGTTGTGACCTCATCTTCGTTGCCAGGCTCATCCTTTGGCTTGCGCCGCCTCTCTTGCGGTACAGAACGTTATTGAACAGGAAAATCTGCTGGAGAACATTAGAACGCAGGGGACATACTTAGGTAGGAATACATGTTCGAGAAATTTCTTCCTCGTACATACGGTTTACTCTTTCAGAGTCGCTCCTCAAGAAGGGATTGGCCTCTCCGAACTCATTGGCCGCCCCGTATATTTTCGACATCAGGGGTGGTGGTGGCTTTTGGGCCGTCGAGTTCGACTTGGCTGATTCGCCCATCAATTTCGAAGGAAAGCCATTCGCGATGATTGTTCAAGCAAAGGCACTTGCTAATGGCCTAATTGTTATGGGTATGGTTGGAGGTGCTAATCTTGAAGGAACAAAAGGTGACCACATTATTCTTTCTCCTGCCTACAATGTTACAAAGGCGGAGATTGAGAAGATCGCCGAGATATTTGTTCGCAGCATAGAGGAGATTCTGAAAGAATACAGTGTACAATAGAACACTAGACTTCAATAATAACTTAGAACGGCGTCGGGCTACAACCTTGTTACTGTCCATCTGTGGCCCATCTTTTGATTCCTGCTGCGTTGGGCCCAAGTTGGGCCTGATGACAGATTTCACGCCACCTGCTTATATAAGGTCAGGGATTGCTTTAGGGCGTCTCGCGACGCTTGACTGACCTTACCTTCCTCTGCACAGTCACCACCCCTGTGGATCCAACTCTCTGCTAAACGTCTATACACCAGGATCGATGGCTGGGTGCATGCACTAAATGGATTTCCGACCAATCCATCATCAAGAAGCCACCAGCTCCAGTGCATCTACAGCTCATCCAAACCTCGTCCATCAAGACAGTCTTCCAGACATACCTCAGGAAAGCAAACCGATACGCACAAGTGCAAGAGTCAAGGCTGCGAAACAGAAAACTCAAACATCCTCGCAAGGTAAAGATCGTGATTCCGCCAATCCAGAGCAACAACAAGGAGCATCTACCTCCAACGTCGAAAGTATCAGCACTCGCACTGCCCGCGTTAGTCCTGTGAAGGCGAGCCGTACCAGTGAAAGAAGCACAGGGAAAGGGAAGGCGAAAGAGGTACAGCAGGAATCCCCCCGTAGTAACAAACGGTGAGTAAGTGTGGGCGTATTCTATCATACCCAGCTGAATAGTGTCGTTCCATCTACAGACCACGTCGTAGTCAGGCATCCACCCAAGCCACTCTCTCAATCAACGAACCCTCTCGTGACCCCAAAGGCAAGAAACGAGCCGCTCCAGAACCTGAAGAAGACGAAATCGCAGGCCCCTCCGTCAAGCGCCCAAGAAGTTCCGGCTATTCTTTGAGATCCACTTCAGCTTCTGCTCAGTCCTCTGAAATGACTCGCAAATCCAGGTGCGTGCTTTCTGACTCACCGCGAGCTACCAATTGAATCCTCTTTCTAGAACAACTACCTCGAAGGGTAAAGCTGCCCTGAAATCCAAGATGGCCGCTGCCAGTTCTTCACGGATCGAGGACGAAGACGTTGAAATGATGGACGCGGAACTGACCCGACATGACAGCTCGGACGGCGATGAACAACTTGAGGAGAAGATGGATGTTGAAGAGAACATACAGAAAGAGGATCACCCCAAACCGAAAGCAGATGAGAAACCAGGGGGGCCTGAACAAGACGATGACGATGACGATGACGATGACGATGAAGACGGGGATGGCGGTCACTCAGGGGAAGGACGAATTTCCTCAAACGATGCAGGTCCTATTCCGGGAGGTATGGATGAAGCAACTGCCCTAGCTATTTTCGGCGATTATCGACAGTTCGGCTCTTACATGATGTCGCTATCCTCGCGGCTGAAGACTATGTTGAATAACATCAAGTCCACCGCAGATCCTACCACGAGACTTCTCACTCTCCAGGAGCTGAGTGAGCTGTTGAGTATTAGCACCGAAGATACTCTTGCTGGTTCCTTCCAAGTTGAACAATTTGTTAAGGAACTAGTGAAAATCCTGGGTGGTCGCAGTACCGAAGAAGACGAAGAGGAGGACAATGATGGAGAGCGTGACGAGGATGCGGCTCTTGCTGCAGCCATCGCGATGAGCTCCGGAGGAGCGTACCAAGGAGACGAGAACCTGGAAGCCCAAGTACTCGCCTGCAGATGCTTAGCCAACCTCATGGAAGCTCTGCCAGGCGTGGCTCATACTGTTGTCTACCATGGCGCGATTCCAGTCCTTTGCAGCAAACTAATTGAAATTTCCTACATCGATTTGGCCGAGCAAACCCTCAGTGTAAGCACCTTCTTTGGTCGTGTGGTTGGACAGTTCTCATGCAAGCGATTAGACGATGGAGAAGATCTCAGAGGAGTTTCCCAGCTCGATAGTCCGTGAAGGTGGCCTAGCTGCCTTGCTCAATTATCTCGACTTCTTCTCGATTGCGGTTCAAAGGACGGCCTTACAAGCTGCCTCAAATTGTTGTCGAAATGTCTCGTCTGAGCACTTCCCTATGATTCGCGGCGTCTGGCCCATTATTAGGAATTGCCTAACTTACTCAGACCAGCGTCTTGTGGAATTTGCTTGTCTGTGCGTCATTCGCGTCATCGACTCGTACCATCGGTCGTCCGTAGAGAACCTTGAATCACTGGTGGACACAGACCTTATCAAGGCTGTCAACCAGCTCCTGCTTCCCGCTGGTGGATCTCCCCTAATTGCATCGAACACTTATACCCTCCTCCTCCGAGCTTTAGCAACATCTGCTCGGGCCAGTGCCAAGATCACTGTGGCTCTTTTGGAGGCAGACATAGTGGACACCCTTTATCAGATACTAACCGGGGTCTTACCTTCAGCCTCAGAAGACCATTCTGATCAGGGAGACTCAGCAAGCGGGCAGGGCTTAGGAGGAGGTCTGGCTGATATGACCGTTATGGAGAATCTGGCCCACAGACCAAAGGATCAGGTGGAAGAAGCCTTGAGCCTAGTTTCAGAGTTGCTACCCCCCTTGCCCAAAGGTAAATACATCTTTTTCCCGTCTGTCTCTATGTCCTGACTTATACCGACGATTCAGATGGCGTATTCGATCACAAAGCTTATTCGGAAAAATCCCTCGCTCGGATGGTGAAAGCCAGAGCGAAGGCCGATCGAGCGGCCGCTCGATTGGCTGCCCAATCACAGCCGCAACCACAGGCTCAACTGCCGACAACTATTCCAGCAGCTGAATCCGCCGCTACGTCAACAAGCCAGCTCACAGGCGACACGACTCCCATTGTCACGGAAGGAGCCTCACAAGATGCTGAAGATAATGTGGAAGGTGCTGCCGCCCTTCCTAACATTGAACCTACCCCAGACCGCACCGATATGCTAAAGTCAAAGCCAGCTGTGGTTGGCAGGTTCATGCAACTTCTCGTCCCGATCTTGATAGATGTCTATGCTGCCAGCGTCATCATACCGGTCAGGGTCAAGACACTAACAGGGCTACTTAAAGCCGTGAGCTTCCTAGACTCTGATGGTTTGAAGCACGTCTTGAAGGTAAGCCGTTTTTACTTGCTGCCGAAACTTTGTCCCTAATTCTTTTTCAAAAAAAGTTCGTCCCTGTGGCTAGTTTTGCTTCGTCCATCCTGTCTTCTAAGGATCACCCTTCTCTTGTGATCGGTGCCCTGCAACTGGTTGACCTACTATTAGGAAAGCTGCCGACGTTGTATAAGCCGACGTTCCGGCGAGAGGGTGTTTTCCACGAGATTGATGTTCTAGCAGAGCGAACTCTGGCCTCAGTTAAAGCAAAGGAAAAGGAAGCACCAGATTCTGCTGGAGATGATACCCCTTCTCATCCACCTCCCCCTATCCCTGGCTACAAAAAGCTCTCGTCAATGTCGCTTGACCCTGAAGATGCTATCACCTTGCGTGCTCGTGTTCTGCAGTTTAAATATCTTCACGACAAGGAGGACTCGGGGGGAGACGCTGCTTTTGAACATTTGCGTGCCCTTGTCGACAAGATTTCTGCGCCTAACGCCAGTGACCAGGATTATTCAGAAGCCCTTCTCGAACTGGCCGTCCTATTCTCGTCCCCCCACACTTCTGTTTCGAGTTTCGAATTGCTTCAGAGTGGGGTCATAGATGGCTTACTACAGTTCGCCACTGATGCGAATCGCTCTGGTACGTTTTAGAACCAATCCTCTTTCATCCTTATTCACCTTCGCTCTTTGGCTGCTCAGTAAACTTGCAACGGCGAAAGGAAATTCTTCTCGATGCTTTTGCCGCACGGCGAATGAAGAATCTGAACCCAAGTCAGACACCGTTTGCCACGTTAGTGAAGAAATTGCAAGAGAGTCTTACTAGGATGGAATCCTTCGACGTCATTACTGTTGCCCAAAACAGTGACGGTAAGCATCTTCAGTTTTAATTCTCCCTATGTTGATATCTTATTGTGTCCCTCAGACTCGAAGCGCAGCTCCCCGTCTCTGCTCGCGCGCCAGCTTCGCCTCCGCCTGGTTGCGGGTGATGACTCTGATATTCCAAGAAACCTCCACAACATTGTGGTGTCGATTCATGCAATTGCTACTTTCCAGGCTCTGCACGACTATCTTCGTCCTCGCGTTGCAGGCCTCCTGAGCAGTTCCCGGCTTTCAGGAATGTTTGCTGCACTTGCGGCATCTGGGTTTGTGGGGTCAGCTTCCCACCCGCCGACAAATGAGCCCTCTGTCAAAGCCTCTAGCTCCAATGCGCCGGCTGAATCCAGCTCTGCCTCCACTGTCCAACGTCGTCGTAGTCAACGCCTAGCCAAACAAGCTGCTGAGGCTTCGGTGACAGAACCGTCACCAACTAGTGCACAAGGGTCCTCAGAGGATGCAGATGGAGCTGTAAATCATGCTCCAGAATCCTTGGCACCGACGGCACCAACAGCAGAGCCTGCTCCCAGTGATACTGTTGTCGATTCGGAGCTGCAGGCAGAATTTACCGATGACGATGAAGTGGACGCGGAGGTGTTCGACGATGAGGTAGACCCTGATAATTCTATTGCAGACAAGACTATCACGTTATCGGTTGGTGAAGGTTAGCTATGCTTTCATCTTTTTACTACCGCATCCTAATGCCTTACATTCTCTCTCAGATGGAACGAAGGTCGAGGCACAGACACCAGATGGAACCCGAGTTGCGACACCCAATGCTGCTTCTAAGGACGGCTTGCTGGCAATGGCCCGAAATTCATTGTCGTCTCGAGGTTCGTACGCTGCTGCGTTGAAGGCTAAGCCGACGGATTGGCACCTCGAATTCTCTATGGATGATCATATTCTACCGTTGGATCTAACAATCTATGGCGCAATTCACCAGCATGAGATGCGAAAGAAAGCTGGGGCGGCACCGCTGAACATGATTTGGCAAGGTATTTACACCATCAAGTTCAAGAAGGTCACTGGTCCTGCTCCTGGGCCTGAGAGTATGTTCTCCACAGCTATTGAAAGGCATTCACTGAAAATTTATTTCTCTTAGATCGTGGTGACGGTTCTGACCCCATCACCAAGAATAGGTCACCGAGCCCTACCCTCTCCTCACTCCCAGAAGACGCCCCCCATGCCAAAATTCTCCGTCTTCTCCGTGTCCTTTCTCATCTAAATTCTCTGGAGGCTGAACGCGTTGGTCTTGGTTCAGAAAGGCGAAACCTTCCTGACTCTGCCTTTGTGAACAATAAGCTGACAGCCAAGTTAACACGTCAATTGGAGGAGCCTATGATTGTTGCCAGGTTAGTTCACTTCTTATTCGCGGGTGAAAGCGTCTTCAATGGTCTTTTTCAAGCTCCTGCCTCCCTGATTGGGCCCTCGATCTTCCACAGCATTTCCCCTTCCTGTTCCCGTTTGCCACCCGATACAACTTCCTCCAATCGACATCGTTTGGCTATGCCAGATTGATCTTAAAGTGGCAAAGTCAACAGACACGTGGTCAAGATACCTCTCGTCGAGACGAAGGGATCGGGTTCCTTGGCCGCTTGCAGCGACAGAAGGTCCGTATCTCTCGAAAGCATATACTCGAATCGGCTGTCAAGGTTTTCGAACTTTACGGATCCTCTTCCTCAATCCTCGAAGTCGAATACTTCGAGGAGGTCGGAACGGGGTTAGGGCCAACCCTCGAATTCTATTCCTTGGTATCAAAAGAGTTTGCCCGGAAAGATTTGAAAATTTGGCGTGACGCGGATGCTTCTGGACCAGGAGTTTATGTCGATCATCCCAAGGGCCTCTACCCAGCTCCCATAAGCACGGAGGACATCATCAACGATGGAGGACAGTGCGTGATACTTTACATTCTGTTGACCTGCAACTCGCTAATACCCTCTTAGGAAGAGAACACATATTTTACGCGTCATCGGTCAATTTGCTGCTAAAGCAATGCTGGATTCACGAATCATCGACATGACGTTCAACAAGGTCTTTCTAAAGCTCGTCCTGGGAGAAGAGTTGCCTTTGACGATATCCACATTGAGGGTACGTATGAATACTAATTAGAATATTCGCCTTCTCTTTTCTCATCTTGCACGTCAGCTCGTTGATGTCGGACTAGCAAATTCGCTGGCAAAAATACAGAACATGGCTGCCCAACACAATGCAGTCCCAAAAGATAAAGTATGTCATCGCACATCTAGTCTTTCGGCGCAGGGCTGATCTCGATGATCAGCTTTCACAGAAGGTTGCAAAGATAGAGCAAGTTAGTTTTGAAGATCTTTCACTCGATTTCACCATTCCCGGTTATGAAATTGAATTACGGGTGTGTCATTCTGTTTCCCCCCCAACGTCGAACCGTTGGTGCTAAGTTTCTTCTTATTCAGCCTGGTGGAAGAGACATTCCCGTGACAGTCGAAAATGTCGATGAATACATCCATGAAGTATTGGATGCAATCCTCGGCAAAGGGGCGGCGCTTCAAGCAAAGGCTTTCCGTGAAGGTTTCTCGAAGGTTTTCCCAATCACAGATCTTCGTGCGTTCTCTTCGGATGAACTCGTCATGCTGTTTGGCAATTCCGAAGAGGATTGGAGCATAGAAAGTGAGTTCGAAGTTTTCTTCCCCAGTTCGATAAGTAAGACCGTTGCGTAGCTCTCTCAGAAGCATTGAAGGCGGACCATGGCTTTAACGTGGAAAGCCGTGCAATCCGCGACCTCATCGAGGTTATGGCCGACTACGATACATCCACCCGTCGGGCCTACTTGCAGTTTATCACGGGCAGTCCGAAATTGCCTATAGGTGGTCAGTTTGGCATGACTTCCGCTCCTTCAAATCCAATACTAATTGAATACTTCAGGTTTCCGCGGCTTGAATCCCTCTCTCACCGTCGTTCGCAAACCGCACGAAGCACCTCTGACAGCAGATGACTATCTCCCAAGCGTGATGACTTGTGTAAACTATCTCAAGCTACCGGAGTACAGTTCCAAGCGAGTCATGAAAGAGAAGTTGGGGATAGCCATGCAAGAGGGAGTTGGAAGCTTCCACCTGTCGTAAGGCTGAGATCTTCGTGCCCTTTTACTACTGTTTTCCTGTTTCGCACTTTCAAGTCCTTCTCTAGAATCACTCACGTAGTACATTTCTATCGCATACACACATAACTTTGTCGCAGCATACGTTTCAATTTCACCTGATTCGTTCTCTTCGCTGTGACGCTTGTCAGGTTCGCATAAGATGACGTAAGTAGATTACTAATCTGCAAACTCATGAAATCAGACGCAACGGCGCAGGCTCAACCTCTGTTACCTCCAGTCATGTCTAAGCATCATCCCGGTTTGCCCTCTTCCCCGTTCTAGAGTATGACACTGCTGATACCCTGTTACAGACCTAATTATGTGCCGGCGGCAGCCTGGAATTGGTAGGTCGCCCGTGCCACCTCCAATTCTGACCTAACTTGGTTGTTTCCCTTAGCCATCGGGCGTTTGTGCGAGAAATGTGACGGAAAATGGTACGCTAGCTCGCTATTCTCGATATGTGGTACTCACCCTCTGCTGTCTCAGCCCCGTTTGTGATTCATATGTCCGACCAGAAACTCTTGTTAGGATCTGTGACGAATGTAACTTCGGTACCTACGGCGGTCGGTGTATTATCTGCGGTGCTCCTGGTGAGTGAATCGTTGTGCCATGTCTTACTTGGAGCTGATAAATCGCCGCAGGTATATCTGATGCCTATTACTGTGCGGAGTGCACGCGTCTCGAAAAGGACCGGGATGGTTGTCCAAAGATTGTGAACCTTGGAGCCAGTAGAACCGATCTCTTCTACGAGCGACGTCGCTTAGGTCAGAGTATTTCATTCATCATTGAACATTAATCTAATACATCCCCCAGGGTTCAAGAAGGGTTAACCCAATCAATATCCTTGTCATTAGTGTCTTCATCAATATACAGCATGTAAAGGTGCATGGAATACTAAGTGCAAATACATCGATATTGAAAGTCTTTACCGGTAAACAGGATAGGGAATCACGGGCGGGCTGCCAGCGGCGCTCTCTATATTGGCAAAGTTCCTGGAAAGCTGATCAGCACCTTAACTTTCTGCAGAACGACAGGGATTACTTGAACAATTGCATGTCAACCTAAGGGGAAGTTGGTCATCATGACACTTCTCGAATATCATATGCACCCACAAGAGATTTGAACACAATGAAGACGTGGGTGTCATTGTGTGTGTCAACCGCTTCACAGTTGTCGCATAGGTCCCGAGGACAGTAACAGCACCGAAACCATTCGCCTTCGATAGGAGTCATACACCGATCACAGATAGAGGATGAGTGTACGAGTAGGTTGAGGTAAGCTGTTGAGAGGAATAAGGTCATTAAAGGAAGCTTTCTCTCGGAAAAATTTACTTGCCTCGTGGGTCGTTGGTTCGTGGCATATTTGGCGGAGGTCCTGCAGGAATCTTGTATCTACGTGGAAAGGTAAAGAAAAGATGCGAGAACTGTAAGAATAGAACTCACAAAGGCGGTAGCATCCCATACGGTGATTCTATTGGCCGATGCACTGGCCGAGGCAGTTTGAAGAATATGTGCATGGGATCGTGGATCAAATATGACCGTTCCTCGCAATTCGAACACTCGACATAGTTCAGTGCCACGATTCACATCGCCGCACCAGGAAACTTACCAAGTTGAAAGCTGAGGGCTTCGACGGACAGTGAGCACATTGATAACATACGCCGATAATCAGCTGGGAGACTCGAATGAGACTTCAACAAAGCGGAACGTAGGTGAACCTACCTGGCCACATCCATTGCAGAAGAGGTGGTGGTCCTTCGCATGAAGCGGCCGTTCTCGTGATCCAGCGCCAATGAGGGTCTGGGCATAAGATGAAATTTCCGAGTTGGCTTTCGATCTTGGGACTTGCAGGCCCACACTGGCGGCATCTCTTCCAGTCCAAAGATGAAGGGCTCGTCGGCTAGCGTTCTGGAGCTGTAGAAAATGTCAGATCGAGGCGATGTATCGCGTTGTGTACTACATGCCTCAGCGGTTTCCAGGGGGTATGGAATCTTACAAGAGGGATTAGTCAAAGAGCCTACATCGCAAACTTCAGAGATACCTTGATCAAAATGTGAGACGAGTTATGCCCGCCGTCAGCGGAGTCAAGATTTCCAGGAAGGCCTGCAGATTCGCAGTTGGAACAAATATCGACTGAGTCGCATATTGCGCAATGGAATCTTGCTCCAACGATGTCGAGCAAACAGCTATAGCGGAAGGTTACTCCGAGTTGGTGAAACAAAAGGAGACACCTACTGTGCACATTTGACTCCAGGATGGATGAGAGCTGAGTCTAATGTGAGGATATCATTTGACCACGACCGGGATTTTGGACTCACAGAGCTCATCCTGCGACTCCGAGAGTGGACCGGTAAGGTAATCATCACTAATAGGCTCCTCGACAGGCTTGTCCGGGACGATGCAGAATGGATGGGATGGATGTAGCTCATGCACTTGGCTGTGCACAGGAGCGTCAGCGTGACAAACGAAAAACCATGACGAGGACAATCTAACCTATAGCATGCACGACAGAGGTGCATTTTTTCACACGAAGCGCACTTATATCGTTTCCTCTCCGTAACAGCAGAACATGTTGAACATTGCGATATTTGTGCCTCGTCAAGCACTATGACGGATTAGGATTCATACCCGACTTGTCAAGGGTGAGACAGACTTACCAACGTGTTCCCATCCGTTATGGCCCCAGACCCTTTCTTGATATGCGTGGCGCAATTGACCTTTCTTAGGTGCAGCCCTTCTCCACTGCGAAGCTCTCTGGGGGTCGTCGAAGCCTGGAGACATGTTACTGATGTTCGGGGAAGAACCCGGTGCAGCCATGACCGCCTCTATCGCATGGTTTATTCCAACGGTCTCCAGACACATGGAGCAGAGCTCGTAACCCGATGTCGTATTATGTGTCAGCGATGACGGGGAACTCGGAACGCTTGGGCTTCTCCGAGCTGAGAAGATTGAATGAAGCGAGGGTAAGGAGGGAACGGAGGGTATGGAGGGTAAGGGTTTGTAGCGATGATGCTCACGCGGTGAATCCGAACTTCCGACGAAGGTCTGGGATGAACTAGAATTTGGGCTGGAGAAGAGGGGATGGGGTAGAGGAGGGTAGCTGTAGGAGCTGGTAGGTGAATCCTTTTCTTTACCCTTCTCTGACCCTGAATCCCTAGGCGCCTTCTCGCCACAAGTGGAACAAACATATCGGATGGAATCCAGGAGGACACCACAATTAGAACAATCTGTCAGGATTTCTGGACGAGGCCCCGGGACTGGAAGGAATGGGAACAGATCTTTGTCGATGTAAAGAATGTCTTCTGGAGTTTCCTCCTGTATGGATGTGGATCGGATATCACGGTCCAACCTCTGGCTTCCTTGCACTTCAACGCGTTGAGAAGCTAGCCAGTTTAATTGCATAGAGGTGGGACGTGGCTTTCGTGGAAACATGGAGTTGCGATTACTGGGGTCGCCTTCGCCATATTGACCCTCGTCCTCTGCCGAGCCTTGGTATTGTGAAGAAGAGCCTGAGGTGTAGGTGTAGTAGTATTTGCCACGAGGATCCCTTTCCAAGGCAAGATCACCACCGAGTGATTCCTCTTGAGACCCCAACGAAAGTGAAAAGCCGTCCGACTCTGATGGCGCTGGTAGAGCTCCAAGCACAGAACGGACTGCCCTCTCATTCTGGTCTCGTAGCCAGGCTGCACCGCGTTCGTTGGCATCAAGCGAATTGAAATCCACACTGGATGAATCGTCTTGTAGTGTTTCCGATAACTTGAGACGTTCAAAAACGGCCGACGGATCTTCTGGATATCGATCTGCAGCGGCGCCTAGTTCACTATCTGCGACGCGTTGTTGAGTGCCTTCGTTGTTGGTGTCGGAAGGAAGCTGAGTTGTTCCATTCAGCGAACGACCCTCATACCCCTTCGACGTCCCCCGATTGTCCGAACAAATGAAGCTTTTCTTCTTCCCGAGGGAGTGGAGTGAGCTACCCAACGTCTTGCTATTACGAGTGGAGGATGTTCCAGGATCTCTCGAACTTACAGTAACGGAATCGTCATCGAGGTCAATAGATGGGGTTCCGAAAGAGAAGGATTGTTGACTGCCGTTTCGCCCTTTGAACTCCTCCAAACTCGCGAGGGAGGAGGTGTCGGAGAGACTTGGACCGTCATAATCGACCGTTATGGTGACACGGAGAGTGATCTTCTTGAGACCGAAACTGCGCCCAGAAAGAATGGACGCTGCGGAGGATAGAGGGGCGTCATCCCCTGCTTGGAAGTACTGAATGGCTTCAACAAGGTCGGCATCCGTTGCAATGGTCGTTATCTCTCCATCGTCGTCCTTATAAGAGATGGCATATGATGCAGCGTACAGAGAGAAGCATTGTTCCACCTTCAAAGCGTTAAGAATCGGACGTGGATCGAGTTGGGAGATAACCACACCTTGCTTCGGAGGAGATCATAGGAGCAATTCCGCGCCGATGAGAAATTGATTCGTTTGTGCCACTTATCAAACGTGCACTTGACAATGAGAGGTTTATCAGGCGGACTGTACATGGAGCGTTGCCGACAACGGTGTAGGGAAAAGACGTCGGGTTGCAGAAGATGCTTCCAATACCGTTCTAGATAGCGCCGGACATTAGGTTGGCTGTACAGACGCTGGGCCTCCGCAGTCACCGATGTGTAATGATCGTGTCAGCACTTTCGTCACGCAATTCACAATTCTGAATCCACGCAGCATTTGTGATTCCTACTCCTATGTATGAATATCCTAGCTAATGTTACTATGGGATTATGTAAAGAAAACATTCTGTAAGTTTCAAATCAAATCAAATATACTTTCCTCAGAAGTCAGGAATGCAGGATTGGGTGAAACAGAACTTACAGAAGATAAATGACTGCAGGCGCAAGTCGTTTTTTGCTATGGTTGACGCAGCAAAAGAGACTGACAAAGAGCAAGAAACACGTCGCGCAATGTTGTGCCTCTAGGAGAAGCACGGTATCATTGCCTTTCCATGATATAAGCAGTTAGATCAAGGCACTTGGTGTTAGAAGTGGTGGATAATGGGAAGACGAGGAAACACCTAAAACACCTAAGGGGGGGAGACACAGACACCTAATGACCACAACAGAAGTACGAAGTATGACGGCAAGTTGTATTAATCAATAAACTACCGAATTTGTACACGTAGCATGTGAGCCAACCAGGGTCACATGACCAAATCTAACACTCCCACCAGCAAATGCACGAAGCTCCCACTGAAACCAATCTAAATGTCCTGTCTGATCTTGACACACCAGCCAAGCTCCCACCCAAAATGAGAAATCCTCCAGAATGAAGCTCCCATCCAAAACCAAAAATCCTCCAAAACAGAGCTCCCACCCAAGTCCAAAAATCCTCCTGCACCAAAGCTCCCACCCAATTAAGAATCTTCTGAGTGACTTGATGACCTCATAAAGAGGAATCTGAGATTTTCAGGCATGAAAATGCAGCTTGAAATGGTGTTTGAATTGTTGTATGAGCAGGAGATGTGATGTTGGTCTACTTCAGAAAGAATATCTTGATTTTGCTTGATCAAATGGGTGATTTGGTGTGGAGTGATGGTGGTGTAATGGTGAAATGGGTGTAGATGCCAATCATGGCAGAAGAGACAAGAAAATAAGGGTGATAAGAGAGGAAGCAGTGATGAGCTGGCAGAGATTTGATGTGCTGGCAGCAGATTAAAGCAGGGAACTGGGGCCCATAACCTGTTAGAAGTGGTGGATAATGGGAAGACGAGGAAACACCTAAAACACCTAAGGGGGGGAGACACAGACACCTAATGACCACAACAGAAGTATGAAGTACGACAGCAAGTTGTATTAATCAATAAACTACCGAATTTGTACACATAGCATGTGAGCCAACCAGGGTCACATGACCAAATCTAACACTTGGATCGTCATAAGGCCTAATGCGCAGTCAGCTAAAGTCATCAGATTGGCTATCATTTGAATACTGCGGTCAAGTCAGTCAATGATCCCACATTGGCATCACAGGTCAACTAGACTCCCAGGTTCCAGTCTAAGCCACACTGAGTACCTTCTCTGCAACTGGTCCAAGAAAAATGGCAAGACACGAGCGAAAGTTGCAAAGATGGATGCTGGGATTCAAGGACATTGAATAACATCTGTCGTTCCAGAGATTGTACTGTCAAACCACCCAACTTCCACTGACTGTCATGTACTTAGAGAGTCTATGGCACAATAGAAGGACTTCTTGCTCCTTGAGAGTCACCAGATCAGCCCTGAGCCGCAGTCCAGCAAACGATGGCAAAGACTAAGACTAAGTAAATTCCAGAATAGGATCATTAAAGCTGAATAGTGTCACTCTGGTGTCACTGTTCACAGAGAAGAGTGCTGGGTGGCTGGAGGAGGGGACAAGGAGTTGGGACTGCCAGTAGAGTACAAAGGAGGATTGCCCAGAAAGACTGGATGGATGGACATGATGTCCTCAAGGTAGTTCGCCTTCATTGTATAAACCCTGGTACAGACGGATGGGCAGGCCGACTTGGAGGTGAGAATTGAGGATAATGAAGTTGGCGGAACACACTCTAATCTGCAGACGGATTGTCCTAGCCACCTGATGGAAGGCTCTTGAACACAGGACACACGGAGTTCCAACTCTTCGTCGACCTGGGGCTTGACGCTGATAAAGACAAGTTGCTACATGGTGGGTCAGAAGGTGAGAGGAAATAGACCAGAAATTCAGAATCAACCACTCACCGGTTATTTGTTTCAAATCACCAAGACCTCTCATGGTCACCTCACGTTCAGTATTAGTCCCGTGCAAATCAGGCAGTCTTTGAGCTTCAATGTTCAGGATGCAGGATGAACCGCCATTGTCACCACATCATCTCCCCTGTCGTCCCGGCCGAGTTTTGACCCGGGTGGGCATTATCATATGTCAACTCGACTGCCATAACTCCAGACGTCCCCTATCCCGTGCATACCCTGGTATACGATGCTGGCGCGCCAATCTCAACGTACATTGATTCGCATACCTAAAAATCGTCACCAGCAAATGGCATCTTCCGCCGTCACACGTTCAAGACCACTCGATTGGAAGGCTGCTGCCCCAGAACCTCCAGCAGGAACGCAAACTTTCGCTGCCCAAGCGTCTCTGCCTCGATTACCCGTTCCAAATCTCCAGGATACTTTGACTCGTCTGAAGGAGTCACTGGCGCCAATTGCTTGGAGCGCATCGGAGTACAACTCAGTTTTAAAGAAGATCGACCAATTTGGTTCTGAATTAGCACCAGAGCTGCAGAAGCGGTTGTTGGAGAGAGCTACCCAACACCCTCACTGGTTGGAAGAATGGTGGGACGACGGTGGCTACCTGGGATATCGGGATTCTGTACGTGTTCTCACATCTGACTTTGTGGACATATTGGCCCATAGGTGAACCAGGTTGTTGTGAACGTTTCCTATTATTGTAAGATCTCTCATTCCTCAAGGGATTATCTGAATGGTCTGGATAGATGGATTTGATTCGCCCCCTTCCCACCTTGGGCAAAACCCGGTCGCTCGTGCTGCTGGTATTACCAGGGCCGCCATGTTATTCAGGCAGCAATTAAAGCAAGGTTTAATCAAACCGGAGAGCACCAAGGAGGGTCCTATATGCATGGAAACCTATCGGTGAGTGTCAGCGCTCGTCCATTAGTTGTCCTTATGCGTTATCTTGTTCTTCAGATGGATGTTCGACTGCTGCAGAGTACCAGGAGACGGTCTTGACTGGAGTATTTCTTATGCGAAACCGGGAAATCTCGGAGATTCCGGTCATATTATTGTTATCCGCAAGAATCGTGTCTGGAAGGTAGACGTTACTAACAATGGTAGAATTTTGAGCACCGGAGAAATAGAGAAGTGCGTGTTCTTATTTTCTTTCGTCATCAATTGCTCAATTGCTCTCCGCGTCGCAGGCAAATTCAGCATATCTATGATAATACTCTACAAGAGTACCCTGGTGTTGGCGTTCTCTCGGCCTCCAATCGTGACATCTGGGCCAAGGTGTGAATTATATCACCAGTTATCAACACTTCGTTAACTCTCTTCAGGATTACGTCGAGCTGGCTTCCCAAGGCCAGAATGCCAACATCATAGAAGCTATTCAGTCCTCAGCATTTATCATTTCCCTTGAGGATTTCCGCCCCAAGGATTCTGTCCAACACAGTCGAGGTCTCTGGCACGGAGACGTTACGGGAGGGGTTCCAGTTGGCCTAAGGAACAGATGGGTCGACAAGCCCCTGCAATTCATCGTCTTCGATAACGCGGTTGCGGGTTTCATGGGCGAACATTCCGTCATGGACGGCACACCCACGGCGCGGATGTGTGACGAGGTCCTGGATATGCTCTATGACCCTGCATTCGATCATGGAAATCCCTCCGGACATGATTTCACCCCTTCTCCTCTTGACTGGGAAGTTACCCCCTCCATAGCTCAAGCAATCGTGAAAGCGGACAAAGCAGCTGCGGAACTTGTGGAAAGTCAAGAGCTAGGGTTCTACCTTACGTCTTACGGCAAAGCCGCTATCAAGAAATTTGGAGTCTCTCCAGATTCATGGGCACAGATGATCATCCAACTTGCATATCGGCGTCTTATTGGACCGAATAAGAGGAACGGAGGGACATACGAAGCTGCAACGACTCGTAAATTCTTCAAGGGGCGGACGGAGGCCATCCGGGTCGTTACTAGCGAATCCGATGCATGGGCGAGGAGCATGGACAACCCGGCCGCAACAAAGGAGCAGCGCAAAACGCTCTTCGATGCAGCTGCTGCGAAACACATATCCCTTGCGAAAGCAGCAGGCCAAGGGCAGGGTGTCGATCGTCATCTGTTTGGTCAGCTGCGATGTTAATTTTTTTTCCCGAACTCTTTGCTGAGCAACGGGCAGGCCTCAAAAAACTTTTGAGAAAGGGCGAAGAGGCACCTGAGCTCTTTACTGACCCAGTTTACACCCGGTCGTCGTACTGGACCCTCAGCACCTCGGCCGTCTTCTCGAAACACTTCCCAGTCTATGGCTGGGGCGAGGTGTGTATATCAGCTGGACTAACAAATTTCATCACGAACTTGACTAATTCTAGGTCGTTCCTGATGGTTTCGGAGTGGCTTACATGACTGGTTATGACGGTCAGTCCGGTTCGTGGAGTCTTAAACGAGGATGACTGACGTGGATAACAGATCGACTTCAGTACACGGTGACTTCCCGCAGGGAGATGCCGAATGCACAGTTTGTGCAGGAAATTGCAAAGGCTGCAGAAGATCTGTATGCGTTGCACAAAGATGTGGCAAAACCCAAGGCCCAACTGTAATGTCAAGTTTGGATGTCGAATACACAAATACTTTCGAACTGCAATGAAATGAAGCCAGACTCCGGATCACAAAGTGCATTGTAATTCAAACGTTCATCGAAGTGTTGCTGCTGCAAAAATTTCTAGGAAAGGAGTTGCCAGTTGGCAAAGACGAAAACGCCATGACTCTCCTGGGCATCCGACCGACAAGAAGGTGCACTTCATTCCTGTATTCGAGTAGTAGGGACAGACTTGTGCGCACTGATCAAAGGAAAAAAGTTTTCCGCGTAGTATCGAGATCTGGCTTGATGGCCGATAAAAGTCAGCACAATGAAGACGAAACTCGGTAACGAAACCTACCTTCCATGCCCATACGAACTCATCTTGTTTTGGAGGTATCGTTTTGGTAGGTTTTTCTTGTTCTGGTGATGGCTCGGTTGTATTCGAGTCTTCCTTCCCATCATCGTTGAGTTGTTGGTCATCGAACACCAATGGCTGTGGATCCTCTCCGAAACGATACACAGCAGGAATGCCCTTCTTTAGCCACCTTAATTTGAGTGTAAATCGAGGCCCAATCTCCTGCAGCGCAACCTTCTCCGTTGAGCGGAAGGCGTATCTAGAGAAATGTGTTAGAGGCTAAAGGTCTATAAAGAGAGCAAGGCTGTGGACGGACGCACCGATGGCGTCTGAAGAAAATGAAGTCGCGTTGATTATGAAATGTCACGACTTGCCGACCTTGAAATTCGGGCAGTTGGGGAAACGTTGTCTGGAACATTCGACCAACAGCATGACCAAGGCGGGTCACAAAGCCATTGAGTACCAGTTCAGGATAATGGGCGGTTGCTCGTGCATGGCCCTAAGTGAACGTTAATCAACACCATCATCAGAGGAAAGCAAGTGCTAACGAATATTTGTTTGGTAAGTTCTATGGAGGTAAGTTTGAAGTATGCAGAAGGTCCATTGGGAAGATACACCAGCGTCACAGCATCTAACAGATGAAATTAAGTTGGCCAGTATCCATTGTCAGTGGAAGTGTGCGCACTGGGCTTTTTCATATCCTCGTTAATCACACACAGATGTTTGTAACCCCGATCAGCTGCCCAGCCAGCTATCCGGCCCATTTCGAAGCCTTTTCCCTTTTTTCTGCGAATAAACTCTGCTCCAGGAAACACGCCGACTAGTTCATCGCAAAAGTCGTATGTCGATTTGGACGCTTTGGGGGAGGTTGTAATAAGGATTTTTGGAGGTATGCTTGGGTCATCGACAGAGGTGAAGTACGAAGCGAATGGGTCATTGGCGAGGTCGGCATCAAGTTCGTCTTGCGTTTGGGATGTTGAGGGGTCCGCAGTTAGGATAGACGAGTCAAAATCTCGGGTATTGTCAAGGGTACGAGGCACGTTCTCTGCGAGTCGTTTCTGTAGGACCGGCTGTGAATACTACAGAGAAAATGTTCGAGGAGATCGAACACACCTTCTTTAGTGAGGGATCATTGGCTTCTAGCTTTGCCTGTTCTAACCTCCTCTGTAATTTCTGCTGGTTTTTAGCTTTCTTGGCTTTGCGGACAACTTCCTCCCTCTTGATTTTATTTTTAATCTGGGAGGCCTCGAAACGACTTGTCGCCATGGGCAAAGCAAGCGGTAAAGGGTCAGGGATTCAAAGTCAGGAGCAATGAGAAGTGCTTGAGCCTTTTCAAAACGTCTCCTCGAACAAGCGAATTAGAGAAGTATGCAAAGTTTGTGGTTCCGTTAACCGTTTAAAGCGAGATGGTCGTCCAGAGTCCAGACTCCATGAGCTTCAAGAAAAGGCATGTATTTGGATGAGACGATTCCGCCCAACACCACAATCTTATCTCTGACTTCCTCAGATTAGATTAGCAGTCTTCACTCGTTTTCAAGTTGCGGTGTTCTGGCGCTCTTCAACTTTCAAGCATGTCCTTATTGCCAGCCAAAAATGAACAATACGGGACGAAAGAATATTGGTTCGTCTCAAAGAGTATTTTCCCTTCGAAGCCATGGCCTGACAACATTTGCTACAGGGACCGTCGATATTCAGAGTCAGTGAGCGTCGTCCTATTCAATGGATCGCGAACTCATAAAGTCGCAAGAGAAGGCATCGAACAATCTTTCGACTGGTTTAAAACATACTCCGATCTCGCAGATTTCTTTCACGACCTTATACCAGAGAAGACTTCGAAAATCTTGATGCTTGGATGCGGCAATTCGAGGCTTTCGGAAGACGTGCGTCTAACTAGCGGCAGCGCAACTGCGACGGGCCAATTCTAGAATTTTAGATGTGGGAGGATGGTTATCGTAATATTGTCAACATCGACGTCCGTACATTTGTCCGTCATGAACTTTCTTGGTTTTAACTAACAAGGCGTCCTTTTGGTTTCTTTAGTACTCGAGCATTCTAATAGAGCAGATGCGGCAAAAGCATAGTGGAGTACGGCCGCAGATGGAATGTATGTCTAAACGTTTCCGACCCAATTCAGCTGCTCATGAAACCCAGGGCACGAAATGGATGTGAGAGATCTCAAGATCGAGGACGAGACCTTTAACGTCGCGATTGATAAAGGTGAGCGTAATTGCAGTGAAAAAGACTTGCAACGTTTGCGATCTTCCCATGTAGGTACCATGGACGCAATGATGACAACGAAAGGGGATGTATGGGTAAGGATATTTTGTTCGCCTGCACACAGCGTTCGAGATGTTTCACCTGGAACGATGACCAGGACCCTCCTCAACAAGTTGTCAACGATTGCACGAAGGAGGTAGAAGAAGCATTGAGGTAAGAAACATCAAATTAGATTTCGTCACGTTTCGCTGAAGGCAGGTCAGAGTGCTCAGAAAGAATGGCACTTTCATCTACCTGACATTTGGTCAACCTCACTTCCGCAAACGATACCTTCACAAAGAAGGGACGGTCCTGGAGATCAAGCAATTAGGGGAAGGATTCCATTATTATTTATACATACTACGGAAATGTCCAGATATCTAGGCGCTCATCCTGCCACGCGTCGAAGTTAGAACAAGAACTTGACATTCTTATAGAAGTCAAGCATTGCGTTTTCCCCATTGTGCAAACATGTCTTTTCCAACTCGGCGTAGGTTTCCAGAAATTGGGAGTGGGAGAACACGCTCGATTTGCGCTCACCAATGGGTAGCCCGCTCGCCGATGCAACACCGTCAAGTGGCCTACGCCGATTATTTGGTTGATATGATGAAAAGTAGTTGGAACCAAGGGCGAATGGTGTTGCTGTTGAAGTAAGAGGTGAGATACGCCCAGCAGCCAAGTCGTCCATCGTTGATGCTAGGTCTAATGGCGGCTGAGATAGGGTATATTCGTACATATCTCGCAGTCGCTCGAAGTCTGTCGGGAAGAATATGTCGAAATATCCCTGCTTGACGAGGAGTGTGGAGCACGGCACTGTGATATTTTGGAACCGGGTCTGAACGACTGGGGCATTCACTCCGGGAATCGTATCCGGCAATGAGGAGAAATCGGATAAGAGGAGTCGGTGCCGAGGGAAGTGATTGCGGAGAGTCTGGAGGAGATTGAGCAAACGTGTTGGGATATACTCCGCTGGAGACAAATTCGGGGCGAAGGGCATGGCGTTGTAGATGTTCCTGAGGATATTCGACCTAAGGAGGGATCGGCGGGGGGTGGTTCAACGTCTTTCGAAGGTCAAGAAATGAAGCAATAAGTGGATCTGTCACAGGTTCATACACGGTGTCGAAGTCGCCATCCTTGTTGACAGTAACAACGCCTTGATAAGGTTTGAAGGTACGCATATCATACCGGACAACATCATGGGCAAAGTTATCCTAACACCGTAGTTAGAAATAGCGAAGGTCACCATTAAGGTAGTACTCACAATGACTTCCATGGCCACGAAAAAACAAGGAGCTGGTTCATTTGTTTCCCAACGAAAAACACTCTGGTGAGTGATGGTTACAGATGGGTGGAGCTTCTGAAGCTTCTGCTTCTGTAACTTGACCAGACTCTCGCTGATCTCGATGATACTGTAGCGCGTCCGTTCGTAGACCTCTGGGTAATCTTGCTGAAGAAGGTCCAAAATATCCCGGGCTAATGTCCCATTTCCAGCTCCTATTTCGTATATCACGAAGTCTTCATACGGGAAATATTTGAGTAGGTACTCAGAGACGAGACACCGTCCAATGGCGCGGCCGTACCACGGCTAATGCTTGAGAATGAGTCTTTGTAAAGGAGAGCATCAGTGTTCTATGCACCTTGAACAATTCCGTCGGAGTGTGCCACAGCTGACGTCCAGGACCTTCATACGTGTCTGCCCCATAAGCAGCGTACTTCGAAGCGACCTCTTCCTGGAATTCCGCCGAGTCGCGGAAGCTTTGGAAATCAAAGGTGGTATCCTGCGTGTTGAAAATAGTAGCTTGCTTCGGAAAGTATCCGTAGTTCGGGTTATACAGCGAATCCTCTATGAAGTCGCGAGCGAGCATCTTCACGCCGTGCGGCGGCTTCTTTTCGTTCTCCAGGTCATTGGCCGTGACACGTCGAAATGAGTGGTGTTCATCGCTGATTTTCCCCTCAAAGGGGCTGGTGTTATAGTTCCATTTGTCTTTGAAACCTTCTGCACCCTTCTTCGGGCGAGACTTAGATTGCAGGAAAGAGGTGGAGGAGAATAGCCGTCGACTCGCGGAACAGCGAAGGGGTGCGTTCAGCAACTGTCGGCCCACAGAGGTGCCCAGTAGTATCATGGACCAGGCAGAGCCTTCACGTCTTGAACGCCCTCAATGGCTGAAGCCGTCGACGCGATGGTGAGTTCGGAGGTGGCTTGGTATACCACAAGTGCAATCCCGGGCACCCTATAGGACGTGACCCTTGCTTCATTTGGTCAAAAATTGCCGAGGCAGGCCTCTCTTCTGCTATTCCCAATCCACCTCACTCGATTCCAGTACCTCACTGCTGTGCGCAGCAGCCATCCGTTCCTCCCACAAGAAGGAACACTCCCTGTGATCTTGCCCCATTGAAGGTCGCTACGGCCATGGACTCAAGCGAACGACTTGTTCAAACTTGGATGGCTTCTGGTCGAGATGAAGAAATAAACGAGATCGTTTTAGGCATGCTCGAGGCTCGTTCAATCTTGAGCCGACAAATTAAACGGCGATAATGGCAGACATCTCGAACGACCGAACATCGTTGATCAATGTCGTGAAGGCGCTAGGGGAGTATCTCACTTCAGAGGAAAGCGAATTGTTACAGAAAGGTACGTCCGATCCCCTAGATCTCGTCGAGAAGCCTATAACAGTCTGAATGTGTTAGGTGTAGAACTACTATCGCTGGTCGTTGCTCGGTGCCCTTATGAAAGATTGAATCGCCAATCTGGTATACACTCAAGCTGCCCCCACCGAGACATGCACCACTGAATGCCGACAGTTAGGGTCCTGACTGCCTTTTTCTGCGGCAAATTGAACGACTCCGTCACCGTCAAGCATGCCTTAAGTGGCCTTGTTTCACTTGTGTCCCTGCCAACGTTCTCTCCGGCCGAGGCCAACACTGTTGTCGAAGCGTACGTCGCGTATTCGACCAAGCCTTTTCCAGTTTGAAGAACATCAGAATTGCAGCGTACTACGACATATCAGGATGAAGGGCTTGGTCCAAGATGTCCGTTTCAAGGTCTTTTCCATAATAGATTCTCTCATGGCTTTCCATCGACAAGGTATTAGAGTATTTAAAAGTTTTCCGTCCCTCGTTCGGGTATATTGACCGCTTTCACCTTAGTTCTGACCTCTATGGGCAAACCCTTCTTGGATGGATATACGACTCTAGCAGATGGCGAGAAAGATCCTCGAAACTTGATGGTTGCTTTCGCGATAGCTCGAGTAATCTTAATCGAGTTCGATGTCTCTCAACACACTGAGGTATGAGGCATCTGATATATCTGAGACACATTCTTACTGGAGTCTGAAGACCATATTCAACATTCTATTTTGCTACTTCCCTATTACATTCCGACCTCCGCCAAATGATCGCTATGGCATTACTACCGACGACCTGCGAACATCCTTGAGGTACGTATCCAGGAACTCAGATGTATTGGCTTCTAAATTCTCCAAGACGATGCCTAGGCGCGACCCCAGCGTTTGGACCATTGGCGGTCCCTGTGTTCCTGGAAAAACTCACTGCTGGGTCGCGAGCAACGAAGGTCAGGGGTTGTGCATATTGGTAGTTGTTAGAATTCATCAGTTTTGTTGCAGAAAGATACTCTTCAAACGATGGCGTTTTGCTTCCCTGTATACGGATCAGCATTAGGTCGCGCACATGCTCGGAAACTTTGGAATGCTCTGAAACTGGAGGTGGGTCTAGCTTATATTCGCATAATCCATCGAGCTGGAGACACCCCAGATATTCCAACCTGTCGACCCGCAAACTGAGGAAGAGGCGCTGAGGACCACACAAGTGCTCGTCAAAACGATTTATACAGACGAAGAGGCTGCTGTTGAGTCTAATGACGATGTCCATGGCCTTGCCAGGGACGCCTGCGAAGAATGTATACAGATCCTCAAGGAGCCAGAAAAAAACCAAGCGAAGGCTGCCATAAAGATATTGTGCTCATTCATGGCAACTACTCGTACGCATTCCGACCCTCGACATTCTTATTCTCACTATAACGATTTCAGCTTCTGTGTCGCGGTATACAACCTCGCAAGCTGTTCCTCATCTCGTCAAACTGTTTCATAAGCCAGATGAAGCGCCAACTCGTGGCGCAACGCTTGCCTTGTTGTCAGAATTGCTTTTGGCCGCTTGTGATTCGCAGGTTAAATTACCCACCGCAGAGGCTGATCCCGCATTGCTGCACTACAAAGATGAGGTCCTGGGTGTCTTGACAGTCGGGTTGCAGTCGACAACGTTGCGCGTGGCAGCATTACCTGGCCTCAAAGCCATGGCATCTACAGACCGTCTTCTTACTGACGAAGAGCTCGGGTTTATTGTTCATAGAGTCGGCGACGTTATCGAAAGTGATTTGGACGGGTTCGAGGAAGCTAGGTTTGTACTACCGCGTCTAGTTTGTCTTTGCATGACACAGACTTATGATCCACAGTGAAACCATCCTTGATCTGTTGAAGACGATTAGTGACCGTGCTCCACAACGCATTTCCGAGCAGACTCTTCCTCTGCTGTTTAAATCACTCCCGGACAAAGCACCATCCCGCGAGGCAACAGCCGAGCGCGAAAAATGCTGGCAAGTTCTTTCTGCACTACAAATACTCTGTATCCAGCAAGAACTTTTTGAAAACCTCGTCATACGTCTGACAACAAAGTTGGACCTGATATGCTTCCCCTCACACGGTTTGAACGATACCATCAATGATCTAGAGCTGGATGCCGCCTTCGTGCACATGATATTGAAGACGTTGGCCCAGACACTGTCAACGAAGGTTAAAACAGGACATCCTGACGTCCCTAAGTACGTCGACCAGCTCCTCCCCCGGATCTTCAATATCTTCATATCCTCGGCCGTTCTCTCAACCGAGCAACCAATGATTGCGACAAATCCCCGACTGCTCAATGTAGCAGCAGAGATTATTACCCTTGTCGTACAGTCATTACCACCTTCGTCAGTGCTCTGTCTTCACTGTCTCGACGCGATGCTGAACAGTCGTCGATATGCAGCCGGCAGCAATCATACTCGATTGGTCTCTCAAAGGCTATCATGGATGGAGATACGACAGATATTGCTCAAGACTTCCAGAAGAAATCAAGCGCACGGAGACTTGATTTCTTTGGTGTAAGCAATTTCTATATCATGATTGCCCCAGCGGCATGCGCTCATATTGTTCTCGAAGCCGAGTACAACGAACGAGAGGAATCTTTTGGCTTTGCTAACCGCAGCGGTAATTCCTTTCCATAAAGAAGTTCGTTCCCAGTTGTCGCTTCATCGTCATTTTCTCAACCCTCCTAACGATGTTAGGTGTATCTTTCAATCGGAGATGTCGACAAGTTCCTGGATACCTTACTCGCCTTTGTAACGGAGGAAGCGGATACAGATCTGCAAAGATTATCCGCACTTCATATGCTCTCTTCGATTCTTAATCGTCGAGCAGCTGGTGCGATACTTCCTGTCGACAGCAATTCTCCTGGTTGATTTATCCCTTAACAGAACTTTCATCGTTCTTGCAAGACAAGCTTGACAGCTTCTGGCACAGAGAAATAGCTGATCGAAGTGCGCTAGTTCTGCGACGCAAGTCCGCCATTCAAGCCTGGACCTGGGTGGGGTTGCTCAAATTCTCTTCCGCTAGAACCTTGTTGATAGACAACACTAGATATCGAAAGCATTGCTCGTGCGAAAACACCCACTCGCTATGAATTTTGCCGAACGTCTATTCGACGCCTTCGGAGATGAAACTATTGGCTGGGACGCTGCAAGGGCGATGGGGGATATCCCTGCTCAAGATTCAGTGTTGAACAAGGCTAATCATGCTGAAATCAAGGTCTTTTAAATATGAATTCTTCCTGTTGCACGCAGTCTCACGATACCTCTCAGATACTTTATGTTCAGAAGTATGTCAACAGCATCCTTCCACGGCTCATTCAACTAGCCAAGGGTGCCAGCAGTACGGTGGTATTCCGACATCCGTCCAACATATTATCTCTAACTACCTTGTTAGGTCCCGTGGAAAAGACTGCAGCTCTGGTCGCGTTAACTTGTGTCATCAAGTCAATTCCAAGAGCTGCTTACATTCATGAAATGCCATCCGTGAGTAGAATTTCCTGTGATCTCTCGGGAGTCTGGCGTCCTCAACCTTTTACTAGCTCATCCCTCTTCTGTTACGGGGCATTGATCTGCCCGATGCCGATATTCGATGCAGCGTTATCGACACATTCCTCGCTGCAGCAGAGGGTGAGACACCAGAGAAAAACATGATCTCGGAGCACAGCGGCACACTTGTGAACGCCATGCTGAGAAATATTCGAGCAGAAAAGATCGCTTCAACGGTAGGTTTCTCCACGTACTCCCTTTCAGAGACATTGCTCATCAGTGAACAGAAAGTTCGTATTTCGGCCTTACGTTACCTGGGAGGTTTGCCCAGCATCGTGCGATACGACATGCTACACCCATACAAATTCACGGTCCTTCGAGAATTAGCGAAGACCCTAGATGACCCCAAGCGATCAGTACGCAAGGCAGCAGTCGATGCAAGGTGCGTGCAACATCCACTCTCAATTGCTGCTTCGTAACTAAATCCCCGACTGGCAGAACCAATTGGTACGTTTATCAATAGTGTGTTCAATGCGAGGGCTAATATACTCCAGGTTCAAATACAAAGGATAAGTAGCAGGGAGCGTAGCAGTCTGGACAGCGGGTATAAACGATCTCCTTCTAGTAGAACAAATCTTGTGTAACGATGAGTGCGTGATCAAGGACCGGGTTGTACAGTATGACGCGATAGTGTTGCCGATATGTTATAGAGATAATGCAAAAATGAGTGTGCTTGTAAAACAAAGGGCGATACTGTGTATGAGAGGTTTACCGGATTCGCGCCATAATAGCTTGTGTCTGCGTGGATGCATCCTGGAGTGCGAGCGTAAAAGCATCAATGTGTTCTTGTGCGATCTTCCGCCCATCCAGTCGTTTTGCTGCTTGTCGAGTCGGAGACGTAGGGATCGCATCTCCTTCAAGATTCTCTCCATCAGTGATACCCGCTTCCCACTTCTCTATTCGCAATCGACTACGTTCAGCACTATCCCAATCTGTTCGCCAACCTCCGAGTTTGTTCTTTAAGGCGCGGATTTTCCTTCCAGCTTCCGTTGTGGCAGCACCATTAACCTGGGCTTGCTCGGAGATCGTTGTTAGTGATGAAATGAGGGATGTCGTAAAAGTTCGGATGTGTGTCAGTTGAGGAACAGTGCTCGCTGGCGTTGCTGGCCCATGCATGGAAGGTGGTGGAGGAAAGGAGTCTTTGATAGGTGATGTCGCAGGTTCGGATGGATCCTCGTCCTCATCTCCAAGGTGGTGTCTATCAGGGTCTAATTCCCAGTCTGCAGCATGGGATATCTTGCCTACAGGGGACTTCGGTTCCTCTTCCACCACGTCTAGGTGCCGATTCTCCAACTTCGACGTCTCCTGAGCTGGGTGGCGATCTGAGAGGTCTTCTATGTGTGTCAATTCATCGAGTTGGCTGAGAACGTCGCCACCTCCAACCTCTCCTGCGATCTTCCTAAACTCCCTCTCATACTCCAACAACTCCCGCACCTGACCTTCCCTATCTCGAGCAGTGTCGTTTATTCGTCGAATGACATCCGACGCAAGCTTTTCTAAGGTCGGCTGTTGCGATGCGGAAGCCCCATGATCGACGTCGATTGACCGCAAATGACTTAGGAACTTGTCGGTCGATTCTAGATCGTGCGCCAGAACCTCCATAGGATCCAGCTCCGGCTTCTTCTGTTGAAGCCTCTTCTTAGAGGAGACGGGGCTGCCAAAGTTGAAGTCTATTTCATGTTCTTGCGGGGGCTCGTCTGCTTCTGATGGCAGGTCATGAAAAGACGCGTCGCTCGCGGATGTCCCGAGCTCTGACACAAGAGACGGTGCGTCGGTTTCGGGATCAGGGATCTCTCCGTTGAGCTGGTGGTGCTGATTAGGTTCATTGTCTATCCCTTCAGCACCTTCGTCGTATTCGATTCCGAATTCCTCTGCAAGCAGCCGCGAGCCTGCACTAGGTTCAGGCATAAGTGCCACCGCAAGTTCATGAGCCAGAGAGTGCTGCCTCCCCCCTGAGGCATCGTCCTCGATGACATGGCCCAGGCTCGAAGGACTGCGGAGCGATGCCGTTGAACGGCGAGCACTAAGGCTTTGTCGCGAGGGTGATTTCTTGGTCGTCGCCATAGCCGGCGATAGAAAGTGAGAATTTGAGGTGAAAACGTCGTCCTGAGGTTCATAATGCGGCATGTTGAGGACTGATAGGAATAGAGATGGTGGTTAGATTGAAGAAGTGAAAGTACTCCTGTTGTCGTGGTATCGCCGTTTCTTGACGCGTTCACGCTTTCTACTTACGGAAGTCAGACCCTGATTCATTAGGTAATCCTCAATCAACAGACCTTTGCAGAGAGTCCAGACTCCAGATTGTGAGTCATCCCTATATCAGTGACACATCGACTATCATTGTGGAACTATTACTGTACTAAAACGTTCAATTCGTCAGGCCTTGTGACCTGTGACCTGTCCGACGAATTTTTCATTTCGTCAGTCTACTATATATGGTAGGTCTTGGCTCTATTTGTAAGCAAAAATCGCTGTTTTTGGGCCTTTAGGGCAAGGCCTGTGACCTGTGACCGACGAATTGAATGTTTTAGTACAGTAGGTCTGTCTAGAGAGACTAAGTCATCCCGAGTGAAAGGACTCGGTGAATCTCCAGAAGCCCGGGAAGCTCTTGGCGTTTGGTGTCCGCAAGTTTACGGATTTGAGACCAAAATTTAGGCAAATCTCTGTCCCTAAACTTGCGGATTTGAGACTGATTTTGGCCAGCCTCTGTCCCAGGTTTGCGGATTTGAGACCCGTTTGGGAGGATTTTCGGCCATCAGACACCGAAACTTGAGTTTTGGTGTCCATCGGCACCCAACACAGAGTTTTACCCTCGAAGATTCCCAGAATCAGCAGAACAGGGCAAAATGGGCGAAAACTAGGCAAAACGTGGCGCCGCAGGCCGAGAAAACATTTCCATTTTAGGAAGACCTCTGTCCGAGTTTGCGGATTTGAGACCGAAATTTGGCATTTTTGCGGACACCAAATACCAAGAGCTTCCAGGGGCCTATCTCCAGTCCTCGAAACAAAAGCAATAGGATTCAAAGAAAGAAAGAAATACAGGTCAATCCATACATCCTACTGGAACTCACGAGAAGACTGTATACTTAGTTGGTGGCTGCCTGTCAGTAAGTATCATGATTGATGCTGAAAGTTCTCCTCTTTTTTCAACATGTCCAAAGCTGTGAAAGAAACTGCTGTATTCAGATAGTTGGTCATACTGAGTGTATTGGTATCACCTTGGATCACCCAGAACCGCAGCCTTCTTATGCAGGAGGGGTGTTTGACCGAAATGAAGCCTTTGGGAAAACATTCCTCCGGTTAAGAACGACAAAAGGTCGCACGTCTTTCGCGTCCTAGATGAAGCTGAGAATTTGCTCCGGCAAAAGGTGGTGGCTGTACTAGGCTCACTCGACGACTATTGCAGACAACATATCTGACACTCGGAGTCCGTCGTGGTTCGTGACAGTGAAAGTGATTGCAGATGGGGCAGCGGGCCGTGCAGAAATGGTGACGTGTGCGTGGTCGATGGAAGGTATGCACATAAAATCTCTTCCAGTCGTGAGATCCAACGACTGCAAAGAGCATGTAGGTGTTTTCCCCAGGCGGAGCTGACCATACTCATCACCCATTCGATATCGGATGTTGAGCAGAGCAGGATGAAGCTAGGTTCAAGAGGTCAACCTGCAAGCAAATTAGGGACGTATGTAGAACGAACACGAATACTTCCGTCTTCATCATGAGAGTACGATTCCAGCTGTCCGCATTCTGGTAGCTTTTGAGAATCGTGGCAATTATGGAAATCTGTTTAAGGCACCTTCTAAGTAATGCGGGCTCTTGGACTTGAAAAGTCGCTGACGTAGCAGAATATCATTCAAGATCGCGCACCGCCAACGGTGACAAACACAGGTCGCTTTCTGCAATGCAAAATAAGGGAGATGGCAAAAGACCAAGAGGAGTATTTCAATAGGATGCGTGATGTCGTCCATCTTGCCACCGGGAGAACGATGGATGGGTCGATTCGAGACAAGAGGCAGTCAGAGAGAGTTATCTTTATACTGTCATCCAGATAGATGGATTCGCCCGTGAATGCTCCAATGACACTGTGGATTGAGCATTATCGCATTAAGATTGCATTAATAAGCTTTCGACCAGATCGTTGGTGCAGTTCCAGGTGACCAGATGAACCTCAGATAAACTTTATTGCTTCAACTTGCCTGACGTGCCGAGCGTTTTCATCAGCCATTCTGTGAGGGTTGACAGTTATGGAAAAAGGAGCAAGGATTCACAGCGGCAGGGGAGATGTGGTGGAAACAATCGCGATTTGCCGCGGAGCGATAGTAACAAGTGCAAGCAGCGGGGTTTGAAATGACTTCACCATGAAATTGCGTTCGGCGCTTGACAGTTTCTACTGCCTATCGACGTTGACCCACTGGTCTCATCCGGCGTGCCTTCGAGAGACGTTACGTGTGCTTCATTCTGTCATGAACATCTGGGTAAGCCTTTCGCGCTAAGCGTATCCAAGTCCCGTGTGCTTACGATTGACCTCTATAGACTGAGCATCGTAATCCAGAAGGCCGTACCTACTGGTTCAATACCGGGACGAAGCAGAGCGTATGGGAGAAGCCTGATGGTGCGTGATCAATGAAACGGCTTACACGTCCACGACACTAACGGGCACTGCAGATTTGAAGACACCGTTCGAGGTATACGCTTTGTGATCTCCGGAGCACAGTTTTCTAACGTGCATCGTAGCGCGCCTTGAACCAAACAAAATGGAAGGAATATTTCTCAGGGGGGCGAAAGTACTATTACAATGTGAGTCGCCTCTGATGTTTGTCGATAATAACTGTCTTGACGGTTATCCTTAGACCGAGACGAAGGAATCGAAATGGGATATGCCTGATGAATTGTTACTAGTTCTTGAGAAGGTGGAGAAGGAAACGCAAGCACCAGCAAACGTGTATGTTCATCCTGTTTCCTCTGGGGTGAATCTTGCCTAACACAACGTCTTAGCGCCCCAAGAGCAGTGACAGCGCCAGGTTTTACTCCAGTCGCAGGAGCTATACAAGGTGGAAACGTCCCCATGGGAGGTGCTGACACGTCCTCATCCACGTCCGCTTCCCAGCCCAGTCAAAACGGCACAAGCCTCGCCGTCGGTGCACACACTGGCGCCCTCCCGTTGGCTGCCAACACCGTTTTGCCAACCCGACCCAACCTGCCAGAAGATCCAGTAATCCCGCATAATGGATTTTTGACTCTTGAAGAAGGAGAAAAGGCTTTCACCCATTTGTTGAGGAAAGCAGGAGTGGATGCGACTTGGACTTGGGACCAGACGATGCGTGCCATTATCACTGATCCACTGTACAAAGCTCTCAATACTCTCGCCGAGAAGAAAGCCTGCTGGGAGAAGGTCGGTTTACACGTTGCAGCTATCCTTAGACACTGTGCTGATGGAATACTCAGTACACTACAGGCCTAAAGCAGAAAGAACAAGAGGAAAGGGAAGCACGGTTATCGAAGCTACGACCAGCTATCCGGAACATGTTGAAAGGCAATCCCAATGTGTTTCATTACAGCACGTTTCCTACTGCAGACAAACTTTTTTCCCAGCACCCGATCTGGCAGCAAGCAAGGGTTGAAGCGGAGCGGAGGCTTATTTTCGAGGAATATGTAACTGAACTCAAAGAACGTGAAGTGGTGCGTCATCTTTATGCTGGACGCTCAAGATGTTTTGATATACCTCTCTTCTACAGAACGAGACTCGCGCCGCTCGAGCACGAAGCGTAGCTAAAGTTGTCGCGCTTTTCAAGGAGCTTCAAGTTGATGTCACCACACGATGGCGCTCAGCTCATCAGCTTCTCACTGAGTCTGACGAATGGAACTCAGACCTCGAGTTGCGCAAGTTGCCTACTCTCGATATTCTTCTTGCATTTGAAGATTACAGTAGAGTCCGCGAGAGAGAATATGAAGAGCAGATGAGGAGAGCTCAGGTCGAGAAAACAAGGCGCGAACGAAAAGCTCGTGAAGCCTTCAAGGCGAGTTCTACTCCAATATTCGAGAAAAGAAAGCTCATTAAATCCTTTAGGCTCTCCTTCATGAGTTGGTACAGGAGAGGAAGATCAAAGCCCGGACGAAATGGAAGTCAGTTTACCCCCTCTTCCGTAGCGATAACCGCTATCTTGACATGCTCGGAAATCCTGGATCCAACCCCCTCGAATTATTCTGGGATATTGTCGATGCTTTAGACCAGCAGTTCGACGGGAAGATCGCTATCGTTGAGGACGTCATTAGGAAGCACAACGGGAAGCTGGAAGCCACCGAAAAGTCGGAAGATGGAATAGATGCAGAGGGCTTGTTCGTTGTGACTCCTGAAACTACGTGGGAGCAATTCTCTGCGGTGGTTGATCCTAAGAAGGATTCAGCATTGCAAGCACTTTCGGAAGACGACCTCCGTCTGGTTTCCAAGTCGGTAAGCCTATAGCTTTCTTGATTCGTGAAGCCTGTGGTGAATCTTTCGTCGTAGCTCATAGATGCTGCTACCAAGAAGCAGGCCGATGAAAAGAGGCGAGCGGAGCGAAAACAACGCCATTTGCAGGATGATCTTCGCTATGCTATGAAAAAGCTTTCCGAGCCGATCGACATCAACATGAAATACGAAGATGTCAGTCATATTCTTTCTTTCGTGGCATCTTCTGACTGACTTTTGTGTCCAGGCCATCCCTCTCATCGAGAATCTTCCTGAGTACAAGGCCTTGGAAGATGAAGACGGCAGACGAGCAGCCTTTGCGAAGTACGTCAAGCGTCAGAAGGTAGGCATACGTTTAGCATCGATGTACGATTATTGATGGCAAGTTTAGGAACGAATGCGCGAGGCTGGTTCTGAGGACGGCGGTTCCGCCACGAGTCGGAAACGCAAAGAGCCAAGCCACCGTGACGATGACCGCGACAAAGATAGGGACCGCGAACGGGGTGAAAAGGACAAACGCGACAAGGATTCCCATCGTGACCGAGACCGAGACAAGGATCGCGAGAGGGACCGCGAACGTGGAAAGGATTATGAGCGAGGAGGGAGGAGCTCCAGACATCACCACCGTTATGACGACTATGACTCTGAGCGCCGGGGTTCTCGAGACTATGGCCGTGAAAGGGACGACAGGGACAAGGACCGTGACGGGTACCGGTCATCAAAATATCACCGCGACGACGACAAGAGGAAGGACAGGGATGGTCGAGACGGAAGACGCGAACGTGATCCTAGTCGTGGAAAAGATTGGGACGAGACGCCACGACGAGCTGCTGAAAGAGAGCGTAGCAATCCTATCTTCAAGGACGAAGGCCGCGAGAAGCGCGAGCACGATGACGGAAGTCAAGGCGACCGTGCTGAAAAGGTCCGTCGCTCTTTTTTCTTTAAACGCATAAATTTGACGTGTTTCTTTTTGCAGCGTGCGCGGTATGACCGCGAGGACCAGGCGTCGGACCAGATGGATGTGGACAAGAGACAGGACTCGGCTCGTGCAGAGACACCGGAGGAGGGTGAAATCTAGTCTGCAGTGCGGATTATGCGAGTAGCTATGATACAAGAATAATAATATGCTATGAAGACTGCTCAACGGGAATTTCGATTTCGCCTATCCTGAGCCTGGTGTACGGCTGCTTGTGCTTGATAGTTTTCCTGTAACCCTTTCTCCGCTTTTTCTTGAAAATGAACTCCATCTGGCCCTTCGTGTGCTCTACAACGGTCGCCTGGACCTTGACCTGACTTGGCGGAATAACGGGATTCCCGCGGAGGGTGTATTCACGGGAGCCGAGCTCGTGGATTTCATCGAGGACGAGGACATCGCCGACTTTGACGTCGCGCAGATGAGGCACAGTGAGGAGGTCGCGTGGCGTGACGATGTACTTTGTACCAGCGAAGGAGGCGACGACATACTGCGAGGGCTGGGAGCGTATAAGCTGGAGGGCGGCGCTGGTGGACTCGGGGACGACTGAGCCTGCGTGGATTGCGCGCGTCGCTGCAATACGGAGTGGCAGCGCTGACAACGGGGATTAGCACAAGTCAGGACGGACGGGCGAATTACTCACAGCACCTGAGCACGTTGGCGAGGGCCGCCATTGAGGAGTTCGGTTGAGCGAGCTCGGCTGATGGGATGGGAAAATCCTGGAAAATTGGAGCTCCGCCTGAATGTTCCGACCAACGCCGACTTAGTTCAAGGCGCGAACCGAAAACTTCCCTACCATACCCATTTCCTTCTTCCACCTCTTCCCCCATGCACCGAATTGCCCTTGTTAACTCGGCGCGCGCCCGTGCGCTGGCAGCGTCCGCAAAGGTGACCTCTTATCGTTTTCAGCGCGCAGCGCAACCCCATTGGTGTGCATTCCGGGCTTACACGAGTTTCCCCAGAGCGCCAGGACTGTTGTCTCTCGCTCATATGCTACCGCAAAGCCAGGTAGGCATTTGAGCTTCTTCGGACTTCTTTCCTCCAGTTGCTGACGACGCGAAACCCTTCCTTCCTGCTCGCTCTCGCCCTCGAACACGTTACACGTCATTTCAGCTGCTTCCGAGGTCTCCTCTATCCTCGAGTCTCGCATTTCGGGTAGCTCTGTTGCTGGCAATGTCGAGGAGACTGGCCGTGTTCTAAGTACGCGTTATGTCTGTCCATGTTTTTGTGTCGCCCTCACCTTGTATCCAAGGCGTCGGTGACGGTATTGGTCGCGTCTGGGGTCTCAAGAACGTCCAAGGTAACTACCTTTTTTCTTCGGCGCAGAGACGTGGTCTCATCTCCACGTCCTATTCTAGCCGAAGAGATGGTGGAATTCTCCTCTGGTGTCCGTGGCATGTGCTTGAACTTGGAAGCCGACAACGTTGGTGTCTCCATTTTCGGTAACGATCGTCTCATCAAGGAAGGCGACACTGTCAAACGTACCGGCCAAATTGTCGACGTCCCCGTCGGCCCTGGTCTCCTTGGACGTGTCGTCGACGCCCTCGGTGACCCCATTGACGGCAAGGGCCCCATCCAGGCTGCTGAGCGTCGCCGTGCCTCCCTCAAGGCCCCCGGTATTCTCCCCCGTCGTTCCGTCAACCAGCCTATGATGACTGGTATTAAGCCCATCGACGCCATGGTGCCTATTGGCCGTGGCCAACGTGAGCTTATCATTGGTGACCGTCAAACTGGCAAGACCGCCGTCGCCATTGACACCATCCTCAACCAGAAGAGGTGGAACGATGGTCAGGAAGAGGACAAGAAGCTCTACTGCGTCTACGTTGCCGTCGGTCAGAAGCGTTCCACGATTGCTCAGCTCGTCAAGACCCTCGAGGAGAACGATGCCATGAAGTACACCATCATCGTTGCCGCCACTGCTTCTGAGGCTGCTCCTCTTCAATACCTTGCTCCCTTCTCTGGCTGTGCCATGGGTGAATGGTTCCGTGATAACGGCAAGCACGGTACGTATCCCGCGTCATGTACAAGTTTTCTTTGTGCTTATCTCCGCGGTAGCTCTCATCATCTACGATGACTTGTCGAAGCAGGCCGTTGCTTACCGTCAAATGTCCCTGCTCCTTCGTCGTCCTCCCGGCCGTGAGGCCTATCCTGGTGATGTCTTCTACCTGCACTCTCGTCTCCTCGAGCGTGCTGCCAAGATGAGCGACAAATTTGGTGGAGGATCCCTCACTGCACTTCCCATCATTGAGACCCAGGGTGGTGATGTGTCCGCATACATTCCCACCAACGTTCGTCCTATTTGGTTTTCATTTCTTCCCCAAGTATTGACCCTTGTGTAGGTCATTTCCATCACTGACGGTCAAATCTTCTTGGAGGCTGAGCTCTTCTTCCGTGGCGTTCGCCCCGCTATCAATGTCGGTCTTTCGGTGTCTCGTGTCGGATCTGCTGCCCAAACGTATGTGTATATATTCCATGTCAAGTGCTGTCGAATAATTGTTGTACAGGAAAATCATGAAGAAGTTCGCTGGTTCGCTCAAGCTGTACCTCGCCCAATATCGTGAAGTCGCTGCCTTTGCCCAGTTCGGTTCCGATCTCGATGCATCCACTCGTTTCCTCCTCGCCCGTGGTGCCCGTCTGACTGAACTCTTGAGTACGTCTTGATGGTTTGTCTTCATATCTTTTTTCGTTGACAACTGTTTTACAGAGCAAGGTCAATACCAACCCCTTGCTACTGAGGTCCAGGTCCCCATCATCTACGCTGGTGTCAACGGTCTTGTAAGTACATGTCCCCGACTTAATACTGCCTTTATACTAATTAAATATTGTTCAGCTCGACTCTATCCCCGTCGACAAGATCACCAAGTGGGAAGCCGAGTTCCGTGAGCACCTCACCACCCAAGGCGCCCTCCTCAAGGAAATTGCCACTGGTACTGTCACCCCTGACCTTGAGGCCAAGATCAAGAAGGTTGTTGAGGACCACGTCTCTTCTTTCACATCGTAGAAGTAGCATTGCGTATTTAGACCTCGGTGATCTTTAGCATCCTGAGACCCAAAATTAAACACCGCGCATTTCTCTCTGATTCAAAGATTCTGGCCCTTTCAATTACTTTCTAAGAAGGCGTGGCACTACTGCTGTAACGAGTCGTATTGTGGGACACACTGTTGAACCAATCATTGTGTAAGTTGTAATCTTTCTTGTCTTTTGGGCGATCTAATCTAATCTTGAGCACATCCCGTGTTGATTCCGAGAATAGATCCTTAAAAGTTGAAACCTCCTCGCGAGAACTTCAATCCACCAGCCTGCCTTTATCCTCAGCATGAGCTCGGAAGAGATTGCAAAAGCCGCAAAAGCGTCTTTCGAAGAATCCCAGCTAATTACATCCGCTGAACGTGTCAAGGCGTTAGAATCCATTCGCAGTACCTTGGAGCTTCACAAAGCAGATATCCTGGCCGCAAATGCCGAAGACCTTAAGGTGTGTCGCAATTTACACCCTTGTAGTTTTGTGAGCTCATGAGGATAGGCTGCGCAAGCAGAGGTAGACGCTGGCCGCATGTCGGAATCCCTCCTCAAGAGACTGGATCTGGGACGCGGCGACAAATGGGACTCCATGCTGCAGGGCATTGCGGATGTTGCTGCTCTGCCAGATCCCACTGGAATTGTCACGTATGCGACGGAGCTCGATGACGACCTCGAGCTGTACCGTGTTTCGTGCCCCATCGGCGTTCTACTAGTAATCTTTGAAGCTCGTCCGGAGGTTGTGGTGAATATTGCGGCACTGGCCATCAAGTCCGGTGAGCACTGCATAAACACCTCACTTCTGCGCCACGGTCTCATTTTTTCTCGTTTCAGGCAACGCAGCCATTTTAAAAGGCGGAAAGGAGTCCAACCGGACGACGCTGCTCCTCTCTAACGCCATCTCAGCGGGGCTAGCTGAGACAGCCATCCCCGAAAAATATATCCAGGCGATTCAGACGCGGGCTGAGGTTGCGTCGTTACTGGAGCTGGATCAATACATCGACCTAGTCATTCCGCGTGGGAGCAACAGCCTGGTGCGGAGTATCCAGAACAGCACACGAATCCCTGTTATGGGACACGCCGACGGCCTGTGCTCTGTCTATCTTGACGAGTCGGCCGACGAGGAGAAGGCGGTTCGGGTTGTGGTTGATTCCAAGGTACTATCAGATGCCATACTCAACGCTTTTCATTGGAAATTCATCGGTTTGTTGTCGTCTAGATTGATTATCCCTCAGCTTGCAATGCCGCGGAAACACTTGTCATTCATGAATCGCTACTCCAGACAATATGGCCAGCTGTGGGCAAGGCGCTCCTGGAAGCGAATGTCCGGTTGCTGTGTGATCCAGCTACGTTCGGTGCGCTACAGCGTTTGTCCCCCGCCCCCTCGAATTTCCAGTCGCACGTCAAGCCCTCAACACCGGAAGACTATTCGACTGAACACCTTTCCCTTGTCATCTCCGTTATTGCTGTCCCATCACTACAGGCTGCTATCCAGTTCATTAACTCACATTCGTCTCATCATACGGATTCTATCCTCACAGAATCCGATGAGGCTGCATCTATTTTCTGTCGTGCTATTGATTCTTCGGGGACGTTCATCAATGCGAGTACCCGGTTCGCGGATGGATTCCGCTATGGCTTCGGCACAGAAGTTGGAATTAGTACGGGCAGAATCCATGCACGAGGACCTGTTGGGCTGGAAGGCCTGGTCATCTACAAGTACATGATGAGGAGCAAAGACAAGAAGGGACACATCGTTGGAGAATTTGGAAACGGCAAAAAGCAATTCAAGCACCAGCGAATCGACGCCAATGCTGTGCCATTCTAAAGGAATTGTAGTTATATATTCATAAAGATGTTCATGACAACATGCAGACAACGCATTCAAAGAGACAGGTATGGTATGGTCAAAATGGAACCCAACAAGGAGATGTATCATGCTTCAGGAGTGTCTAATTTGACCTTCTTATCTGTGTTGACGGGTTCAGCGTCTCCTTCAGCTTTGCGCTTGGCGGCGCTCGAATCCTCTAGGGCGGGTTTCTTCTTTTTCTTCACTATGGAGGTCAAGTCGTTTACGACAGCCGGAGCACCAGATGAAGATGACGATCCGGCGTTGAGTTCCTTGTCTAGTGCTTGAGCAGCCAACGCCGGCGCACTACCTCCAAGTGTCTCGTTAGGAGATGTCTTCATTTCCTCAACCTACGGCAGAAATGAGCAAATAGTCACATTTAGAAAGGGGATCCAACCTTGAGTGCAAGATCATCACGCAGTTCTGACAGTTCCTTGATCTCACTTTCGATCTGGGTCTTCGACATGTTCTGCACATAATCGTCTCGCACGAGACGTTTCGTTGTGTATTTACCCTTGCCCTTGGCATCCTCGGACGCTGCAGACAGGGGAGGGAGGGTCCCAGCAAGACCTTCTTTAAGTTCGGCTAGACGGCCCTCAACACTTCCAACAGCGCTCTGGGCGTGTGCAATAGCATCGGACAGCCGCCCCGAAGTAAGGTCAAGGACCATGCTGAGTTTGTAGTGCGCTTCAGCAATATGACGAGACGAATTGGGAAGGATTTCAAGCTTAAGCTTTAGGCCAGCTTCGTAGTCTGTAATGGCCTGATCGAATTTTTCTGCAAGAGGTCAGCATGCAGGAAGCCATCCTCTTTAAGGTGATTTATACCTGTTTCCAGCGACACATCTCCTAAAGCGATGTAGGTGTCCGCCAACTTAAGCTTCACCTCTTCATCGCCTTCCTCATCCTTTTGCTTATCATAGATGGCGCGAGCGAGATCAAGGACTTCCCAGGCAGCATTGAAGTCGTCTTCCGGCTCTCCGTCGTCTTCTTCCCCCTCTGCTCCATCGCCATCCTCTTCGTCGGCACCGGCTGCAGCTTGGGCAAACAAATCGACGGGTTGATCATCATCCATGTCTTCCGCATCGCCAGAGAACGATAGAATTGGGCCATTCGATTTGGGACCAGAGCCAGAAGCTGCAAGGAAGGTATTCAGGGAACTACCCAAGCATGCAAGACCCAAGCCAAACACCTTTGTTCTGTTCGTCGGCTGCATCCTCCGTCTGCTCCTTCCCCAATACCGAGCTTTGTGCAATCGCGTTCTCAAGCAGTGCCTTTCCGTACGAGAAGTACAAGTCTGCGGTCTCGGGGGCGTTCTCTCCGACTTCCTTCGTTCTATAAATGTCACAACACGCGTTAGACGACGAACGCGACTTCTCTGGCGAGAGTATAGAACGACGCGACTTACATGAGTTCAAGGCCAGTAGCGTAGTGGTCGATGGCTTGCTCGTACTTTTTCAACGCGAAGGCGCGTTTGGCCAGTTCAATCGAACTTTCAGCTGTGACAGGCACGTTGGTGGCTTGACCAGTCTTCGTTGGCGTTCTGAGCAATCGTCGTTGACGCGCTTTCAGAAATTCGAATGGATGTAGTCGAACTTACGAGGACATGGTGGACGAGATGCAGAGAGGGGTATATTGAGAGTGTACAACGTGGAGGAAGATGAAGGAAGGTGGTTGACTGTGAGAAAGTTGTCACGATGCCCAAAGTAATTTATGCATGAGGTGAAAGTGCCACTCCGGAGACAAAGACAAAGCCGCGTGACAAGAAGAAGCGTTGATGAGAGAGCGAATAAAACTGTACAAAGAGCAACTAAATAATAAAAGAAGTCGAGAAAAAAGGCGTGCAAATTAGTCAAGAAATAAAGGTACCAAAGATTCAACGAGTGTCGAGAGTCCAAGCGTACATGGAGAAAGTGTGCAAAGAGAAAAGATTCTGACGCTCATATCAAGGAAGCAGCCGGGTTGGCTGACTGGAACTGCTGCTGCTGTTGATTCTGCGTCCCAAATGAGTTGTTTCCCAACGGCGTAGCGCCAAATGATTGAGAAGCGCCTGTGCCAAAACCGGTTGAGGGTTGGAAAGCTGAATTTCCACCAAAGTTAGGCATTCCAATTGTTGAGGCCCGGAATGGGTTGGATCCTCCTCCCGTCATCTGAGGCCGAAGCCCAACCCCTAATGTCGATCCAAACGAACTGCTGAAATTACCGGTTGCTCCTGTTGGCTGGCTGCTCAAGAAACTGTAGTTGTTTGTTGACGAAGTTCCGTTTTGAGCAGGAGATGCAGGCGAGGAAGCAGTGGTCCCTGCACTGAGAGTGCTACCGTTGGGACTGGTAGTAGAGTTCATGGTAGACGGTAGACCCGTAACCGCGGGCGTTGTGGGGGCAGAACCGGGTATGGGAGGCAACGAATCGACCAACGAAGCCCCAAATGCTGATGAGGGCTTGAACGGTTTCAAGCCTGCGAATCCTGTCATCTGTGGTTTAACAGGTGTTGTCGCTGGAGAAAACGATATTGAAGGGGAGGAGGTATATGTCGTGCCTGTCGCTTGACTGGATGCTGCTGACGAAAAGAGGGGTTGGAGAAAGTTGAACCTGATGTGGAACTTATCGACGTCATCTGGGGCTGAACAGCTGGTGATTGAGGCGAGCTTCCAACTCCCTGTGGCATGTTCATGTTCGCCTTGTTCGCAAATGCGAAAGAAGACGCGACGCTGGAAATGTCTGTAGCTCCTGGGTTAAGCGCACTGTTGCCGAACGAGAAACTACCCGTAGCAGTATAATTTGGCTGCTGTTGCTGCTGTTGTGCGCTGCCATTCTGGTTGAGACTCATGGCACCCACTCCATTGGATAGTTCAAAGAGCGTTGGAGGTTTTGGTACTGGCGGTACAGCAGTGGCAATGGGACCGAAAGGATTCCTTGTCCCAGTTTGGTGAGTTCTGACAGGTTGGGGAGTAGATGAAGAAAGAGCGGGCTGAGTTGATGTAAGAGGAGTAGATGCAGGACGTGCCGGGGTGTTAGTCGTCGTCGTCGACATACCGAAAGAAGGTTTGGGCGCTGCCGTGAACGGTGACGCCGACGACGGAGTTGCCATATTCGATAGACCAGAAAGAGATGTCGACATGGGGAATCCGCCTGGAAGCTGCTGGTGTCCTTGGCCAGGAAGCTGAGGGGTTGCACCGAATAATTGCATTCCAGTTGACTGAGGAAGAAGCATGCTTTGACGGAAGGGGTTCGCTCCTGTCGCTTGTGGTTGCAGGAACTGTGGCGGTTGTAATGGGGGTATGGGCGCCTGGGATTGAGCCAGCGATGGGAAACCAATGGATTGAGGCGGCAAGTAAGAAGAGAAGGGGCGATGTCCGGTTTGTTGAGGTACTTGAGGCGTCAAGAAATTACCGAACGGATTGGGCTGTTGGGGCATAGCTGTTTGTTGTGGCATGATGAATCCGGTAGGCTGTGATTGTACGAAAGGTTGACCAGTCATCATTTGCGAAAATGGATTGACGGCCCCTTGCTGCTGAAAATAGGCGGTACTAGGACTGTTGCCGTGAGAAATATGTAAACGCATCACGGTAGCGGAGCATACCTATTGGTCTGAGGATTGAACATTGTTGGTTGTTCCACTTCAATAGCGGAGAAGAAATCAAGAACGTCTTTGCTGCCCTGCCCGGCGGGAGGGATACTTGTGCTCCCGTTGGTCGTACTGGTAGAGGCCGTTTTGGGCGACGTTGACGACTCAACGGGTTTCGAAGAGGCTACGATATTATTTAAACACAACAATCGAAAGCAATAATAGGAAACTTACAACTTGTCGCCTTAGTCGCCTTCGTCCCGTTTGTCGTAACATTTGCACCGCGCTCAGCTGCCTCCTTATTGGCTCTGTATTCGATCCTATTTTGTTCGAAATTAGGATCATCAAGGTACTCTTGAAGTGCACCAGCCAAAGAAACAGGGGCCTGGACAACGGATAGGTAAGAAGCCGACCACCAGGAGTTCAGAACGCACATGCTTCAGGTTAGGAACAGGGACGTTGAGGAGATTCTGGAGCTTCTTTGCAACACCAAGGTATTCCACAACACACTCAGTTTGCTTGCAGAAACGGCGGTAGATCTGTAGCGCCGTTTCTGCGTCTATGTGGGACATTTCGAAGTAATGCTCTACAAGCACAAGGGTGAGAGAAGGTCCCCGGAGTCTAGCCTTATTTGTACTGACCCAGGACGTTAATTACGCCTTCGTTTCCCGCCTGAAACAAAATCAATAAATCCTTGACTAGCATCCGTAGGGCAGTAATCGTCAGTTCGTCTTCCAAATCATCAAGGTAGAACTGTTGGAAATTGCCGATTTCTATCAGCTCAGGTTCCAACCAGAGCCCGAGATATCAACGCACCCTGCATTCAACCAGAGCATCAATCATGCCATGAACCGCCTTCGTTTCTCGCAATAACCCCTTCTCCACGGTCATTGAACGCAGCTTCCTTCCCATTATCGTTTTGCTCCGGCTGGGAGTGGAGGTGTTTGGTTTCGTGGGACGGTCTTTCCTACCCCGATATCCGTCCTCCTCTATGGCCACGGAGTTACGCATATCCCGGTTGTTCTCCGCCTGCACCCTGACAGCGTCGTGCTTCAAATCTTTATATGCGCGAATTCTTGAATCGAGGTAAAGAGCGTAAGCTTGGAGGTTTTGAGGGGCGGCATATCCTGTACGCCAAGCTGAGTCCAGCAAATCGAGAACCACACGGAGACACAATGCACGCACCCTCCCAATTACCAGCGGAGACATTTCGTAGTCGCAGAACATCCGATGATGACAGGTAGGACAGGACATTATCTGTTGCGCCGTTGCGTATCATGGTGTGCAATACAATCAGAGCCTTGAATACGACCTGGTAGCGCCGGGTGTTAAGTAGCCTGCTCCACGAAGCAAACTGTCAGAAAGGCGACGCACTATGGTATTGGGCTCTCGAATTCGAGGGGCCAGCGCCTTGCAAACGTCGTGTACAGACCCATCATCAGACCAGGTCGCAGCGATGATTGGATCAATGTACTGTCATCCATGTGGGTTAGCGTAAATCTTAGAGAATGCAAGGGGATGAACACGCACCTTGGCCTTTGGGGGAGCAGCCTTTGGCTTACAGGCCAATTTGACGACCTTGTCGAAACTGGACATGTTCGCGGAAGGACTGAGGTTTGCGCGGACACATCAACTTCGATTGTATTTGAAACTCAGCCAGTCATGTGTCATCCCGCTAAGTCCAAAAGTTTGCATCTGCTCTCCTCCTTGTCCTCGTTCAAAACGATGATAATCCAACTATCTTTGCTCCCAGCACGCCCTCTTTAATCAAATACCAACATCAAGTGCAAAGCCTTCAATAGATTCCGTCATTGTCAAGAAAAGTGCCGGGTTTACCGGACCTAGAGGTGCATCGCGCACATTCGAATTCACGATTGACATAACACTGGACAGCATGCACCGCAGTCAGGAACCGGAAGCCATCGTCTGTTCCGGGGACCCTAGTATTGGAGTCCACAAATTCCTTTTACCGCCGAAATGTCGAATGACAGAAACTCTGGCTTGTAAGTAGCTGGAAACCAGACTGCACCATATTCTGTCGACAAACGGGATGCGCGGTTCTACTCATCACGAAGCATCATCTGCGACTGCCAACTCTCGACGCGGCTTCCGACAAGATGGTACATGCAATACCCTTCCGACAAACCAACCGACCGATTCCGGTGATTCGTGCCGTCTTTGTTGGACTTAGTTTGTTCCATCCCGGTGTGTTCGATGTTTCTTCCAAACGGGAGAAATGGTCAGAGACGGCAAAATGGTTCAACGGGACGGTTTGGGCCTTAATGTAATTGGAAGAAGGTAGTAAGGTTACGTCTTACCTACTCGACGGAAAACACACGACCCAGAAAACATCCCGTCAGAGTCGGATCTGTGGAATCTTTATAGGTATTGCGGTAAGCGATGAAACGACGAAAGCAAATACTCCGGATCACTATAGTAGGATCTAATCTAATCTCCTCAAGCACAGTAGTTGGGCCAGACTATTTTCACGTTGGTTCACTCCGTCAACACCCCCTGGTTGAATGCTGTACTCTTCCATCTCTTCCACCTAATCTATATGTTGCTGTAATACACAGCGTATAAACTGTCGGCCGTTTTCTCGACGTACTTAACCTCTTTACTACTACATCCGAGGCTACCCCATAGAGGACGGGTTTCCCGCTTACCCATAGACAGCGTGGAATCTGAACCGTCTTCCCGGCGCGCAGACCAGCGAAGAACATCTGCCGAGAAAGCTTTATAGCTCTCGGGGTACCTCCAAGCACAGGCTTTCAGCCACCTTCCCTCCGGTCGACATGTCGAGGAGAACACACTACCAAGTCCGAGTCCACACCAATCGGCCCACAACGCGGAACCTCCTATATGGCGCGGTGATCATCCTGGGGCTATTTGGACTATTCCGTACGATGTCCTCTTACGATGTTGATTCGGACGAGTGGGACGCGATGCCAGGACCTATATCACCTGCAACGTGGCAGGCTCGGGCAGAGATGGTCAAAGAGGCTTTCCTGCATGCATACCATGGATATGAGAAGTACGCCGCTCCTCACGACGAATTGAAGCCTCTTTCGAACGGATCTAGCGACAAGTGGGTCTTGTACGAGCCATGCCGCGGGTATTTTTGCTCAAACTGTTCCTTTTTAAGATTCAACGGATGGGGCGTAACAGTGTTCGATTCGTTAGACACTATGCTGTTGATGGGGCTGAAAGAGGAGTATGCACGAGGACTGGAAATAGTCAAGAGCATGGATTTCACAACATCTACTGTGAGTGAATAATTCTCATACCTCTGCCATACGTTCTGAACTGGCGCTAGCAATATGTCCCGTATTTTGAGACAATTATTCGTTATCTAGGCGGACTCCTATCAGCATATGCCTTGTCAAAAGATACCATTCTCATCCAACGCGCTGAAGACATGGTCAAGAGGCTTGACCCGGCATTCGATACCCAAACTGGCATACCTTTCTTCTCCGTCGACGTCGAAAAGTGAGGTGATAAGTATCAATTATTGGATCGAGTATCACTCACCAGCTGCTAGCCAACAAGGACAGGGTGCAGAAGTCGGCATTCTGGCGGAAATATCCAGCCTGCAGCTCGAGTATACATATCTCGCAAAGCTCACAGGGAAATTTGAGTATTATAATCGGGCATGTCTATTTCTTACGCTTGTGGACGTAACCTGATCTGGTTGCAGTCCGCGACTATTAACAGGATATTTTCGAATGCAGACCTCAGGGAAACGGGTGGCATGCTTCCTGTTTCTTGGAATCTCGTTTCTGGCACGCCATTGGATAGTGTGTCTGACTCGTCCTTCATTTTCGCTGGCCACTTAACAATTCATAGCGCATCTGTCAGTTGGGGCGCAAGCCGATAGTGCTCACGAATATCTACTCAAGCTATATCTCCTCACTGGCAAGACTGACAGAGCCAGCCTAGAAATGTGTACGACTGGCTGTCCTGCTTGGCATCGAGATCTTTTACTAACACCATTTTCAGATCTCCGTGCAACCACTCACATTATCACCAATCTGCTATATCTGTCTCCAACACGCCACTTGCTATACGTGTCTGATTCCTTTGAGCCGACCTTCAAACAAAGAGCAGAGCCCACACAAGTCTTCGAGCACTTATCTTGTTTCCTACCGGGTTTACTTGCACTTGGAGCCCATACCCTACCCCTAGACAACCTGAAGTCGCTCGGAATAGACCTGCAACAGCTAGGAAACGAGCAACTATATGGATACGCTGGCAAGGGTTACAGACAACTCGCTGACTATAACCTTAAGGATCTACACATGTGGGCTGCGGAAGGGCTTGCCCAGACATGCTACTTGACATACGCCGACTCACCGACTGGCCTGGGTCCGGATGAGATGATGATCAAATACCCGAATCCTGAGGAGACGTGGACGCGGGTGGATGGCGACTGGAGGAAGAAGTCGGGCCAGACGCATCTCTGGATGGAAGCGGTCGACAGGTGGAAGAATAGTGGCAGTCGCGGTATTGCACCTGGTCTTGCGGAGAAGAAGCGTATCATCTCGACAGCTGGAGACCGGCGGAAGGGCCTGCCGAATGGACGGGACTATATGCTCCGCAAGTCAGGATATCTCTTACGACCCGAGGTAAGGACAGTATTTTTTGTTTCGAACCCGTATCTGATATCTCTAAAAGACTGTAGAATCATTATACCTTCTATGGCGCATTACCGGCGATTCCAAGTGGAGAGAACGAGGGTGGGCCATCTTCGAGGCAATTGAGAAAACGACGAGGACAGCAAGCGGTTATGCAAGCCTGTATTCTGTGGAAACAGGCGGTCCAGACGACAGTATGCCTAGGTAAGCATCCAGGAGCTTCACGATGGTATCTTTCTCACACTACACTCTCGACGCCGCAGCTATTTCCTGGCGGAAACGTAAGTGCCATTGATTTTGAACCTGAATGATCACGACAGTAATTTTTCTTTCAGGCTCAAGTATCTTTATTTGATGTGCTTGGAGAACGACCCCATTTCGTTGGATAAATGGGTGTTCAACACGGAGGCTCACCCACTACCGGTATTCGACTGGACGCCAGAAGAAATTAGGAGGTTCAATGTAACAATAGGATAAGTAATGCACGGACAATGACCCCTTATCGGTGACAGAAATCTGTTTCTACTAGCCTGTGTAGAAGCGCGGAGAGTGCGGCCTGAAAGCAGACTTTACTAATTTAAGTATTAAAATTTCTTCAAAGGTCGAGACTCGAAATGCAGTGGAGGTCACGAAAATTATTTGTCCCCTGTATGTTCAGACCTCTGCAGAGGTGCATACCTCGGCGTAGCTTCATCTCTCCCGCGAGTGTGCCGAGAGTGGCTCCTGTCCAACCACCATTCGGCGCCGCCTGCCATCATTTTGCAACCGTCAGCTGCGCAACATCTCCGAGATTTTATATGGCGGTTTGCTTCGCTTCACGAATGTCTCGACATAGACACATGCCCCACCTCTCTTCCGACGACGACAACAACCTCCATGGTCGTGCTTCATCTGGGTTGGAACCGCTTCACACGGCGTACTCTGTTCTATAGCGTGGTGGTCCTCTTGATCCTTGCTAGTTTCAGGTCTAAGATACCTCCTTTCTTTGTGCCTTCGGACGAGAGTAGTTCTGGACTCGAGGCTGAAGATTCTCCGGCACTGACGCGACGAACCCGAGCAGGCGCAGTGAAGTCAGCCTTCCTGCATGCGTACCATGGATATGAGAAATATGCTGCCCCAAGCGACGAGCTGAAGCCTGTGTCGAATGGAAAGGTCAACAAGTAAGTGTCTATCATTTACAAAGTTGTTGAGTTAGACTGACCTTTTGCCAGTCTCAACGGATGGGGCTTGACTGTATTCGACTCTCTGGATACTATATTGCTGATGGGTCTGAAGGAGGAATTTGCCCGAGGTCGAGAGATTGTGATGAATGCCTACTTTTCGAAATCTGAGCCAGCATGTATCCTGGCCTCATCCTCCGATTTGGTGCTCAAATCATTTTATTTTCCAGCTAGAACACGCTTATCTCGCAAAACTAACAAGAAATATACAACATTACAGCCGTGTAAGTACGCATTGTTGCCCTCAAGGCCTTGCTGACAGACTGGGGGCATGCTTCCTACTAGATGGGATTTAACGACCGGTCAACCGGTCGACAGTACGTCCCCGTTTCTTCTCCGTTTCATCGCGTCGATGATGAAAATGTCCATCAGCACATCTTACTGTAGGGTCACTAACCGACAGTGCCCACGAGTATCTACTTAAAATTCACCTCCTTACCGGAAAGACGGACAAAGAGAATCTCAAAATGTGTACGTATATTCCCAGCTCCGACAGCGAGAAAATGCGAAACCGTGCCCTTCTAGATCTTCGAACAACCACTCATATCATCTGCGACATGTTGCATTTATCTCCGACACGCCACCTACTCTATGTTTCCGACTCCTTTGAATCGACTTTCACAGAGAGTGCATCTCCCACTCTCCAATTCGAGCACCTTTCATGCTTCCTGCCAGGGTTACTCGCACTCGGGGCACACACTCTACCTCTAGACAATCTAAAATCTCTCGGAATAGACTTTGAAGAACTGGGAAACGAGAAGCTTTACGGATACGCCGGCAGGGCCTACAAAAGGCTCAGCGGGTACAATTTGAAGCAGGTACACATGTGGGCTGAAGGTCTTGCTCAGACGTGCTGGTTAATGTACGCTGACCAGCCGACCGGCTTGGGTTCGGAGGAAGTCAAGATCAAGTTCGCAAGCACAGAGGGTCCGTGGAGGGACGGGCCGGAGACACACCTGTGGGTCGATGCAATCGACAAGTGGAAGCGCAGCGGTAGCCGTGGTTGTGCCCGGTCTTGCGGGAAAGGCACCCATCGTATACATGCCAGAAGAGCGGAACAATGGCACAGGAAGTGGTCATGATTATACGCTGCTCAAGCCTGGGCACCTCTTGAGACCGGAGGTAATTGCTACGTGAGAGCTTTCCGCAACCAGAATTATTTGACGAAACTTTCAGACCGTCGAATCGCTGTATCTTCTGTGGCGCATCACTGGAGAATCCAAATGGAGGAACGGGGATGGAAAATCTTCGAGGCGATCGAGAGGGAGACGAAGACAGGCAGCGGCTATGCGGCCCTATATTCGGTAGAAACAGGTAGAAAAGAAGAGACTATGCCCAGGTAGGTGTTCATGGGCCTGCTGATGGAGGTTGTCTTGCTCAACTCGACGGACTGGGTTGAGTCCTGAAGAATCTATAGCAGCGTTCTCACCGTCCCTACCCTTGTCGTTGAGCGTTCTGCAGAATGTTCAAATATTCCGATTGACTGGCCGTGGACGGATCAGATCTAATCTAGCCGAGACAAGACTTTCCCACACCTCGACCAACATTCGGCACTGCGATGATCACAGGAACCAGTCACAGGTACGGTGGCCCAGAAGTGCAAGCCTGCCCTTTCTGACTTGATGGCCCACGAAAGACACCGAGGGGGGGTCCATGCCAAACACCCTGCCAAACACCCTCGAAGCCTTGTCGTCGTCGACGACGACGAGCGCTGCAAGTATATGCTACAAAAATATGTAGAAGTAGTTCTACAATCTTAATAAGCGTTATTTAGAGAAAAAATCGGGCCCATGAGGCCCAGTGGAGCCAATGCAACACTTCGAAACGGGAAATACTTAGTCAACCTTGCATGCGCGCATGTGGCTGTGCATTTGCGCGCACGCTAATGGCGTGTCAAGACGCGGGCACTCTGTGGATCCGAAAATCCATTCGCGTATTCTGCGCATTAAACGTATAGTATGAATATAGATACTCCCGATGTATTTAGACCTCATGGGGCCATCAGTGTGCCCAAACCTTTGGGTAAACATCATTGAGTTGAGAGGTTGATACTGAATGAATTTGGATCTGGAGGCATGGATTTTCTTTTTTTAAAAAGGGGGAATTAGGAAGTTAAATGATTTATAGGACTATACACTTCATTTCCGCAAAGTTGGCACCGACTGAAGTAGTGAAAGCTTATCCCAATACATAGCTGTTTGTAGCCGGGCTCGTTCACTTAATGTGATCTGAACCTTCTGGTACCGCGTTGGCAAAGATCAGCGTGCTCAGTGTGAGATTAGCGTGCCATAGTCATAGATGTACGTTAAGTCAGTCACCTTCGGCGTCTATTAGTATTTGAGTCTGTGAAGCTTGGGCACGATATTCCTGAATTAACTATTGCTGCTCTCCCCGTGGACTTGTACGCTTGACTAGATGATTGAGGATGTAGTATGAAATACTTGGAGACTTTACCAGCCTAAGTATCCAGATTATTTGATATACTTTATATGCAAGGCCTGCGCTGAGGCATTATCCGTGCTTGAATGACAGTTGAGATTCACACAGCTTGTCCTTAGCTGCCTGCTTACCACGGGTCTGAGAAAGCTGGGGGATATGACAATTAGCATTAATTTCCCCTCTCGCCATGAAAGATCCGATGGATTTTGGAGAAGCAGACTAGATTATACCGTCATAAATGCCCGCGTCTTGACACGCCATTAGCGCGCGCAAATGCACAGCCACATGCGCGCATGCAAGGTTGACTAAGTATTTCCCGTTTCGAAGTGTTGCATTGGCTCCACTGGGCCTCATGGGCCCGATTTTTTCTCTAAATAACGCTTATTAAGATTGTAGAACTACTTCTACATATTTTTGTAGCATATACTTGCAGCGCTCGTCGTCGTCGACGACGACAAGGCTTCGAGGGTGTTTGGCAGGGTGTTTGGCATGGACCCCCCCTCGGTGTCTTTCGTGGGCCATCAAGTCAGAAAGGGCAGGCTTGCACTTCTGGGCCACCGTACACAGGGGAAATCCAAGCAGATCTGCAAGCACACACGTAATGAATGTTCTGTGCACTTATGTAAAGCCCGTTTTATTCCCCCATCTTCCAAGTGACAAGCAGTAATCGCTTCTCTAGACAAGTGCCTCGCCGCGGCGGCAGCTTACGACTCGGACCTAAGTAGTTTCGCCAATTACCCAGAGGCAGTGGCAGCACTAAGAAGCCTTATTCACTCAGTATTGTCAACGCCAATGCTTGTCAGTACGCCCACGAGACGGGTAAACGACGGCACCATGTGGTACCCGAAGACCATCTGGGCACACCTGTTAATACGCGGTATAATGCCGCGTCTCTTGGCTACGGTTCTCTACTAGCTCTTCTGCCACCTCGGGTCCCACCGTCGTCGTCGACATGTCGAGGATGCTGCGCCACCTCCTCCCGACGACTTTCAGTCGACTCACTGCGCATCCTCCTGTATGCCGTCATGTCTCTCTTAGGGCTCTACACCTTAGGATACACGATGGCTCCTTTCTCAGCGTCGACAAGCAGATGGGGGTCAGAGCCAGAGCCAGAGCCAGAGACGCCTGTGGTATCGAAATGGCAAGCAAGGGCAGACATGGTGAAGGCAGCTTTCCTGCACGCGTACCACGGGTACGAGAAGTATGCTGCTCCGAGCGACGAGCTGAGGCCTGTCACGAATGGGAGCATAAATAAGTGGGTTTTCCGTTGGCGAACTCATGTTAGTTTGACTGATTATACTGCAGCTTTAATGGGTGGGGTGTAACAGTGTTCGACTCGCTAGACACAATGCTCCTAATGGGCCTAAAAGACGAGTACGAGCGGGGGTTAGTGATCGTGCAGAACGCGGATTTCTCGAAGTCTGCAGTAAGTCTCTCAATCTCACCTGCCATTCTAAAGTATATCCACTATTTCTATAGGATCACAAACGCGTTCCATACTTCGAGACCGTAATTCGGTACCTAGGCGGTCTCCTCTCAGCCTACGCCCTATCCAACGATACCCTCCTAATCCAGCGAGCAGAGGACCTCGTCGCGCAGCTCGACCCCGTATTCGTCACCCTAAGTGGATTGCCGATGTATTCTGTCGACCTCGAAAGGCAAGTTCTGAACGCAAGCCTGCCGATTTCATAACACTCATCAGCTAAGCAGCCAAACGGCAAATGGTCCTGACATCGGTATACTGGCCGAATTGGGGACTTTGCAGCTTGAATACACGTATCTGGCGAAGGTGACGGGAAAGGCGGAATACTATAACCGTGTATGTCATGTTAACGTCTGCCTTGTTCGCGGGTTTTTTGTGACTAGATTACAACTAAATTATGCTTTCAGGCCGCGAAGATTAACAATAACTTTGCTAAAGCAGATCTACGCCAAACGGGAGGGATGCTGCCTGTTTCGTGGAATTTGAGAACGGGAATGCCAGGCGACAGTGCGTCGCCATTCTAAATTCAAATTTATATCCATTCTTTCAACATAGATTCTAGCACATCTATCTGTCGGAGCACGAGCGGACAGTGGTCACGAGTACTTGTTGAAGCTCTATCTGCTTACAGGCAAGACCGTTCTATATCTGTCTCCGACCCGCCATTTGCTCTACGTATCTGACACATTCGGGTCGACATTCACAGAAACGCCATCGCCCACGCTAATATTCGAGCATTTGTCGTGCTTCCTACCGGGCTTGCTTGCACTCGGAGCACATACGCTACCTCTAGACAACCTGAAATCGCTCGGAATAGACCTCGAAGAATTGGGAAACGAGCAACTATACGGACACGCAGGAAAAGGCTATAAAACGCTCAGCGGATACAACTTGAAGGAACTGCACATGTGGGCCGCGGAGGGACTAGCTCAAACATGCTGGGTAACGTATGCTGATCAACCGACTGGACTGGGGCCCGATGAAATATTTATCAAGTTTGCATACCCTGAAGGCGGATGGATGAATAAAGGGAGCACGTACTCGTGGATTGATGCCCTGGAGAGGTGGAAGGAAAGCGGCAGCCGCGGAATCGCTCCTGGTCTAGCGGAGAAGACACCGGTGGTGTACACGGAAGAAGAGAGGCTGAACGGCACGAGAACCGGGCACGATTATTCACTGCGCAGGCCTGGATATCTCCTGCGTCCTGAGGTGGGAAAGGCGAAACATTTTCCTGAGCTGTGCTTGACCATTCTCCAAGACTGTAGAATCACTTTACCTTCTGTGGCGCATTACCGGCGATGCCAAATGGAGAGATCGAGGTTGGGCGATTTTCGAAGCGATCGAAAAGGTAACGAAGACTTCTAGCGGATATGCGAGTCTATATTCGGTCGAAACAGGGGATAAAGAAGACAGCATGCCAAGGTAGGTCTCTCTGGTTCTCGACGGATCCTGCTCATCCTACACTTCTACAGCTATTTTATGGCTGAAACGTTGGTGTTATTTTTAGACTGTCATGACGTCACTAATGTATTTGCAGGTTGAAGTACCTGTATTTGATGTTCTTGGATAAGGACCCGGTATCGCTGGATCGCTGGGTATTCAACACGGAGGCGCACCCACTTCCTATGTTTGAGTGGACACAGGAAGAGATTAGGCGGTTCAATGTAACAGTAGGATAGTCAACAAACGGACCGTAATTAGGAAAGAGGCCCGGGACCGGCCCAGCAGGCCCGCAGAGAAAATCACGCCGCCCCAAATTGGCCAACTGCAAGAAAGGCTGCCCATGACACATGTTGTTTCCTAGATGGCCGGGCTCATTCCGCACATCTGGCGCCCTCAGAGCCTTTATAAGGCCCCCTATTTATCGCAGTTCCGCTCCACCATCTTTCCTCTTTCGTAGAGCGTTTGCTATGGCCTCCCTCAATCAAGGCGAATTCATAGGTTCTCTTGACTGTGGAACTACGTTCGTCTCCCCTCTGATCGCGTTTATGTCTGCCTAACGCGAGCCATTTTCAGCTCAGTCAGGTTCATCGTCTTCGATAAGCACGCGGATATCGTCGCGCAACACCAGCTCGAGTTTCCGCAATACTACCCAAACCCAGGGTACGTGTCGCACGGAGACCGCGATCGAGCGCCTTGTTGACCCACGAATCCATAGATGGCACGAACACGACGCGGACGAGATTCAACAGCACGCTGATAAGTGCATCGAAGAAGCCGTCAAGGCCCTGGAAGAGTCAGGTTGGGCGAAGGAGAGTGTCAAAGTCATCGGTACGCCGCCTCGGGACTCCCTTACCATCACATGATCGTCGCCTCGCATGGCACAGAACTCACATTCACCGTTCTCTTTCCTTCTCTTCCTCCTTCTGGTGGCAATGATTCATAGGCATCACGAATCAGCGGGAGACTACGGTCGCATGGAGTCGCAAGACGGGGGAGCCGCTCTGCAAAGCTATCGTCTGGGCAGATTCACGCACGAAGAATATGGTCGCTCACTATGAGCACAAGCTTCAAGTTACGGGGATCGAAGTGTCACCTGGGGTATGGAAAAAGGGACAAGATGGCATTGACTCCCTGCGCGATCTGTACGCCCATCCTTCATTCTCTTACCCCACACTCGGTGCCCAAGAAGGCCACTAACACGCTTGTCATTATCGAAATAGAACTGGACTTCCTCTGTCCACCTACTTTTCCGCGATTAAACTGCGCTGGATGATCGATCATCATCCGGAGGTGCGGACGGCGCACGAAGCAGATGACCTGCTTTTCGGGACGGTCGAATCTTGGGTCGCATACGTGCGTGCTCTTTTCTATCCCCTTTGCGCTCTCCTGTCATTCTGGCTGATGCTTGATGCGACAACAACAGAACCTGCTTGGAGGTGTAGAGACCGGTGTCCATATCGGCGAGGTCACGAATGCATCGCGCACCCTGCTTCTCAATATGACTACCCTCAAATGGGACCCGAGGCTCTTGGAATTCTTTGGCCTGCGCGAGTCCATCCTCCCTAAATTGGTGTCTACGTCCGAGGTGTACGGTAAAGTCGCGTATGGCGCGTTGAAAGGTGTTCCGATAGGTGGTCTCGTGGGTGACCAGCAGGCTGCGCTTATTGGGAACAAGTGCTTAAAGCAGGGTGAAGCCAAGTGCACATACGGAACAGGGGCTTTCCTCCTTTTCTGCACGGGTGATGAGATCGTGAAAAGTAGTCATGGGTTGCTCAGCACAGTAAGCTTTTCTGGTCATGGTGTGAATAATCGAATAAGCTTTCTGACGTGTTTTGTAGGTTGCATATCAGGCCGGACCTGGGGCAAAGCCAGTGTATGCGCTCGAAGGCAGTAGTAAGTGGTAGCAACACATCTGCCCTACTACCTTTGCTCAAACCTTACACCAGTTGCTGTTGCCGGAAGCGCCATCAAATGGCTGCGCGACTCAATGAACCTCATCGAATCTGCCGCCGACGTCAACACGCTCGCCGCAAAGGAGAACGATACGGGCGGGGTCTACTTCGTGACCGCCTTCTCTGGGCTGCTCGCGCCGTACTGGGACCCTGGCGCTGCCGGGCTCCTCATTGGCATCTCGCAGTACACCAATCCGTCGCATATCGCTCGTGCGACACTCGAGGCGAACGCTTTCCAGACACACGCAATCATTGAGAGCATGAAGCTCGACTCTGGGACGGAGCTGAAGCACCTCAAGGTCGACGGTGGAATGACGAATGGGGACCTTGCAATGAGTATCCTTGCGGATATCGGAGGGTTTAGTGTTGTGCGGCCCGAGATGAGAGAGTGGGTGCTTCATTCGCTTATTAAAGAAACAAATTAACCAAAGATTGGTTGATATCCAGGTCGACAGCTCTGGGCTCTGCCATTTGCGCTGGTGCAGCTGTTAATCTATTTGGATGGGACCTAAACAAGCCGGAATCCTTCAGTGAGGTGAACACCAAGGGTAACCGAATCTTCGAACCGAACCTCTCCGGTGCTGAGAGGAAGAAAAGGCAAGACGGCTGGAAAGATGCTGTAGAGCGGTCTAAGGGATGGGACGAAGGCGTTGACCGTGAAGACTGAGAGCAGCTGCTTTCAACAGTTGAGATTTTTGAGCTTAAACATTAATCGGGCCCTTGGAGTTATGCTAAATATCGGTCGCAGCAGTCAACCTGAAATGTAACATTGAATATCTCAATGCACAAATCTTGCTTTCGAAGATCTTCCATATCGCGAATCGTGAAAGAGAAGAAGCGTAAGAAGCGTCCTCGTACGTAGATTTTAGTCTAGATACAAGATTAAAGTGCATGACGGAGACTACCGACCAAACTTCCTCAGAGGGTCCGACTTTTTCTTGCCGCCTCGGCCGCTGCTTCCCCCACGACCGCCCCGTCCACGGCCTCGATCCCTCCCACGAGTGGATTCTTTCCTAAATGGCACGAACCCTTTGGGCTTTTCGTCCCCGTCACCTGCCCCGTCGGTGCCGGTCACAGGAGCTATCCGAGGCAGGAGGTATTTTGGAACATGCTTCATGTGAGGTTGTACTCGTGTTGGGTGAAGAGGTTTGTCGTGACGGAGATACTCAAGGTCGAGTGGGTTGTCTTCGAAGTGGGCCTGAAGGAAAGTTGTTTAGTTCGCATCTATGGTTGCTAATGGCCATCGGACATACCTTCAGCTTATCTGAATTCAAGATCTCCGTCTTCAACTCCTTGACCCGAGCTTCTCGGATAGCCGAACGCGTTACGCTCCGCAGAGCGTCCTCCATTCGATACCTGAACGCCTCTACCTGCTTCATGTCGAAGTTGTACTCCTTTATCTTGCTCCCCCTAGCGCCTTGCTCCTTTTCGATCCTACTAAACACTGCTTCGTCTTTCTGTGCACTCGGCAGGCAACCCACAACCTTGTTCTTCCCCCAAAGCTCTTGCGGAACCACAAAGGATAGTGACATGCCGGTACGCCCTGCCCGCGCGGTTCTGCCGACTCGATGGGTATATGAACGCGAAGAAGTCGGGAGATCGAAATTCAGGACGCAGGCAACGTCGACGAAGTCCACTCCTCGAGTGACGCCATACTCTTTGTCCTTGCCTCTGGCTTCTTTTCGATTTCGTTTCCGAGATTTATTTGAGGGTGGAGGCGACTCTCGTTTTCTTTTCTTTGATTCTGTCCTGGAAGAGCTGGATTCGGAGACTGGCTTTGAGGCAGGCTCGCGCTGAGTTGAGGTGTCTGATGGGTAGAGAATAAGTGTATCGTCAGCTAAGCACTGGGGTGGAATCGGCGTACATTCCTCCTCTTCCTGTTCTTCTCCGTCCTCGACTTCCTCCTCCTCGTCATCCGTGTCGTCGTTTTCGCCCGCACCGTTCTCATCAGTAGCGATGATATAGTCGTACACGCCTTTGTTGAATTCTTGCACAACGTGATATCTGGGAGACAGGGTAGATCGGAGAAAAGCCGTTAAGAGGCCTATAAACAAGTACCTCGAATTTAGCGGCAATTCTGAATTCAGAACACAGCCCTTTATTGAGAATTGCTCGAGGAAAAGCTTCAGACGGTAACTTCGGTCGACGTCGTTCACAAAGATGATACATTTGCCCTTGATGAGTTTGAGCTTGAGTATGACATACGTGAGGAGGAACTTGTCGACTTCCGAGCATTTCACTGAGTACTGGCTAAGTGAAGCGGCTTCATCCTCTCCTTCCTCCAGTTTCAAGATGGCCTGGAAAAGCAGTTAGACAAGGCCAATTCGGAAAGTCAATGTAGCTTACTGGATTCCTCAACGCCAGTCCCTTCAGCAATTCGACATCCTCCGTCATAGTTGCACTCATCAGGAATGACTGGTAAACTTTCGGGAGATATGAGCCGTTAAAGATCTGCCGGACGTCGCCGTCGTGGCCATATGAAAGGATAAGGTCGGCTTCGTCAATAACAAGAGATTCGAGCAGGGACAGTGAGAAAGCTTTGGACTGTAGAAGGGCAAGAGCACGGGAAGGAGTCGAAATTACGACGTCCGGTCTATCTGAGAGGAGAATTCTATGCCAGATCCATGAGAAACGAAGAGATTGTCGAGGTGATTGTGCACGCACCTTTGCAAGTGTGAGGTCGTGCCGGATGCGACGTTTGAGACGATAATGTCCTTATCGCAGTACTTCAGCAAGCCTTTCAGGTGACCAGAAACCTGCTCCGACAGTTCTCTCGTAGGCACAAGGATCAGAGCTCTTGTGGCTTGTCGATTTTCGTTTTCAAGATCTAAGGACTTCGCGGAGAAATTCAATAAACAACCAGAAAGAATAGAGACAAAACCCACCCACACTTTTTGTACTCAATATTTTTTGAACCAGAGGCATGCAATATGCTGCTGTCTTCCCGCTTCCTGTCCGTGCGCGAGCAAGGATATCGCGGCTTTCGAGTGCAAGTGGAATGGCTTTGGCTTGTACTAGTGTTGGACGAGAAAAGCCCATATCTGCGAGGGCCCGTAGAAGTCTTGCATCGAGGATATGGGAAAATGCGGCGAATGTTGTCTTCTTATCGACGAGACGCGGTTCAGCCATATTGGTGGTCAACTTGAAAATCTGCCCAGAATAACTTGAACTTGTTCTTGAAAAAATAGTTTACATAATCGTGATGGTCTAAAAATACAGCCCTACATAGTCTTACAAAGTTTTACAAGATGTGCCTTCACTGAATAGTACACTTCCATCGCTTCTCAAATAACCTACAATTAGCATAATGCTCTGTGACAGTCAATCCAACGTCTCCTCCATTGGTAGTGTCCACGATCAGCACCCCACACCTGTAGCAAAAATGACTTCGAATTGCGAGGTATCAGGAAAGTGCAGTGGTTGGAAGATATCACTCACACATTACATCCGGGAGCCGTACACTGGAAAAAGAGGATTAATGAGAAGGGACCAGAGAACCTTAAACTATTCGCTCACCGTCATATGATTGCAGCCAGATTCCTTCTGCACCGGTGTTCGACAACCTGAAGACGGCAAATTGTAAAGCACGGAAAGTAATTTGAACCGGACAACCCACCAGGACAGTACTTCCATCCTTTTCTTCGCATTAGTCTATCGATGTTATCATTCCTGCATCGATGGTTGTCTTGAGAGCTTGCGAGGGCTTTAAGACATGTTTTGCACCAGGTATGTCCACATAGTGGCACAGGGCAAACAAGAACAGCTTCTTCGTTATATTGAACGCGGTCGACATTCATCGACTCATTGCATCTACATGGCGATGAGTAGGGAATAAATTGGGTGGAAGTGTGCACGCGATCACCTTGGACAGTTCAGAATGATCGAGTGAGCTAGCAGCTGCAGTTCACCTAGTCGCTCCATCAGTCTTGACGAAAGCTCAAGGTGTTCTATGATTTCTTGTGTGACTTCTTATTTTGAGGCGTTGTCAGCGCGCGCATCATGCTCACAGAAAAGAGAGCTTACGACTCTTGACTGTTCTCGATCTCTCGATGACACATTCCGGGCAGAAGATAGGATATCGGCGCTCGGCAAGCTTAGTCTCGACGAATGTGCGGAGGCACTCCTGACAAAAGTTATGCTGGCACTCCGCCAGGGTAACACTCTGTGCCATAGCGTGCGTATCCCTGCAAATACAACAGTCAAATGAGGTCACTTGAGTTCGAGGAGTCAGGGTGGTAAAAACGTCGTGGGTTGGGCCGTATCCCTCGAGAGAGCCACCGTCACCGCCCGCTACCTCTTCTCGTTGCAGCTGCATGGCCAACTCAAAATCGAGATCATAAGTAGGAGAGGATGACGATGGACCTGGCCTCGACCTCGCAATTTCTTCTTCATGTATCCTCCTTTGTAATGTAATGAGCCAGTTATGGTTTTGCCACGAGGGAAGTGACACGGTAGCCGCAATCTCCTCTTCCTCTTGCAACTGAATCAGTAAAGCACTTTCCCAAGAGCGCCGCTCCTCCGCTGTACGCCTGGCCTTTGAGTGGTGATCCGAGCAGGAACCTGAGGCCTGATCGTCAATGTCAATACGTTGGAATCTAGATGGTCCAGGTGAAGAAGGATAAGGTTCATTGTCACTTGCACCGTCCTTCTGGTCAGACATTGGCGCGAAAGGATAATCGTCCAGGAGTGCAAAGAGCTGTGAACCTGGAGGATATGGAATGCCCCTGTCGTCAGAGCCAAAAGAAGTCCAGTCGATCATCCCCAGTCGCCGTTTCTGCTTGTTTTTGCGAAGACTCTCATCCTTTGGGTCCTTCTGCGTATCCAGTAAAGACAACTTCGAGCTTAATCCGCGAGCAGAGAATAGCTCCTCATAGTTCCAGGGCGAAGATATGCCGTTCGGACTGCTTGAATCTTGGTTTGCTGGAACGGTAGATACAATGTTTTGGATGTCTGCGAGTACGGCTGTTCGCTGCTGAAGGAAGTTGGCATGGTCGAAAGCTGCACAATAACCAGCTGTTTCTTCCAAGAACGTGGCTTTAGAAAGAAAGTTAATGCTCTTGTTGATAGCCGCCGGGAGAGCTACCTCGTCTGCGGTCGGCCTGAGTTTCAGAAGATGGGCGGAGAATTGATAGGACGGTGTAGATTCCATGGCAATAGGGTCCACAGTCATCTGGGAGAACAGGTGGGCAGCAATACCATCTAGGCTGGCAGATAATGTAAATGCAGGACTGTGAGGATGGCTTGAGCGAGGGTGACAATCAAATAGGGCGTAGATAGTTGTTTCGGAGATGGGCATGCGGAGACAGACGAACATCTCCGATGTTCGAAAGACTGCTGCCGAAACATGTTTAGAATTTGTAGAAAACCACTGTCTGCAAGAATTCAGCGGACAATCAAACTACATATCCAATGAAACGCACTCGATGAGGCTTTTCAGAGCATCACGCGAAGAAACATTTGTTACAGACCCAGTCACTTCTAACGTTTCTTCAAAGATGGGGATTTTGAGGAGTTGATCTATATTCAGATGGCCGTTGACATGAAGCTCGTAGGCAATAGACATTATTTCCTAGAATAAGAGCAATGTGAGCAATGTGCTTCCGAATCATCGCGATCCTCACATGAACTGTGGATTGGGATATTACGCGATCAAGGAAGTCGGACTCCTCCAAGCACTCTGCTCCCAGTTTGTGAACCAGACGGACGCAGTTCAGAGCAACGACCCCGCATATTGCCCGATGATCATCACTGTCGGCTGGTGTGAAGTCTCTTCGGTGCGTGCAGATAGGCGCATCATATGTGATTGTGCGAGGCGTAGTGCTTATATCCATAGGCCCACCGAAGCCAAGATCTTCCAGGACGTCGAGTGCGGTAATGCACGCAACCATCTGCGTCAGAAGCGGGCCCGTCTGGCAGGAGGATAAGTGGAGGGGTAGGAAGGGGGTGGTAGTGCTGGTAAGAGAGAACGCCCTCAAGTGTAGTTTACGCACTAGCCACGCCCCTGCCTGACAGATCCAGCTGTTGCCCGGCCCCATGTAGCCCGATATGTAGCTTGGGCGCTATCATTTCCCGTAACGGAAGGATTGCGGTGCTCAATTCAGGATTCCTGGCACAACTCAGTCTCCAGTGGACTGCCCAGAGTCATCTATACGGATATACGACTCATTTACAGTGGAAAATGGTTCAGAATGCCGGTTGGAACCTTGGCCCAAAACACCCTGTCGTCTGTCTCGGAGCGGTGGTTATTTCCGGCGTCAGCCAAGTATACAAATCACGATAGAACAAATGACATGCATACATAGGTCACATATAATATGCCAAGATCTCAACGAAAGAAAGAAGGAACTGCGTGTTGAGGACAAGTTGAGGATCAAGCAAACTGAGAATGGAGGTTGGAAAGTGAAAAGAGGCGATTTCTTCTGTGTTGCCGAGCTACACTCTTCGGATCACCTTCCGGGCTGGACGCAGCTCATCAATGCATCGCGTCTTGGCTCAGTATTCACCAACTTGTCACGAACCATATATAGTCATTTGTAATGTATTTACATTCGAGTTATACATCGTAATAGAGCAGCCGAAGGCTCTTTTCTTTACTGCAAATGAAACTTCTGTTCATGACGCGGACTGATCATGGGGCGCCAGGATCGCCGATATTAGTGATGCAGTTGAGAACAGGGAGACACATATGAGGCTCACTTTGATCTCTTCTTGGAAAGCTGCGGCGATATTGGTCCTCTTGACCTTCATTGCAGCAGTAAGGAACCCATTATCGGGCGTCCATTCGTCTGGTCCTAATACCACTCCACCAAGGATCTCTGGTCCCTTGAGGCCATTTTTCTTCCCAACTTCATTACACGCTTGAAGCACGAGCTGTCGAACACGAAGATCCATACAGATACTTATGAGTTCTGCGGATTGTAGCTGAACGACCTCCGGGTAGTGTGAGACCGATATCACTTGTCTGAGGTTGGCCTCGTGAGGAGATATGATAGCGATTGGGTAGGTTGCTCCTGGAGTAGCGTGGACGCAGATGTTGGAAACATAGCCACATGCTTTGTATATCGACTCCAAGTGTTCCAAAGCTATGAACTATGTGCTTCTCAGCTCGTTTGTCATTCAAAAGGAAAGAATGACTGCAAACCTCTCCAGTTTGCATTTTGACCAGGTTCTTAACTCTGTATACTCTAAGTGACGTGCCAACCAAGCAGTTAAAATAGTTACCGGTCGATCAGGCTCAGTGTCCCGTCTTCGTGCCATGCTCCCACATCACCGGTTCTGAACCATCCGTCTTCTGTCCAGATGTCTCGGTCATCGTCAAGGTCAGGGCGTTTGTAGTAGCCTTTTGACACCGACGGTCCACGAATCCAAATTTCGCCTTGGGGTGGTGAGTTCGAGGATAAGTAACCAGCCTCTGGTATGTCCGAAAGTTTAATCTCGATAGATGGAACTGGGAGGCCGACTACTCCAAATTGCATGTACTCTGGGGGAAGAAGTGTACACATGCCACACGACTCGGTCATACCATATCCTGTACGGAGCTTGAAACATAATATCCGAAGAATGTGTAAATTACATACCTTGCATCATGGGCACAATAGTCACGCTGAGGAATTCCTGTGTCTCCTCGCTGATCGGCGCTCCACCGTTCATAGCGAACTTGAGCCTTCCACCTGTAACCTCCCTGACTTTGCTCAAAACCACCCTTTCTCCCCACCCAGACAAGAATGGTATCCCTCTTCGTCTTGCCTCGAGAGCCCCATAAAACAGACTTCTCTTGACAATTCCGCCAGACTGTAGCTTGCCCACAATCCCCTTCCTGATCGCCTCCCAGACACCTGGCACACCGAACATAATGTTTGGCTTCAGTGCCTTTAGGTCACCCACGCAGTTTTTAACACCTGCATCAGTGAGCGTTTTTGGCCTGGCATAACCGCAGGTGATTCCGACGAACAAGGCGCATAATTCGACGATGTACTCCAAGACGTGAGCGAGTGGAAGGTAGGCAAGGTATATGTCTCCACATGGAATATGGGGTCCGAAGACGATCGCAACGGAGCTCACAGACGCGATGAGGTTGGCATGCGTGATGCAAACGCCTTTCGGTGCACCGGTCGAACCGCTGGTGTACATGATGCATGCCAAGGTGTTAGGTGTTGGTCTTCGTTCTTTAAGTTTGACCTTAAGCTCTTCAGAAGGCTGGCTTCTTCCGAGAGCTCGGAGCTCGTCAAGGTGCATAATGCGGATGTCTTGACGCGCTTCCTTCATGTCGTCACGGACGTCATTGTCTGGATGGCCGTCAAAGAAAATGTACTTCAAGGAAGGTGTCCTGGTGATAACCTTCCCAAGAGTGGGAAGCAAGTCGGAATTGGTAAATATAGCTGAACATTCGGGTTCGTTCAATGAACGAGAAAGTCCTTCGACACCAAGTGTGTCATACGCTGTCGCGATGGGAGTAGATATGGCAGCACAAGCATGGGAGACCATTTGCCAGTTTACACTGAAAGTTCAGGGAAAGTGAATAAATGAAAGTACGATTTGCTACAAATCGATAACACACCTGGTCTGAGAATAGATATTTACCACATTTTCCCTCCGAATGCCAAGGGCAATTAACCCCTTGCTGACCTCGGAGATGGCCTCTGCAAACTCCACGTATGTTAGAAATTTATAGTCGCTCAATTCATGGAGCTTCCATGTCTTCTTCTCAATAGTCTTCTTCCCATCAATAGTCTTCAAGACTTCTCTGACTTCGTTGTGGACCTTGATAACGTCTCTCCAACCAACGGCATTGTGGGCGGAGCCAAACGTGCGGGCTGCATAGTCTACGACGTCCGGAATGGTGTGGACAGTAGGATGAGGACGTTCGACAAGAGAACTGGAGGTGATTGCAAGACGCTTAACACCGCCCTCGGCTTTATCTGGATGGGGTGGGGAGACTTCCACTGACCCGGCGCCAAAATGATTCGGAGGACGAAGGTGCAATCCCGCCGTAAGGAATTTGAGGTCAAAGGACGACATTTGAGAGTTGTATGGCAGCTGTTAGAGAGAAAACAAGAGAGTCAGCAAGTATGGGGGCGGCGCAGCTATTTACTTACCTAGGGACAACACATCTGTGTCCCGTGTCTCGTGTCCCATGTCCAATGTCTCAGATCCAACAATGCCACCACCCTGGTTCAGCCAATGCAGAGTTCGACATCCACTGCAACGGCAAGAATATCAATGAGGGATGACATGAAATCATCTTCAGAACTCGGGGTCAGCAGCGGACGATGATTATAAGATGTCCGAGTCGATGGTGGGAAAGAAGAGCACGGCAATCTCTGGACCGGCCCAACCTCCAGAATACTGAGAAGTTAGGGGCTACTCTCAACAACACAGAAGGGATGAACATTTGAATGTGTATACATTATATCTGCAGAAATCAGAAGAAAATCCAATCGAATACGCCACTATCCTGTATTCATATGAACCATGCTCCCAATCGCAAGAACAGGAAGCCAACTAATATAGCAATCGTCACATTCCTTACTGAATTGCGCACGATCTTCGAATCAAATACCGGCTCCCATGTTGCCTGCAGTTTTCATAATGCGCCGTATTGCATTTGTGATATTTCCTCCGCAGGAGGTATCGATGATAAGCTCCCCGCAACGATAGCAGAAGTGCCTACAAGGGGATTCTATTTAATATTTATGCAGTTGTTGTCAAAGGGGACTCACACATTACAACCAGGAGAGCGGCACTGATGTCGTAATGGTCGTGAATACGGCTTCAGCTGGATAATGTTGGCCTCATGCTGACCGTTATGTGATTGCGCCCCGATATCTTTTGTACAGGCACGCGGCAACCTGCATGTAGTAAACAGCTCAGTTCGACCTAGTACTTTCTTGACGTAGAGAAAATGTTACCTGGACAATACTTCCACCCTTTCCTTCTCACCAGTCTATCGAGCTTATTCTTTTTACACCGATGGGTTGTCTTCGACATAGCTATTTCCTTCTGACAAGCTTTACACCGCCGATGCTAGCAGCGCGGCAATGGGCAAGTGATGATCTCCTCCGCCAGATACTGCGTTCGATCCACTTGCATCGTTTCCCTACAACTGTAAGGTGACAATATTAGAACCAAGTTCGCTAATTCGATGGCATGGTCGCATACCGAGGGCATGTCACTGATACGGCGTGGGTCGCGAGCTGCAATTCTACCAGAATAAGGAAATCGTCTCCGCCAATATCTAAGCATTCGATGAGACCTGGATCAATATCTGGAGTAGAGATCAACGAAGGGGGATGTGTTGAAAGATTTTGTCACTCACAGTTATCCTGCATGCCGTCTGCAACACAAACAGGGCAGGCAATGGGATAGCGCCGTTCTCGTATTCTTCCGAGGACATACGTTCGAAGGCAATTCCTACAGAATGCATGTTGGCATGTCCAGACGTGACGAAGTGCGGATTGCATAAAGCTGTCGGTGCAGATGTTGCAATCTTTCTCCGAGTCTTGAAGAGTAGATTGGGAAGATTGGGAGTCTTGCGGGTCTTCTAATGTGTACCGGTCTTCTGAAATGGGCCAAAGATGTCTTGGAACAGGCATTAGATGGCTCTTGGTTGTCTCTATTGCGCGTTGGCGCAAATGTTGCCCTACGTGCGGCCAAGAAGTATCAGATAAACCTCCTCCGGGATCACCCCTCTCCTGAGTCAATGACCGCTTCTCCTTCCATTTCAATATTTCCAATGGTTGTCGTCCACGCACAACGGCCGTCAAGAGAAGATAGAGTGGAGTAGGAGGCATATAGCTCTGAGAAAGAAAGTTGCCGTACCAAGGAGCTACCCGGGTTGATAGAGCGAAGAGGAGCTACTTTCCCCTGATAAGAAATCTTCATCTTGAGGCTCTGGCCTGATATCTTTCCCGTCCAGATATTCCATGGTTGAAAGATGCAAGTACTGGGGACAGCGAGACACAAGCAAGGCTTTGGGTGCTCAATAGAGTGCAATGTTACGCGTTACTTGTGATGACATGCAGGGTGCGTGCGGAAATGGAGATCCTGTGAATGCTGCCGTATATTTAATATAAGACCTTCAGCCGGGAACGATGGTGAGTCCAGTCTCGGGGCGATGCGTTCCAAGTACGATCGAAGTTGGGAGTGAGCTGGAATGAGGGGTCGAGTACAAGGGTCATGAGAACAAAAAGTGACTGAGGAGCGAGTTGCTTGCCATAATATCCCGGTGAGAGAAACATCAAGGTCGCGGTTGCAGCAAGGTTGCAGAGTGGTTGGAGGCCAGAAGAATGGCCGCATTAGCTGAAGATGACGTAAGGTGGACCACCGGCCCGTCTCGACAAGGGCTTCGGAACCGTTCGATTCGGAAATCCAACACACGTTTCAACGACCGTTGTGCACTGCATTTCTGGAGCAGGATGTCGCAAGGAGAGATACGGTTATCCTCCACCATACAATCAGAAACAGCTGAAAGAGATAGAGCCACATGTCGACTGTACGTTGTCTTTACACCTCATCTGAATTTGCACTCAGGTACATACCCGTCGCAGTTGTCGAAGGCAGTTCGCAAAGTATACGTGCCCGACATGCAATGTTCCCTACTGCTCCATTACCTGCTATCGCTCTCAGGTGTGTGCTTGAGATGTCGCACGTACGTCCAATAACCGCTATCCCAGGTTCATAACCAATGCTCAGAGGGTTTCTACAAGAAAGAAATCGAGAACGACATACATGCAGCGCCATCCAAGACAGCCGAGCAAAGGCAGCAGATGATAGAACTGCTCAAGAGGTTCGAAGAAGAGAACAATACGGAACAATCGCTGCTGCAAGGGGATGAAGAGGGGGACGCGGAGGACCCTTTGAGTCTGGCGAGGCGGTTTGAATCAATTGATATCGGTAACTCCTTTCATCATCCTCAGCTCGGCTGATCTCATAACTGCATCTATAGAGTCAGCCCCACCTGATGCCCTTTGGTCGATGCTTACTCCAGAAGAACGGTTGAAGTTCACCAAAGCCTTGTCAGATCCCACTAGCGGACTGGCCCAGCAACTCTTAGCCACAGAACAATTGGAACAAGAGATCCAAGAACCATGGTGGGAAGCGCCGAATGAGCCGAAAGACCAATGTGAAGATGGTCGACCTACGAACACCGCACTCCGCTATGGCGCCAAACCGAAAATGATGAGCGTCCCTCTGTCGATGGTGAAGAAGATACCGACGCCGGCGGCCCACACTTTAGTCTATAATATGGCCACGATCTGGTGAGCCAAGGTTACCTTCTCCGGAACGAGCAAACGCCTAAATCATGTAGCCTTTCGTATGCTTATATCACACGGTACCTGGGAGCTTCTCTGTGCACCTTGCAACCAGACGATCCGGACTTCGATGAGGCACGACGACTGGTGTCGTGGTTGGTGCCTTTTTTATTGGACCGGAAATCCACCACAATTTATTCTAATTTGTCTGCTGCGATAACAGACCTCTGGTCGTCACTAAATCCTGTAAGCGGCCTGTAATATGAAACTTGCTTTCTCTCGCTCTACTAATCGATTTTCTCCCAAGGGCACCATGACAAGTGAACTCCTCTCACTTTTGCTGCGAGATGCAGCATTTTTACTCAACCCTCGCCGTGTAACCGAAATAACGTCGGAGGTAGTGGAGGAATCAGCACAGGAAACACTCGTGCCTGCTTCACACCCCCACAACATGCCGATGCTTGTTCTCTCGGATCTCCATGGACTATTCTTGAATAGGCCACCCAAGACACCCGTGAATCATATCACTCGCAAGATAGTTTTCTACGCCGCACACGTCCTGTCGACGCCGAGCCTGGTTCTGGAGACCTTGGTACGCGAGCTGGTCTCGACAGCTGAGAAATACGCCCAGGCAGAAGGCTTGGAGCCTGCACGCATGGAAAGAAATGGGGAAGTGCGGAACGAACGGCTGGTGGAAGAGGTGTGAGGAGTACCCACCCAGTGTAGCAGACAGGATGGCAGATATGACAACACCGATCTTATCGAGTCTTATCGACGCTGACTGGCCGGGTCCTCAAACACGTTGCACGTGATCTCGATCCAATCAAATTGCAGAAATTGTCCCAGCCAAGGAAAGGAGAGCACCGCAGGTTTGGGTGGGGACCCGACCAGTCATTCCGTTCGTCATCTTTAAAACACAGTTTCGTTTTCCGTCCTCGACCAGCATCCCTCCCATCAGCTGCCCTCCGCCTCTGCAATGGCCCACATCCATCACGACGACGAAGAGCTCAACTGCGGCTCTGGCGGCGGCGCCGACACGTTCTTCGGCCTACGGATTGCTGCAATTTTCGTCATCCTCGTCGGCTCGACCTGCGGTGCGCTCTTCCCCATCCTCGCGAAACGGTCGTCGTGGCTCCATGTCCCGAAGAGTGTCTTCGAGTGAGTCCCGGGCTCGTCTGTCATTCGAGACAAACCTAATCGACATTCACCTTCCCCCGCAGCTTCGCGAAATACTTCGGATCCGGCGTCATCGTCAGTAAAGCGGAGTTCGACGTCTATGGACTGTTAATGATCCGCATTTCATAGATCTCCACGGCATTTATACACCTGCTTGCACCTGGTCTTGAGGCTCTTGAGAGCCCGTGCTTGGCTGAGGGATGGTCGGAGTATGTGAGTAGCCTCTTATCTATTTGCAACTCGCCTCTTACGAAATATTTTTTTCAGCCCTATGCACTCGCCCTCTGCCTTCTTAGCATCTTCGCGATCTTTATCATCGAACTTATTGCTTTCCGGTGGGGTACTTCCAAGCTGTCAAAACTCGGTGTTGTCCATGGTCAGTGTCCATCATCCTACCGAGGCATTTTCTGTTCTCTGATGCCTTCTCGGAAAAGTAGATGCCCATGGACATAACCTTGGCGGTCATGCTGCCCATGGTCCCGAGGGTGCATATGAATCCGGCGAGGCAGCGCCCGTCAAACGCGAAACAAGTTCATCCGATGTTGAAAGCGCCAAATCTCACGAGTTTCAGGACAGTCTCTCGACACACGTCATCGGCGTCGCGATCCTGGAATTTGGTGTCGTTCTCCACAGGTATTGTGTTTAGTATTCATTCCAAGACTCATTGCAGACTGAAAAAAAAACGCCTCTAGTATCTTAATTGGATTGACTCTCGCTGTAGATGAAGATTTCAAAGTCCTCTTTGTAGTCCTCGTCTTCCACCGTGCGTCATTACGCCGTCTTCTCGACTTTTCCGCTGTTAAATGTTTTCTTAGAAACCTTTGAGGGTCTTGGACTTGGCGCTCGTCTCGCCTTCCTCGACTTGCCCAAACGCTTCGGTTGGGTGCCCGTTGCAGGTGCCATCTTGTATGGTCTCACCACCCCGATCGGCATTGCTGCCGGCCTTGGAGTTAGGTCGACGTACAACCCCGGTAGCACGACCGCGTCTATCGTCAGCGGTGTTATGGATTCTATCAGCGCGGGTATCTTGGTCTACACCGGCCTCGTCGAGGTATGATTGGTTGGTTAGTTTATTCGCACCTTTATATTGAGTTTCTGCTGCAGTTGTTCGCCCATGAATTCCTGTTCAACAAAGCCATGATGAAGGCATCAAATGGAAGATTAGCTTATGCTGTCGGATCCATGTGCCTTGGTTGCCTGCTCATGTCCCTTCTTGGCAAGTGGGCATAATGCCCTCAAAAATCGACATTTTTTCAGCACGACACGATTTCTTACTCACGACCTATGTCACTATCTCCTCACCTGTCTCACCTTTGCATATATTTCCACATGAACGAACTATGCTGCTCTGCCGTGTAAGTTATCGATGCTTGTTTAGCGCCGGAATTTGGGAGGGAGGCTCTGTGGAGATTGAAGGATTTGTCGTACTACTATCTTCTCATAATCTCGATAGAAAAATAATACCTACACCGCCTAGCTATAGCCGTATCGAAAAGAATGTCTCGCGAAACCATCTGGACGATGTGTGCTCAGAGAAATTCACCCAAATTTTATTCAAAATATGTAAGGCATTACGTCACCATGCCGGCCCGGTCTTTCTCCAATCCTGACTAAGGTGGACCAACACCCCGAACGCGACGCTTGTAATTTGCGAACTTCGAGTTAACCAACTCTCATCTGTCTCTGACTCTTGGCCATGGCCGAGGAGGCCCCAAAACAGACGTCACCACCTGCTGAACGACCCCAACCCCAGATGGCGGCAGGCATGGTTATGGGTCCCGACGGAAAGCCTTGCAAGATCTGCACTGCGTTTCGGAACTGGACACCAGGAAAAACGAACTACACGGAGCCCGACTCAGATAGAAATTCTCGTGTAACGTCAAAAGCTGGCAACCCTCCTGCAATATCTGCGGTGCAAAACCAGAATTCCCGTGCTGCAGGATCGCCCTTCCCGAACTTTGCTGGGGTCGCCGGAACTGCTACGCCTCTGGCCACCGCCACTCGTCCCGACGAGCCTTCTCCGGGGTGTCCCCCGGATGTTGAGCAGCTCGGACGCGCGACCTGGACGTTCCTTCACGCGACCGCCGCGTACTACCCGGACAAACCCACTCCAACCCAACGCGCGAACATGCTGATGCTGCTACGTTCCTTGCCTATTCTATACCCATGCACGTGGTGTGCACAGGATTATGGCAAAGACATTGAGCAACACCCGCCCGATGTCAGCAGTCGAGTGGCGTTAAGCCGGTGGTTGTGTGAAAGGCACAACCATGTCAATGAAAAGCTTGGGAAGGAAATGTTCGACTGTGCGAAGGTGGATGAGAGGTGGAAAGATGGACCAGCTGATGGCAGTTGTGATTAAAGTTTCCGTGAGGTCATTTTCCTATCATTCAGGAAGATGAGCAATCTATTGACCTCCCTGCTGCCTTTCTGTAGGTTGTAAAAATAATCTCATACGTCCTACGAGAGCAATTAATTCAACTTGAACCAGCCTGCCATCTATGTGTGGGTCCTCCTCCATTCGTGGGCTTATCGAGGCCCTGCAATCCTCCATCCGTTTTGCGACTTTAAGTTTGGGCGCTTCTTCAGCGCCTCTGCGTGTTTTGGGATTGATGATAATTGTAATGCCTTCTTTGTCTCGACGGAGCAGATCTCTCGATCACGTTTGCAATTATTTATGTACCCTTGGATCATTTCGTTGACTGCCGTGATCTCACCCTTTTGTTGTTCCCCTTTCTCTGAGGCTTTTCATTTGACTGCGACTGATATTTCCTGTCGGCCGAAACAGAGGCCACGGTCTTGCATGCCAACAGAGCTCTGGAGGTGAGTTCCTCTACCGCGGAAGGCGTTCCCAATCACCAATTTCAAACGCGATATGTGTGTAAGGCAGCTCGGGACGCCATTCGACAGCAGCAGATCTGGGAGGCAAACCCGAGACTTGGTCCTCCCCTTCACGGCGCTACCTCATGTCTTCCCAGTCTCGGACGCAGATAGGTTCGTACATCTCGTTATTCTTTGACGCCGGTGCGATCACAACGCGATCTTCATCATCGTGCCAGTGGTCCATCACCTTGCCACCCTAGCTTCTTGAATTGAAATCCATCGTGTCTTGTGCATGTGAGTACCTCCGACCTGCCCAAAATACATAGAAGTAATGATCATGGGGCACCTCCTCCTCCTCGTTAGCCCGTGGAATTCTCCCAGCAGGGAACTTCCTCAGCACTCCGAGTCGTTAGTTTGGGGAACATTGATAGAGTACGAGCTATCTGCTGGTATGATGTACAATCCAACGATATCTCTTGATTGATCCTACTGCCTCACCTCAGCGCTTTGACAGTTGGGATTCATCTCACCCTCCGCAAATGGATGGAAGGGCGAAATTCCAGCTCCAATGTTTCCCGCACTGAGTCTTGGACCCGCGATGTGCGTCTCTAGCTCCAGCTCTAAGGGTGCTGATAACAAATTTATCGAGACCTGGCGTCTGTCAAGTTCCCCCGACCGGCCTCAAGCTGCGGATGAAATCGCTTCCAACCATTGTGTCCAGGGGCCTCATCTACCAGAGTGTGTTTGGTTTCACTTAACTCTGCAGGTGTGGAACGCGATACGACATCCAGAAATGGCAAAATTTCCTGCTCAGTCGCTGCGGTGTTTTCCACTTTGGGTAGTACCCGGATGCCGGTCGGCGCTTATGCCGTATGTATCCCACAGAATTTGTGGTTCGATCAGAGCCATTGATCAAAGCTTCCCAAAGCTGGTGTGAGCATTCAGGCCTTCAAAAGTCGACTTCTACTTTCACATCCCTTTTCTTCGAATAGCCATGCTTCAGAAATTGCGTAAAGTCCATGATCCAAGAGCATGCGCGTACTATCACGATTGACGCCCAACCTCACGGCTCCCACGAGTTCACTCAACCGTCCAGTTTGCTAGCAAAGCTGAACCTTCTTGCTTGCCTGGGGTAGACAACAAGACATCTCTATATAAAGGCTTCGTACGTCCAGTTCGGCATGTTGTCTGCACTCACAACTTCTTTCCGCGCACTTGCTCTTCATATTCGCATTGCTATCGGCATGCACGACTACCCCCCTCCCCCAGCCAATGCTTTGACCGACTTTCCGCCTACCGATGGCAACCCCATTCCCGTCTCTTTTTGGCGTCAACTACTCACAAACCATTGCCTCGTAGAGCCCGATTCGCGACAATACGAGGTAATCGAAATCAAGCGCTGCAAAAAGACGAGCGGCACTCAGCACGAATATATTCTTGCCACTATACGGCACCCAAACCACAACACCAGGCTTCGCATCGAGAGATTTCGGGAAAGTGTCGATGATGCCGGAGTACCCATTCTCCTCGAATCCCAGCGAAGCGCATTGGTAGCCATGCCAGAAGACACTAGTACACCAGGGCTTTGGTCGGCGTGGTCGATAGAGAGGAATGATCCTCGATCTCCCAGCGCCGCATGCAAAGCTTCAAACAGTGCCAGTCAAAGCAGTGTCAAGATCAGTAAAATTGGCGAGGCCCACGATACTGTCAGGTTCTGGGAACTCCATGTGCATCCACTTGAGCCCATGACGGAAAGAATCCTCGAGGTTCTCGACCTCTCTCAAAACCCCCTTCCGATGTACCAGCTCGCCATACTTGCCAATGTGGTTCATGACCAGGAGTCTCTCTACAACTTGTTCAAGTCCCAGTGTTATTGGTATACCAACATGATTGCAAGGGTCATTGCCAGAAGAAACTCGATCAACAGTGACCAGGAATCAGGAAATCCGGCCACCGACACCGATCACTGCTTCGACCCAAGAGACGGGAAATTCTGGAGGATTCCTGTTCATACAGTTCGCCCCAAGATCGTTGACGCTATCGAGAAAGAATTCAATGCGCGTTGCGCAGCTTTCGACCAGGAGTGCCAGGTAGTACTAGTACGAGATTTCATCTCTTCCATGGCACTTCGGGTCACTAACTGAATATGCAAGGTGCACCCGCCCATGGCCAAAGAGGTCAGGGCGCTCCAAGACGAGAATGCGGCTTTGAGAGAGCAAATCCATATGCTGCAACGTGAAAATCGAGCAGGTCCGTCCGCTCCGTCAGTGCAATAGTGTGTCAATTGCAACACTTCTTCACTACTACTTCTATGCTACATCCTTCATCGATTCATCTCTGACAGAATTGTTTCCTTCCTTTTCCCCGTCACACCTTGTGCCTTTCTAAATTCTATTTTCCCGCTTCGACAGCAATGTTCCCAATCTGGCTCTTTCTCTGTGCCCTTGCCTCGTTTTGCTTTATGCCGGTCTTACTATACTGACCCTGCTGTATTCGTTAGCTGTTCACATTGCTTTCGACATGTTTTCGCTTTGTACCCGTGTGTGTCGTATGACAGACACTAATTGAACAATCCATGTCTGGCGTTCCAACCAACCAAGATGATCTTGCACGGCCATAGACCGCCGGCTCTGAAAATTAATTGTGTATCACAGTGTATGTAACATTTTTGGAAGTCAACAAGATGAGCCACCACCTTTTGAATTTGATGTCAGTCGACGAAGCCATCGCACGACTTCCCCGGTTCCTCTTGAACGTCGATGTTCTCATCCGCTCTTTGTCCTAGTCCGCTTTGCTGGCTATGACCCGCCGCTCCCCAAACCTTGCCATATCAATTCCACCAGGGAATCCAGCTCCCACACGGACTCCGAGCACAAAACCGTGCAGGCCGACGAGTAGACCGTTGCTGCGGGCGTTCCCTTGGGTCGTAGGATGCACTCTCGTTCTCTGGATCTTTGTCCTATATGCAGACCGGCCGCCGTTGCATGTGCACATCCCTCAGACCCATTCGCCCGTTAATAATTGGAGGCCGCGCCCCTTCCATCCCCTACATCGAGTAGAGGAGTCATCAGCCGCGACTTGGGCAGAGCGGGCAGAAAGGGTTCAAAGGGTGTTCAGGCATGCGTACGATGGGTACACGTCACATTCTGAGGGGTACGATGAATTGCTTCCGGTGACAGGAGGGAAAGCCAAGAAGTATATTCCCTTCGATCCTTTTCCGATATGAACACCACTGAGTCTTGCGGTCAAGCTTCAATGGATGGGGTCTCACTCTCTTCGATGCTCTGGGTACGATGTGGACGATGGGGCTTCATAATCTGTTTCGAGAGTCCCTAGGGGCAATTGCAAGAACAAATTTTACTTTGCCCGAGGTGTGTCCTGGACTCATCTCAAAGGAGGCTGGGATTAAATAGAGAATCTCTGCATCGTACTTAGGGTGAATTTGCTAACTTCCACGATTCAACGCACCGCTACCTTGGTGGCCTCCTTTCTGCCTATGCCCTTTCTCGGGAGTCGATGCTCCTAACGAGAGCAGATGACCTAGGGAAATCCCTCCTGACTGTATACAACTCCTCATCAGGACTCCCGTCGATTGCTGTGGATTCATTGTGGGTCTATTTGCTTGCTTTATTCTTCGTTGTTAACGTTAATGTGTTATACCAGAGGACAAACTTCGATGGAAGGAAAGGCTGAACTTCTACTAACAACGGTGTTAACTGGCCAGCTAGAATTGTAAGTCAGAAGTCTTTATTTCCAGAACGGACATTCTCACCCCCAATTTCGCTCCAGTCGCCATCTAGCACATGTTACAGGACGAGCAGATTACTTCCTTAAGGTTTGTGTCATTTCGCTACCGTAATACGGTCCAATTTGGGGTTCTTATACGCCTGTTCTACAGGTTGAAGCCGTGATGAAGTCTATAGAACGGCATTCAGTGACCTTAGACGCTCTACCATCTAAGTGGGATCCTAATACAGGTCTGCCAGCAAACAGTTAGCAGTTCTGTTCCTTGTTCCATCTTGCAAATGCTGATGTATATAGCCCATTATTCGGTGGGCGAACACTCAGACACCGCACTGCCCACTCTCCTTAAGCAATGGGTGCTAACAGCAAAATTGGATCGTCGAAGCCTAGATTTATGTCAGCCTTTTTTAGCAGCTTAGATGATGCTACGCTTAACACCCTCGTTCAGACCTGAAGTACGCCAATTATATCATCCAGAATCTCCTCTTCATAACCAAGAAACGGCGACTCCTATACGTGACTGACATCGACAACGGCCAGGTCACCCATCGATTCGAGCACCTTTCCTGTTCCCTGCCAGGTTTGCTGGCGCTTGGGGTACACAATCTCGGAATCTCGCGACCGAGAGTTGCACCTATGGGCGGCACAAGGGTTGGCATATACTTGTTGGGTCACCTACGCTGACCAGATGTCGGGTTTAGGTCCAGAGGAGGTACAGATGGAGGCTTGGTTGGGTCCTGAAGGGGAGCAATTCGGAAGATGGATGCAACATGTCGAAGAGTGGGAAACCAGAGGAAAGAAAGGGACAGGACCGCCTGGTACGAAACAGAGCGAGAAATATGAATCGTCTGTCGAGGAACGTGAATATGTGCATCTGCGACCTTGGTACCTTCTTAAGGCCGAGGTGAGTGTGCTTCCTTGGGCAACAACGCAATTGCTGATTTGTTAAAACACGTACAGCTGATTGAAAGTTGTTATATACTGTGGAAGACGACGAAGAACGGTATCTGGAGAGAACGGGGCTGGTGCGTGACCTCTGGTCTCAGTGAGTCGTGACTTAACTCATGTCGACAGGTCGATTTTTGAGGCGATCGAGCGTCAAGCAAAGACTGAATATGGCTACGCTGGCATCCTTCAAGTTGACCAAATTCCGACTCCGCTGAAAGACGAAATGCCGAGGTCTGTTCTCTTGAGTGTCACATTGTAAGAGCTTTGTATACTGATGCAATATTTTGGCGACCAGCTATTTCTTGGGCGAGACTCTCAAATACCTCTACCTCCTCTTCACGAACGAAGACCCAATTCCGTTGAACTCATGGGTCTTCAATACTAAAGGACATCCTTTTCCTGTCTTCAAGTGGAGTGATTGGGAGAAGCAGGATTATAACATCAAGGCCTAGAAGCCTCACCCTTTTTCCAGGGACCAGCAAACACTAATTTCCCTCGCTTCATGTACCCCAATCACATTTTCATTCGGCTCCTCCAGGATCCTTTTGCATGTTTTCATATCATATCTTATACCACATCAATACTTTTTGCATTGTACAGTACACATACAGAGTAGTCGCTTTCATTGTTACATCGATGTATTCACTCAATCACTTTCTCAACTCCAGGAGGCAAGGTATATCCACCTTGTTTGCGAACCTACGAACAAAGAAAACGAAGGTTAGAACTTCGGCGAGTGCAAATGACGAAGTAAGAAGAACCTCGTCGAATATCGTCATCTCCAACAGGCTCTTATCATGGCCCCAGTGCTCGCTCTCCTTCTTTCCATCTCTGACGCATCGCGCAACTTCGTCTGCCTGGAAATGCCAGCCACCTCCAACATATTGGAACAGTCTCTTCTCCTCTCTGTCAATCCTCCCGTTCTTTCCTTTGTACTGCACCGTGAAAGACTTTGGGCAGTAGATTGGAGTGTGAATCAGGATATTCCCTCTCTCGAAGCGAATGGCGACACCAGGCTCGATGGGGTCAAGGGTTATGCTGCAGCTGAGAGAGGCTTGGGCGGACAGCTTCGCTACAGAGAAGGAGACATTGAAGACGACGTTGCTGTCGACGTCGGTGATAGGCGTTTTGATCATCGAGCCTTTGATGTTCGCGGGTTGGGTCTTGTTATTGGCTGGGTTCTCGTAGAGTGCCAGAATAGCCTGTGGTCGAGGAGTGATGGGCCATCACGATCTCTCCGGGAGAAGTCTGCTTACCCAGAAGAGTGGGTAGGGACCAAGGTCCAACAATGCTCCACCACCAAGGGCTGGATCCAGAATTCTATGGGTCGCAGGAATGTCTAGAGAACATCGATGTCAGATACTTCGTTCAACGATCGACGGATTACCTACTGTAGATATTTAAATCTCCAGAGAGGTCAGCCTGCAGAAGGACGGGAAGACCGAGGGTTCCTTCCTCCGCGATCCTCTTCACCTCAAGACTGAGCGGCTGGAACCTGGTCCATACAGCTTCCATAAAGAAGACGTCGTACTCCTTCGCCGCGGCAAGCAGGGATTTCAGCTCTGCGGTGTTGCAAGTTACGGGTTTCTCGCAAAGAACGTTCTTGCCTGCCTTTATGGCAGCCAAGGCGTTCTCGTAGTGGTACGCGTGAGGTGTACCTAACAGAAGAGAAATTAGATATCGGACAGAACCAAATGAGGACTCGGGCGAGTGCGAACCAATGTAAACAGCGTCGACGTCCTGCATTGGATGTTGAATCTCTGCAAAGTTAGATTGTAGGCTGGGGCTTACTTTGTCCCCGTAGACCTCATCATAGGTCCCGAATGCCTTGATTGACTTATCCCCTCCAGTTAGTTTATCAATGAACTCTTGCGCCTTCTCCACTGAGCGAGAGCCGACGGCAGCTACTTTGTGAATCACGTCGTGGACATCACGTCTAGATTTACTCGTATGGTGAGCTTTGTCTCAAATGGCATCGTAACCCTACGTTTTGGGATCTATCAAGAGATCCTGTCAGAGGGTAAGCATACAGAGCTTTCGAGGCTGGAGGTCCTACACACCTTCACGAAAGCGGTGGCGATGGCGCCGGTGGATATGACCCCCCAGCGAAACTCGAGCGGTGTGACAGGTACCATTGGACGATATATTGGTAGGGAAGAAGCAAGGGCTTCTTGTCATGGTGGGAGTTGCTGAACAACTTGGGCACGGGGAATTATCGCGGAGATGTCGGCCCGCCAGAATGGCCCATCTTGGGCTACCGATCCGCCATTCGTCCTATCCTTAACTCTCATGGCCTCACTTCCAGCGTTGACAGACATCCAAGCCTCCTCTTCCAGCTCGCAATCGCCACTGGCAAACACCTTGGGGATCCTCTTCGAGCACTCACCTATCCTTGTCAACACGCTCGAACCACAGCTCAACGCCGTGCTGAAATCATCGCCTGTTCTCGACTCGTATGCCCAGTTGATTGATGTTGCATTGGCTGAACTTGCGAAGTGGGATGCCGGGGCCCAGTCCGAGTTTATTTCTGGACACCCTCGAATCGGAGAGAGCGCGAACCTCTCGAAGCTAAGCGCGAATGAACAGGGCGCACAAGGTGCAATCCCGACACCCCCAGAAGTCCTTGCTCGCCTCGAACATCTAAATGCGCTGTACGAGGTCAAATATCCCGGCCTGCGCTATATCACGTTCGTGAATGGGCGAAGTCGCGCGACGATTGCTGAGGAGATGGAAGGTGCATTGAAGGTTCCCCATTCCTTATCACCTGATGAACCACGACGAGACAGCATCATACCTGTCGAGGCCGGAGGGAAGGAATGGAAGACTGAGTTGGACAGAGCCGTGTACGATGTCGGACGCATTGCGAAGAGTAGGTTGGGAAAGCTGGGAGTACATTGATAAAGCCGAATGAAAGTCGATAGCGGTGCTAGCACACTGGTAAGCATGGTTTACAGAAAACGTCGTACTACAGGTCCGAATGATACTTAATCATATAGATAAGCCCATATTGGGGTCTTCGTCAAGTTGAGAGGCTCGAAGTCATGAGCGAATAGGCTTCTGAGATCTCAGCAGGTTGGCACGGTCGCGTTCTGCTTTCCGCTAGAGAAGGGGAGTCGGATGTGAATGATGTCAAGATTAGGCAGAGATAGATGCAAACCTGAAGGGCGGCCTGCCGTCTCGCAGCAAACTCGGGGTTCAATGCATACATATCTTTCAGCATCTCCGATACCACGGCTGCTTCCTTGGCCATCTTCGCCACAGCCTCCTCCCTCGCCTTTCTCTGCTGCTCGAGTTTGGCGTTGAACTCCGCCATACGTTTTTCGCTTTCTTCACGTTGGAGTCGAGCCCACTCCTTTCGCTCTTGAACTCTCCGTTTCGCTTCCTCGGAGATGAGTGAAGGATCACTACGTGCTTTGAGGCGTTTATCGTAGGCCTAGAGATGATTAGAGTTCGAATAGTGAGGCGGCAAGAGCGTCCAGCTGGAGGCGCACCTGGCGTTTCATTGCATCTCCAAGGATTTCAAATGCATCGTGGACCTATAAAATGTGTGGTGCCACTGAGGATCCAAACGAGAATTGGCGAACGGATGTACTGACCTTGTGGAATTGACGCTCGGCGACCTGCTTCTCATGATCATTAGCGTCGGGTTCAAGTTTGTCTGGATGAGTCTCCAGGGCCTTCTTCTTGTACGCCCGTCGAACTGATTCAAGCGCGTTACGCCCTCATTTACAAGAAGAATGTATGCGTTGACTCACTGTCGCCGGGAGAAGCATCCTTTTCGATCCCCAGAACGTCGTACAAAGTGCTCGAGAATGAGAGGGCTGGCATATCTTCAAGAAAGGTAGTCGTGGTATCGGCAACACTGCGCGTGGAGAGTGCACTCTGAAGGGTGCATGTGTGTGCAGCAAGGTTAAGTTCGGAATTCGGTTTGAAATCCCAAATTGGCCCGCCTCGCGCTCGCGCTCGCGAGGAGATCACGTGGAAGCTGATGAGCTTGCTTGGCAAGATTTGGTCCTTCACGGCGCGATGACGTCCTAAAGAGGAAGCCTCATTTGGCCTCCGAAATCACCTTTCCACCTGCACAAAAGCGCATGGCTCGTTAGCATTTCTCCTTTTCTTGGACCCATTCTCTTCTAGAGGGCATTGTTTTTCTGGCTGGAATACCACTACCCTCGATCTTGTACATTAATAACCACCAATGGACGCTGTGGAAAAGGCGAATGAGGAGAGACAGCGTCGATGGTATGTCTTTGTCTATGCCCGCGTTGCCTGATATCAGCGGGCTGATTCACTTGGCGCAGGGTGAAAGACAGGAAGGTTGGAGAGGGAGCGTATGCTGTTGTATATCAAGGTCAATGCTGCATGCAAGGTGTCTCAATGGCCATCCTCTCATAACTTGCTGCGTCCAGGGAGAGAAGCGTCATCGGGAAGAAAGGTCGCCATCAAGAAGATTAAAGTTGGGCAGTTCAAGGATGGATTAGACATGTCGGCCATCCGTGAGGTCAAATACCTTCGAGAGTTGAAGCACCAGAATGTCATCGAGGTACGTGAGTCCTTCGTATCTTGGTGCAGCACCATCCTCAATATGACCATAGTTGCTCGACGTGTTTTCATCAAAGACAAACCTCAACCTCGTCCTAGAGTTCCTCGACTCCGACCTAGAAATGATCATCAAAGACAGGACCCTTGTTTTTCTGCCTGCAGACATCAAAAGCTGGATGGCCATGACCTTCCGTGGTCTCGAGTTCTGCCATCGCAACTTTATCCTCCACCGAGTCAGCTCCCCCAAAATAATACTGCAGACTTGCCCTGACCCTCGTGCGACAGGATCTCAAACCTAACAACTTGCTCATCGCATCGGACGGCCAGCTCAAAATTGCAGATTTCGGTCTCGCGAGAGACTTCGCAGATCCTGGATACAAAATGACATGTCAAGTCATCACACGGTATGTTGGATCTCATGCTCCACACACGATTCACCGCTCAACCACGACATTCCCTTTATTCTGTCAACTATGGCAACTTTGACAGGTGGTACCGTCCTCCAGAACTCCTCTTCGGCAGTCGGTACTACAGCTCGGCGGTTGACATCTGGTCTGTCGGTTGTATCTTCGCCGAACTCATGCTTCGGATTCCATACCTTCCCGGGGAGAGCGATATGGACCAGCTTAAGACGATATTCCGGGCACTTGGAACGCCAACCGAGGAGGAGTGGCCGGTAAGCATCTATTCTTTCATTTCGGCAGGATGGTACTTAGGACTAAATGGATTTTGCCTAGGGCCACACCAAGTTACCCGACTATGTTCCTGTTGGACAATTCCCGAAACCGCCTCTACGCGACCTCTTCACTGCTGCGAGTGCAGATACGCTGAACCTGCTGAACAAATGCCTTATCTACGAACCTCGAAATCGGATAACTGCACGAGACGCAAGTCCTTCAGTGCTTCCTATCTTTGACCCCTCTAACAAGGTGCTCTTGTTAGGCTCTCAATCACCCTTATTTCTTCGCAATCCCTTATCCAACATTCCCCTCGAAGCTACCAAAATGCGCCGCGCAACTTTCCGCTCGACCTCTCGAAGAAGTCGACGGAAACGTGGATATGAATTCGTCTGGTCCCGGAGTAAAGGCCCGCAGCAGCACACTGAAACGCAAATTCACATCACCAGATAGCGAGGGCAAACGCTCTATCGCACGGCGGTTGGACTTCACGAAGCATGGACCTGGGTCTTAGACGTTTTATACTTACAAGATAGACGATAAGGACGCTTACCTGGTCTTATACTAGTGTTCTTTGGCGAACTAGTGGATTATACGCGGTGTCTACTACTCCCTAAAATAACGTCAATTACACAAGTGCATGGACCACCTGCACGCTCTGAATGCAACATCTGTTCGTGATTAACAGACTTTGGGAGAGACTTTGTTGATGCTAGTCGGAGTCCCCATCCTGCGGACCTTCAACCATGTGACCCTCTGATGTTTTCATCTCCTCTCGAATCTTTTTGAGGTCGCATGGTTTATAGTTGATAGCTATGCTGAGGATGTTCGAGGAGCTCCTGGTAATGCGCCGAATCATCTTTGGATCGGACAAACGGTCTTGATCATCATCGGACGAAAAGATCGTGAACTGGACATTCACCAATTTTGGGAAGAGACCCAACCACTTTGGAAGAATCGCAAGAATGTCCACCGTAAGGCGGGTACTATAGCTAACTACGAACTCGAGACAAGAGACGCATGCTGAGGGGATGACGCTTTCTGTTTGACCTGCTCGTTAGTGGGAGAGAAACCACTCTCCCAGGCGATAGTTCCCCAGCTGGAGTCTGAGGGTAATCGGGTTGCGCAGCAGATGAATAGATTCAAAAACTTTGTCGAAGGGCGGGTAGTCGGCAGCACTACCATGGTGATGGGAAGAGGTCCCCTCTCTGCAGGTGAGGGAACGACTCTTGATCCCGCTCACCCAGGATCCAGGTGAGATATGAAACCTGGGCCGTCACAGAGACCAGATGAGGGAGCTTCGGCGGCTTCGCCGATGATTTTGCAGGTGCTGCTCCTCTGAGTTCGAGATGAACTACGGAGGGGTGGCGTGATAGGAAGACAGGTCGACAAACTCCAAACGACAATTGTCCGAATTGTGAGAACTCTTGACGAGCGACAAATGGAGGAGTGCTTGAAGAAGAAGGGATCGTAGGAAGGTCCTCCACAATGCAGTTGACACAGTGTTGAGGTCCACTGACAGTCTTGTGAGGGTTGAAGAAGAGCGGTGGAGTGTTGATAACGTCCAAACCGTCCTACCTCTGGACCCGAGAGTGACTTCCTGCAGCCGGTATGGTGGCTCCTCTTTTCGTCGACGCGCAGGACGGAGCCCTTTGGCATGATAGGGAATGCATAACTCGAAAGCAGAAACAAGAGTAGACATGCCTGTATTCTTCCCATGCCACAGTGTAAGTAGCGAGCCAGTGTGCACCTGGAGCCGGGCACAACCTTTCTGAAGAGCGAGATCAAGCAGAGACGTCCACTTCACGAAAAACTTTTCTTCACCCACTTGTACTTCCTGCCGATAGTTGAAGAACTGAGACCTAACCGCATGAAGATGGATGGAGGTAACAGAAGAAAGCCTATGTAGAAGGCACATCAACTCGTCCACTTCCTGCACGATATCACAATGTGGTCTGAAGGAGTAGTGGATGCCGTGCTGTACGAAAAGGGAAACACGGAGGGCCCAAAGGGTCTCTACCGGAGCGGTAGAAGACACAGAAACCCACCCAGCTGTAGGATTGCCAATCTTGTTGCGAGAAAAGAATAAGTGCAAGCCCAGGTGGTGGGTGCACTTACATGTCAGGCTGAACTGAATGAGAGAGACATTATCAAGTTGTTGGGCAATTTCATCGAGCAGTTCGACTGGCAGATTGGTCAACGTTGTTCGTACAGCTTGTAAATAAGCTTTACGGCGCGCTCGAGTCTGCATGATGAGTTGAAGAGGTCCGTACGGGCTGGGGAAGCGGCATTGGCCATTTGATGGGTGGTTGTTTCAGTGTAAGAAGTTTGAGAGAAAAACAAGGGAAATTCAGAGAGTGGAGGGCGACTGTCCAAGAGCAGGCAAACAGGTGTAAACGCGAATTGAGGGATGTGCTTCATAGGGGCGGGATTGCTGGTCATAGACCCTTCCTTACACACGATGAGAGGTGAGCGAAGGGTGAGCAGAATGTTCCCTAACACTTCAGAATTCGATGTATTTCAGAGAAAAGATTGCTACCTACTATGAGTGAATGGAAGGATGTTGAGGAGAGGATGGTGAAAGAAAAAGGATTTACAGCTACAATTACCAATATAAAGCGACACGGCGAGAAGTAATGGAAGGTTTGATAGTATGAAAGAAACGTGCGTTATGGATGGATGGTACTACTGCGATGGTGGGAGCAACAATGGAACAGAAACGGGACAGAAAGAAAACGTGGTGGGATGGGTCGTAGAATTTCGTCCTTGAGATGAAACATGAGATTATCCACAATTCGAGAATTACTTCGGGGTGTCACAAATCTCGCACTTCGAAGCAGCGAGGGGATTAGACAGCCCACACGCCGAACAATTCCACTTGTCCTTGGGAACCTCTGGCGCCTTCAAACCAGCTGCACCCCAGTTGAAGCCAGTGACAGGCAGCGCTGGAGGCGCTGGAGCAGCTGTCGATGCTGGAGCACTCGAAGAAGAGACGCTTTTGGGAGCCGGCTCCTCGCATGCGATACACTTTGTAGCAGTGCTAGCGTTCATGATGCAGCAAACCCTACATTTCCATTGATCTTTCGCGGTCTCAGGCGCTTTCATGCCAGCAGCGGCCCAGTTGAAACCTTGGACAGGTGCTGGTGCCGGCGCAGGTGTAGGTGCGGATGCTGGTATCGTCGTCTTGGTGCCAAACATAGTCGAACCGAAGAGGGCCGCACTTGCTGGTGACGCTGTCGTGCTGTTGGTCAAGAAGGGGTTGGGATTGGGATTCGATTTTAGTGGTGGAAAGGGTTTGCTGAAAGATGGCGGAGAATAAGACTTGGGCTTCAAGGTATCATAATCGAAGCCGAACGCCTTCGCAGCGAAAGTAAACTCGTGCTGAGGAAGAGAGGAAGTGAGAAGGGCACTGGCAGCTTCGCGGGCCTTGCTGTGCTCCGCGTTAACAGAGGCTGCAGCTAGGATGCCTGAGCCAAGATCGAAGGTCGGTAGAGAGGACACCGGCATCGCACGGATTTGAGATTTGACGGAGTCGACGCTGGGCGCTCGGTCTTGTTTCACTTCAGCTGGAGCAGCCGGAGTTGGTGGCTTGAACGAGAAACCAGAGTTAGAAGAGGCGAGTGTCTGGAACGAGGGAGGCGAAGGTGCTGGTTTCAAGGGCGGGGCAGGTGCCGGTGTCGACGGTGCTGATGAGCCCTCGGCCACGATGCTATTCCTCAGCTTACTAGGTTCTTTGGGTGCCGAAGTAGATTTGAACCCTAAGAACGGCGTTCTGGGTGCTGTACTGGAACCATTAACGGCTGGAGGCGTGGGAAATGCAGTGGGTGTCGGTTTGGGTGTTTCTACCGGTCTGGCACGTTCCTTCTCCTTGCTTTTAACCTTGTCTTGTGCATCCACGACGATGTCGTCGACTTCTTCGACAGTGACATCAGAATTTGCAGGTTCCTTGTCTGCCCTCTTCGGTAGAGTAGATGGCAGGCCGCGTCCGTCGATTGAAGGTTTCGATCTCTTCGATGATCTCTTCGCTTCCTCTTCATCGTCGGCCTCTTCCACAACATAAGTGACTTTCTTGGTCTCGACTATAACGGGGGCCTCGCGAACAGGCGGGGTAAAGGCGTACGATTCCCCGGAGGTGGATGGCGATTTCTCGAAATGGGCGGGTGGACGCGAGCGTTTGCTACCCTGCATCAGGTTCATTAGTCAATAAGTCCTCAAACCTTGGTTAAGACACTTACCACAGGTAGCGTTGCTTCGATGATAGCTTGAGGAGAACAATCCTTCAAGTTCAGCTTCTCCTTCTCCTTCTCTTTTTGTTTCTCTTCTTCCGCCTTCTTTTTCTCTTCCTCCTGTTTGCGAGCTGCCCTCGGCTTCTTGGGCCGTGGCTGAATTACTTTCCCTGTACTATGCGAAGTTTGGTAAGGATTACTTATGTCGGGTTTCTTCACTGGGGTCGTCTCCTTGATCAATTCGGCCATGAAGTTAGCAGTATCGCTTTGCTTGGGCGGTTGCGATGGACTCTTCCGACTTTCATCTCTAGATGAAGTAGAAGACGCCTGTGACCATGTTTGACGCAGAGGAGATGGAATTACCGGGGCGTTCGGCTTTGCGGGCGTGCGAAGCAGGGATAGTGCCGAAGGAACTCCATTTGGCCGAGAGTTGGCGCCGTTCGTGCGTGGAGGTGTAGGCGACGCACTGACAGGAAATGGAACGGTCGAGGTCGATTTAGAGGATCCAGAGGATGAAGAACCGGTAGAGGGTACGTCGACTTTTCGCCTCTTGTTGTCTGTGGTTGCTGTGTTTGGAGAACTCGTGTCATCCTTCGTCTTCAGAGGGTCCCGTCTCGAAGGGGAAGCGCCAAAAGCAGGGGTCGCATATCTGTTCCGTGGGGTTGCGCGCCTCGCACTGCCAGCGCCTTCCCACCGATAGACGCCATTGGGATTTTTAGCCAGACGTTTCCGTGACGGTGTGGGGGAATTCAAGGATATCCCATTCTGTTGGGAAGCAGAAGGAGATGGATCGCGGCTGGGGGTCGTGAACGTGAACCTAAAACCTGTTGGCTCTGGCGCTACAGGAATTTTGTTACACAGGCAGAGCGCACGATAGAAGATGGCTCTCACGTCTTTCCTGCATCTCTGTGACCATTGATTCCACGGCATTCGTCGAAACCTTTGTCCCCAATCGTTGAGAGAAGTAAGCAGCTACAAGTTGGGCGTCGGGTGCATTTGCGGACCCGTTAGGTGGGGGCGCTCCAGGGAAATTACTCAGTCTTGCTGGGGTTAGTGGTGGGCGACTGCACTGGGGGGATTGTTGTTGCTGATGCTGTGGCGAGTAATCACCGTAGCGGCGAGGCGAACCAGAGGAAAGTGCAGTCGTCTGTTGGGGCTTGTGAGCACGGCGAAAGTCGAGGCATAGAAGAATCCCCTTCGTACCGATGCATTAGACGCGCTCAAATCGCCTTCCGATTGAGATACCCTTCCCCCATCCTCTCCTCCGCCAAAACCAAAGAAGCGCAGAACGGTGCTCACCTGAAGCAGAATAGTTAGGAAGCAAGCACAGCAAGTTACTCAGTTACAGATGGGCCTACCACGCTCCGTCCATAGGGCGCCGACCTCTTCTTGCGCGCATCGGCGCGGTTCGTGCTTGTACGGATAACACTCATCGTCGAAAAGATGGTGGGCTCGATTCAAGGGAAAACAAGGGAGTCAAGGCCACAACAAGCAACGAGGCGGCCAATTATTTTGGGCACCCGGCTCCCAGGCCAAAGGGACGTTAGGGCAGGCAAATAAGCCACAGCACGTGACCCATCCGCCATTGTCCGTCAGTCTTGTCCTTCCATTACTATTAGTTACACCACCATGCCTACGAAGGTCGTCGAGACCGAATATCCCCTCATCGACTCGGACCCTCATGCATCGCGGGTCATGAGATATATGCGGCCCTCAGATTACGCGGCCTGGGGCGCTGCAACAGCTGGCTTTCCGGCGGCTCTATATTTCTGGGGTCCGTGGTCCACCAATTACAACACTTGCATTTGCTGACTATGCGTGTAGAAATGGCAGACCCGTCAAGACTGAAGATCAGGACGCCTCTCAAACTCGCGACGTTCTTGGGCTTCTCTGCTGGTTTCTTGATTGCTTACCAGAGATCAAGCTGTCAGTACATTTCCCTAGTCTTCGCTGCCGGTATCTCAGTTCCATAATTCAGACCGTTTCTGGGGATGGACGGAGAATCAGAGGGAGCAGGAACGAGATCTCGCAGAACTTAGCCAACACGCCGCTGAAGGCAAGCCCATCTACGGGCATTCAAATCAACCGGAGTGGGTTCAGCAAGCTGCCAACAGGAATTCTCAGTGGTCACAGTTGAAATTCTGTGAGTGTTAGAGCACTTGCACGTTCCGTCAATTATTTATTCCTATTTTCGTGTTAAACAGCCTTGTTCCCAATGTAAGCTCTTTGATGTCAGTTTGAATGGAGTACTGAATAAGTATATAGGGTTAACCTTGTCCAACACCAACACCATGGGGTTGACACTTCCAAGTACACCGTGAAGAAGGAGCAAGAAAGCTCTTAGAAATTTTGCCATTTGCGAAATGAAAGAATACAATTTTACTTATCCTCGTGTCTGAGATTTCTCGCACAGATCCACACGCCTGAAAGAACAGCGGCGCATTTCTGGAGAAGACCGCTCTGCACATATTCCTTGTCACGGAAGTCCAAACGGCTCAGGTCCGAGTCTCGTCAATGCATTATGTCGAAGACCTGTGGTCCTCCTTGCAAGCATTTCGCCATCCGCCCGCCAGTTCCGACGGATCAATTCACTTGATTTCTTGTTAAAGGCCTGCCACGAAACTGCTGAGTTGTCATAGGTTGTCATCACATTCTTCAGCCAGCGCCCGTCCTCGCGGATGAACTCCTCGCGTAAAGTCCACCGCTTACAGCTGTCGGGAGAATTCACTTCGCCTTTGATTACGATGGCCACGAGACGCGACGACAGTCGTGCAACTACTGACCTCGACCTTGATGGCAGTGTTTTCTTAGTCCTAGCGGGATTTACAGTGCGTGAAGCGGAGGTGCATCCGGCGATTCACTGTAATTTATCTGGTCATGGACTGGAGATTTTTCGCATCAGTCGCATGATATCGTTGCTCAGGACAGTTTGGAGCAACTCTAAAAAGACCATCTTCAGTAATAGCGGTCAGTCAGGCAAATATTTTCGAAGCAGTACGGCGCCACACACGCAGTCGTTCGAGTGTCCGAGGATTAGGCGCTACAGGATAGATAAAAAGTCGACTAGAAACGAGCAGAGGTGGATCTCCAGAAAATCCACAATGCAGCAGCCCTCCTCACTAGCCCTTCTTGCAGGTGCCTTCACAGTCAATGCCGTCGCTCTGACCGAACGTGCAACGGGCGGCTACATACAGAACCCATCAGGAACAGCGTCCTTCACGATGTACTCCGGATGCGGAAGTCCAGGTATTTTCGAGGAAACCAACTGCATCCTTTTATTGCTGGTCCTGATGCACGTATTTTCGTAGCTTGCGGGAGAAGATCAACCGGGTACACAGCTGCGATTAACCAACTGGCATTCGGTTCCCCTCCAGGAGCGGGAGCTGGCGATGCTTGCGGACGCTGTTTCGCCTTAACTGGGACAGCTGATCCGTACTCGCCAAATTATACGGGGCCGTTCAAGTCCATTGTAGTGAAAGTGACGGATCTATGGTACGTTCTTGGACGACTTCGAAGGACCGACGAACTAATTTCGACTCCAGCCCGGTCCAAGGCAACGTGGTACGTGAATAAACCTTCTTCCTGGTCGACCTCGATGCTTTATCTAGATCACTGTAGGAATGGTGCGGACAGTCTCTCTCAAAAGCGAACAACGCACATGGGCAACCATTCCAGTGAGTGGTGGCCCAACTCTCTAGGCGCCAGACGAGGGTCTCATGACCATTTCGGCCTAGTTTCGACATTTGTTCAGACACCGGCGGAGACTCTGCCTTCTTCCCTTCGGGACGTGGGGCCCTGACTGGCACGTTTACGGAGGTGTCGTGTAGCCAGTGGTCAGGTTCCGACGGTGGTGCTCTGTGGAACGGGGCGTGCCTTGCTGATTCGAGTGTCGGAAATTGGCCAGCGGTTGGGTGCGGAAACAAAGGTGAGTTGTGTACGTGGCGTTCAGTGTGTTCAAAAAATTGAACGCCGTGTCTTTGAACGCTAGGCACTGCCCCTGCGTAAGTAGAAGGGCTTTCGGAAGCAGGTCATGGGGGAGTCAACGTTTCGGTGTTCGTTTGGCTAGCTCTCATCCTCTCCAGCATGGCAAGATTCAACTTGGGCCAAATATAGTCCCTGATGGCAATAGATTTGAGTTCAAAGGTTTCCTAAAATATAAAGAAAGGAAGAACCTCGGTACTACATTGGTTATCAGCGGTCGCCTGATAAATCTTGCCCAGTTGCACTTTGGGCCAAGATCGTATATCTTCTCACCAGGCTGAACGGGAGCGATAACTGTTTCGTCACCACTACTGCCAGGAACGCAGACCCAGAGATGCTGGTCTGGTTTGGGATTTGCTGATTGTTTTGGGCGAGGAGGTAGAGTTTCCAAGGTCGTCACTCCTCGCAAAATGTCTGCAGTCGCACCGACAGCTATGACCTGGGCGTTGGTCTGTTAGCAAGGGTTCGTTCGTTACAGACTACGCATCGACGAACCAAGGCGAAAATAGACAAGAGAAGAGCAAATCCTGCGGTCACAATAACTCGAAGGTGAGGTTCTTCAATCAAGTAACCAGGTGGAAGGGGTCTCTCTTCACGGTGTTCGCCTCTGAGCACGATGAAGCCAAGGGCCGTGCCGATGACCCATCGACCAGGAGGACCTCCAATGAATACCCACGAGCCAGGCCAGTCCCACCAGATTTCACGAGCCCATGAACTTCCTCTCGAAATCTCCAACGCGAGGAGGATATGCCTAATTAGAACTCTGGCAACGGGAGAAATGACGATAATAAATGCGAACGGGACGAGATACATCAGATAAGCGAAAGCCTTCAGCCGCTCGAGCGAAACACAGTTGCCTATCTTTGCATGGTAGTCAGCCTTCGTTCATTTTCTGCAGGTATGAAGCCTACCCAAGGGCAGTGATGATCAAATTCCTGGCGACAAACGCTACACGTTGAGCAATGGTGAGTTCGTGGTGGCTTCCATTTCCCGTTGCAGTTGTGTTTGACGCAAACCCCAAGGTCGCCTTGGGAATTAATGCACTGGTATGGTTCTGTAAGGAGTGTGGTATCGGGCAAAGGATATGTCGGGACGCTGTGGGACTGTCTCCCAGAACAGAGGTACGAATACAGTCCAGCTACAGCCAGCATTAGGAGGTTCACGCTCAATAGATAGAGAGCTGGAGACGTTGATGAGAACGATCGTTATTCTGGAGGGTGCCCGACTTACTTCCGAGCAAGTATGAGCGATGTTGTTTAATGAGCCATTCAACTGCGATCAAAGTCGTCAGGCAGGTGGTAGCGTGCAAAAGTTTGCCTTACTCGCGACATGAAAAGCACACAGATACCAGCCAAAGCTTTCCTAGTTTATCAGAATCAGGCCAACATCAAGGGTATGTTGACTGCACCAACAGAATGACAGAGAAGACGAAGCATTGGATAACGCCTTCTATTAGGATCATCCCGTTGAAGCCAGTGCATGAATTGAACGGAGCCTTCGGGAGCACAGTCATAGTGGTACTTGTCCAGACCCGACGTCGGTGGTTTTTGGGACCCAAGTTGTGTCAGGGACGCGGGCCACCTTTCTGGCCTGATCTCTCCCACGTCCATGAACCCAACAAGCGAGCTAGGGCCTGAGTTTGGCAGCCCATCTCAGCCAAAGTCATGCTGCCTCGGTCTTTACAGCGCTCATCATAGCCCATTCAGCCTTCAGCTCGTTCCCCGGCCTAATCATGCTATCGTTCCCCGCTCAGAATTGGGACAAGGCACTCTCTACCACTCGCGCCCAGCTTAGAGGCTATAACAAGGCCTTTGGCCGTGTCGCCAGTGAAATAAACTCTCGGCTCTACCTGTCGGATTATTGGACGGCACGGAATGCTGAGAAGCTTGCAGAACTGGGAATCACCCATATCATTTCGGTCATTGACCTCAAGCCCGAAATCCCAGAGGTCATCCCTCACGACCAAAGACTACACATACCCATCGTGGACAATTCCGACGCCAACATCCGCGAACATCTCGACACCACCACGGCGTTCATTGCAAGCGCCTTTGCGGAGAATGAAACGAATAAAGTGCTAGTACGTTCTGGTTCGCAGACCAGAGTTTCGTTCGAGCTGACATCTGGGATTGTGCAAGGTTCATTGCATGCAAGGGATCAGCAGGAGTGCAACTGTCGTTTGCGCTTATCTTGTCGCAACGACCAGCCTAACCTCGAGTGGATCCATCGCACATGTCCAATCCTTGCGCGGAATCGTCTGCCCGAACATGGGTTTCAGACGACAGCTGGACGACTATGCCACGCAGTTCGTCAAGCTCAAGAAGCGCCCTTCCCAAATTACAATGCCAGCTGCCTTTAGGTTGAGTGGTGGGATCATTGCGAGGATAAAAAGCTTGAAGGGCATGGATAATTTGGAAAAGGCGAAGGGCATCTCATAAACCAGCATTCTATTCCAGTACACTCTAGGAATTCTGCTTATTTCAATGTATAAATAATCTAATCGAGGATAATGGGTTGGAGAGAAACGAACGGCTAGGGGATGGCGTTCATGGGGAGTCTCTCGACATAGGCATCGGCATCGCGCTTGAGCGTTGGCAGCGGTATGGCCTCTGCCTTGACCGCGATCCTGCACGACCGAGGATTCAGCGAGACAAGATAAAATATTGTGATCAGGGACAAATTACAGGATCCAATTGCCTAGGCATCAGAATGGACGAACTTGGGCTATAAATCGGGATTCAAGTCCAAGTCGAGATCAAAGATCTGGGGCTGAGGTGCGCGAAGATCTTGCCGATATGGATTTGCCCCGGGAATGTTTTGAATGCCTTCATTTTTGGGAGAGGCCGTCGGTGCTGCGGGGCCGATGGTTAATGAATACAGAGGGTAGAAGACGGCCTGAAGATTCAGCTTACCGCGCCCCACAGAATGTGTTTCTCCGAGGAGACCAAGAGGTGCTTCTGCATTAAGGCGGCCCCTGCGCATCTTCTCTTCGTTAGGGAAGGGAGGGAAGAACAACGGCGGCGGAGGTTGTCCGGGAAGAGAAAGGTCGGGCATATTTGGCGGAGCCGAGGTGAAGGCACTAAGGGTCTGAGCGTATGTCAGAAGCTCAGGATACGGTATCGAAGCTGCATGGAACCATAAGTGGAATTCACTTCGAATATGCCGCGCACTCACCTTTCTTGGCCTCGTCAATGGCCTTGATACGCTCGTCTCCCTCTTCTATAAGCTCCTCCAACTCCGCCTTTCCCCTTGCGAGCTCCTGGCAAATGTCGCGCCATTGGGAATCTAGCTCGAGGATCTCCGCTTCTAGAGCATCGATCTTGCGTTGCTGTATCTGATGAGCGTGGGCCAAGTTGATTGCAGATGCCAGGGCTCTGTCACACTGTAGGAACGCCTGCTCATGAGGCTTAGGCGGTGGTTTTGACTGAGGAGGGGAGAGCGCCAGGAAGAGGGTATGAGCAAGGGCTTGCAGCTCATTTAACGGACCAAGTAAGGTGGCAGATATCGAATTATCGTCTAGCTGCTGGTGCACGTTCATTGGCGTCGCGTTGCTGGGTCCAGCCTGAGGTCTGTGTTGTTGAGACATATTGTCGGTGTAGAGACGCGTCAATCACGACTGCGACGTCTTATAATGGCGATAGTTGACGGTGCCAGACTTGCATTGAGGTGATAGAGCATTAAGCGCCCTTGTCAATGCAAAAAAGTCGTGGAGTTGGTGGAAAGAAAGATTTGTCACAGATGCCAAAATCGTGTCCCGTTTCAGAATGTGCTTGGCAACGGCCACAGATCATAACACTGACCGCGTTCGGTGTGATGGACGAGCCGCTGAACTCGCACAGGTCTGTGATTCCAGCACTACCGGGCACTCGACTCATGCCCCTTTAACATGCCCTCAGGATACAGATCAGTGCGTCCAAATGTCGTCTACGAGGGAGACCAATACGGCCTCACAGAAGACGGGCGAATACCCATCCCATATCGGCGCGTCGCGAAATATCAAGACGGAAATACCATAGACTGGCTACACGAAGAGGGCCTCGAACGAGAGCGGAACCATGCCCTGCAGTCACAAGCGGGTGTCCGTGGTATCCTATTACCAGCGCTGGAGTCCGCGAGGATGTGGTTCATAGTGATTATGACGGGAATTGGCATAGGCGTTGTAGGCGCTTGGCTGGACGTGTTGGTGAAGTGGTATGTCTGGCGTTGAAAGGGATCCCCACACCTACAGGCTGACTGTTGTTGTCAAGGCTTGGGGATCTACGCGAGGGACGGTGTTCGTACGGTTTCTTCTACAGCTTGAGCGCATGTTGTGCGGATGTCGATGGTGAGTCCATTCGACCCGGTCCTTTATTGCTCCCTCACCTGTTATTTAGCGGGTGACGTTTGTCAGGCCTGGAGAAGCTGGGGAGATTATTTCAACATACAATCTATCTTTGGGCATTCTTTACTACAAGCATCTATTTATGTCGTACTTGCTGTATGTATTCACCCTTTTCAATTGAAGGTTTCTTTTCTTACCAATACGCAGATCGCTTTCGCTGGAAGCGCCGCTCTCTTAGTGGTTACATACGCCCCTCAGTGAGTTCTGAATGTTGACCACAGCCTATTCTCTGACATGTTTCAGCGCATTCCATACTGGAAGTCCGTCCTTTTCCTACTGCCCGTGTCATCCCAGGGACTTATCATTGCACCAAAACAGTCCCAGAAATCAAGGCTGTAAGTCGTTGTCACAGCGCTTTGACCCAAGTTAATGACATACCAGATTCTTGGTGGTTACGTCTTCGATGGCTTTCTGTCGACGTGGACACTCTTAATCAAAGCCCTTGGCCTCGCCCTTTCTGTTGGTTCAGGCCTGTCACTTGGAAAAGAGGTATGCATTGATATCTTCGAATATAGTCCTTCTAACTTCGTGACAAGGGCCCTCTTGTGCATGTCGCGTGCTGCATGGCTTTCCTAATATCTCGAATTTTCAAAGAATTTCGGCATAACGAAGGTCTGCCAACTCACAATCAGCAAGAACGTTGACCTACCTCATTCCTGTAGCCCAAAAACGGCGAGTTCTTGCGGCAGCTGCCGCTGCCGGTGTCTCTGTTGCCTTCGGCAGCCCTTTGGGAGGTGTCCTGTTCGGCCTGGAAGGTGCTTGGTGAAGTGTGTTTTTTTTCTATCTTCTAGCTAATCTGGTATGGTTTGCAGAGCTCGATACTTTCGCCAACGAGTCTGAAGTGATGTGGAGGGCTTTCGTCGCCTCTGCCGTTGCAGCAGTCTCCTTGCAGTGGGTTAATCCCTTTGGAACAGCAAAACTTGTGTTGTTCCAGGTAACATTTTCGTCTGACACTTGGAGAGCTTTCGAATTGGTACTTTCTTTACATTCTTCAAGTTTCATCGATGTTTGCTGATACTCAATCGAAGATTCCCTGGGTTACACTTGGTGTCATTGGGGTGTGTATTCACATTCTTTCTCGCTTGAACGATGTCGCTCAACGATCGCAGGGCGTTTTAGGGTCTCTCTTAATCAGACTAAACGTCGAAATTGCTCTGTATCGTCGCCACTCCGTCTTGGGGGATTGGCCTATCCTTGAAGTTGTTTCTGTCAGCGCTGTAACAGCTGCTATTAGCTATCTGGTAAGTGTCTATACTCTTTGGTTTAGTTCCCCTTTTTGATTGTCGACCCCAGATTGTATTTGCTCGGTAAAATCTCATTTTTGCTCGTTTCAATGATTGTCTCTCAACTTAGAGCTAGTGTTCAGACATCTGAACTTGTTGCGAGTCTCTTCCAAGAATGCGACGTCAGCAAGGGTGACTACCATGGACTGTGCAAGTAGGTGGACCATCCGTTGTCCCCTTATCTCTTGCATCTTTGACGATTTCTTCAGTCCAACAGCAATGGGCCAGAATATCTTTCTCCTGTGTCTGACTGCTATGCTGAAGATCATACTCACCGCGTGGACGTTTGGCATGCAAGTATGTCTCATGGATATAAGAACCTGAATAGATGTTTAAATATAAATATACCACCAGGTACCCGCTGGTATTTTCCTTCCAACGATAGCCATCGGTGCTTGTCTAGGGAGAGCAATGGGTCTGATTATGTCGGTCTTTGATCTTCTCTATTCGAATTCGGTTCTTGACATGTGGGAACAGGCAAAGTCTATACCGCAAATACCCATGGGCATGGATCTTCCTTTCTTGCCCGCCGGACCCTGGTGTTAAGTGTATATCTCCTGGGTTCTATGCAGTCATTGGAGCCTCTGCTATGCTTGGAGGAGTAACAAGAATGACGAGTCGGACTTTCCCCTCTCATCTCTTTCAAGCGCTGACATGACATCTGATTCTAGTCTCTCTGGTCGTCATTCTATTTGAGGTATGCTTGATCCCTGCCTTTCGTTTCGACGAATACTTACATCCTGCTCCAGCTGACTGGGGCACTCTCGCACGTTCTACCCATAATGATTGGCGTAATGACCTCCAAATGGGTCGGAGACGCCATGGGCAAGGACGGTATCTACTCAGTATGGATCGCCATGCGGCGGTACCCCTGGCTGCCCCCCGCCGATTATCGCGACCAAGGAGAGACGGGAGCAAACATAATGAAGCCCTTGCCTCACATCATTGCAATCGAAGACGGTGTCACAACGGTCGGCGAGCTGAAAGACGCCCTCAATGAGCATCATTTCCATGGATTCCCCGTGGTCGATAGCCACCAAGAGTTTGTAGGCTGTGCCACGAGGCAGGAGCTGATCGCTGTGTTAGGTAGGTTTCTCCGATATTATTTTCAAGAACATGCTGAGACTTTCTTCCTCGTCAAGAACGACTGCAGCTCAGCGATTCTGACTCGTTGAAGAAATGCACCTTCTCTCAGAACTACCTTCGGGTGCCCATCGACGAACGAGTGGACTTATCGGGCACCTTGGAGGACTCTGTCGTTCAGCTGCGAAAAGAGGTGCCTCTGGAGCTCGTCGTAAGCATGTTCCAAAAACTTGCGAGTCGCCTTTTTTTTCTGTCAAATGTTCGGCTTGCTCAGAGTGTGTTCCTACCCGCAGAACCTCCGACAGATTGTCTTCACCCATGCCGGAAAGCTAACCGGGCTAGTGACGAAAAGAGACGTCGTTAATTTATTGACGAGCCACTTCCCCCATGCTGCGGCGTTAGCTCAGCAGACACCGCGTTCAGCGCGTTAATCGTAGATCGTGATCGCGATGCCTAACCCTCTTGGATATATATATTTCTATACACACTGCTAATCATGCCTCTTCGAGCTTGACCGAGCGGCCAGTCTCGTGGCCCAACGCAAACTAGAGTGATATCTGAAGGATGAGCAGTCAGCAACGTGACACAATGGCTAGATAAATACTCGTGAAACGAGACACTTGCCATTAGGAATAAATGTGTACATGCAGCAGCTGCGGTCTATTGTGATACATACAAGATTTGAATTGCCCAAGAGACGGTGAAGGAAATGAAGGAGGTTTTGATGGACGATGAGGCATGGATTGGCACTCGTGCCGATGGTCGAGTTGTTTGCCAGTGTAAGAGAAAAAGAAAAGAAAAGAACCTAACCTCCACCATGGTCAGTCAAAATCGGAAGAATCGTCAAACTCGTCCTCGTCCTCTTCAGTCTCCCCTTCGTCCATGGCCTCTTTCAACTAGAAGGTTCAAGGAAGCAGGAATGAGCGACAAACGTCCCAGCCTGATCGACGAGGGAATTTACCATTGAGACCAGCTCGTGACATTCACTCAAGTTAGCGTTGATGATACCCTGGCCCTCGGGGATGGTCCCATCGGCACCGATAAATCGGCCATCTTTGCGCATAGAGTCGATTTGGAATAGTGCGAGTTGGTACTGTCACGAATAAAAATCGTGAACAGGACGAGCAGAAACAAAATACTCACAGGATAGAGCTCACGGGGATTAAATGGGCCACCATACTTCAGGACTTCATTCAAGCATTTCTTCACGGTAGTAAGCTTGTTCGCCTGATGAGACACCATTAGGTAAATGTTGGGGCACGGGGATGAGGGCTCGATGAGGTCTTACGATAGGCATAAGCTCCTCCGACACTGGCTCGCTCGATGACAAAAGACGATATATCAACCCATAACACCGCCGAAGGAGATAGAGTAGCACCTACGCCAACCTCTCAGTCAGCAATTACCCAACGCCGAAAAGGCAAGAAAATGCACTGACGTATTGTCCTGACGGTCGATTGCCCTCGGTGTCTAAGAAGTTGCCATCGACCCTCATTTTGTCGATCTCCTGTAAGCTGAGCGAGTAGTTCCACAGATCGGTCTCGCGCAGGCTCCAGCGGTGCGTCATCACCAGGCTCTCGAGCTCGCCCCGTATTTCGCTCAGACGGTCGTAGATGGGCTTGAGCGACGACGCGACGTTCTTCGAATCCTCGTGTGCCTTGATTTCCTGGGCGATTTCAAAGCATTCCTCGAGAAGGGACGAGCATGCTGCTTGCGAGGCGGGTACGATTCCTCCAGCAACAAATTTACCGTCCTTCCGCGTTCTGTAATAGCGCACACGGCCAGCCGATAGCGGTGGATGATTAAGCGCGGGTCAATTAGAAGGTGGAATTTGAAAGTCAGCGAAGCGCTCAGAAGTGAGAAAGTCCATGCCCCAGAGAAGCAATGGCAACAGACATGATGAAATGGTACTTAACGAATCAATTCTGCGTAGCTCCTCCATAAGCGGCTTCAGTTCAGCTTTTTGAGAACCCTCCTTTGCCGCAAGTGCGACGAGTTGCCGCCGGATTGTTACAAGCTTCTGGTGGACGGGTAAGAGCTCGGGTGACAGTTCGGACAGCGACTCCTGTAGCTGTTGCACAATCGAGTCTGCAAATTGAAGTGGGGGTGAGCAAGATTATAAGACGATTGAAGACGGTCCACGCAAGTAGACGCACCACATTCGGTTAACTGTCGCTCAAGCAGCTTCGTGATGGCCTTGGGATGCTTTCCGTTCTCGGCGTCGTGTTGTATGATTTGACGGAGGTCGGTCAAACGTTTGTGAAAGGGTGCCAGGTCCGTTTCGTTATAGACTGCTGATTCATTCATGTGGCCAAGAATTTGCTGAGGAATAGTACGTGAGTAAAATCAGCATCAAAGGGCGAATTTACGCCGCATGTATAAGATCCGAGGATTTTTTTGGACGTGTCGACCTGTTGGGTCGTCGTCGTACGAAGCGCGTGCTAGACGCGACAGAAGAGTAGGAACATAGGGCCTGGACTCACCCTCATAGAAGCGATCTGACAGTACGTGGCTGGTGCGTCCCTCGTTTTGCCAATGGTAAGGTAGAAGAGGGAGAGCAGGCTGAAGACATCGGCGAGGGTGGTATCGAGCCTGTTATTATAGACGTTGTTATCGTCTCGGACGTCGTTAAGCTTCGTGACTAAGTGGAGCCGGTGGCGAATGAATAGTCTGCATATTTAGCAAGCTTCGAGCTGACGCACTTTGTTTAACAACGGCCTGGTAGAGCTGGTTTACATCGGAGGCCTTGATGAACTCGCCACGGTTTTTCTTCAGGGCCTGGAGCCTGTTCCGGATGCTGTGATACAGGTTAGTACGGCTCGTGAGCGGCATTTGTGCCTCGAATTTGCGTACTTGATAAGAGCCTCGAGTATGGGGAGTTCTATTCCTGTGGTGAGCAACGGAGGAGGGAAATGGGGCAAGCGACGGACCTTCCTGGGGCACTGGCGCCATGAGGGAGAAAGGAAAGAAATACGGCGGGTACTCGTATGTACAGGAAGATTATATTCGCAAAGACAAACAAGGCAATGGAAGGAGTGCAAAGGCAAGTTATGTGCAAGAACTGATGACAGACTCAATCGATCATCATCGCTCGGCAGCACTTCCCACGCTTGCTCAATCTAATCTATGTAGGCGAGCAGTATAAGTAAAAAGCCCCTGTCCGCAACAGCTCATCCACTTCTCCATCCATTTCACTCGCTCCACTCCCGCAATGGACAGATTAAAGGGGGCGCGTATACCGGGCAGTCCCTCTCCGTGTCCCCGGAGCGCTGAGATCACTCTTAACAGTTACTCGAGACCCGTCGTGCCCAGCTCGCGACTGCGTCGAAACGCGCGGCTGAGGCGGAGCGGATCGCACAGATCAACGAGGCAAAGCTGAAGGAGAAGACTGCTGAGGTCGAAAAACTGCAACAGCGGCTGCATCTGACTCAACAGAGGTACCAGCTGACGAAGGAGTTGCTTGTTGTGCTTCCCAAGCTTGACGAGGCAAAGAAGAAGTACGTCTTCTGCGTCTCTGTCTCCATGATGCACGCGGACATGGCACACGTTTTTTCCCTTCACGAAGGCTCGCTGTTCTGACAGAGAAGGCGGATCGCTGTGACACCAAACTGCAGTCGCTGCAGTCAGAATCCGACGCGTTTGAGGCTAAACTTCAGGTAAGCGTACATCGGAGCACCATTATTCATGAATAACGTACTGATCTGTTTCCAGAAAACGAAGAAAGAATATGATGATCTCGTCCGTGAGATGGAAGGTCTAGGACTTTGAAGTGCTTTCGAGCGTTCTGACCGCGTAGCGAATATTGTCTGTGTTGATGAGACCGTCTCATATCAGCCCTTTCCCTCGGGATTGCCACTTGATCAGAGGAACCCTAATCGCGTCGAGTGGAGCTTGCATAGACAACATGCAGGCATATTACGACAGATCAACGCGAACGTGAATAGCTGCAGGCTCCGGATGTGTCGCCGGTGGATATCGATCCGTACTTTCCAGATGAGCTGATGTATCTCATCAGAGCAGACTGTGCTCGGTGTGTGAGCGTCGAACGGGCGTAGGTTGCGTGGGCTCGAGCCCAACGATATCCAGACAGGTGTAGAGTAGAAACAAATACTGTTAACTAGTTCGAGATGGATCTGTGCGCAGTGCACGTGTGATCGACTATCTAATCTCCGAACGCGGCGAACAGAGCTTGAGCAGCCCTTGCCCAACTCGTCCTTCCAATTCCGTACTTCCATCTTCCAACACATCATCAGCGCTAGCACTTTCAACCACCGAGCACTATCTTGACGCCATGACCGACAGAATCCGAGAGGTAAGGCTATGGCGCGCCCTCTGCTAAACGAGTGCCCCTGGACTAACCACGTCCCACCATCGCCTCTAGAAAATGAACTCCCTCCGCGCCGAGGCGGACAATGCAATCGCGCGCGCCGAGGAAGCAGAAGCGAAGAACAAGAAGTACGAACAGCTCCTGCTCGAGAAGGACCAAGAAATCACGTCTCTCCAGCACCGGCTGGGCGTGCTGGACGCTGAGATCGAGAAGGCCGAGGGCAAGGTTGCTGACCTCAAGGTTTCCAAGGAGCTCGGTGACCAGTCCAAGACAGAGAGCGAGGGGCTGTTAAGGAAGGTGCAGCTGTTGGAGGACGAGCTTGATGCTGCGGAGAAGAACCTTAAGGAGACTGTCGAGAAGTGCGTTCAACTCATGCTCTTTGCCGAGTGTGCTCTCCTGTGCTGAGATCCGATGATGCTGACACCTCCTCTCCCTGTTTTCTTTCCACCCCTTCCTCACCCAGGTTGAGACAAGTCGATGTTAAAGCAGAACATTTCGAGAAGCAAGTACATCGCGCCGAGCAAGAGCGCGATAATATGGAGAAGAAATACGAGGTCCGTTGTCCATATGTAGCCCCCCCTAAAGACATCGTGCTCAATGCCTACACCCCAATCCCACAGGAAACGCTCGAGAAGTACAAAAAGTCGCAAGCGGACTTGGAGGACCTCGAGAAGAGCATGCAGGATCTCTAATCGCATGGACATCACAACGTATCATGGCCTCCTCGATGATATCGATTTCCCCGAGTCGCAACGCTCTTCTGGACGGACTCGCGTCGATAATCTCAATCTTGAAGATCTCCCATTATACAGCGTGGTTTCCTTCCATCTTGCCCTTTATCTCTCACCACCTTCCTCGTTTTGTATACTCCTGGATCTAAGTTGAATGGCATAAATTACATTATTCCTCTTCATAAAAGACGTTGGCCAACCGTGGAAGACCTGCCAGTTGATGCCTCATCTTGCTATCACATTGAGCCCTCCCTTCTACTTTGCCAGCTCTGAGAGTTTAGATCCTGAGGGAGTTCTTCAGGATAGTTTGACAGTTGCTACGTACCCTCCAACCTCTCAATGTCAATGCTGATATTTAGCGACTCAGATATGCTCTTCGTTCTGTCCATAAGTTCGCTCTAAAAATACACAACTTCGTTCACATATCATAGCTACAATTCTCATCCGTAATATTCACAACCCTCACTTGTCGGCGGTTTAGCTCTCGTCATGAAATTTCAGGGAGACCGAGTTGACACAATGACGTTCGTCAGCTGCAAACACGCAATATGATTATCGAGGCATACGGGAAATGACAGTAATGAAGAGCTCACTGGGAGTTGGGTAGCCTTCGCCTTTGAAGACATGCCCCAAGTGACCTCCGCAGGCGGTACAGGTAATTTCGATGCGCTGCATGCCCCAAGACTTGTCTTCATGCCGCGATACGGCACCTGGGAGAGCTAGTTGCGACAACACCGGGAAAATTGGATTAGGATGGACCGCAAATAGATGAGAACCGCAAGAGGTGCTCACCGTCGAAGAACGCAGGCCAACCGCAGCCGCTCTGCAAGTCGGGAATAGAATGAGATGAGTCAATCAACACGCAGCCAGCAAGCCCCGCGGGTCGGGCGGACGTACGTTGAACTTAGTGGTGCTCTTGTACAGAGGTGTGCCGCAGCCAGCGCAGGAATAGACTCCCGAAGCAGAATGCTTATCGTATTCACCAGTTCCGGCGCGCTCGGTACCCTTCTGACGAAGGATCCTGAACTGCAATGCCAAAAGCCACCACGTCAGTCGGGACCTACAAACACAGTCGATAACAGAAAGGTAGCGCACCTGCTCTGTGGAGAGAACAGCCCTCCACTCCTCCTCTGATTTCTTGACGCTCGACATCGTTTTGGCTCGGTAGAAGAAAGATTTGGGAGCACCTGGCCTGGTTCGCGCGATGTATATGCTGAAAGCACGCTGGAAGGCGGTGCCGATTCTTAGCATGCACCTTGGATGTCTTTGCTGCACAGTGCAGTGACCTTTCGGGCTTGATAATAAGGTCACTGCGAAAGGTCATTTAGCGGTGTCGTCATCGCAATGGCACGTGATTTACGATATTTTAAGCTAGTTTAAGCTCTGGTCTTGTCAACTAGTCTTTGACTTTAGCCTTCATTCAAAGCTTCAAAGTTTCACGTTTTGCACTGGGAACAGAAATCATCACGCCCCAATGGCATCAGGATAACTGCACATATCCCACAGGGCCTTATACCTTGCTTATACCACCTCATCAAAAGACACCCTCTCCCACTTCCCTGGACCCTTCCACGGACGTCAGGATCAACGTTCGCGTAAGCCTCTAGTACCTCAAACCCAACATTGAATTCTTCCTACGATTTCACCTGCTCGAACACGCCGACAAGCTGGGGTGCTCAAATCCCGGGCTACTTACGGCGCGTGTTCTGAAACGCGACTCGCCAAGTGCTTGAAGGGCAACCATTGACAAGACACCAATCTCGACCAACCCATGATGTTATTACATCAGACTCAATTGTTTATTCAAAGATTGCATAAAATTTCTTGATGCCATGGAATCTTTATCCCTTCAAATTCGAGTAACAGCTATGCCTCTGGGCTAGGTTTTAACAACGACTCTCGAAAGGGAAGCAGCAATCTCCGCTTGCGGTTGAATTCAGGTTTACTACTTAGAAGTGTGAACAACAGCCATAGAGCTTCCAGATCACGGAAGAGTCGGGAGACGAAAACGGTTCAAGGGATGAGAAGTCTCCGTCCCCCCTCCCCAAAAAACATAAGCTTACAGCGGCTTGAGCTCACCCACCCGCTCGCAAGTGTCCAATATTCTACGAGATTGTAGTATCAAAGGCGCAATTCAGACGGAAACCATTATAGTACATGAGAAGTGTCAAAGAAGATCATCAGTCCCGTCACTCGTCAGTAAGGGGGCCCGTCCAGAACTTGAGCGTTCTCCTGCATGATGCGTTCGATATTTTCCACAATGTCTTTGAACAGAAGGCGCTGTTTGGGGCCTCCGCCTGGCATCCTTCCAAGCACTCGACTATAGGTCCGCAGCCGTCTTCGATAACGTTCTTGATCACCCCATCACGCATTACGACCTGAACCGTATGTCAGGCAAGAGTGTCCGAATGATAGAAATAAACTCTTACCTGAGTGCAACTAGGCCAAACAGGAAAACGTCGGTCTTCAAACTCCTCGGAGCATTTGGATTCTGTAACTCCGGAACGAATTAAACATCTTTAGGCGGTCTCGCAGCACCAGTCGGGGTTTCTCAACCGAGGTTGGAATCAAGACCGGTATGGTATCAAACACCAATTTGGTGAGTGCAAAATCCTCTAAAACGGCATGCCCGTCCACAACAAAGATGCAGTGTTATGAAATCTGGGTTTGAGCAGGATATAAGATGGAAACCAACCGCGTTCAGATCTCCGTGAACAATAGCTGGCCTAAGGCCATGAAGATGGACGCTACCAGCTCAAGCCATTGACGATATGTTACGTGCTCTTTCTCTCGCAACCATTGGTCCAACTTCACGCCGTTGACGAATGGAGAAACGAGGCCGCGTTTCCCATCTTTCTGATAGAGGCCGACCAACGGAAGCACATTCGGATGGTATGGGGCTTGGGACTACATGAGAGCTTCTTGCTCGAAATACTGTCCAAAAGACGATGTACGAACTTCGCAGCGAACAACCTGAACTTAGATCAGTCAATGTAGTTCAAGCAGAAAGAGAGAAATACTGACTGAATGAGTGATTCCATTGGTAAGTAGCCTGGTTCGAAGCATCAGGAAAATGTCTGAGGGTCTTAACACAGCCACCTATGTAAGCCGCCCATTTCGGCATTTTGGTGCTCCAAGGAGACCTTTGGGATGGCGCAAGTCCGTCGACAGTTGTTCCTCACCAAACCTAAATTCAAATGCAAAAACTCGCTCATAAAAGCCTTCCAGAGTTGTTGGAGATCAGAGGCGTAGTTTTTGAAGGGAGAAAGTCCCGTAGCAAAAAGAAGTGTTACACATTGACGAAGAGTCTTCGAATCAACAATTGAGTCTGATAGAATAAAATCATGGGTTGGTTGCGATTGACTTCTTGTCAATGGCTGTCCTTCGGAAACTAGACCTGTCCTGCATGGAATCTGTCGCGACAAAATCAGCAATGATGCAAAAGTCAAAATTCGATGAATCTGACCGTTGTTGGATTTATACTCCATGATAACCGAGGTCGGAATATTCAAGACCTTCCGTAAAGTATCACTGGAGAAAATAAACGGGATAAGGATTGAAACTCGTTCGCGGATGGAGCATACGCACCGAATCTGCTCGCGGACTTTCAGGCTCCCATCCACTCTGTTCCACAGCGTTATGATATCCTCGCTCTGCCTCACGCTAATCGTACAACCACAGATCTCTGGCCACTCAGCCCCGTTGTCGGTCCCATCCTCCGATTTTGGGGCACCACTTAAACCAGGTTTACCGTCTGTGGTGTTGCGGCAGTCGTCGAATTGATCACCAACGATTGCGAGGACAAGGTCTTCCCATAAACGGTCCGCAACGCCCTTTCTCAGCCGAATAATCCATTTGCCGCCGGAAAGGTTTAAAGGATCTTCCCATACAGGTCGTCTAATACCTGAATGGAAAAGAAGATAGTCTGTCGTGGGTTGGAGAGAAGAGGGCGGGGTGAGGTGGGTCCAGAGCGACCAAAACGATTCCACCTGCAGGAAATAAGATAGGCGCCTAAACGCGAAAGGGAAGCGATGTGACGCACCGAGCTAAAGGCGGCTATCTTCTTGATTCCCTCTTCATAGCTGATGATTTTGTTGCCCGGAGAGCGCTGTTGTCGAAACCAAAATATCCAACTGCAGAAAAACCAAGTTGTAGGGAGACGCGATTGATGGTGCGGGATGGACTACGAACATACGTGTTTCTTAGTGGATGCACCTGGGCAGTTGTGGCAGAGGTCGGTATGGACGCCGTCGCCGGGTCTGTTGGCGTGCCAGTGGCAACAGTGGTAGAGAAGTGTTTTGAGGGGACGCGAGGTCGAGGCGCGGTGGCAGCTGGTGTCTGCTGATTTGTGGGAGCAGCTGTCGGGGCTGCTGCCGTTGCTGAGGCGGTCTGTGCGCTATTTGCAAGAAAACGAGAGGCGGAATGGTTTGAAAAGTAGTTGGCCATGTAGTGGGTTGAAAAAGAGAAATAATGGATTACCTAAGCCACGCTTCTCTCTTCTTGCTCTCTGCATGACCGCCCAATGAAGCTCACGCTCCGCCCAGAATGGCGCCTCTGGCCTCTCTCTTCCTTCCTCGGTCTTCTTGATATCAAAACTGGTGTTATTATCGTCCTTCTGTTCGCGGTGAGCACCGTAAAAGTCCTTCAATTAGCGAGTTGTTCACTTCAAAGCAGATTCTGAACAAGGTCGCAGGCGTCTATGGCCTCATCGCAGTCCTCACCGGCGCTGGAGGCTCCTTTGCTCAGCTCAGTCTATACATCTACTCCGTACTCGCTCTCGTCGCCTTTGCATGGGGTCTGCGGCTGGTACAAGAGGCATGTCAATCTGTCCGGTGCCATTCAAGCAACGCTTACTCATGTCAATTGTGTAGGAGGATGCTAAGAAGACGTTCTACTTCGCGCACCTATTCTTCATCGACCACATCTTCTCTACTTCCTGGACACTCTTTTTCGCGCTTGACTGGTGGCTCTGGCAGCCGCACGATGGAAGACGTCAGGCCAACTCTGCGGCGCAGCAAGCGATGATGGAACACGGCAATAGTACTATGACAGATGAACAACGCAGAGAAGCCGCCATGGCTATCTGGAATCATGAGAAGGGCCTTGCTGCTGCAGTCATCATTGTTTCCTGGATGTTCAAGGTCGGCCGCCCTGAAACACAATTATTCCAATCTAACGCCGCCCTGTAGATATACTTCGCCCTTCTCATTTACTCATTCGCCATGCACCTGAGGCAAGGATCGTACCGTTCCCTCCCTCTCTCGCGATCTGTCTATGCTGCCTCTCATACCCAGTCGCAAACGGCATATGACGCCCTCGCGGATGCGGAAGACGAAGATATTGAAGACTTCTACCGTGTCCCATTAAAAACACCGCCTCCTTCCGGTCATCGTCGGGGTGGAAGCACAAATAACGCGTCCATCACCAGCTTCGCCGATTTCGTCAGTGCACCTGGCCGGACACCGCGCAAGAAGGGTTTCGGCAGCATCAGCATGCCCAGAAACCGCGGCATTGAGGAAGAAGTGCTGTTCGATGAGGACGAGGGAACGTATGCTGCATCTGCTTCTTCTCGCGCCCATTCGAAACTAGGCACGGACAGCAGCACTACAGCTGCCAGCGATGAAGAGCGTGCCATCAGCGGCTTCGGTTCCGAAGGTGGGAGAGGGAGACGATAGACGACTACCATTAATACTTCCAGCATGTGTTATACCCGTCCGCTCGTTTCTTCTCCCGTTGGCGCTGTAACAACACCTTACAGCCTTCCATTTGTTCGCCTACTGTGGATCTCAGGAAGTTGTATCTATATAATACATATTCGAGGCGGTAGATTGATCACAACTCTTGTTTAATTACACCATAATCTCCAATACATTACGCACCCGAGCAGAAGAATTCTCACTTTGCGCTCAGTGAAGGTAGGTCCTGTTGGCACACCCTAGATGACTGTTACTTCCTGCCCAATCGACTTCTACATCAATCAGGCTCGCGAGGATGGTCCTGCGAGGCCTCATGCCGTGTTTTCATTTCACTTCCCTGGCTCAAGTGCACTCTTGATGGACTAGAAATCTCCTGGACAGCCCTCGCTGCCTCCTGCTGCTCCTGTTCATCGGCATACCTTTGACGTCGTTTGCGGGCTCGGGAATTCAATATGAACGCAGCAATCACGAACCTACACTCTAACACCTAGAATGAACTCAACCTCAGGACAGTCTTCCTCCGTTGGAATGAGATGAATGCTCACCACGACAGCAGAGTACATCACAGACGCAATTATGTCGAACTCCTCTTTGAACGCGAGAGAAAGGTCGTTGAAGATGCCTTCCATGATGTCTATACTAATGAAAACCAGCGAGATGCAGATGGCTTCTTTGTACTTGTAGATCTCCCAGTATTGGGAAATATCGCGAGGGATAAGAGTACGGAGGCGAATATCCCGAAGAAGTCGGCTGGGGCGTGTTTGCTTCGATTATGAGACGGACGAAGGATGATAACCAGCACTGATTCGAGGGCACCCAAGAACATGACGACGAGAGTGATAAGAATAGAGAGTCTGGGTGAACGGTGTCCTCCATAATATTGACACTAAAGTTAGACGTCGGGTTAGCATAGTCTAGAAGCCTTGTCAAAGATAAAGAGCCCAGCTCACTTTTCCCCAACTCAAGAGACACAGAAAACCAAATAGTTGAGGTTGGACAATAAGGGGGATATTCAAGTAGACAATCCCATAGGAAGCTGGTGGGACAAGGTCAGCGACTGCCTTTGACAGTTTTATGAGAGTAGTCCAACGTACACAAGCCAAGGCGACAGGCCCTTTGTCGATTTTTCACAATGGGATTTCCATATCTGGGGTATTAGTTGGCCAGTCCAGCATGCCGTTCCTGCTTGTGAGTCTGAACGGATATGTTCACGACGATAAGGACCGAATATTTACGCACCCGTGATGCCGAAGACATGCTCAGCGACTGGGTTGTGGTATCCCATATAACATATGATGAATACAAGCCACTAGGGTTCATCGATGGTAGATGCAAATACACTGGGACATGGTCATGGACGCGGAACAAGCCCAGGAATTCCTAGATGCACTTTGATCTACATGCATACCAAACGGACGTAAGCGGCAGTGTTGACCAGAATAACGTCCTCATGCGGCCGCGGCAACGCAACCATGGAGGAATATATTGCCGTGCCGGAACCGAAGATGTTATACATGCAGTCGAAGGGCCATGGACGCTGAATGAATCACGAAATTCACCGACCTGGCAGTGAAACCCAAATTGAACGCGCAAAAGTGACTGACATTGACATACATGATCCAGCCCTAATGGCCACTGAGATTGTACACGGTCTGTCCATAGTAAAGGCCTGTGCCCGCAGAAGTGACGGTGAGGATGGCTGGAACAGGGCCCTTCGAGAACCGGGGGACGGATGAGAGGAATAGGAGGGCAGAAGCACCTGGATATCTAGTATGTCAGTCTCCTACCATTGGTATGAGGAAGGTGCGACGAAATCGACACACCAAGGGCAGCCTCCAAACCGTTCGCAGTTCCCTTGCGAATGCTGTCCGCGCTCCAGAGATAGAGAAGTCCGACACTGTGGGCCGAGTTCTCATTCGATATTGGTGTGTTCCAAGTAGGTCTGACGACTCACCCAACGCCGGCGACCAGAGAGGGGACGGAACGTGTCCTAACGAAACCGGTCACACCACCAACCAGACAGAGGCCTCCCATGGTATATGCAGGATACGCAGACTGTTGGGAATGTGGTCACTAGCTGCGATATCTTGAATATAAACATCAGCGAAAGCATACCATTTCTGGGGACGAGTTGCTATTCAAACAGATGCGAGGAGTTCGAGCGGGGAGAGGTGGGCGATAGAATGAGAGCAACCTGAGGTCGACTACTTATAGACTGAACACTGTCGCAATAGCTTGACTAATGCATCTCTGCCTACTTGATGGGCGTGTGGGGAAATCACACGGAAAAGGGCCGTCTCGGCTCCAGGCTTGATTGGACGGCGCCTATTTGAGCTGAGCATATCATGGTATGACGCTTTGTAAATTATGTAAATCGGCGACTTTCAGAAAACTTGGATTGACATGTAGTATGCAAGTAAAGGATATACATAACACTTTGAGGCCTGGCCTCACGCGGGAACGCATTGAGAATAATATTCTAGAAGGCGCGCTATGTTTAGCACTTCAAAAAGTTTTCGAGAGGGGATGCTTCTCACCGTTGGTGGCCTTGCAAACACCCGAAGCACAGGTCGTTGGGCCGCTAGCAAAATATTAGCTAAAGACATGGTAACATCGAGAAAAATATCATACGTATAACCGATCTGAGGAAATTATGTCAGAGATTGAGATTTCACTTGCAAAAGATACTAAACTTACCCCTCCGCATTGAGCATATAACGGCGCAGATCCAGCAGACCCACCAGGAGCAGTGCCACCACCAGTTCCAGTTCCAGGGTTGTTGATCACGACAGCACGAGTGATAGCACCACCGGCTGAGCCAGACCAAACAGCAGGGCCAGGAATTGGGTATGTGGCTTGGTCGACGAGCTTGTCATATATGTTCCAGACGATACCAGGGGTCGAGTATTGGTACGTGCCTTTTGCAACAGAGGTCTTACATCCGACACCTATGATTAAGCCTTATGGGACATACCTGGGAACGACACGGTGTTAGGAAGTTGCTGGGAGCCGTTGGATGTAACTCGAATCTGAACGCAGTTCATGTAGAATTGGGCGCCGCGCACGGGGTTTTGGTTGTATGCCACGTTACTCTCGTGGAGACCAATGATTTCCGCTAAACATGGCTTGTCAGCTCGGACGTCCTGTCTAGAACAGAACGAATAAGCATACGGCGAAGGAGATAATCTCCAGCTGGGATATCAGGGATGACGACGTTGTGGTGACCCCTGGCGTTGAGAAGCTTATCGACTGCCCATGATCCGCCCTTGTAGCCTTCCGCGAAGAGCCTGGTCCAGACCGTACCAGCACCGTTTGAAGACGTGGGTGCAATGTACACAGAGACTAGTACGGCGGTCAGCGACGGTACATGATGAGACTTGGTGGCTGTGATCACGAACTTGGGCCTTTGTGGGAGGCTGCGATGATGTCGTCATTGCGGCTGGACGACTACATTAGGTTGTGCGAAAGGATGAATAGTGCAACACTCACAAGTCATGGAACCACTCAAATGTCACAGTATCCCCAGCCTTGACGGAAATGGTCCGCGGCACGGCTAATAGGCGGAAACACCATATTATCAGGTCTGAACATATTGCATCAAGTAAAAGAAAAAACAAATGTACCACGATTGTTCACGTTGCAAGAAAACGTGCTCGCCATAATGTCTTTAAATGGGTTGTTGGTGGGAGGCGAGCGAATCTACAGGGAGGCAGCCGACGTAAGCAAGTTAAGGGGTGGTTCGATGGAAGAGGTAGGACATATTGGTCAACTCCAGAACCCTGGTCAACTCCGTTGATCCAGATGCCCCACACGCGAGTGTGGGCAAGAGCCGTAGTCAAGAGAGAGGCAAGTACGACGAATGCTTGGAGCTGCATTTTACGAAATAGCCGGTCAGTACGCGTCGTTCAAAGAATCGTCCCTCGAAGAATCAACTCCTTAAGTACTCCCGAGGCGCAAAAATGTCGCAGAATGATCAGTCACGAAGGAAAGAAGTCACGAATCGTGAACATGCCAAGCCTGACCTGATTGATAGATGTCAGTGGGGGGCTCTCCTGGAGACAGAAACGGAGGAACAAACGGGGGATGTGAAGTCGAAGAAGGCATTTCCCACTTCACATCCGAAGCACGCTTTTTACCGAAGAAGTGCCTAAAGGCCTTATTTGGAAGACTCTGGAGAAACATGGAGAAATTGAAGTCAACGACTGCCGCTTTGGAGAGGCCATGAGTGGGTCAGGCTGGCCTCGCCGCAATGAATTGGAAAATTTGACATCATCGTCGGCACCTTCGATGAGTGTTCTGCCATCAAGAAAGGCATAATCCAAGCGACGAAGGCGAAACTGGCGCGTCGAAACTTGAAATGGCTGTGCCAGACTGAGGGATAAATACTGGTACGGAGAGCTGAAGATGGGACGACGGAGGAGCAGCAACAGGCGTTCTGCGAATTGGAGTGGCTTCGTCCGAGGGGAAGCGTCGCAGCCATTCATTTCAAAGGAGTGCACGAGGTGAGGATCCATGCGGTAAAGCTCCAGTGAAAGAGCTCGATGGCGGCTGCTCGAGATATCATTGAAGGAAGGTGTCCTGAAGTCGGAACGGCAGCACCAAAGCCTTGTAACACCCTTTTTCAAAACAACTGACCAAAGATTAGGTACAGACCTGACATTACGAGGAAAGGTGCTTTCGGATCGAAGATGGGATAGATTGGGAGTAACCACGGCATATTACTCTAGAAATGTGTATGTCATAAGACAACTTTTAAGCTGCTTACGGTTCCAGAAGCGTGAATGAATGAAAAGGCAGGCTCAAAATAGAACGAACTCACCGACAAGGCACAAAAGGACTCGACCTGCACGAGGGTGTTTCGACGCGCACAATGGACAACTACGGCGAATTTAAGTGGCTCGTCCCCTTTTTCGTCTTCGCTGGTCATCCTCGGAGTCTTCGGTGCTATTCATCGTTGACAGCCCCGTATCTTTGACCTGTGCAACCAATCGCTGCACCATAATGTCCCACATTGCATCATTTACACCCTTTGCTTTACTCAGTTGCTCGCGCAGGCTCTCAACCTCCAGCTCGAGTTCTGAAACTTTGGACTTCAGCGACGCCGGGTCGGCATCTCCACTATCTCCTGTAGCAGAAGGCTGCACGAAGAAGGCGTGATCGCGCAGCAGTTCTTCTGAAGTGTAATCCGAGGCTTCGTCTTTGTACGCCTAAGAAACATGAGCACCCTGTTCGAGACGGTATCGTGTTGCACCCACCGTATGCTGCGAGGGAAGCATGACAGTAATTTCATGAACGTCTCGCGCTTTGATATCTCGAGTTCTTTGGAACGGGACGACCGGCTTGGGCGGAATAACGTCTTTTGGGTCGGATCCTACTTTAAAATCAAGGTTGATATGCCCTATCAAGTCTGGAGGCTTGATCATTGTCTCCAAATGAGCGATCGGCATCCCTTTGTGTATCGATATCGTGCGAAGTTGCTGGTGTGAAGGGATATCATACAGATGGACCAATCCTTCCGAAGTACCGACAAGAAGGATTGCAGATGTCAATGAAATGCATATGCTTGTTATCGGCTGTCTATAATCTCATCAAAGTAAGATTAAGATCGGCTTGTATGAAACATACCCAACAGAAATCCGCCTCCTTTTACGTGCTTCTCGGCTTGCATCGTCCTCAACACGGATAATGTCGGTAACGCCTCCTCCTCCGACTGCTTCCGTTATGACTGCACCTAATTTTGAAGCCCTTTCGCGGAAGAGGTTCATTTGGTGAATTGACCCGTCGGCTGATGCTGCGAAGAAGAGCCTCTCCGTTACATCCCAGGCCAGATGAGAGATGGATTGAGGAAATTGAAAGGTTGTAAGGAGCGATCTTGACAATAAATCCCAAAGCTAATTGCCTTCAGCAAGAGAAAAATGAAGTTGGACAATTGACTCACCTTAACTGAATGGTCTACAGACGACGTCAATATGCGACATTCTGGGAAATTTCCAACTCCACAGGCGATGTCGGTAATAGACAGAGTGTGGTCAGAAAGCGTCCAATAGGGCGTCAGATGTTCATCCTGGGCATCGTCCAATAATCTGTCCGGACCATGTGAATCAACAAGATATATAGGAAGACGAGGCCAAATTAACCTAGATAAGGACCAGACGCTCACACCAGAATCGTCACTCCCAGACACTAGTGCAGCACCGTCATTGGTGAAGCGTAGCACGTTTACTTGACGATAGTGTGCATCCCACGAGTTGTAGAGTATGCCTGATGCAGTCTAATCTAACCTTTCAGTCTTCCTAAAGGAAATTAAAACAGAGATTCGGCTTACCTCCCAGAGATAAATCCGACCAGCGGCCGTCCCGCCTGCACAAAAATCACCGCGATGATCGAGGGCAATACATGTCAACTTCTCAGGGAGGACAATTTTCAGGCTGATTTGGTCCTGCATTGAGTTAATTGGTGGTGTAATAGCGGTGAAGTAGGAGCGACCTTTTGGAAGCTGTACACGTTGAGAATGGACTTGTCCGACTGCGAGGCAAGCACGATGCCACCCTGGTTATTGCTTGACTCGAAGACCGCGACGGAACGAGGACCCGCGTTGGCCTGCTTGAAAGAGGCAAGTGCAGCGCCGGTCTGGATGTCGTGTACGGTAATCAGCCCGGGCCCTGCAGCTGAGGTTGAGGGTGAAGTCGCGCAAAGAACGGTCTCCTGGAGAAGCATGGTGGTACTTACAAGTTAACTACCAGCGGTAATCCTGGAGGATGAAAAGTGCACGTGATTAATCGAAAGCATGTGTGGTGCGTGCACCACTGGTCGAGAACTTTCCCTTGCACTGCACTGCACTGCACAACTCTTCGACTCGACTCTTTAAGTACGAAGTCCCTTCAGCGTCTGTACCATTCACCCCCCATTCTCTTTCACCATGTCTACAGGACTTTATGAGGAGCTCGGAATCTCCAAGGATGCTTCACCCGAAGAAGGTATGTTGCGTGTTTCTGCTTTAGTAGCATCTTGACAAGGCGCTCACTCCGTCATTTGCACAGTCCGCAAAGCCTACAAGAAGAAGGCGCTCTTGACGCATCCTGATCGTCTTCCGCCAGGCGCGACTGCTGCCGAGAAGTCCGAAGCAGAGGAAAAATTCAGACGGGTAATTCATCACACCAGTCATACACGTTCTTTCAACCGACGATTCTCTCAGGTCAACAATGCATATGAAGTTCTTACCGACCCAAAGAAGCGTAGCGTAAGCTCAAGCCTCTCTTCTCCTCTGATAGATTCTTACCTTTGGGCTCTAGGAATACGACATTCATGGCGTCTGGCCACCTCCGGAGCAAACTGTTCCGCCGATGTCCCATACGGCCAACGGAAGCCACTTCAGGTCCTACGGTCAAGATCGACGTCCTTCACGCAGCCAGACATTCCCAGACCCGTTCTTCTCGCATCACCATGACCCCTTCCATGCCTTCCAATTCTCGGATCCATTTGTTCTGTTTAACTCGATCTTCGAGGGCACTCCCTTCTCATCTCATCGCAGGTATCACTCTTATAGCCGCTCCACGGACCCATTCGAGCATCTTTATCAGCTTCAGAACGAAATCGAGGATTTCATAAATGCTCTTGACCGAGACCCGTTTGTTGGCATGGGAAGCGGCTTTGGGCGATCTGGCTTCATGTTACCGCTGTCCGTGTTCCCGATGTTCCCCGCGATCGAATCCTCTCACTTCAGCGACCGCGGCCATTTCACTTCTGAAAGCTACATGACCTCTACTGTGAACGGCGTCACTCAGACCATCCACAAACGCATCGATTCGGAGGCAAGCGCGCTTCTTTCCCTTATCTTATAATTAAATATCTTATTACTACAGGGTAACGAGCATATTACGCGAACCATACCCGATGGTCGCCAAATCCGCACTATCAACGGCGTAGAGCAACAGCAGCAGCCTCGTGGTCATGTTTCGTACATGGACACCTCCAAGACCAGGCGCTCGCCAGACTCCTCGGCGAATCGCTACCTTACTGCACCACCTCCGCGCTCCCAGACCATGCAAGTGGCAAGCACTTCGAGGATGGACTACGGAAACCCTCCTCCGCCACCGTATCTTGGTCCTCCTCCCATGATCCCTAACTACCGTGCTCCAACAGGTATGTCACTTTCGATTCGCCAGCTGACATATCTCACCTGTCCAAATTTAGCACAAGCTGATAGCCACCGTCGTTCTAGGAGGGCATCAGAGAAATGTGCGTTATGCGTTTGTTTTCCTTCGTATTTGACACTGACACTGTCTCTAGACAACTACTCGCCCAATCCCAGTGCGTTGCATATTCCTATAGACGAACGAGATTGGCGTCCAATCTGATCAGCGCCACCCACAGACCCTGATCACAACATGCACGATCGTGGTGTGCAGGATGAAAGACACCACAAGAAGTGGTGGTCAAGGGGACATTAGAGCCTTTCTTATCACATGACACGAAAGTCTGGTTCTCTTCTGGCCGCGTGTTTTTCATGTCATTTCTTCCAGCCCCTTTGTAAAGCCTTTTACTTTTTGTTTGTTTCCCTACTGAACCAGCTGTCGTTTTGCTCCTGCTTTTTATATGTGTTCAAAACAGCTCAAACTTTCTTTCTCTTTCCTCTGTACATATTGTATCGAGTTAGATAATACTGTCGAGAGTCTAGGTTGTATGTTGCTGTATTTCGCCTGCAGTATGATCTTGTGTATTATTTTGACATTTGTAATTTCTCATCTCTGCGTCTTTGCGAGACTTCAGGATGAAAGGCAATCGCTCAAGGATAGAAGGCACCAAGTCATTGACGCTTCATCTATCTTGATGAGCGAGGTCGAACTGCGTTCTACACTCTGGAAATGGACCAAAGTCGTCCACGAAGCCGATGATATCCTCTCACTTCATGAAGTACTTTGTTCCTTCTACAGCTGTGGCGTAGTAGCCGTCAATAGGAAACTTGTTGTGTGGGCCATCGCATGGCGTGGCAATACGAGTCTCCCAATGATCGCGTAGGCTCGACAGACACGTCCGGACGGATATATACAGCGCCAAGCCCTTTTCCACGTTGTACCCCAAGCACACTCCAAGGGTGGGAAAGTGATTGTCCATTCTCTCCACAGACGTGTTCACCGTAGACATATTAGACATAGTGGGAACCCAAAGTCTTAGTACGACTCACGGTGCCGGCGCGGCGGTGACACCGATTTCCCCTGACTGGCGCGGCACAAGCAAAGCACCAGTCATCTTCTGATGCTAAGCAGGACTAAGAAGTTTTAAGGGATTTGGTCGATGTCTAAAGTTGTATAACATTCATGCCTCAAGACCAGGAAAATAATCTGTAGACAGTCTTTCCTGATATGTGCATACCTGCCTATTGTGGTGGATGTCCCATATGGAGATCGCCGAGTGGACCTGGCGCTCGACCTTCACCTCAGCATGCTCGAAGTACTTAGCTTGGGTCGCTCGCAGTGAATTCTAGCTTGTAATAATTTGAAACGTGAAGTTGACATGAGGATGAGTGATCAATATCTACTTTGAAGATCACATAGGCTGTATATTGACTACTATTAATTATATTTCAGAATTTAAAGGGTTATTTTTTTCTAATCCTTTATTAAGTTTAAGTTTAGCTACTTCTTTATTTTCTATGGCTGGTATTCCTCCTTTAATTGGTTTTTTTTCTACAAACAACAGAAAACAAGAGCAAAAGAAAAAAATAGCGCAACTTTGAATACAAAAGCTAAGACTTGTTGGTATTGGGAGCCTCCTTCGGAACTGGCTTCCAGGGAAGTCTATTTATCTTGTCGACCAAGGCGTCATGGTGTATGTCAGGCCCGTTCCAGGCGAGAGTTACATGCGTGGTACCCTTTTCCTGTCCGTCAGGTACCAATTTGAAATCCTTGAAATGCTCGTGGTTCTCCAGTTCTTTCGGATCTAAGTACCAGTAGTGATCCTTGCTGGTATTGCGAGGCTTGCCTTCTTTCTTGACCTTGTTCATCTTCGCCTTCAGGTTATCAAGGCTTTCATCCAACGATAGGCCGTGCTTCAGATCTTTCGTCTTATGGTCTGCGTTTGTTGGGGATGTCTTCCAATCTCCAGCCCTCAGATTTTTGCCCTGGACCGATTTAAGGCTGTGACCAAGACGGTAAATAGGGCCACTAAAACCTAAGGCGCCTTTTTCATGGCTGCTTGCGTGAGTGGTGCTTGAACTCGAGCTTTCAGGATGTCCCGGGGAGTGCATGCCATGCTGATCAGCGTGGCCGGCAGGGGTGGATGAGCTTGACTTGACATGGGAGGAAGAGTGGTGGGTTTTGGGGTGACCAGGGTGGATGGCGACGGCATGGCTATGACCAGACGGGTGAGCAGCCTGCCCGTTCGGCGCGGGCTTGTGGGGCTTGGTGGCGGTGTGTCCACTTGAATTAGAGTGCTTGGGTTGGTGGGAAGTCGGGGCGGCAGTCGTGAAGGAAACGATGAACCAGAGGATGAAGAACTGCAGGAGACGCATCGCAATAGTCTCAGACTGGCTTGTGTAAGCATCTCGAGAAGTAATTATGAAGACTGGGGACGTACTTTAATTGCGCTAGAAAAGCGGGTGCGAACGTATAGCTGGACCGGCCAAGCTCGACGTTACTGAGAATGCCTGATTCTAGGGTAATGAAAGAGCGAACGCCGTGCCTTATAACTGGCGCAGGCGCTTTCTGAGCATCATTATGCCATTGCTTTGCAGTGTTGAGTATAGTGTGGGGGTCTCTCTTGAGTCTTGACGGCACCACCACCATCAAAGAAGAACGGGAGCGCGCAGGGAGAAGGCATTTCTGCTGTCAATAATGCGATACACCAGTCGGGACACTCTCGAAGCCAGAGTCTTTGTGAGAATGTATGTATCTCACCGGTGCACACTGGAAAAGGTCGTCGAAGGGCCCCAATCGGAGAGTCTCGATTCGTTCGACGGAGCGGAGTCTATGTGGCGAACGGTCTTAGCAGACTTAGCCCACATAATTCTGCTCTTGGTCCGAGTCGCTGGCAGCCGGGGCGCTCAGGCTGCGTATAAATAGTCCTCCAATGTGGTTGCGCCGCGACTTCGAGAAGTACTTTGAACAGAACTTTGGAAGACTTTGAGCCGACTTTGACATGCCTTCGGGACGCCCAGGTTTCCAGACCTGACAGCGAGAATGATAAGACGGAGTCACGAGTGCTGTTTGTGGGTCCATGGGCGCATGCGTCACCGTCATCCTCAGTACGAAGTACATATGTTGACGACCGTGACCGCGATGCGAAAAGCAATTCACCAAGTCTCCTCCAATGTCTCGCACGAGTCAGAATGGCGTCTTACTATCCCTCCCACCAGAGTTGTTGGTTCAACACATATTCTCTCGACTTCAGTTACGTTCCCTAGCTTCATGCTCCTCAGTTTGCAGAGAACTTCACGATCTCATTGATTCATCGATGCTCCTCACCTACCACAAAGAGCTAGGCGTCGCTGGCATGGTCGACAATCTCAAGTGCTCGTATGGGGAGGTTCCCCTTGAAGATCGGCTGCAACTTCTCCGGGAGAGCCAGGCTCGTTGGGACAATCTGGATTGGAAATGGAGCATGGTCATCGATGTGCCACAGGCTTTCGGCGTTGATACGGATACTTTCAAGTTAGGCCGAGGCGATTGCGGAGTCCTTTACTTCGAACGCTTCTCGGAGGAAGAAGACCTCGTCAGTCTGCTCTCTTTGTTGTTACCGGAGAGCGAAAACGACCAACCTCGATGGGAGCAAATCGACTTCGGAAAAACGATCATAGGTTACACAATCGCCCTTGAAGAGAATGATTTGTTCGTTGGGGTGACCAGGTAGAAGCCACGAATCCTTTCTCTCCAACAGGCTTGGCTGACCAAGCATTTCTAGCGTTCCACTTGCGTTCGGCTCTGGTCTAGCAATACAAGTACATCTCCTTCAACACTCTACTCGTCAACCTCATCACGACGCATTGACCCCTGTTATCGACCTGCGCACCTTCCTAGTAGGACACCAATTTGACGTTCCTCAAGCGAGCGTCGCCATCGGCGGCAAGCATATGGCTATTTGGTTTTGCAACAAATCCAATGGTGATGGAACTTTTTCAGTTTGGGACTGGAGAATTGGAGAGAAGATCGTCGAAGTGGACGCGCGGTGGGGCGAAATCGGTATGACGTTCCTCACAGAAGATCTCGTTATGGTTGGCAACTCCAGGACCATGCTCTTGGATATCTATGACATCCATCGAATGTCGTCAACATCGCAAAACTCAGATGGAAAGCCGCAAATATCACTGGGCCTTCCAACATTCGATGATTCTTACTACGTGGAGTCGGTTTCTTTTGGTTGGAATCCCCATTTCTTTGGCCACGGTGGGAACCCCCGACATCCGCGGAGACCATTCACGACCAATCCCATGGACTCCATCATCGTCGTTGAAGTTACCACTTCCGCGACTGAATACGCGAACACGGAATGTCACTTCGTCGTCCAACGACGCTCGCTATTGGCCCTTTCTGCGAGACCTGCTGGTATACACTCCGGAAAGATACCCTGGGAGGAGTGGGGCCCTAAATCAGTCCGAATGTTTCCTTCTGACTCTGACTTCGCCAGGTCTTCTAGCGGCGCGAGGTACTGTTTGCACTGGGGAACCAACCTCGGGACTCTGGAATTTGGTACTCTTAAGAGGCAGGGGTTGTCAGGCGACACAGCACCTCAAGATGCTGACCCAAAAGACATTAACGACCTTGTCCACTCAAGCCATGACGAAGATAGTCCATTTGGTTCAGTTCAGACAGAGCTACCCTTCCATTCGTCAACGCGCCAAGATCTGAAGATGGAGCAAAGTTTCGATTCTATTTTCATCGATGACACACGCATTGTCGGGTTCCGAGTACGTTTTGAACAATACTCGTCATGCTTTCGTTGCTGACTTCGGCCACAGGATGTTGCAACATCGCGACAACTTCATGTGTACTATCTGGGTTGAATTCTCCCGGGCGCGCTGGCGTGCAATAAGTACATTCCCCTCGATATTTTCATGAATCATGACGACGATCGGAGGTTTACAATTGAACCTTTTATACAAAAGGATAAGAGCCTCTCTGGCCAGAGGGCTGATATTACTAGAAAAAATGCAACTACTTGCAATTCTTGGTCAAAATCAAACGCTTTCGCAAGCACTTTCTATGAGGGAGAGATTGTACGTCAAGTGCTTCGAGGGTTTGCCGAACACAAGTACTCAGCTTGATCTGGTGATAACCATGCATACTGCCCATCTGTTCTGCCTACCAAGGAATATATACTCGGGAAAACGAGAAGCGCATTCAAAATTCCAGGTAAGATCTCATTCAGGAGACGTCGACGTTAGACCGAATGCGTAAAAGTGCAGGTCGGGTTGGAGAACACAAACATTAAGGGGGAGTCACTTTCGCTTGCGAACATCGTATTAGTGCAGAACGCAATCAGGTATAAGTATCATGATTGAATACAAATGAGTGCAAGGCATGCCTGCAAAGATGGGCATAAATGGCGATAGAGTACAATGTAATGCGAAAGCAGTGGACCCAATGGCAAGAACTCAGGGTATTAGAGGACCCGAGGACATAGGCAGCGGAACAGGTGGCAATGGCAGTCAGATCGCTGTTGTCGTTCGTGTCTGCACCGGAGGAAATGCGGACGACATGGGTGAGACTTGGTTCTGGTTGTCATCTAGATTTGATGCCGTAGGAGGAATGTTCAAGCCTGGCGTCTGAGGGGTTCCTCCATTCGAGGAGACTTTCCCTATAAACCACGACTAACGGACAGTCGGTCAACCGAACCTGGGATAGAACAAGAATCGACGTACAGGAACCCATCCTCGATCTCCACCAACTTCTTTAACAGCCTGCAACATCAACATGAGTACAAAAGGCTCTTGCAGCATGGAGAACAGAGCTGACATAAGACCAGTGGTTGTACCGCTTAAAGACTCGAAGGGCATCGTCTTTAACGAGGTCCAACTCCTCCTCTCCCTTCTTCTTGTAGTCCATTAAAGCCACACCTGGGAAACTCGTCGATATGATGCTCAGCGGTAGGATTGGTGTTTTGGAAACCGGTGTGTCCGGTGGAGAACCGGATTGAGAACCATTCTTCGCGGCCGTGGCCTCGGCGATGGCTGATGCCACTGGCACATTGGTTTCAAGGAGACAACCCGCAGGTACCCAGCCTTGCTTGCTCATATCTGTGTCTACGATACCCGATCCAGTGGGATCTCGTTGGACTACCCACCAACCTCGGGCACGAGATAAAATGACGAAGGTATCACCACTGTTCGAAGGCTTAGCATATCATCTAAACTCTAAAAACCAAAAATACGCACACGACGACATCAAATTCATCATCCTGTTCCGCCATGTAGGGGTAGATAGCGACAGCATACGAGACGCCATTGTTTGAGGCCGGAGGCATCTCCCTTCCGTTAAACCCGTAATTCGTTGGTTCCGAGTTTTCTCTGGGTCTTGCGGTCTCCTGCGCTCCAGAACTTGATCCGACAAGAGTTGAACCGGTGTAAGCCGTCGACGTTGATAGGTGTGAGGATTGTGCACCAGCGGAAGCTGGTGCTATAGAAATCTCTTCTCCTCGCGATGGGTCCACAGCAGGTGACAGCATACTTGCTTCGGGCCAGCCGGGCTGTGGGCTCAGCCCAGTAGATGTGAGGGGAGTTGAAGCCGAGAGGTCCTGAACTTCGAGTTTCGGAGGTCTATGACCGGTGCGCGATGTAGATGCTTGTTTCTGGTGGCCTGTAGTGACCGTGGTCTCTTGCGAGATGATTGAGGAGGCTTTGCGAGCTGCATGCTTTTGCTGAGCAACAGCGATGGGAGACCGAATATCCTTGATGTGCTTGAGCATGAATACAGGGTTCTTCTTGGCGTCCTTGAGCTTTTGGAAGAGCAACAGAGGTTTCTCATCGTAGCTCAGACATCGCTCTATTCGGTTTCCTGGAAAAGTGGTTCATATGGATGAGTGGGCATAGAGCGAGCACACCGTACCAGATGACCCATAACAGATGAACATGGCATAGTTTTGCCAACTATCATTGTTAATACGATATTTCTTGAGGGCTGCAGGCAGAACCTTCCAAGTAGGATCCTCCAAGCTGACTTTGAAACTCTTAAGATTATCTGAGCTTTCCTGTCTCGTCGGTTTTGGTAGGCCAGATGCGTCGCCCCCCGGTTGAAGCGGTCGAGTCTTGTCGGTCGCATGGCTTATAGGAGGTCCTGATGGACCGGCCATACGTGAGTAGTTGATATCGTGCTCAGCGCGTTGTGGAGAGGCGTGAGGAGATTCGATCGCTTCAGTCTTCGTCGGCGACTTTTGCGGTTTCACGAACTGTGCCCATTTGAACGATGGCTGTCTTCGAATAGAGGATGAACCGCTTTCGTCCTGTTCGTCCCAGTTGATTTCGGACAGGTAACGGTCATGTTACAACGTGGTGCTTACCATATGCCCCAGTGATGACCGAAGGCCCTGAAACTGCTCGATGAACGATTGAAGGGTAGTGTTTAAGTTCCGGTTCTCTTCTTCCAGACTCCGAAGCCGTTGTGCTAGTTGAGCGTCAACGTGAGGGAGGAATACCACAGCAATGATAATACCTTGGTCCTTGACTAGTGAGTGTAGCTTTTCGACGTTGATATTTTCTACACGCTCGGGAGCTTCGGCTGGCAAATGCTGCTAGTGAGCGAAGGTCGTAAGGTCAACAGGGCACACGCACAAGGTGGTACATAGTGGTTCTCGTCCATCGGAACATTGTGCGCTAGCTTTACTTGGTATATTGACTTCAGAATCGAAAGTCGCCGTCCAATTGTCGTGATACCGAGGGACTTGAGCTGTTCACCGTCTAGTTCGCAGAGCGAGTCACCTTGAATCTTATGTTCTAGACATCGTTCTGAGATTAAGCGTAGTCTCAAGGATGTCAAAATCCTCACCTCGAATCTGACTCTCATACTGGGGGTAGCCAAGGCTTGATAACCAGTTATGAACGTCAGTTTCGTCCCAGTCCAGGATGTGCCGGTCGGCTGCGACACCCTCCATGGTACCAACAGTTACAGAGCGTGGTCGGAGTCGTGCTTTGAGGTAGGAATGTGAGTCGTCTCGGGGCTCAGAAAGGAGGGGGAAGAGTATAACGTCGAGGTGGTCAAGTTCAAATGAAGCGGTAAGTGGAATCAAGCCAACAAGTCCAAGCTCTCATTGGATTAAAGGCACGTGACTATATCACAGCCACGGCCCGTGTGGTGACGATGTTAACTCGACTCAATGAGCGTGAATACATAATAACTAACCTCCAGGTAAGTCTAAAGGAGAGGCAAGTGCTACACCGCCGTCTGCTAAATTTTACATGAGAAAAATTAGCGAACTGAAGCATTAATATTAAGTATTCGTTTCGTAGCAAGAAGCCTTGGCACTGCCCATCTGTGGCCCCTTATCAATTCCACCAGAGAAGCCAGGGTGGCAAGTTCCCCTTGCGCAACTGCCGGCTGCATCACATCTTCGACGCACCGCTTGGGTGCCAGAGTGGAGAGACATCACTCAATATCTTATTTTGCAGCTTTATGTAAGTGAGCACCGTACTACGAGTGCCAACGCATCGGGGTTTAAGCCTCTTTAAGGGAGTGTAGGTGATGTTGCAACCTAGCCAAAGTAGTGCACAACGTAGAGAGAATTTTTATACGACAAATAGAGCACTTAATGGACACCCGCAAAGGATCTTTGTTTCTGCGGGAATTTCTTTTGTGTATTCAATATGCTGCAATATGGACTACTTACTCTGTCGACAGCCACTTTGAGAGAAAAACTTTATTTAAAGTAGAAAGGGACATTTTCTTTGTTTCCTCAGCCAACATAAGCGTATAAGTTTTTTCACCATTTTAAATAGAAGAAACTGGCGTTGCTCTGTCGGGTGCCACATGCATATACAAGAGTTTTTGGACGAGGACCTCAGTCCAAAACAGGAGAATATTATTTCCTGCAAAAAATATTTTCCGTTTTGAATAAAATCTTCCTAAGTAGGACCTACTATAGGCAAAGTATAGGGCCGAATCGAAGGTTTGCATATAAACGGCCTTTATACTTACGTGTAAGTAGAAATGGATACGAAATTAACGGAAAGGTACACATACAAAGGGTCGGTTATGCTGGTAACTGAGAGCAGGCATACATGAGTGAAATCAGGAGGGTTAATAAGTGCCAATTGAAAAGCAGCGGCATCTACTTTGGTATGACCTGGATAACACGGTTCACTACTCTCTGCACGAGTGGAGAAGATAGAGGTAGAGAGAGATGATGGGAATGTAGAAGTGTTCGTGTCGCTTCGTGAACAGGTTGGTTCCAAGGAATGCTAAAGTGGCCATGGCCCGCCTCGTTCGGATCTGACAGGTTCAGCATCCCGGGGCAGCGTCAGTATCTTCAACTGGCGAGTCTGAAGGAGGGACGGAGTGCGACCAGCTGCTCGTGCGTTCTGGTCATGACCAGTGAAAATGGGATTGCCTACTTTATTGCTCGATTTGCGAGCCGGGCGTGAACGATGATTGATACGGAGTCGGGTAGAGATGTCGCCGAGCTTGACTTGGTCCCGGGCTGTTCGCGTAGGGTAAAGGCGAATTTGAATTTGGAGCAGTTAGTGTCCTGCTGTCATCTGGAAAGGGGGAGCGAAGGTCCTTCATGTTCTTGAGAAGGAATGCGGGGTTCTGCTTGGCATCTTTGAGCTTTTTAAAGAGGTAGAGCGGCTTCTCATCAAGTTCAAGACGCCGTTTGGTCCGGTTCCCTGGTAAGGATCGGTTTCAGTTGTCAAAGAGCCTGAACTCGAAAGATGTCTCACCTGGGGGACCATAGCTGATGAACATTGCATAGCTCTGCCAGTCATCGTTTTTGATATTGTGCTTCTTCAACGCTGCTGGAAGCACTTTCCATGTAGGGTCGTCCAAGCTAACTCGCGCGTTGTTGGTGACATCCGGGGTGTCCTGGCTTAAAGGAGTTGCATATGCAGACGACGAATGGTCTACCATGGTATCTGAGCCTGCACTGCTGGAAACGGTCTCAGAACTGGTAGCAGCTTGAATGTCACTTCGTGAATAGGGAAGCTGTTTTCGAATCCCATTTGACGACTCGGTCTAATGGATAGGCATAGTTATTGCCATTAAAAGGTACGGTGTTGCACATTCACTTACAGATAGACCAAGAGAAGTCCGAAGCTTTACCATTTCGTCCAGAAAGGAGGCCATAACGTTTGTCAGTGTTCTGTTTTCTTCTTCCAGCGAACGCAGGCGCTGAGCTTCGACGGCGAAGGCAACATTGTCAATTGAGGGGGTATTAGGGTATAGTATATGGGCATGCCTTGGTCTTTGACTGTTGAATGCAATTCATGAACCGACACACTTTCAGAAGGACCATGCGCCTCAGCTGGCATTGGATAACATCAAATGAGTTGAATGTAACTAGAATAATCCGAGAACTTGCATACAAGGTGGAACATAATCATCTTCGTCAATGTGCATTTCGTTGTCAAGTTTGAGGTGGTATACTGCCTTGAGAATCGAGAGTCTTTGGCCAATCGAAGTCACGCCTAGAGACTTCAGCACCTCGGAGTCCAGCACGCATAGTGTGTCGCCCTGTATCTTGTGGTCTGTTATTCGTGTGAGCCTAAGAAGCCTAGTAGTGTGAACACTTATACCTCTTATCTGACGTTCATAATAGGGATACCCCAGGCTTGAAAGCCACTGATGAACGTCGGTTTCATCCCAGTCGAGGAGACCTTTGCTGGTGTAGGTATCTTGTCCGTCCATGGTCGCAGAAGGCTATCAGTTCAACAGATTTTGAACGTGAGATATCCGTGAGGGGATATGTCCTCAAGACAATGGGATGTGGCGCTCGGCGCCGAGCTTGACGATGAGGAATAAGGGTGGAAGGTGGAAGTTAAGTTGGAATTTAGAGGCAACCATAAGGGACGGTGGCTGTGCAAATCTCACGCACCGGCATCATCAGCGCGTGGGGAGAGCAGCATCTCTTGAAAACGTACGCGTATTCTGTGTCCCGTTTTACACAGGAAGTGGGGCAGCGATGGAGGACCCTTGGGCGAATGCATGGGGCGAACCCTCAAAGCCTAGTCTAACGCACACTTCACCGCCTATCGCTACGAGCTCAACATGGTCGGCTCCCTCTGTCTCTGCAATACATGGAGATCACGAAGACGACCTTTCTATGCCGTCTTGGCCAGCGGAGTCGACAACGCATTGGAGTGAACCCGATCTTCCAGAGACTTCGCTCTGGGGCAGCGACGCTTCCGCAGGCTGGAATCCAGTACCTTCCACATTTGACAGAATCTCGTTAACCAAGGACGTGGTGCCAGGGTTTGAACCACCTTTCAGCGTGAAGTCAACCCTACAAGAAGAGACTAACGATGAGGGTACGACATTGACAGTTGCACATTCATTTCCGATCGTGACACCGGAAGAGGACACGCCTCCCAGTCCACCTCCAATAGAACCCTTGAGTCCACCACCCGACTCGCAGAAACCACCGCCATTAGTATTACCAACCATTGAGGACGCGGACGGTTTCGGTACATTCGAAACTGCGACCGATGCTGGCGAGTCAGACGATTGGAATACTCCCTCAAAGCCGAACTTCTCGTTACCATCTGCCGATGCCACCGCTTGGGGTGCTGCTTGGGGAGCGCCGTCCTCTGCAACTTCAGAGGATTTAGAACGAACCGATGCCGATGATGCTTGGGACGCTGCTCGTCGACAGAAGGAGAAACAAGATCGTCATGTCGTTCGTGTAGTCACATTCTTCTCTCTATTTGTAGTCTCATCGTGTTGCAGCCTCCAGAGCTATTGGCTTCGATACTTCTTCAGTTGGAAGACATTTCAAACGACCTTTGGAAGGACACCGAAGCTGCCTCAGGTAGTGAGCTCGAGAACCAGCGGAATTCGGATTTCGATTCCCTTGGTCTGTGAGTCTTTTTTCTGTGTATATCTGCATGTTTGAACGCAGTTCTTTGCTTTAGAAGTCATGCAGTGCAGCGCTTAGTTCCTGATGACCTCACGCTACCCATAAACCAGCCATTCTCCAAAACTTTCACGTCGAAACAACTCTCGGATGCCTTGAAGTTCACAAGACATGCGCCTTCAACTCGTCTGAGTCCCTTTGCGATGTTCATGATGTCGAAAGGCTCAACTTCATGGGAGGCTGCTATCAAGGCGAGGCCGAACATCACACAGGACGATGTTACTCCTGCAGGATGGAAGATCGTGGAAGCCGTCAAGCAGGAGACCATGCCTGGGGACGACGGAAAGAGGAAAACGGGAGGCGGTATCCTGTCATTCCTTGGGAGAAGGGCGACAACGTCATCAGTCGATCCCTCCAGACGTTCTGTTTCGCCTGGCAGTGTCTCCATCAAAGTTGGAATATCTCCCAGGGCAAGCGTCGACAGTTTTCATTCGAACCCTTCCCAGAGTGTTGGGCGTTCGACGCCAGCTTCCCCAATCGTTGCTTCATTCGGGTCCATCAAGAGCGAGAGGGCTGCGACACCGCCTGTATCAGCTGCAAGCATGGTTTCGGTTAATAGCACCGTTCCTGCAACAAGCAAAGCCCTAGAGGAAATCACTCGCCAACCTACTCCTCCGCCATCAGCAGTGTCTCGTTTCCTTGGTCGCTTCTCGTCACGCCCGAAGTCATCGTCTCACGAGTCGCTTTCCCTCTCCGACAACGACCTGGAGTTCTTGTCAGATGTCCCTACCCTCCAGAACGAGTCAAAGGACGTCCCCGATCTAGACGCGTTAAGTATGATGATTAAATCTCCTCCATTGCCTACTACACTACCACCGCCATTACCACCGCCCCCTAGTAAACTTAGCACCCCCTTCCGACTGCCTGTTCAAGCAACGAAGCCACCCTCCAATAATGACATCCTCTCTATTTTCGATTCCCCCACCACCCCGACTCCATCTGGAAATTCATTACCAAGTATGACAGGTGTGAGCGTATCGGCTGTCAGGTCTGCGCTGCATACCAAGTCTGGTTCGACTGCCACTTCTCTTCCGCCACCACCCACCAACTCACCACCGCCACCTACACTTCCCACCCAACAATCAATCCAGGATAACAGCGACGATTGGGGATCATTTGATCATCCTTCGCCTCCAATGACAAAGGCGGCTGCATCACAGCCTAAGCGCGCTTTCGTGCCCATCATGAACCCCTCCAGGTCATCTTCTTCTTCTCCAAGTCCTAATCCTCAATCTCTGTCCGCATTCGCACTACCACCGCCTCCATCTAGTCAACAAACGCTACGATCCAAGACGAGCAGTCCGGTTGGGGAATGTAGTAGCACGACGACTTTTCTACCACCACTTCCCACGCCGTCTAACGCTCGACCTCAGCCTCCACCACCGAAGCCGATCCAGACGACGTTGTCCGTCGTCCATGAAGATGATGATTTCGCTGACTTTCTTTCCTCGCCCGCAGACGGCGCTCAGTCCACACAACTATCATTTGACGACTTCGCGACGGCACCGTCGAACGCCGCAGGGCGATCGTTTACTCAGGCCCAGACCTCTGCCGCTACTTCGTTTGATGACTGGGACGACTTCCTTAGCCCTCAACCCCCGCAACCACCTGCAAAACCGGCACACCCTCCTCCTGCGACCAAGACCTTTCCCAACGCAACGAAGACTGCCCCGTTGTTGCAACCACAGTCGACACATACCCGCAAGCCTTCTCGAAAAGCGGATCATTCACGGACGTTAAGCTTGTTGGAAACGGCGGCGGCGCGTGGGCGGTGGCTGGCTCCTCCGTCGCCACTTCCCAACGCGCTGCCAGCGCCACCTCCCAGCGGAGTGAGCGCGAAATCATCGACTCTAGATTTTTTCGACCTGGGATCGACGATGCAGTCCCAGCAAGCGCAAGCTGTCGCGAAGATATCGTCCTCGCAGTCATCTCCTGCAGCGATGACCGCAAAGGTGTCCCAGCCTCCGACGAGTTGGGCCTTCCCTCCTCCACCCTCATCAAATGGCCCCCTTCTTCACCCCACTATTCCACCACCTTCCCAGCCTACCTTGTTTGCGAGTTCGATTCCTCCGCAATCTTCGATACGAACTGTCACCGTTCCAGCTGCGGCGCCAGCTGTGTCGACAGGAAGCCAGACTGGTGGCCTCTCCGCCCAAGACCTCTCATTTTTCGAAGGACTTTGAATCCACTTGTGTATATTACTTGCATGCAACCTAGGCCATAATTTTACAAGACCTCGAAGTCTCGTGGACGGTGTTGCGTCTTGTGAGTTATCTCGACTCCGAAGAACGGGGGTGTGAATATGGTGGTGCTGTCCTTCCCAAATTTCTCCCGCTCATAAATTCCACCCTTAAGTCACCTCGAGCTCACAGAGATCAGTGTAAGTCGAAAGCTCCAATCGATGTCAAGTCGGGACTTGTTCAAAAGGATCTTTTTTGGCAAGTTGGGATGATCGTCGACCTGCCGCCTTGTGTCCTGATAGGGGTTAGACTTATTAAGGTTGCGCCGTCGGATCAAATGCAATTTCGGAGCCGGATCCAAGGTCAACTTCCTTCAACTTCTCTTCACTTTCCTTAACGTCGACGTCGATATCTCCTCGTCTTCTCGCAAAGAGGGCGCTATCTGCAGTTGATAGTGATCTCGCCTTGTCTGACACCCTGCGCCAGCCTCGAGGCTCACAAGATCCGCCTACGTCGCTCTGAATGACGAAGCCAAGCAGGTGGTAGCTCACATGTCCAAAATCATCTGCAGGGATATCATCTGGGGTGCCTGGGTCGAGAAAATGCAATTTGAATTCAAAATTTCTTATTCGTTCTAGGCTGCATTTCCCGACAGGGTCTATGCGAGGGGCACCTTATAACAAGGCCCCAACATCAAAAACCCCGGAGTGCCCCGGAACCTCTTGCCCTATCCCACCCTTCAAAATGATGCTCTTGAAGACGTTCTTCGCTTGTTGGATCGCGCTCCTTGTCTCTGGTGCCCCGACGGAAGAACAACTGGAGAAGAGGCAGAGGGCTGCTGTTATCACGCGTTGCACCGTCGCAAACACGGCGGCTCTGACTTTTGTGAGTCTTCATACTGACTTTTTTTAGCCTCCAAGACTGATGTCTGTCAAGGATGACGGTCCTTACTGGTACATGTATGTGTGCCACCCTCGACGCCGGAAGGTTTCTTAAAACGCGCCCCCTATGCACAGCTACGATCTCAGCAGGCTCCTGAAGGCCAACAACGCGACGGGAACCTTCTTCTTCAGTGGGTTTACGGCCCTTTTCCCAGCGAAAGCAATACTAATTGTAGCCCATTCTCTGAAGATGGGAACAATTGTGCGCGTGTTTTGTCTCGAGAACCATGCCATCCTCCTGACGATCCATATAGTTGGATGTATTTACAGCGAGGACAACGTCAAGCGGGTCAAATACGCCTATAACCAAGGTCATCAAATCGCTTCCCATACTTGGGCCCACAGGGACCTGACCACGCTGACCTGGGATCAAAGTGCGTACCCTGGTTCATTTGACAGAATAAAGGCTTGAACGAAAGTGGAACAGTCCACGATGAGATGTGGAAGGTCGAATGTGAGGGCTCCCATCTCCACCGTAATTTCTCGAATTGTCTAACACCTGCCATTCAGTGGCACTTCGACGGATAACTGGAGCTGTTCCTGCATTCATGCGACCTCGTGAGTCGCCAAGTAATACGTTTTGTTATCCCCAATTAACGTCCTCATTCAGCCTATGGCAACTACAACAACCTTGTCTTGGATGCTTCTGGAATCCGTAAACAGTCAGTAGTCATCTGGGACTTCGAGTACGATTTTTTACTGTCCCACCATGCACCGTCGGTGCTAATGCGATGTCACCAGCTCTGGCGACTCCGTTGGAGTTAGCCCTGCCGACCAGAAGACGAGGTATACTCAACTGGCCAACCGTCGTCCCAGCACCATCTTGGCTCTGAACCACGAAGTTCATGGTGCGCCTGCTCCATTCTTCGTAAACGTATCTTGACTGACTCCCTTCCTACTTTGGCCAGCTTCCACTGTGTAAGTCTTTGCCGTGTCTTTCCGAGAGTTGGGTCTGATATGGACCTCGTTCCAAGCTTCGATGTTATCCCCCATGCCATCAATCAGCTACGTGCAAAGGGCTACAGGCTCGTGAGCGTCGCCGAATGCCTCGGCCGTGCTCCTTATCAAAGTGTCGGCGCGCCTGAGACTCGCACGGTAGGCTTTTTTCTTTTATATGACATTGTGGTTCCTTGACTATTCTCTAGTCTGCCTGGACATGCTGAACAGCTCTCAATGCGGACCCTTTCGCTCCTTGATTCGTTTTCCAGGACTAATTACTCACAAAACGGACATCTTTCGGGCCCTTCGTATCCCGATCCCTCTTGGATATTGTCTCCCGTCCCTTCCCTCCTATAACTAATAGCTTTCGGACTTCCCCTCATGACAATGCCTAGTATTATGACACCTACCTTCAGACTATCCTGAATCTTACTAGCCACCACTTACATATCAGCTTCACTGACTTCCAGTCGAGTCGTTATTAATACTCCTAACGTTACCTCAATGATTCTCAACAAAACGGGTAGTGACTGCAATTGATAGTACGACCAACCGAAGTTCATTGCAACTTTGCACCTGCAACCTGTGCCGCCGTGCTCCTGGTGGCAAGATGAAAGAGGCTGGTCTCTCACTGATTTCGATTAGATATCATATGGTTGCACGCCGTCGTGTGAACCGCCTCGATAACGCCGCACACCTCTCAATCCAGACGTACACTCCCGTCTCACAATTGGACGCGCAGGCAGTGTCGCTCGACGTTATGACAGTCTAGTAGGAGCGCCAGAGGCGGCCAAGCCTCTCTTGATTTCACCCTATCTCTATTCATCGCCAGCTGCTGCGTCCTTTGGGCTTGAGTCATCGACGCAGTGCAACCCGCGCCTTCGCGCTTCGAATCCAAATTCGAAAGCTATGGCCACAGACAATCGCGATCTACCATTGCCCAGCGCTCCGTCTCCAGATCGTTGCGAACGACCGAAGTTGACGGGGTATCGAATCCTTGTCATCGTCCTCACCGCCGGGTTCGGTTTGACGAAGGCCTATTTATCCTATCTTGGCCTATCGACAGCGCCCAACACGATGGATTGGCTGTACGGCGTTGGAGCTTTCTTGCTGTGAGTGGCGCGTTTCATCAACCTTGTCTGAGAGTGGCAAACTGACCATGCTGTAGTATCTACTGGCTAGGTATCTGCGAGAAGCATACTGTGCATGGAATGCCACTCTTGTTTGAGAAAGATTATCTTGCGTGGTTTCGTCGGAATCGTGCGTCAACGATATTCCAAGTCTCCAGAAATTTGACCTACGTATCTTCATGGCACGCAGGACCCACGCCGCAACGACAAGGCACCGGCCTTCGCGAAGACTAGTTACACTTTTATGCATAGTTTATGAGTCACAATATGACTCTAGAAGGCGCCCCACCTCTGTTAGGATGGCTGTACAACATCTTTAGTCTTGGGATATACTTACTCTATTCATTCTCGAATACAAGCATTCAACGGCGAATGGCAAGAACACCGCGGTGTTCGACGATTGAACGTCACACTGTTTACTGTCTTCATCAAACAGCCGCCAATAGAGTACTCGAGTACATTCAGCGCCTCCTGCCTGTCGGGATGCACTCCACTCTGCCTCCGCCGCTGTGAAGCACGAAGAGCATGTTCGGAATGTATCAGGCGTTCCGCCGTCTCCGCGTCAGTAAGAGATCGACGAACACACCACCAGATGAGCATTGCTCGATGTGGGTCAGGAAAAAGAAGATCCCAATACAATGTTCAAAGTTCGGCGCTTATTTTTTCCCCTTCCGTTTATTCTTCTTGCCGTTCACCTGTGGAGGCGGAGGGGGAGGCGCCGACACCTCAAGCGATCCACCCACCGCCTCCGCCTCGACGCCTCCGCCCTGCTCGATCTTCTTGTTCGCGTCGAGGAAGAACATCACATCCCGCACCTGGTCCTCCAGCTCCCGCACCTTGCTGATGAAGTCCTCCTTCTCCTTCCCCGCGATCTGCTCCCGTTCCTTCATCACGTTCAAGTTCCTCATCATGCCCTCGCTGACCGCCCGTTCCTCCCGGAGCTCCTTTTCCAACTTCCGAGCCAGCTCAGTGACCTTTTCTGCGCGGTGCTCCGCTTTGGCCTTTTCCTTGAGCGCCTGCGCGAGCCTCTCCTCTCCCTCTTTGAATATTCGTGCTTCCTCCTGCTTATTACGCTGTTTCTCGAGATTGAACTGTTCACTGAGCTGCTCGACGAGGCACTTGAGCTCATTGACCTGCGTGCGCATTTCTGTCGTTTGCTCTTCGTAGAACGAACGCTGAGAGTCTAGCTGGGAGGTTAAGAGATAGGAGTATTCAATTCCAATTGCCTCGATTTTTTCAGCCGTGAGAGCATCTGCTTGACTTGGGCCCATACCACCATCTGCCCGTGGCGGGTCTATCGATGATGCCGCGCTGGGAAGCTCTACTAGCTTCCCGTCGGCTTTGTTTTGGATGAGACGATGCACGTAGCCGTCGCCCGCGTAGTCCCAGACGCGTTGAGTCTCGAGTTCAAGCGCATAGAGATGCGTTGTGGACTGGTAGTGGCCTTGTGCATGTGCTTGCCCGTACCGCCCACACCCAATATTTCCGCAGATCAGACATATCCAAAGGTTCGACGTCGAGCCACATTGCGTGCAAGATGATGGATTTGGCGCAGATGGGTTGGCAAAAGGGATGGAGCGCGCAGATGTTAAAGTAGACGGGTGAGAGGAGAGCAGATTCTGAGAGTAGCGGCACACTGGACATCTGGAAAATACTTCAGGATTAATAAGCTTAATAGAATACTACAAGACGCACCGACTATCACCCCATTTACTCAAGCACATGCAGTGAAACGTGTGTGAACATGGCACCGTAATGAGACCTGTTACAGCGGAGTCCATGCGTTCAAGGCAAACAGGACACGTCGGGAGTTCATACATGTTTGATTGAGCACTTCCAAGCTTTGCAATCGTTTGGGAAGTTGTGTCCTCGACGTCTATGACTACGGAAAGAACATGAACAACGTGGCAAATTTCAGGCTTGAGAAGTTTCAATACCACGTTTGCGTGGAGGCCGGAAGATCACTCACCTCCATTGAATTGAACGGTTTCCCATTATATGCCTCAGCGAATTCTAAGGCCGCCGCTGGGTTGAGGAACTTCATGACGACAATAGATCGGTTTGGCGCGGAATCGCTAGGGAAAAATGAGGCATGTTCAGAGCGCTCGCATTCAAGATCAAGGTAAATGACACATACCGAATAATTCGAAGGTGCCCTATGTTATCAACAGCGGGGGCGACGAATTCCAGGAAGTCGGAAGGGTTCATCCATGATGGAACTGCCAGTACACCAAGCATGATCCCGTCCGAATCGTCTGCGCTCCCTTGTAGCGACAGTTGTGCAACCTTCGCCTCCAGCTCCTCCTGGGTGGGCTTGCTAGACCCATCTCGAAATACATGGACTGTTCCTTCAGGGAGGTTGGTAGAGCCTGTCTTCTTTCTTGGGTGAGTAACGAAAGTCGCATCAGCAGGACCTGGGGACGACAGTTCCGTTAGCCGTGGAGCAGAGTAAGTTAACTCACGACGCACCTCTTCGCTGCTGTTTTTCCTTTCCTGAGCTGAACATAGATACCATATGATCAAAGTCTACCCAATCTAAACTGATAGGCCCGAGTCTGTAATCTTCCTTCGCGGCTTGAGCGTTAAACCAAGAGACGGTATTCCTACGGTCCCTTGACTTGGGTAGATGCGAGTGGTGAGGGAGTGTCTGAAATAGCGATGCCGGGACGAACGTATCGGGAGCCTGCGATGACGAGCTGCGAACTTTGCTTGATTCCGAGTTTAACACTATCCGGATATGATATCCACGCCTCATCGCAGTGGGGGAAGGTCAGAGATGCATTTTGAAAGTTAAAGAGCGCCCTCGGACCAAGTCAGCATATGTCATAGGTGGCTGTGCACAGACTGGTCTAGACGGTGTTGCCAAACATTTCCTGCATCAGCCTCTCAACCTCTTTATGTCTCTTCGACCTCCTAGGGCATCCCATGCCATCGCATCAACAGCAGTGATATCTCTTTCAAAGCCGTTCACTCCTAGAACACTTCAAACCTTACGACATACGCTAAATGCCTCTAATTTCTCCAAGCCAAGAGATATTGACCTCCTCCGCCGAACACGGAATGCCGCTGTTTTAATACCTTTTTGCAACGTGGGTGGAGAACCAGGAGTTTTGCTTGAGGTAAGAGCGAAGACCCTGCGCAGTCATTCCGGAGAAATAAGGTATGCGGAAGCCTCTTAATCATCGCAACCAACAAAATGACTCAGATTCATGCCAATCATTTAGCTTTCCTGGTGGCCGTGTCGACAATGTACGCATTCGACGTCCCATGGGTCAATTTAAAAGATCAGATCAATCAACTTGACTAGACAGACGAGTCTTTGATATACGCTGCGCTGCGCGAAACGAACGAGGAGCTGGGTATTGACCCTGCTCGTGTGGAAATTCTTGGTGGTATAGGACCACCCGAAATGAATCTGCGGGGCGACATGAAAGTTTGGCCGTTTGTTGTAAGCCTTTCTGATCAGTGCTCTGTTCGTTGTCGTTGTTCTGAAGATGTGTTTGAAGGGCTTCGTTCATTCCCGCGCCGAGAGACAGATTGTTGGTGATGAAGAGCCATTTCCTTCCCTTGATCTAGACGAAATACGCTCCAACGCATCACCGACGGAAGTGGCAACCGCGATACATGTTCCACTCAGGGCATTTGCCTCTCCTGCACACATTCGCACCTCCATGTTTCGCGCAGAGCAACCCTACTGGCCTGTTGATGTCACCGACTTGGTTAAGTCAGTTCTCGCAGAGGATGCCGTCACTTCCAAGACGTCAGAAGAGGTCATAGATGAAGTGGGCCCGGGTGTCAATGGACGCATAGAGGTCTGGGGATTGACCGGATGGTACTTGACAATGTTGATGAAAGCGCTACATGTGTACCATTAACAAATGTCAAAGATGCAACCCGAGGAAGATAGTGTGGGAGGGAGCGGAGAACCGGTCATCGCCTGCGTCGTAGAGTTGTCGATTCCTCCGGCGTGTTTGTGATTGCGGCTGGGGAATCATCTTCGCCCTGGGTTTCTGGCGTAGGATCGATCTTCTTGTGCCGCGCAGACCGCCTTTTGACCTTGAGCGAACCGGATTTCGCCTTACGTGACTGCCAGATCAAGTAAAGGCCCGCCTCTGCTACAGCAACGATGGTTGCAGAGAAGAACGCGAACAGAGCGCGCTGCAACATATCAGAGATGGAAGTATTTTTAGTTCAAGGATGGCGTACCCATTCGTCTTTCCAACCAGTCCCTCCTGTTCCCCACCAAGCCGCAAGCCCCACGCAGCCAACACTGAGAACGGAGTTCGCGAGGGCAGTAATAGCTTTCCTTTCCCTTGCGCGTTCGGCCTCGACTTCTTCTGGGTCCTTCGGTGGTGTATAGTCCCCGAATTTACGCTCGGGGTACGTTGTGCTGCCCGCGAGCAATGCAACCATAGAGAAATCATGAGGATTAAGAGAGTTCTCTTTCAGGGAACGTTGGCCGTCGATGGTTCTCGACCACTGCGATATTTTGAGCAGCATGGCGTAGGGAATGAGAGGCGGAATGGGGTCCGTGACATATTCAGCAAGTTCCCCTGCGAGAGCAGCCGGCAGAATAGGATAGATATGCTTGAGAGTGCCTGCGAGATGATCCTCGAGGGAAACATTGACGTCTTCCATTTATGGTGCAGATATGAAACGGACAGTTCGTTGTGGTAGAGGAGGAACAGAGTTGTGAAGTGTCACACTGATGATGTACGTCAGGAGGCACCGTCCTTCGAATTCGGCGCTACTTATAACTCGATGACCACCTTCACGCAACCGTTCCCGACCGTCCTTCCTCCGCCTCACCATGAATCACACCCAAGGCGCCATCGTCGCAGTCCAGTTCCGCCAAGCATGCGCAGAATTCACCTTCAGAGATCGGCGACGAATACGCTCGCTCACCGTCGTTCTTGAGCTTACCGCGCAGAGTCTCGTACAGAGCGAAACTATCCGGTAAGCTTTCAAAAAAAAAACATTCAACGCTACGTCGTACGACTGACCACTCACAGGGCGCAGGCAGGCGCCGATCTGAAGCTGTGGCCGGACCTACGAAAGCTGTGGCGCGACCTAGCGCGGACGCAACTCTCCTTTTGGGACACCTACGATTCGGGGGACGAGGACGAGGACCACGACGAGAATGAGCAGGACAGAGGCCTCTGCGAGCTCTGCATGAATCTGGCCAAATTCACGAGAAACCTCGTAGCCGGTGTACCTGCGAATCAATTGCGAGCGTAGTGAGTGCTATCTCATCACCGGCGTCATCAGCGGGCGTTGTTTCAAGCCAAGCCGCGTCGCCGAAGGGTCACATCATTAACCCAATTTGTGCTACAGCGAGAACGAACCTGACATCCGACGCTTGCTTCACTTCTACACGTCGTGGTCTGCGATGGAGGATCCCAAAGGTGAATTTGGCGCTTATTTTGCCTCGAGATTCTGAGTGCTGACACAAAAAATCTTTTGCTAGCAATGGCTACAGCTCGTGCGCTAACGCAGGCCCTCTCAAATATGGTGACAACGAACGACACACTCGTGGCAACGCTATGGGAGTCCTACCTCAACCTTCCAGAAGATCAGGTCGTCCTCATGTGCGTTTTGACACGAATCGAGGAGGTTCAAATTTTCATCTCATGAAACGTCCAGCCGTCTACTAGGATCTCCGGATGCAAAGACACTTCTGACGACGCTGGTATTCATCTTGAACTGCATCCATGGGAGTAGGAAGCGGGCGTGAGTGCGGTCCTCCGTTGGGGACATGCGTATTCTGATAGCTCATTATAGGCAACTGTTGGTCAAGACGCGGGTTGGGGTTCGAATATCAATCGGGCTGTTGGATAACATGGTTCGACTTCATGAGGCGGAAGAGGGGAGTGATGCGGCCAAGGCTTTTGACGTTGGGTGCGTGCTCTCATTCTCCCACCTGAAGTTGTGAGTTCACGGAATGCCACAGCTATACAATATTTACTCAATTTGTCGAGGCTGGTATGATTCCAGACCTGTACAAGAAATTCGCTGTGTAAGTATGTCTTGCAAAGCACCACGACCCGCTCAAGAGCTCCGTTTCAAATAGCAAGGGCGAAATTGTGACACCCCACCAAACGACGCTGCTGAAACTCGTAGATTCCTATCTACAATCAACGCAGCTGGGCACCGCCAGCATCCAAATCCCCGACATCCTGCAGACACATGAGTCGCTGGGGCCGTTTTTGGCGAAACGGTTCTTTAGCCTGTCCGAATATGCACAGGCGGCGATCCATCGAGCGTTGGGCATGGACCCCACGCCTCGAACGACGAACAGAAGCGACGAATCGGCGACAACATCTGGCTCCTCGGACTCTATCTCGTCTTCGGGTCCGTTGAGCGCGGCCTCCTCGTCTGCGTCAACAACGCCGAATTCGCCGCCTCCACCCAAGGAGCTCGACGTGATGCTGCCCAAGGTGTGCGAGGCGCTCGTGCTCCTGACGCAGTGCATCATCACAATATGTCTCGAGGCCGAGGAGCAGCAGATGCGCCTGGAAGAAGGCATCTCGACGTTCGTCTCATTCGCGAACATGAAGAGCTACTTTGTGCAGAAGAAACACCAGGACCAGGGTATTGTTGAGGTGCTAATAGGTCCGTATGGCAACCCTGTCTCCTCTTCTGCCTGTCCTTTTCGACGAGACGGCACCTCTGTCTGTCTCTATCTCTTCTCTTTTGTGCCTGTCGCTGTCTCCGTCTCTATGCACCTTTTTCTTTGCTCTCTTGTTCGACGTTTGCTGACACCGCCCCTTCCTTGTCGCCAGACCTGCTCAGTTTGTTGGACGTCTTCCTCCCTCGCATCAACTTCGGCAAGCCTGTTAAGCCTGACGGGACGCCAATCGCTGATCCCTCACCATCGTCTTCAGGCGGTGGGGACGGTGCGGGGTTCTCGTACGTCAAGCGCGACCTGGTTCGGCTGCTCGGTGTGCTGGCCCACGGGGACAAGGCGGTGCAGGACCGGACCCGCGAGGCTGGCGGACTGCCTGTCGTGATGAATCTGTGTGTCATTGATGAGCGAAATCCATGTACGTCCTCGTTTCCGTACATTCGTTTGTTGGCTGGTATTCCTTCTCCCGCTTTCTTTTTTCTTTTTCCCATCACCCTGCCGCTGCTGTGCTGCGTTATTCATTTCCCTGTTTTTCTTTCTTTCTGGAACTTCGAACTAATATCTACGCTCTAGACCTACGAGAGCACGCGATCTTTACACTGCATAACCTGCTGACAGGCAACTCGGAGAACAAGCGGTTTGTGGACAGCGTGAAACCGTCGCAGGAGTGGGCTGAGGACGGGACGCTGAGGACGAGAGTGGGTGCTATCCTTCGGTAGCACTGTCATTTCCTCTTCTTCTTTGCCTTTTTTTACTTTCACTATTCTATGCATTTGTGGTATTAGTGACATCATGATATGTACCTACATGAAAGCAGTGGATGATATACAGGCAGGAGTCAGACGGCGTGGATATGGGCAGCGGGCAACGAGCAAGAAAAAAATACAAAAGCCAACGAAATGGGTTGTTTTTGAGCCTACTCCTCATCCTCGTCGAAAGTAATGGCGCGTTTGCTGGTGACGCGCCGCACCTTGAACTCTTCCTCCTCTTCCTCGCTCTCCACGTCCATCGCGGCTTCGGCATCTTCGTCGGGCGTATCCTCGTCCTCGTCCTCCTTTTTCTTGCTCTTTTTACTGTCGCCGCCCCGGCTCTTGCGGTCGGCAGCAGCCTGCTTCTCAAGACTCGCTTCCATGCGTTCGAGGTCATCCTGAGGGCTCGCGTCTCTTGCTCTTTTCTTCTTTGGTGCGCCCTCTCCATCCTCATCCGACTCGTCCGGCACGACAAAGTCATCCGCCTGGTACTCCTCGCCTCCCTTCTCCGCCTGCGGCTTCCTCTTCGGCTTCCTGGGCGTCCCCCCACCACCCCCATCCTCGTACTCCTCCTCCGAGCCCGCGTACATCCCGCGCTCCTCCTCCTCGTCATCACTCCACAGCACATCCGTGTCTGTCTGCCTCCTATACCCACCCCTCCGCCTCCTGCCCCCAGCCCCAAAGCCGTCCTCCTCCGCCCGCTTCTTGGACTTCTTCGCGCTCTGCTTCATCAGCTCGAGCTTCTCGCGCTCGGGGTCTACAGTCGGTTCGGGCGCGATGCGCAGGCGCGCGACCTTGTTGTGTTTTTGACCGACGGCGCGCACGAGCATGCGGTGCGTCTCGGACTGCATGCCGGTCGGCCGCAGGGACATGTAGCCCGTGATGAGGGCCTCGGATTGGAGGACTTGGGAGCGCTTGTGCTGTGCGACGAGGTAGGTGAGGCCTTCAGATTTTTGTGGGGGTGCTTGGGACTGTGATTGAGATTGAGATTGGGCTAGGGTCTGGGATTGGGATGGCTGGGATTGGGAGCCACCGAGGGATTGGCGCGAGACGCCGGCGGAGGTGTCGATGGATTGGGTGATGTCGAAGTACTCTTTTCCGAGGCGAAGGCTTAGTGTCCCATCTGACCAGCGGATGACACGGCTGTTAGATTCTCTTTTCTGCGCACAAACACGGTTAGCTGGTTGTTGGCACACATTCCACGAGACGACGAACATCTTGCCCGTTCTCATCTTTCGTCCACCGCCAACGCAGGGTGTTCTCCACCTTGAGTTTGATAGTCATACTCCGTTCTTTGACGGTGTCGCCCTGCATGTTTTCCTCATCTTCTTGTTCGGGGCCTATGTACGTGTCTGGATGAAACGGTTTTGTGTCCACCTTTACAAAGTTGGGCATCCGGACGACCCAGTTCTGTTCGTGGCTTTCAACACCGTTTCCTCGATTCCGAGGCAGAAAAGACGCACATTTCCGTCAGAGGACTTTGGGACAGGGAGGTTTGGAAAGGTGACTTCGGCCTCCTTGACCTCGACCGCGATTTCCGGCGGGACATCGTCCTCCTCATACTCGAGGGCCTGCCGCCTCTCTCGCTCGGGAGAGGGGAGGCGGTCAGAGTCCGGACCGGAGGCGGTAGGGGAAGCCGCTGCAGGCCTGCAATTCAGAAAGTGATAAGTAACTCGGTGTGCATGGTGTGCATGGTGAGGCTATACGGACCTGGCCTCCTGGTCGTGATCGTGTCCGAAGAGGTCGTCGTCCATTTCCTCATTACGTTCGTGCGCGTCGTCGTCTTCTTTTGGCGATGAGGCGGCTGTCATTTCGACGTCGTCGGAGGGGAGCTTTAAGGGGTACTCATCGAGAGCACCGGCGAGACTGGACATGCTGTGCGTTGGGCGCCAACGAGCAAGTTGATGTGAAGGGTTAGGACACACGTGAGGGGCTGATTGGCGGACCGGGGCTTGCCGCTGCACAGCTTGTTCACCGCCTCTTGCCTCTTGCCCCCGTGCATTATCACATCCCCCGCCTGCTCGATAATTCTGATTTTTCGAAAATTCGCAGAGTCCTGATCGTCTGCACCGCTATGCTGTGTTCGTCAGGGCAGTTCTGGCCCCCCGCATATGGCAGCCCTGCGCAGCCTTGCTGTAGCTGTGCTTGCCTCCCTTCGAATTCCTAGTACGCCAATGACTCGTTCACACCTTCTAGGCAGCGCATATCACCCCCTACCCGTCCCGCGGCTCGTCACGAACGACTCACTTCCTTCTTCGGTCGTTCCTCCGGATGCCTCACGCTGCTCCATTTTCCGATTCAAGACACAACTTTCCATTTACCTTTTCTCGACAGCGAGGCTGGGCATATTGCCTCCTCCCAGTATGTCCTCCAAGATGCCGCCAACAAAGATAGCTTTTCATTCTACCTCCAAAACCGGAATCCCGTCTGAGCATCGGAAATATATCCCAAGTATCCTCGTATAAGTATCCAGCTCGATGCTGTGATCCTCTCACTTCGTCGCCCATGGCAGCCTCAGCTCTCTTCTCCCAGGACATCATGTCCTCGTTTACTGACTTTGCGCCTCTCCCAAGGCAGTGAGTCATATAAAAGTTATATACATACGGCTCCGTCCCTCATCCCCGTTTCATCCAGACCTCAACCCAGGCATTTACTCCAGCCTCATCTCCTCTCTGCCAGGGACACCACCGACAATCACCTCAACCACTGGTTGTCTCAGCAATACCACATGCAACATCACCAACCCATGGGCCGAATCAACACCTCCCTGGCGAGTTCGGTCAGTTCTTCCTGTCCATGCCGTCATACCTGCCCCTTGATCACTGACTATTTTCCTTCTCTAGACACGACAGCAAGAGGCAACCATTGATGACATGGGTGGTAGTGACTACACTTTTACTACCCATCCTCCTAACGATGATGCCCTTGGTCTTGGGAGCCTTGGTCTCTACATGTACTCAAACCAAATGCCGATGCAACAAAACGTTACTTCTGGTCCCCATCACTCCCGTTCTGCGTTCTCAAACAATCAATGGAACCAAATGTCGTCTTATTCTTCGGCCAACGAGCACACCTTGACTGCCCAACCTTACATGATGGGCAACTTCTCTCACTCGCAAGAGAGCATCAACAACACGTTGTCTCCCTACCTCGTATCAACCTCGCCCTCAACTCACATGTCCCCAACGGGCTCAGATCCCTCGCTCTCACCCTTATATTCAGCCTCGTCGCGTCTCCCAACCCCCACAACTCCCGGAAGCACCTCGCAGTCATTTAAGCGTTCGCCGACGATGACCAATGATATGCTCTTCGTTATGGACCCCGCACAACCGGAGTCCTCTTCGGGCGTAAGATATTTCCTTTCTCGTTTCGAGGGTTTCCCTGACTCGTTTCTTTTTATAGTCAGATCGGCCACGGTACACGCACCGCGAACAGCTCGCCCTATTCCGCGATGCTTTGAATCTCCCTATGGACGGCGCCGGCCCGTTCATCCCTCAGATGATGTACAAGCCGCACACGACGAGCGACCGCAAGCGCTATGTCGAGGACATCACGCTCGAGGCGCCGTTGTACTTCTACTCAGAGCACTCGACGCAGTGCGGTATCCTTCTCAAGGATGCGCTGCAGTCGCGCACGAAGAAGCTACGCGATCGCGACATGGTCGTGTTCGAGGGTCGCGGACCGAGTGTCTCCATCCGACTCGAGGTGAGCCCTCATTACCTGATCCACTGTCTTCCAACGGTTATTGATCGTCTCCGTTCTCCTTTCTCTCTCTTTTAGTGGCCTGGGTACCGACAATGGAGCAGGCAGATCCCGACCAAGGACTTCCGCAGCCCGCCCGGGCCCATCACGCTCGCCAAACTCGCGAAGAACGTCGCCAAGTGCGTGCAGCGGTTCATGCAGGATCGCAAGTCGCTGCCGATGGAGGAGGATTCGGACCAACGGTGGCGCATCGGCGACGGGCCGGACGACATCAGGCTCGAGGACCTCGTGCTCGTGAGCATCCACCACGTCTCGCTGGGCAGCTGGCAGCCGCACTTGAGGTTAGTGCGCCCGCGCAGCAGCAGCAACAACAACAACTTCCATTCTGCGGGTGTGTCCCGCCATACGGTCGGTGGCAACGCAGGCACCGGCGCCAGCTCCAGCGCTTCTGCTGGTCCTCCCAGCTTGGTACTACCACCGACCCCCATCTCGACGACGAACAGCCTGCCGCAGGGCATGCCCTACGGTCGCCTCTCATGACATTGCCGTCAATCGTCGTCTTCCTCCTTCCCTCCTGTCAATCCCAATTAATACACAGTGCTGATGACCTCTCTGATTTTTTTTAAACCGATCTCTGAATTGATTTTAATTGTGCTCATGATCATGATCATCTTTCCCGATCCCTTGACTTGCTTCGCCCCCATCGACGTCGTTCGGCAGCCCTTTTGAAGTTGAAGACAAATACAATAGTGAAGTCGTTTTTGTAGCTCTAGCCTTACACCATACCCTAGCCCACATCCTAGTCGAAATTTGTTGTTCGAATAGATACCCGCGGCCGCTGACCAGTTCTGCCTGGGTCGGCCTTGTTAAAATTATTAATTTTTTCATCTCTCAAAAGTTGGTTGGAGTTGGTCCATGGCAACTCTGAACAGGTGCGAAGGTCATTTGCTGAGGTACTCCGGAACGTAAAACGGACAAGGAAGAAAAAGAAAGAATACATCTCAAGCCTGCGCCTGGTGAGGGGCTTTCGTGGATCATTGCAGCAGGAAGTCATCTAAGACGGAGGATGTTTTTGGTCGCTACATACTGCCTAAAATCACTGGTGTGGGGGCATGCTTTCCATTAGTCAACACTTCGAACGGGCTGCTTTTCATTAGGACAAAGAGAGTTGTGTACATATGGTGCCATCTTACTGGTCGAATTGGTGCTGTTGTTTATATTGAAGGAGTATTTAAGTGTGTGCGGTAGGTATGCTTCCAAAGGCCACCTAGCCTCCTGATACCTTTCATTTACCCTGTGGAATGCGGCCACGATGCTCCTTCCCAGCCCCTGCGCAGAAAGGATACATGCCCTCCAACATCTTGATCTTCAACCGCTGAATCAAAAACGTCTGACCCTCCTGCATACTGATCAATGCCTTCAGCGCATCGGCGACGCCATAATGCTCGTAATACTGCGATAGCATAGGGTACGATTCCGGTGACGACCCTCGAATCATGATGCAATAGTTCTCTGGCTCTTCTTCTCCCAGAGCCGGGTCCGCATATCCCTTCCACTTCGTTGAAGGTGTCGCTCGTCGAAGCGTAAGCTGAATATGAGAGTCGGTGCTGTCGAACCTCACCTCAGACACTAGGTCCATAAGGAAGACAAAGGTTCTAGGCTTGAAGCGCTTGTAGGTTAAACCGTCTGGGTTCTTGTGGAGGATGGGCGGTCCAGTAAGACCATCTCCCAGATTGACGTTCGCATTAGAAGATTTCGCCTTTGATTGCCATGCGATGTAGGTCAGTTTGAGCGGGTCGTATCCAGCGTCCAAGGGGCCGTCGTATACAACGATGATGCCGTCGAATACAGGTTGTGTCTGAGCGCATAGAATGGCGTAACCAGAAAACCAAGCACTCTCAAGGGCCACCAGAGTGAGCTCGTCGATGGCATGACCGTAGGCAACGAAATGGGTGAAGTTCACCCACTTGCCTCTGCACGTCTTGAGAAGTTCCGTAAAATTGGGCGCGTCAGGTGTGCCAAGAAGCGTAGAGAATTTATCCAGCTCAATAGCATGGATGACAGGCGACAGTCCCCTTGTCACAAAAGACGAATGTTGAGCCATGGTCGCCTCATCCCGTGCAAGTAAAAGCAACAGACGACTGAACAGCTCGCCGTCATCGAGGATAGTACCTTGGATAACAAGCTCCTTGACCAGAACCAGCAGTGCGGAAGCATAAGTGCCACGATCCCTGGTAAGCGAGTCGGCAGCAGCAATAGCGAGGATGGGTTCTGAAGGTGTTTTTGTGATCAGGTCTCCGTTGACCGCACCTGTAAGCATCTACATGCCACGCCTAACAGATTCGAAAGAGAGATCGCGGGCTCTGGCATTCTGCGCAAGGTCAAGTGGAATGCGAGTAGCAAATGTCGGAGAATGCTTCTTGAAATTGGGCTCAAAATCGTTTGCAGGACCAAAGAGCTTGTGCCTTGCACTGGGAAGAACAGAATTTACATCGATTATTGACCAATACTTTGAGGATATGCGGATGATCAGTGCATACATCCACCGGATGTGAAGATGAACGTACTGGTCGTCCCAAATGCCTCAGGTTACTAACGGATAAAGCATCCAATGCTTTCTGCCGACATACCTTGTCCTTCATCTGGTTGAAACCAAGGTAGAGGAATGGGTCCAGTGGCAGGTAGTCGACAGGGGGAAAGAAGATGGATCCATGGGGGCTGGATGGCATGATCACTGACGGGTTTGTATCGAGGAAGAGAAACCAGATGAAATCGTGCTTGTCGGCAGCCTTAAGAATACGATGCATGGCGATCAGTGACATGTTCTGCTCAGGCGCTTTCTCATCCTCGAAGGGCTGTCCTAAGGTCGTGCATTCGTCCAGTGCGACGAACAGCCGCTTATGACCAGCTGCATCGAGTTTATCGCGAAGATCCAGCAGCACGTCGCTGCAAAAGCGAACACTTCCATGTACCAAGTTGGAGCGTACCTCGTCAAGATGGCGTCGCGTTCACGGGCGGATTCAGCCTGCTTCAGGTCCCTGACAACCCAATCTCTTTCTTTAGCCAGAAAGCTCCGTTCCTTCTGGAGCATTTCCTTTGCCCTTGATGTAACGATGTCGAAGAAGATGTTTCGTCGGTTGGCCTGGTGATTTCCAGGGATGCTATACAGTAAATTGGAGGAAACAGGTGAAAAGTTGATCGACTCATCATCAACGGATATCGGAGTCCGCCATCGGGAGACTAGGAAACAGGCGAAGTCCCATCCACGAAGTGTGCTAGTTTCTCGAACAGGGCTCCGAGGAAGGCTGCGGCCATCTCCTCGCCCTATATCAACGATGAAAAGACAGGAGGGGTTTGATGGAAAATAGTATGTGAGGATACAATGGGGCCACTCACCATAATAGTACGATGGCTGAGATCGTCGAAGAATTTGACTACAGAAAGATCTCCCGGGGGCCATCCAGAATTCATCATAGGACTCCTCCTAATGCAAATGCTGAACACCGCGTGCTAAAGGACGGTGCAGCTTTAAACTACGACCGAGCGGCTACGGAATTCCACAAACCTGAAGACCGAGTTTTTTGACGAGTCTAGACTTGCTGGTCCCGCTTGACTGCACAATTGGAATACCGAAGTGTACGCTGTCGTCGTAACCAGACTCGAGTTCATGGGGCATCACGAAGAAGTCTGCAAGTGCGTCCCCTTGGTATGTTACCATGAAAGCGGCGTTTAGAAACAGTGCTAGCTGATATCTGCAGGAGGGTCATGGTAGGCATTGTGTACAGTGAAAGAAAGGCAGCTTACTCGCTTGAGCCTATACGGGGACGCAAAATTCGTTCTGAGCTATCAGCCTTAGATTCTCTGTCTATTTCAGCAATTGGGTCAAGGCCATGTATGATGCCTTCCGATGCACCTGAAAACCGACTCGCTCAACAGGGGATACCGACTTAGATCTGCGAAGTTGACCTGGGTGTGATATCAAGGATTAATCAGGGATTCGGAACTGTGTGAAGAGACGCAGAACACCTACGCAAATTGCGAACTCTTCGATAGTTTCCGGTGCTGTGTGCTTCAGAAAGAAGATCATACAGTTCGGGAACGTCTTCCTTCAATTGAGACATTTTCCTCTCGTCCCATTCGAGTTTATCACAGCCCGCCAATATGACGAATCGCAAGGAGTTCATAAGCGCTTTCTCCTCTGTGGGAGGTGGCAAAGAGAGAGTTTCCAGGACTCCGTTCTGCCTTACGTGCTCCGCTTCTGAGAATATGTCGTCTTCGTCTCGTGCCTCGAATGTTGTGGGCTGAGTCTGTGTTTGCAAGGATTCCATGGCGAGACGACAGCTGATTGTAGAAATGATTTTTGCAAATAGAGCTCTTGGTGAGTTGTTTGGCCCAAATACCGAACTGTGCCTTAAATACCTAATCGGGTTGTTGGTTCAATTCACTCACTTGGCAGGGTCGAGCCTTGAAGGCCAAAACTAGCGGCATGTACGTCATAGGCTATATAGCCTTCGTCTTTCTCAACTTCAACTACCATGTCCTTCCTCTCAGACTCCGGCCCGAAGCCAGATAAGCACACCAAACGCGCTGCTTGGAACAAAGCCTGGGAGGATCACCTGAAAACGTATCACAATTTCCATAACCTCAAGGGATACTATGCCTCCCTTCCTCCAGCACTACGTGCCCTGGCCAACTCTCCCGACCTCATCATCCAGCTGGACAAGCAAAGCGACTATACCATCACACTCCAGCAGGACATCCGAGGGTTTGCTCTGGAGAAGCTCGCCACAGATAACTTTGCGGAAAAATGGAAGGAAATGGGGAAGAAGCGCCGTGAAGAGCTTGTTCTGGAGGCATTCTACCAGGTTGCGTGCATTGCGCAGGACATAGAAGACCACAGGAAGTGGTGTCCGGAAATGACTGTCAATGAGATGGCAAGGAACGATGGGGACGGATTCTTGGCGTTGGTGAGGCTGGTGATCACCGAGGATCCCTCTGTGCCACAGCAAAAGCCCATTCAGTTCTCAAATGTGCTGTTCGACAGACTTTATAACGTCGAAAATATGGGCGACATGGTGCATGGCTTCCAGTCGAGCAGGTGCTACTACATTTCCCTGTTCATATGGCGCATTTTCCTTATTTTCGTGAGTGCTTGCCATGCTCCCAATCCTTTCAAGCCATTGACGGGACCGCAGTACAACAAAACTGAACAGAACGTGCTTGTCAAGCCTTTGAGTGCCACCAAAGAAGAGATGAAGGCCATGAAGGCTGCCAACGTCGAGACCTTTGGGAAGGAGAAAGCCAAGGACGTGCATAGGGCAGTTACCCAACGGGTGGCAGGGCAAGTTCCTGTGTGTTGGAATTGTGGCTTGGACCAGTCGCGGCTTGGACCAGAGAAGATCCTCCGCGCATGTGTCCGATGCAAAGGTATTGGGAGGACTATTTTGTACTGCTCTAAGTGAGTGGCTTCCTCGTTTTCCGCATACTAGAACATGTCTGGCTTACGTTTTCGTCGTAGGGAATGTCAGACGAACGATTGGAAAAATGGCCGTCCTCGCCCTCATAAATCGATCTGTGGCCAAACACATATCGAGCGACAGCTGGATGTACAACCTACAGCGATAGACAACAGCGAGTCAGAGGACGGTCCTTGGATTCCAGAACCAGAACCAGGATATGTGAGATCGGCTACTCTGTTGTACCAGATCAAGCTTCTAAAGGAGAATCCAAACTGCGAATATGTGGTAAGCTTTTGGATTTGGGCGGGCCCCTTGGAGACCCTTGGCGACACTGATCAAATACCTCAGTTAACGAGACCAGCACCGCATCCTGACATCGGGGTGCAATTTAGCCGTGAGTTGTATTTGACACTCGGATGGTTCTCCACGCTTGACCGTAACTCGGAATGCAGACGCTCTCGGGAACATGATGTTCATAATTTCAAGAAAACGAGGTAGGCAATCCATCTTTCTTACGATAGAAGAGGAAGTGAACGGCTTCCGTAGCAATGCAAAACGGCGATTCACATTCTGTCCATGTGATGTACAATTTTCTTTCGGAGAGCGCGAAGGGGCACGGCATCCCTGCATCAGACGTCCAGAAGCAATTAGAGAAGGAGTATGGTGTCAAGATCGTTCCCAAAGAGAAACCGTCGAAGTAGGAGTCTGGAGGGGAGGTTTACCAGGTAGCAGGCTCGTTAGAATGACGCTGGCCTCACCATCAATCGAGAAAATGAATGTTAGAATTTAGTGAAGGTTTTTATATAGTGGATAACGTATCCACTCATTTGGCTGTGCCTATGGCTCCGGGAAGCAGGTTAAAGTCCTATAATCCATAGATACAAAACAAAATAAAAATATAATGTAGCATAAAATACATGCATGAAATATACAAGACGCGGCTTAAGATCGAGTTCTGCTATGATCGTAGCACAGGCTTCAAAGACTCCGCGGTTTGAACGGTCCACGCCTCAATCTCCTCCATGGGCACTTGCTTCCATCTCTCCAATACCTACGTTTGTCAGACTAAGACCAGGCCAAGACCAAGAAGGACAGTGGCACAACTCACAGCATCGAAGTTGTTCAACAGCTCTAATACACTCTCATTCGCATCGTCTGTAGCCTTGACTGTCTCCTGAAGTTCTGACTCAAGTTGGCGATTCTCATCCTCGAGCTGCATGAAGTTCGTCAGCATGTCCTAGATGAGAGTTTCGAGAGACTTACCTGGGCTATTAGCGCACGCAGTCGCGTCGCTTCTGCATTCAAAACTGGTATGGTCCTCGCTGCAACTGCAACTCTCGGATCGAGGTTGTCTTTCCAGGTATCATTTCCGGCAGTCTTATTGGCTTTCCGTTCCTTCGCATCATTGACGACTTTATGGAGAATGTCCACATTCTCCTGGACGTTGTAGTCTTTGAATAGTTTGTCGAGGTCGCGCTGCATTCTGATTTAGTTCCTCTATAGAACTTGACAAGACGTCGAGGCATACTAGGTTCTGCGCCTCGATGTAGTCTGAGATGCTGTTAAACGTAGCAGACGAGCCATTCTTATCTTCCTCGATGTAGAGTGGAAAACATTCTGCAAAGTCCTCGAACCTAATGGGAGGAGACTAAGATAAGTAATGGTTGAAAGTCGAAGTTGATACACTCACGTCCACTTGTGCGCGGACCTTTGGATCGCGAGCTGCAGCGCGGATCGAAAATGGGTCCACCGCCGGCTGCCCGTCTGGTTGAGGCTGAACATGACGATAAATCATAAGAGGGTTATGTGACAAGTGTGACAAGTGTTTAGACGAAGCTGGGGCCAGTGATCCCTCCGAGTTACCACATCCAGAAAGGGGACCAGAAACCAGTACTTATATTTTCTTATTCATGTTGTTGCACTGTCTATGTTTATTACTTAATCTGAACACCGAAAGTAGTATCATATGTTCTGTGCAATGCCATAAGGATGCTCCTTCACGGCACTTGCGTTAAAAGGGTACATACTATCCAACATCTTGATCTCCAATTGCTGAACAGAAAACACCTGGCTTCTCTGGATTGGGCCAGTGAATGTTTTTGTCAATTCATCTGCCACACCATAACACGATAGTACGGGGTATGATGTCCCACGAGCCGTGATGCAGTAGTTCATTGGCTCTTCCTCCTTCAAAGCCAGGTCTGCATATCCCTTCCACTTTGTTAATGGTGCGGCTTGTCGAAACGTAAGCTGGATAGAGGACTTGGTGGCATTGAACTCTGCCTGATGCAGCAGATCCATGAGGAAGACAAAGGTTTGGGGTTTGAAACGCCTTTTGCCATCGGAGTTTTTAGTATGGATGATAGGAGGTCCTGTGAGACCTTCTCCGACCCTTGTGGTTACACCAGCAGATTTTGCCTTTGTTTGCCATACAAAGTAGGTGAGTTTCAGTGGATCGTATGGATCATCCAAAGAGCCATCATACACAACAACAAGGCCATCAAATACAGGCTGTGTGTGGCAGCATTGAATGGCATAGCCAGAGAACCAGGCATGTGTAAGCTCTTCCAGAGTGAGTTCATTGATGTGTCGATTGTAGGTAACAAAATGGGTGAAATTCACCCACTTGCCTCTGCATGACTTGAGCAATTCCGCAAAATGGGGCACCTCTGGGGCACCAAGGAGAGTAGAGAGGAATTTGTCGAGTTCAATAGCATGAATGGTAGGTGGAAAGGTTGGTGTTACAAAGGATGAATGGATTGTAATGGTTGCCTCATCACGTGCGAGTAAAAGCAGCAGTCGGCTAAAGAGCTCCCCCAGACCACCTTTATCAAGAATAGTTCCTTTGAGAACAAGCTCTCTGATCAGCATCTTAAGGGCTGAAGCATAAGTTGTACGATCCTTGGTCAGCGAGTCGGCAGCAGCAATGGCAAGGATAGGTTCCGAGGGCGTGTCCGTGATGAGGATTCCATCCACTACACCAGTCAGCATCCGCATGCCATGGCTAACAGAATCAGCAGCAAGATGACGCCCTGCGGTATCCTGAGCAAGGTCAAATGGAATTCGAGCAGCAAATGCTGATAAAACATGTTTTAGGATGCGTGGCTTGAAATTGGACTCGTGATCACTTGCAGGACCAAACAGCTTGTGTCTTGCACTGGGAAGAACCTCTCCTCCACTAAGTGCATACCAGTACTTCAAGGATAGATGATCAGCACATATGTCAACCACATTTGAAGATTAACATACCGGTCGTCCTAGGTGCTTCAGGTTCTTGAGAGACAAAGCATCAGAAGGGTACGCCCGAAGCATTTTATCCTTCATTTGATTGAAACCAAGGTAGAGGAATGGACTCAGAGGACGGAAGTCCTCATGGAGGCGGAAGGAGGGAGCATCGGGGCCAGACGGCGGCAACATGATCACCGAGGAGTTTGTATCAAGGAGAAGAAACCAAATGAAGTCATGTATGTCCGCAGCCTTCAGGATGCGCTGCATAGCGATCAGTGACATTTCCTTCTGAGGCCCTTTCTCATTCTTGTGGGCAGGTCCTAATGTTGTGCATTCATCGAGCGCGATGAACAATCGATGACGACCAGTTGCCGCAAGCTTATTGCGAAGATCCTGGAGAGAGGCCTGGCAAAAATGATTGAACAAAATTGTGTGCCAATCAGGAGCGCGGGTCTCTAAAAGGGCCCTGCGATCTTTGGCAGACATGCTCTGGGACGGGTCCGCAAAAACCCATTCTCGTTCTTTATTCAAAAACTGGTGCTCATTCTGGAGCAATTCCTTCGCTCTTGACGCAACGTTGTCGAAAAAGGCTTGCCGTTGTAGAGCCTCGGGGCTTTCAGGGATGCCGTATTTCAGGTCAAGAAAGCTAGAGGTTGTTGTTGTAGAGGATGCCATTTTCGCGAATAAGGCCCCGAGGAAGGCTGCGGCCATCTCCTCACCCTGTATATAAGAGATGAGGCGTTAAACGGAATATTTAAAGAGACAATAATGCCTCCACATACCCTAACATCAAGGTCGTCGTCGTTGTTGAAGAACCTGGACGCAGGGATATCTCCCGGAGGCCATCCGGAATTCATCATAGAACTTTTCCTAAAGCAAATGCTGAACACCGTATACTACAGGAGGGTGGAACCGTCAGCCACAACCGAGCTGCTACAGAATTCCACAAACCTGAAGACCGAGTTCCTTGACAAGTCTAGACTTGCCTGTCCCGCTTGACTGAAGTATTGCAACGACACGGCCATAATGTTTGCGTTTGTCGTAACTGGATTCGAGCTCCCTGAACATCTCAATAAAGTCCACAACCGCGGACCCTTGATAATCCTCCATAAAGGCAGCAGATAGAACCTGAGCAATTTGATATCTGCAGGGACGTTATGGTTGAGTTGCTTATAGTGAGGAAAAGGCGGCGTACTCGGTCGAACCTATGCGAGTGGGCGAACCGCGTTCTTTGCCATCGCCACTTGCCTCATTATCTGGCGCTGTAAGTGGGTAAGAGCTACATGGACCTATACAACTGTGGCTCACCAGACAACACCGATTGGCGAAGCTGACCTAGAATTTACATGATTAGGGAAGCGACGATGTTAAGAAAATGCAAGACACCCACGCAAATTGCGAACTTTCCGATACTTTCCGGTCATGTATGCTTCAGAAATAAGATCATGCAAGTTGGGAACTTCTTGCATCAATTTATGTGCTCGAATATCGTTCCATTCGAGTTTCTCGTGGCCCGTTAAGACCACCGCTAGCATTATGTCTCTGAACTCTTTGTCCTCCTTGGGATGTGGCAAGGACTTGGACTTGATGTACGCTGCGATTGCTGCATCTTGCTTTTCGTGCTCCGCCTCGGTGAATATGTTGTCGTCTTCTCTGGTCTCGAATGCTGTGGACTGATCCTGTGATTGCTGATCTTCCATGGTCAGATAACGGGGGATTACAACTTCAGAGAATCAGTAGAGACGTAGAGTTGAGCTTGGTCCTTGAGAATTGTCGTAAGTTGTGATCATGGATTGTGGGAGAATGAGGGAAGTGCCACGCATCTACGCGTTATCTAATCTGAGCCGGCAAATGCCGGTGGAACGATCAGGTCCTCCCTTGCAAGCACAAGGTCATTCTTGAGAGCTTGAGACCCGTTTCGCGCCATGGATAACAACGCTCGCGATGAAGAAGCCGGCATACCTCCGAGTCAACTAGCCCAACGGCCGCGTACCTCAGTCCCGTCGTTCCTTTTCATCAGCTTCATGCTCTTCATGCTCACCAGTCACAATGGCGACGAATTCCTAGCCCGACATCAGTACCAAGACGCCTTGCAATCTCTCACTTATCAACTCTCCAACTATACCTCGTGGATGAACGGAACTGTCTCTAACTTTACCCTGGTATGTCACCGCGTCTTCAGACCTCGGCAATTCGAGCTTATAGCGGTGAACAGCCGGACGAAGACACAACCTTACCGCCATTGTTGGACACGTTCAATGTTAAAGGGAAGCTACTCGATCCTTCTCGCGAATCATACTACTCGAACGTCACTGGATTCATACACGGAGACTCAGAGTTCACAAACATCACACTGCCTGGATTGGAGAATAACGAGACTTTGTCGTGGAAAAAACAGGCGGAGAGCTTCATGTCTGGTGTCAATACGACAGATATTACGGAAAGGCTGGGGTCGTGGGACTGGAACACAACGACAAAGGTCGCTCTGAGCGTCGTCGAGAAGAAACCCGCAGGTTCAGAGAATGCTGCATTACCCAGCACATTTGTTACTCTTGTCCATGTGCGTCGATCACCGAATAAATTGCCTTCTTCTGCAATAACATCTCTTCGTTTGCAGGGCAGAATCGAGCTAACAGACCCTTCTGACTCCGAGAACCTGCGCCTTGAATTCGAAGGAGTCCACTTCATTGCTAATGGTTCAATCTATGGGTTTGCAGAACCAGCCGGGTGCGTCTCTGATGGCATCCAGATCCTCTGCCGAAGACCTGACGACATTGTAGACGCCACATCGATATTCGTTTGCTACCTTCCCTTGTGCCAGAAGGCGTCAGGAACGAGACTATACGAATTATTGAACCTGAGCTTCAGGCCAGAATCAACAAGTTAACCAATTTGATTGATGCTGGTATCATAGACTCAGAGACATCTGGAAATGGTGTGTTGGCATTTGCAGGGTTCTCATTCTCCCATGCTCACGCTGCCTTTCAGATGAAGCGCCTAAGACGACCTGTCCCTTCACTTTCCATGCCCAGATTCACGCTGTCCCTGTTCCAGAACGCCTAATGCAGGAACTGGAGGATGAACTGCAGAACCCAACTGGTATTCGTACCGTTTCAACGCCAAGGTTGTCTATTAGCGGTGTTCTCATTAGTAAGGAATGCGGTATTCTATTTGAGCTAAAACGAACGGAAGGCCTGAGGTAAGAGCGCTGCATGGTACGTCGCACTCACACTAAAGTGCTCACCACCCAGATCACGCACATTTTTCCGCAAAGTTACAACTTGTGAGCCTCTCATCGCTTGAAGAGGTTGGAATTTCCTTACGATCTCCTACAGATGCTGGTCTTACCGCAATCGCCTACCTTGTCATATTGATACTGTTCTCGAAACAAGCAGAGCGAAGTCGAACACCATCAGGGATCTCTCGCGTATCTCGTTGGACCTTTCTTGCGCAGGCAACGATGGATTCAGTCTCCTTTGCTGGTCACATCACCTTTGCCATTCTAGCAGAGGGCCGTCCGTCGTTATCTCTCATCGCTCCTGCGTTCTTGGCTTGCGTTGTATTTACCTACGAAGCTGTAAGGATTGTCTTTGGTTCCACCCGACTAGAGCTCATTTACTTTCCTTCAGCAATTCTCTGCCCTCGTTCACCAGATCCAAGGCCCGGAAGATTATCGGCCACCAACCCCACCACCACCTCCTGTTGCCTCTAATGCACCCACAGCAACCCCAAGAACACCAGACTCGGCTCAGCAGCCACTTCTACCCATTGCCTCCCCTACAGTGGCAACACCCCCTAATCCTAGCCTTAATCCTGCTGCCAATACCCAGCAGCCAACTACTCTTCTTCAAGCTGCAAATAACAGCCCGCCGACGTCATTTTTTGCGTTCTTTATACATCATATCAGGACTGATCCTCAAGCACGAATGTGTATGTGCCCAAATCATTTTATCGGAGGACAGGCATAAGTTAACCATCCTACTAGGGCTTACATTGATCGTTTTCCTGACGTTCATCGTCCGAGTACTTTTATCTCCGATGCTTTCGGTGCTATTTGTTGCTTTCACGTACTCTGGGATCTGGCTACCTCAAATTGTTCGGTCTGTCCGCCGTGGACGTAGCAGTGGACTGTCGAAGGAGTACGTTCTTGGAACCACGGTTTGCCGTCTCTTCAGCGCACTCTGTAAGCTATCTCTCAGTTTTGTTGGAAGAATGAAACTAACCGACCTTTTCAGATTTTCTGGCTTGCCCGAGGAATGTCCTGGAGGTGGAGCCACGACGTGAGTCTCCTTGTTCCTTCGCCGTTTGCTGAGTCTTAACTTGTAATGAAGCTTGGGTTTGGAGTCTGGCTCTTTTCGTTCTGCTCCAGGCATTCGTCGTCATCCTTCAGGACATCCTGGGACCGACATTCTTCCTTCCAGCCCGGGTGCGTCTTGTGTTCGCGTGCTCGCAGTGGCATTTCACTGACTTACTTTTACAGTATGCACAAGCCAAATCATACGATTACCACCCCCCTATGCCTCTTCCCGACTCGGAATACCCTGAACAGAGTCTCGGAGATTGTGCTATCTGCATGGATGCCATTACGATCGATCCTGCCTTGCGCCGGCAATCCAAGTCTCTCGACCTCAGAGAAGGTTGGGACGAGAAGAGCTCCTCGACGACAAATTTCAGGAAAGGTAAGGGTGTGGGCAGTATGCTGAATGCGATGCACATCGGCGTTGGGGCGAAGACCGCACGAAAGAATTACAGTCTGGCTCCTTGTTCTCACTTATTCGTAAGTCATTTTCCTGGGACCAGAAACGGGGTTAATACTGACTTGTCTCTTCCTGACGTACAGCATACGGAGTGCTTGGAAAAGGTTTGCCCTCCTGCTTCTTGGTTAGGTTCGAAGCTGACCGATCCAATCTTTTCCATAGTGGTTAGCAATCAAGGTACGGCAAGACTCTGTCTAATGAGATCTCACACCTCTTCCTTTTCGCAGAACATCTGCCCACAATGTCGCAGGCCCTTACCGCCTCTTTGATCAGCCGCAACATGGACGTTTGGGATTCACTGTTACATGTATAACTAGAGTATGTACCATAATAGTAAAATAATACAAACGACTACTAGGGTTGCCCCTGCTTCGAGACGCCCCTTTCGTGTGTGGACAACCAGGAAGTGTACTCTCTGCGCCTTCGTCTACTGGAAAAGAAAGTAGTGAAGAAGAGAATACTCAAAAATAAAAAAGTAAAAAAGTTCTCTCTGTCTGGGAGTCGAACCCAGCTTTCACGCGTCACGTGACAATCCTCGATTAAGGATATGACAGGCGTGTGTACTAACCGATATACTAACAGAGACTTATTATCTGGCAAGTATTTAAGCAATATAAGCCTACATACCTCTGCGTCCGGGTGTTCGTGACTGAAAGGCTGGCCACACCGTTGTTATTTCGTTAACGTTCAAGCACAACATAGAACAAGGCTGATAATCCAGCTAGTAAGCCCTCATTCTGACCATCTCGTGCTTGCTGCTCATCCAACTGGTGAACAGGTATGCATGCAACCGCAACGCGCCTTGTGCGCGTCATTCCTCGTTCCGTACTCAAGGCGGACCAAAAAGTTTACAACCCACCGTTCCCGCAAACGAGAGAGCGCAAAAGGCCGACTCTCATGGATGTGCTCATGAGGGATAGGGACAGAACACCCGAATTATGGCCACTCAACCTTCGTTTAGAGCCTCAGCTCAAGAAAGAGGTGTTCAAAGAGGTCAAGCCCTCTTTCCGGTCTGCGCTGAAGAAGATGACGAAGGAGCGGTGAACGAACGGGTCGTGTCCAATCGCAGTACCACCGCGACGTAGTACCAAAGTACGGGATACGCGGGTCTCTTTGGAGCACATTTGTCGGAAGAAGGGGGTCGAGATATCCTGGACGGTTTATTGAAGGAGGTCGGACATTCTTTTGCAGCTCTTCACAGTACGTCGTGTCGAATGCCAGCTATTCTTTCCTGTTGCCTTCGCAGCAACTATAATATCCTCGTTCTATTGCAGTTTGCTGTCCTCGATATTGGATCGCGTACCCTGTCCTCCAATCAAGAACCCTTGCAACTTGCAAGCTCGCCTCGATGAATCTCTAGGGGCACAAAAAAATGCAAACGACTGACATCACTGTACTCTCAGTGTGCCAGACCCAAAAAACTCAACGAGGTTGCTCGGAATTGTCACCTTGGGGAAGCCTTTTTGACATCATTGTTCTATTCTTGCTCTTTGAACGGACTCCCTGAATGGACCGCACCCTCAGTTTTCTTCATGTTTTCCTTTTCGTGGTTATCTATCCATCTCCAGATCCCTTCCTCTCCTCCCTCTTCACAACTAACGTCTCAAGTATCTAGTACAGACCCAATGCTTCTCCACCACACGAACGTTACCAAACTCATCCAGAAAACCCACCCGAACGACCTGCCAGAGGCCAGCCACGACATTGTCGCGCGGGGATTCGCGTCACTCGTCGAGCGCTCTGCCGACACCCACCATGTGGTGCACCATATGCATTCGCCGATCCACTCGCTGTCGCTGGAGAAGCTGACTTGGGTACGGCACTTCATCCCAGGCACCGAAAAGCTGGCCGTAGAACACCATTGTGGTAACTTTGTGGTGGTGCGAGGGGCAAGTCAGCCGTTCGTTGAATCGATGCCTCTTTATGCTAGGTACGTCGGGTTGATAAAATGAAAGTATTGGGTGATTGAGGGTCGAATGACAGGCTGGGCATGCATTTGCTCTTCTATGGAAAAGAGGAGATGAGTGTTCTAGGTAACAAAAGAGTCGGCGAACTTCTACGCGAACGATCTATCAAGGTCAGTGAACCGATTTCTTGAAGACGTTCGAGACTCAAATAAGCTGATTTCAGCAAGGAAAAATATACGACAACCCCAAGTCGGTACACTCCATCCCGTCTTTCGTCGAAACGTCTTCAATACAACTCGAAGAACTTCTCGAGCCGGATATCAGGAAATATAGATGCTTCAACGATTTTTTCTTCCGGTAATAGTATTCGGTCTTTACGTTGCCTATGAGCATATAGACGTTTTATTTTATTTTCCTGCAGGAAACTGAAGCCCAAGGAAGACGACCCGACCGTCATCTGCAGCGCTGCCGACTGCCGCCTGACAGTATACGCCACCGTTGACTTGGCGCAAAAATTCTGGTATGGCTTTCGACCCTCGCCAACCTCCGGTCTACGAGACACAGCTAACCGTCTAACCATCGCCAATCGGTATCAGGATCAAAGGGCAAACTTCACCATCCCCAACCTACTCCATCTTCCCCCTCTTCTCCCAAGGTCGAGCCATTCCGCGACTCGCGATCTTCCGGCTCGCCCCTGCGGACTATCACCGGTTCCACAGCCCCATCGATTGTGAAGTCGGAGGAATTGAGCACGTTCCTGGGCAGTTCTTTACTGGTGTGGTCTTTCCTTGTATTTGTGCTGATGCTAGATCTTATTGGTGTTGACTTTGAAAGTGAACCCGCGAGCGGTGAACGAGCCTGGGTTCGACATCTTCACAGCCAACACACGGTCGATACTTTATTTGAAGCACCTAATCACTGGCCTTCCGGTGGTGTTCGTCGCCATAGGTGCCCTCCTAGTGGGTAGCATCGTGTGGACCGGGGGGAAGGAGAAAGGGGCGGCGTTGAAGAGAGGGGATGAGTTAGGATAGGTTGAAGACAAGTTGTTCTTCATTGATTGCCCTGACTGCTGAGCAGGTATTTTGCGTATGGAGGAAGCACAGTCGTTGTGATTTTCCCGAAGGAAGTTATCGAGTAAGAGTGCTTCGCTGGTCAGGAGTTACTGAGTCTTACATATACTTGTTGCTGCTTAGCTTCAATGAGGATCTGGTCAGTAATTCGCAAAAGCCGATAGAAACTCTTGTCAAGGCGGGTGTAGGTCTTGCAATTCGAGGCGCTGTTCGAGAGTCCAAGCTCTGTCTGACTGCCCTCTGCTACAGGTTGGACATTCTATTGGTCGGACACCAGCAAGGCTCTGAGAAGAGATGAAGCATTACTAAAATATAGCATACAATTTAATACATCCACAATTTCTCTTCCTCAGGAACATAAATACCTGCAATACATTATCACTGTTATACAGCATCATTGTCGAAATCATGGCTGCGACGCCAGATACTGTCTTTTACACTCAGCCAGCATCTCGACGCTGATCATTTTAACACTCCAGCGATCCGCGAACGCTCGACAGTCGTCGCGCCGTGCCATCGTGCCCTGGGCGTCGTCGTTAACGATCTCGCAGAGCACACCCGCAAGGGGTTGGCCTGTCAGGAGACAGAGGTCGATGGCACTCTCCGTGTGCCCCTTGCGGGTGAGAACGCCGCCTTCTCGTGCACGTAAGGGTACCATGTGTCCTGGACGAGTGAAGTCGCTGGGAAGAGAGGTGGGAGAGGCAAGGGCTCGTGCGGTAAGTGCGCGGTCGTGAGCGGAGATTCCGGTGCTTGTACCTAGGTTAAAGAGGAGGATAAGATAAGATGTGGATTCAAGGAGAGGACTTCAAGTACAAAGACCTCACCGTGCTTGTAGTCCACGGTGACGGTGTAGGCCGTCCGGTGGCGGTCCTGGTTGTCTGGCACCATCATCGGTATCTCGAGACTCTCAAGCCGGTCTTGAGGAAGGGATATGCAGATGTACCCGCTATAATTTTGGAGGAGAAGAGGGGTGCAATCACATGTGTCAGCGGATCTCGTCAATGTAGGAAGTTGGATTGGAGGACGACAGTGAGTAGGTTATTTGAAACCGTCTTTAAGAGGATATGGAAGAAGGGAATGGGGAGTAATGTGAGGGTGGGATAAGAGAGTTCGCACCTGGTATGCTTGATCATCCAAGCCATTTTCTCCGTCGTGCACTGCGTCGCAGATATGATGAGGTCTCCTTCGTTCTCACGGTTCTCGTCGTCCATGACCACTAGAAACTCGCCAGCCCGGAAGGCGGCAAGAGCGTCGTCCATCGAGTCGAATGCAAAAGAGCTGCGCTTTGGCCCGTTGGTGACTTGGGTCGGCTTCCAGACAGTGGTGGGCTTGTGGACGCCGTTGGTAGATGGTACGGTGCGAGACATGGAGGACGAGAGAGCGACGGGGGCCATAAAGGTAGTCAGTCAATAGGTGGATGAGGGTATTCTGCAAAGTGAATCATTGTTAGCGGTGGAGGCTTTATAATAGCGTGCACGTCTAGAGTAAATTCCGTGACACGGGTATGGACCTTTTGGTAAGCCGACGGGCCTTCCTGCCTCTTCCCTGTCCACACTCCGCCCTACGCGCTCGTAAACTTCGGGCTGCATTCTTATATATAGGCATGCCATTATGCGGTCGTCCTGTGTCATCTCTCTGCAGCGCTGGGCGATAGATGGATAGGGCGGAAGATGAGCCGTGCGGGCCGGAGTTACACGCGACGGGATTGGCTCGGCCTAACGCGGAAAGACCCGGTTAGCGAATCAAGTTTCCAGAGCAAGTCCGCTGGCATTGCTCAGTCACCTCCCTCCTTCCTCCGACCACCACAGGACAGGCTTCCTCCTCAGCCGCCTCTTAGACTTTCTTTAGATTCGTCTAGTGGCCTATATCTCCTCTCATTATGTCTGCCTCAAAACCATGGGACGCTAGGTGCGTCAGCTTTCTGCAAATTTTCAGCCGTTTTTCTTGTGGTATTGACGAACCGTTGCCCTCGACCACAGATATCTCGGGCCTGTGCCCCACGATCTCAGCTACTACTCCAAGTGCATGCTTGGTGGTGTCCTTGCTTGTGGTATCACCCATGCTGGCATTACTCCCCTCGATGTTGCCAAATGCAATATGCAGGTGCGTAGATTTTATGGACGCGTTCAATCCCTTCCAATCGTGTAACCTTCCTCAGGTGAACCCCGCAAAATACACGGGCCTCGTCGGCGGCCTCAAGACTCTGGTAGCTGAGGAGGGCTCCAGGGGTATCTGGAAGGGTTTCGGCCCCACTTTCGTCGGTTACTCGCTCCAGGGAATGTTCAAGTACGGTCTCTACGAAGTCTTCAAGGATGCGTACATGAACCTTGCTGGCGAAGAACTCGCCGAGAAGTACAAGCCCGCCATTTGGCTTGCCGGGTCCGCATCTGCTGAAGTCTTTGCCGACATCGCCCTCTGCCCCCTCGAGATGGTCAAGGTCAAGATCCAAACCAGCCCTACTGGTACTTTCCCCACTGCCTTCGGTCCTGCGCTCAAGCAGATGCAACTCGCCCGCGCTGAGACCCGCTTCCCCTTCGGCTCCCTCGTTCCTCTATGGTCGCGTCAGGTAAGGCCATCACCCTGCGTCATCGTCGCCCGGAAAGGAAATTGACTTCGGCATGTCTTCCAGATCCCCTACACCATGGCCAAGTTCTTCTTCTTCGAGAAGATTGTCCAGCTCTTCTACACCCACGTCTTCACCGAACCCAAGGAGACCTATAACAAGACCACCCAGCTCGGCGTCACCTTCTCGTCTGGTTACCTCGCTGGTGTTGTCTGCGCCGTAGTCTCCCACCCCGCTGACTCGCTCGTCTCGCAACTCGGCAAGGCTGCTAACAAGGGCAAGTCCATCGGCCAGATCGCCTCGGAAGTCGGTGCCTTCAACCTTGCCACCAAGGGTCTCGGTACTCGTGTCCTCATGATCGGTACCCTGACTGGCTTCCAATGGTGGATCTACGACTCGTTCAAGGCTGCCATGGGTATGGGCACTACTGGTGGAAAGTAAATATACCGATAGATTTTTATGACCCCCGTGAGTTCGCTTTCGCTGCTTGTTCCTGTACTTCTTTTATTGACCTATTGGTTGAAGCAGACTTGGCATGAGGATAGATAACCATGGATGAGTACTTATCACGTTAAAAAGGACGTTAGAATACCTATTGTCGCCTATTCCCTCGCCTCCTGTCGTTGCTTTCGTTTAGAATGGAAGCTTCTCTATCGTCATGAAACACCTTTGTGAATCCGTTGAGTGAAATCCTCAACAATAACCGTGTTAACCTCTCGCCTTTAGAAGTCGACAATCAGGATACCGGCGAACTGAATCTTCGATGCCTTTTTATTCTTCCATTACATATGATGAGACACTCGCTGTCAGTCGGAGATTTATCCCTCGAAGCCTCGCTAACCTCGCCTATTGTAGACCTATGGCACAGCTTGGTCAGAATCCGAGCGCTTTCTGTGGGAGAAAATGCTGAAAAAACCCTAACTTCTTGCTGACATCCGTGCATCTGCGCTCGTGAGCGTCAGATTGAAGCCCTCGGTATGCCCAACCTGCACCACGGTCCACCAACTGGTCAACCTGCACTCGCGAAAATCCACCAAGAGAACACCGATCCGTCGTCGGAGGAATGGAAAACGACATTCGCATAGTCGAGAGCGTCGTGTCCACCAGAAGCTGACACATTCGCACCCAGGATCAACGCGTCCGACTCGGAAATGAAAGGGAAAAGGCGATGCGTAAGACGATGACCGTCGGTTTCCCAGGTCCAAGGTACCGGGTACGCATTCGGACCCCTCAGCGCTGCCGAGCGTCGATGAATGGCAGCCACGGGACTTCATCAGAGTTAAATGAACGGATGGAGAGGACGTTAAACATAAGTTAATGAAAACGTGGGGGTTTTGTGGCACCGATGTGATAGATTGAGGAGGCGCAGGATTAGAGTTGCGCAGGGTTTACAATGGCAGCAACTCTTGATTGAAGCCTTCCAATAGCCAGCAGACATGAAGAATTTACGGCAGCATTTCGTGGCCCTGCAGTCTGCGGATTGCAAGAGGGTCTAGTTCTGATTCCGACGCAGTCATAGACAATCATCGTCGACGGGGATACGCAGAGTGTTGGGAAGGGGGTTTAGGAGGAATGGGAAGTATGTAAAGTCGGTGGGACGGTCCGACCTCGAGAGAGATCTGCAAAAAATCGACCTTTCTTACCAATATTCTGCCTTTTCCTTCTCGATGGACTGGGGGCCTGGGACGATGTGGTCATGAAACGTTGTTGTCTATTCCTCCGTTGGTATCTTTGTAGCTGCCTGTCTACACAAGGAGGGAGATACAGGTCCTTACTGTCCATATTATACAAGGGGTCCGTCTTTGTAGGTATCTAGCTAGTAGCAGGGGGTATCAAGTTGGACGTGAAGAAGGGGAACATACGGGTGTACAAAGTTTTCTTTTCCTTTTTACATCTCTTGTCGTGAGCGGTCGGAGTGGTCATGTACAGGACGGATTTTGGGGCGTGGGTGGGTGTTATTGACAACGATCGTGCTCAGCCTCGAGCTTCAGCCTTGAACGAGTCAGCGCACTTGTGCGCAGCGAAGGCCGACTCGGAGGGGAAGTGGCTGAACGAGAACGACGTCGAGAGTTCGCACTCCTTGATGCTGACTTGCTCGGTTATCGACCCTAGCCGGCGGAACGGCGTCGGCAGAGGGACGATGACGGTCTTCAGCGGGATCTCCGCCGTCGGGACGGTGCGAGCAGAGATGAGGCTGCAGAGCATCTCCTCGCCGACGACGGGCATCATGCTGATCGTGCGCAGCTTGGGCCAGATGCTCGTCTGTTGCATTGCCAGTGAAGACTCGCGCACAAACAACTCGTCGACACCCAGGAGCGCGAAGTGGTCGATGTCAGGGAAGACGCGCGTGAGCTGCGCGAAGGACGCGTCGTCAATGAAGGAGGACTTGCCCTTGAGGATCAGGTTGCGGATCGAGGGGTAGTTGTCGCGCAGTTGAGGCTCCATGAAATTGTCGGGTAGGTCGTGAGCGACGAGGTCGTAGAGGGAGAGGGTATGAAGAGCGGGGGCAGAGATGGAGAGGAGAGGGATGAAGAGAGGCCATCGACGGTCGGAGACCTTGAGGACCTTCAGTTCCGGGAAAGGGACGATCTCGTCCTTCGAAGGGTAGAGCGGCCAGGCCTCGACGACGCGACTCCGGAGCGTGAGCTCCTCGAGCTTGACCATCTTCTGGCAGAGGCCCTTGAACACCGTGAACTGCATGGGGCAGTTTGACGTCAGGTCGAGCTTCGTCAACTGGTCGAGTGCAGGGCTGAACCGCTGCAGAGACATGCCGACGAGGCGCAGGTGCCGGAGCGATGGCGCACCACCATTAAGGATAGTCGTTATTCCGGAGACGTGAGAGGAAGAGGTTATCTCGAGCTCTTCTAGAAGCGGCGCTCCCAGCTCTCGTAAGTCCTCTGATACGACGCTGGCATCGTGGGGCCCGAGTTGCAGCGTTAGCCGACGCCAACGATCCGCGCTCGATTTGACGGCATTCCAGATCGTCGAAACTTGCTTGCGCTTGAGGTCGTCGGTCGCTTCATAGCGGAGATCGAGGTCGAGGTCGAGAGGGAGCTTCTGGGATCGTTCGAGGTAAACTGAGACGATGTGTGAAGAGAAATGTGGGGTAATGGCGAGCTTCGTCCACAAGGACGCCAGGCTGACCGCGATCGAGCGCCATTGGCGGTTTACTTGCGACAGGCAGAGCTGAGGCAACGACGTATCATCTGCTGGGCTCCAATTGTCGCAATATTCCTCGAAAATGAGCATGAGGATCTCGGTGGGAAGCTCTTCAATGGGTGCCACGGAAAGCGCGATCTCGGATGCACTCTTCTTGGATTTGACGAGGCCTGCCCATCGAGAGCAGAGGTACATGGTATGCTCGAGCATCTAGACGTAATCAGGAGCACAATTGAGCGTCATAAGTAAGGAGACAGGGACACTACGCACCTGGTGCAGGAGGGCGGGGGGACGGCTGCGACCTTGCACCCTCCTTACGCATCGTAATTTATATGAAGGGCACCAACCCCAGATTCCAGAAGGGTAAGGCACTCTAAAAAATGAGGCGTCCTGTGTCAGTTCAGAATGATACGGACGTTGACCGAACAAGGACCAATCTAAAAGGACACCCGCGAAAAGAAGAAGGCGATTCGGCTGCTTTTGGCATGCGAGTCCCATCTCTTTGGACATCATCCATGTTACTTCACCAAACCTGAGTGATACTTAGCGATAGAAATCCTTATAGAAGTGTACGGTGGGTTCAGATCAGAAGATGACCACATCCTGCGCCTCCTGCCCTAACCAGAGGGGCCAAAGTCGACCTGTCCTGTGGGACGACTAGCGCATACGAAGATCGCGTCACTTGAGGCCTTACCTTCTTGGTTTGTGGCCATAATCACTTTCTCCGACAATAAACTTTGACAGGTTCTGTTTGAAGGCGGCGTCTTCGCGGCATGGAATGCAGTGGCGAAATGTATAGAACAATACGCCAAGAAGTGCGGTGTCTGAACTCTGCCGGAAGGTCTGAAGCCCTCAACGACGCTGTAGGTAAAAGAAGGAGAACGGTGACTACAAATTGCTCAGATGTTGTTGTACGGCTGCAAAGATAAGATGCGAGTCGGAGGACGGGCTGAAGTCCGAGTTTGGGGCCACCGAAGGGTGGGAGCTCGAAGACGCGTTCACTCGTTTGGATGCCGTCAGCGTTCTCCGTCTTCACTTCTCTTCCTCATGAGCGTCTTCCGAGTCTTTGGCGAAAGGTAAAGGAGGGTGGGAAAAGATGTTCGGCCGCCTCGGTCCAATCACCAACAGCGGAAAGCTGTGGTGGTCACGTTTCTCTGAGTCTACTGCGGCGCGACCAGGCTATGCTTAGACGGCGTTTTTGACGCTCAAGACCTTGCTCGCTATTCTCTTTCGATACCCACATAGACTCCATTTGACGATACCATGAGCTTGGACAAGAACCTATTTACCCTCTTCTTCACGCCCCACAAGGATAACCAGAATGTCATCGATCTCGTCGATCCGTCAGGAACCATCCATTATCGCAAGCAGAGGTCGCCGGGAGAGCACTACAAAATCGAGGTGTATGGTGCGTAAATGCTAAGTGTACCTAATAATTTTCTCTAACCAGACGTTTAGATCCCATGTCAGAGTCTCTATTAGCAACTGCCTCTGCGCCTTCTGCCGCAAGTAAGGTCAAGACAATAGAGCTATGCAATCCGACCTCTGTCGTTGAGCTCAAACACACGGGAACCCTTTCATTCCGTTGGTCTTTCAAATGGGAGGAGTACGTTACTCCAAGCCGTTGTTTAATATGCGCCGGAGCTCACGTCTATTCTTCAGCCATGAATTCGAATGGAAGCGAGAAGAATGCTTTATGATACGCAAACCAGATCCTCCCGTAATCATCGCCGTCACGAAGGAACCAACCGGTCGACTGAGGACAACATCCGTTCAGATTCTGGACTATAACCTCAATAGGTAATTCATCACAGATTGAGGGGTTGACTAGACTCCAATGTATTTTGCCTTCTAGATTTGACATCGACGACCGGAAAGGATTAGAGATTACAGTCCTTACTGCCCTTCTGACGTTCCAAGACGCGAATGAGGCGTATCATACCCCGGAAGCGAGCACAGCATCTTCGAGCAACCCGCTTAGCCGAACGACTTCCAGCCCTGCGAATGTTCCCCCCTCTCCAGCCGGGAATGCTCCTCCACCACCACCGCCGAAACCTGCCCCTAAAACTGGTATCGACAGAATAGCAGAACTGCAAGCAATCAAAGGGGAATACAATGAAATCATCGTCAGCGAAGAAGGAACTGTTCAGGACTATGCAACCTACTGCACGAAAATGCTCGAGGTCAGTTGTGCTGGCGCTGCGGTCAAGTTTCACCATGGCTTACCCTCTTTAGGATGATGCTATGCTGTTCATATCAGTGAAATCCGCAGAAGCTGAGCAAGTCCCAAAGGTCCTCCAGGTCGTGGAAGAAACCAAGCGGATACGGTATAAAGCAGGTTAGTCAGACCTCGAGACCGGCTATTTTGTCCGCTCATCCATTCTTCTTGTTAGGTCTATCGGAGGAGGAAGAACTGCACCAATATGTTTTGTACGACCAACAAGAGCAAAAGAAGGGACCGAGGATCATTAACCTTGATGATCAGCCAAAGAATAAATACGAGCCACCCAAGAACCTTACAGTCCACTTGAGCAAAATCTCGATGCCTGAGCTCCAACCCAAAGCTCACGGGAACGACAAATCGCCCAAAGACTCCAAGAGGAAGGAGGAGAAAAAGGGTTGGTGGTGATGTCTTATATCCCATCCAATGGAAACATTAATCGACCCCTCTTTCCCTCACTCCTAAAGCCGCCTCCTCAAAACCTCATCGACCAGCACCTGCCCCACCAGCACCCTCTGTGCCCTTATCGCAAAACGCGCATTCCTCGTCGTCCAATTCACGACCACCCAACAAACTCCAGCGTCCAGGCAGAGATACATCACCAAAGCACCGTGTACATGCCCACCAAATGCATCCAAACCAGCCATCGCCCTCGCCTTCGCAAATCAACAACCCTTCCATCTATGCTGCACCACCTCCTGCAAAGCCTGGAAATCGTCCCTCGAGCTCGAATAATGCGAGACCGACGAGCATGGTAGTACCGTCCTTCCCTCAACCCCAGACGCCAACCTACGGGAGCTCATCATACGGAGCTCCCGGGCCAAGCCTTTACGGCTCGCATGCAAGACATTCGTCTGCATCGCAGGCTCCTTATGCCCAACCCAACCCTCCGCCTCCGCCGCCTCCGACTACGGTACACGCACCGCAGCCGGTCAATGCGTCGCAGTCGTCGTTCTCTGCGTTGGGCATGAAGCCAATCACAACTGCGAATGTGATGCAGGGCGCCTCCACGGTGGTCCATGGCTTGATGGATGCGCTGAACAAAAATCGGAATAAGCTGACTACGAAGTAAGGTGCATCATTTGACTTGGTGAACGTTTTTATGTTCGTTTTTGGATAGAAGGACTCTGCAAGGACTGTATACCGTTGCGTTACACTCTATTTATTTTCGATACCTATGTACTATCGGAAAGTGATTCATGTACGTGTAATAAGAGTATATTATTAAAGCATATAAATGCTTTTTATGCGTATATCGTTGTTGGTACAGGCCCTCTGATTCTCTGAATCATAGACCGTGGATGGGCCTTCCAGAAGAATGCTTCAAAGTGCAACAGGGTGACAGCCCACGTCTAAGCTGCTCCAAGGGTCCCAGGCAGTCCTGCAATCCTCAAGGATCGATCTTCGTGAAAGTGTCCGCGCGGCATGTCGAAGTCTGTGTCAGTAACTTGAAGCCGCCAGACTAGACAGTAGAGCGAAACGGGTGTTGCCTCGACGAAGGGGGCTACGGTCGGAAATTGGGTGTTCCTTCGCTTGCGACTCATGGGAAGATGCTGAAGCAGCGGCGGCCGAAGGGGAGTTCAGAATAGGCAGGGGTCTTTCGCAATGCCATGTGTGGAATCTAGGAGACGTACATCTCCTACCATCATGAACATAAGGGCGGTTCTGCATGGCTGAGGGAAATGAAAACTCGCATTTGGGGTACACATCCGACGGCGTACGGTCTCCATCTCCGAGTCGTCGCTGTCGGATACCCTCTTCGTTCGTCGTTTACGCACAAGGATGGTATCGAGCAAACGCGGCGAATCCGGAGACTTTCTTGCCATAGTTCTACAGAAATATTCTCGGGTATCTTACCTAGCCTTCTCCTAGACGAACGGGAGTGATTTTTTTGGTGAATCACCCGGGTTACAAATTTTCACCATTCATGATCACAGTGACTGAATACCACATACCTCCGAAAATACAATATTCAACGTTGTTGAAGCTGAAAGGTGATGTCTTTGCGGAGTCGAATGGGTCAAATTTTATGAGTACTTTGGGTTAACGCGCAAGTCCGACACGTATTCCGTCGAGACTCGAGTGCACAGTAATATTCTCTTCACGTTTTCCTCGTTTCGATGATGCTGGACGAAGCGAAGACAAATTGGGTGGCCATGCAACTAGAGGCGACCCAGGTTGAATGAGGAGGCAGATGGTAACGACGAGTAGATGAGAAGCCATTGTGTGGTCTGTCGGGTTGAAGGTAGTGGATCAACATTTCCGCGAGACGCGGAGTCGTCTCCTATTGGGCAACTCATATGCCACGTGATTCTGGCGTGACCGGGTCCAGGTCATTTTTCCGATTCGCAGTTTCTCCTATTTAGTTTCTCGTGTTCTCACTTTTCCCATTACAGTCGTTTGTCCACAAAGCCTCATCTCAAACCGTTTTTAGAGCATATCTTCCTCAGTTCCTGCGCCACCAACAGTAATTATAGGCGGAAGCAACTACCCTGTCGGTCAGACTTGCTCACAAATTGACACAAGCACCAGCAGCACCTCCACAAGACCTCGTTGACATTCTCGTCTGCTGTCGTGCCCCAGGTCATCCATGCGTTGATTCTGCGTGCCGTCGGCGAAATGTAGTCCCAAGCACCGACTTATCAGTAAGCCGTTGCTATCCACTCTTGCAAGTCTCCTCGGTCGAAAGAACCAGCCTTTGTGAGCTCCTCGGTGCTCGTCTCAGCGATTTCCGGTCTCCTCCGACACATACCGACATTCCTACAGATGTCGGGAAAGGCTCGCATATGACTGGGTTGGGATAATGCGGCTGGCAACGTCGAGCAGCATCGGCTAATGGACCGAACAGAACTCTGGGCCGTGACAAAGATTGTCGTCTATCTCGTCTGCCAGCCTTCGTGGCGTCGTTTTGAGACGCCGTCTACGCAGTCAATGCACGCTCACGTGTGGTTTTGAGCACCCTTTGGAGAAAGGATGAGGTATGATGACCTTAAAGTTATAATTGGCTTGACGTTGACTTGTCATATTACACCGAACAGTTGCTCTAATGTCAACTTGCCTCTTTGATTCACCCCATGGTTGTCGGAGGGACTGCCACTCCGCCATGTCTTTCGGAGGCGGGGTAATTCACAATTAAATCTGGGACGATGCTGAGAAATGTGTGTCGAAGAATGATTTTTACTGGATTCCTGTCATCGTCTCGTGGATACCTGCCTCACGTCTGCGGCATGCTCAGTGGGCGCTGTTTCTTCTCGTGGTCTTCATCCAGGTGCGCCGGGTTTTGTGACTTACGGAGCCAGAGAACTAATCCATCCATCACACGATAGGATTTATCGCCTAACGCCCGAGGCCAGAAAGGCAAATAGCGGTGTGACGATGCGTGAGATAAGATGCGCCGACCTTCCTCGTTCTCAGAGACCCACTCCAAAAACCACGACTCCGGAAAAATCAACTCGTTGCGAGCGGGCATCAGCGTCGCACCCACTTTTGTCCGGAAATGTGTCTGCGGACATTTCCTAGTATCTCCTTCAACGACGCCTCGAGGTGATTAGAATTGTACTGCGGGCAGTCGATGGTGCGATTACATCCCAACGTGTGGAACAGTTGAAATGGGTGACCATTTCCTCGAGTTCAGGTCCGGAATCCGGCACCACGTTCTTGCAAAAGTACTCCTGAGTCCTAACCGGCGAGGACCATGGATAAACGGATTTGAGGCGCACATAATCCGCGTTCCAAATTACGAGTGGGTATAGTTTGCTCCACCTTCTGGTCCTGGGTTGGGTAATCATTGGTCCTTCTCGCTCGCCATTAGCTAAAGATCGAACATCAGCGAGTTGTTCGCAGTGTCCCAAAAACAAGCACCAACGGCTCAACGTACCTCGCAACGGCACTGCAAAACCTGATGATTTATCGTAACGAAACGGCGAGTATCGTTTGTTTTTCGTGTTTCGATTGCTAATTTTGACCCACAGGCAGTGACAAGAAGCAAGGGTCAGCTACTACGGGTATTGAGCTCGCCTTCGGTCACACACCGTCAGCCATGCGCTGATGCAAGTTCAAGTCTATCAATTCTCTGCATCCCAGACTCCCAGTCTTTTCTTTTTCCCCTTCTTTACAGATCTGAGTTGGATATCTGTCAAGACGGCACCACAAAGTCTTCCGTTACCGCCGGACACGTTCTCTTCTGGACTTTGGATTTCACTTGGCCTGCATTTGCGTCAAATTTTCTGTGGCTGGACCTAGACCTGTGAGATTTCGAGTTCTATCGTCCTTTTCTTCAGTGACACTTGAACTGAGCGGCAGTTGGGACAGGTTCTAGGCGCTCAACTGTTGAATTGTATTCGTCCTTCTATTATCATCTACATAGAAAACTTGTCTGGTGGCGGTGGCTGCTCGACCTCTAGGACATCTCAGCCTCCCGTCTTCTGTTCGTCGCGACGGTCTCCTGCTCCTTAACCGGTACTTTTCAATGAACTTCGTCACTGCCTTTGCCACCGGGCGTAGTCCTTGAACTCGAACGCTAACGGACATCATAGCAGTAACACCATTCCGCCAAATCTCCTCAGCTCATACTGAACTCTGGTCTTGTTTAGGTTCTGGACTCTTGACGACCTGTACATGTCCGTTGAATTGCAAGGCCGAAGTATCCTTCTGTGGCAGTACGCGTGGCCTGGGTGCGTTCTGATGCTCTGTCTGTGGCGTCGTTCCAGGATCTGCAGCTGCCTGTTAGGTCTGTGACCGCGCGGGCTTGCTATAGGCCCTCTTGTTCTCTGTGTATTAACCATGCTGAAGAGCTCTCTTATGTCTTAGTGACTCGATGGACCGCGTCTGATCATCAAGAGGCTTTTGATTCAGCGCTTCTAGGACGATGGATACAAATTAAAATTTGAATAAATACACTCCAGCAGGCGACTTTGCTGGCATCATCGGTTGAAGTGCTCATGCTTCCAGGTACCGGAGGGAATTGCCCTCCTGATGGTCGGGACGTTTGTTTAATCAACGACTGGTTTTTCCAACAGTGCGCTATTCATGATTGGCGCCATTAATCTAAGCGACAATGGTGGCTTGAAGGGTTGCTGAATGCGGGAGAGCTTGATCCTCCTCCTTGATCTGCGACTCCCTCTTTTTGTGACGATGGTAGCATCTTTGTTTCTAACACTGCGATGGTCTTATTACTGCATACCTTGACTAACAATAAACCTAAGTTCCGATCTTACGTCGGCCGCGGACGCGATGTGAAGAACTACAGCTGAAACGGTGAAGAACGAAAACTTCCCACCACCCACCACCGAGCTGCATAGTTCCGAACACTATCAGCGAGGAATCCCGGTGCGAAAGAATGGGCCTATACATAGACGAATCAGCTACCGTCCAATCGAGGAGGTGCATCCCGAGAGTGCGTCTTCGAGGTTGGCTTCAAGCCACGCCTCCGGCACGCCCTTTCCTTTCCGATACGAAAGTTCAAGTTTTCGAACGAAGACTTCAGGATCGGGGCGTGGCGTGTCACACCATGTCCACATTCAAAATCATGTCGTGTCGCCTTAGCCTCCGTGCACCCAATCAGGGCAGCGGCACACACGCACCCATCCAACACCCCTGCGAGGCCCACCTTCCCAAAATGAAGAAATTTCCTAAAACGCGATGATGAACCCTCGCTCAGTTACAGTGGCGTTCTCGCTCTGGGAGATTAAATCCACCGACGTCGCGTCGGTTGGTTGACTTGGAGTACGATCACTTGAGCCCGTAACAGGTGCCTGGCTCATGAATGAGTCGATGGTTGAACACCGGAGCGTGTTTAAACCCTTGTGCTTGTTCAGGTGTTAATTGATTGTCGCTGACGGTCGTCGGTAGCGCTGGTAGCAGCGAGGGCACTGGGTGGGCCGCGTGAATCGCCCGGTTTGTTGGCCCAGCAGCCACTGGGAAGATAGGTCGAAGATGGGCAAGTTGGAACTTGTGGGCGCCTGGCGCCGATCCCAGATATCCTAGAAAAGTTCTCCGCTCACCGATATCGCCTCAAGAATGTGCTGATGGTAGTGTTCTATTATTTCTTTGGAATCGCTATGATAATTATCAGCTTAGAGTGCGACAGCGCGTGCACGAGCGCATCGCGCAGATCCGGCTGTATTATTCTCGCTGACCCTAGTAAATTTTAGTTCGTTCCTCTGTAGACTGAAACCATGCTCACTGTTCACAGCAGTCAAACTGCAAACTCGGTGCTTCATATTCCCGCAATCTCCCTATGGATTGACCCAGAAAATGATAGAAGAAATAAGACAAATCGTCCTGAGATGCTCACTTCCCTCGAGCGCCCATCCTACAGTTGGTGTAGACTCATCAACAAGTCAGCAGGAGGTTGAACTCGCGGAAAAGGCAAAAAGTGACAAAGTAAGGACAAGGGCGCTGGTCCGCCTGTCCAAACGTTCAGATTGGTGGCACGTCCACCGCTCGGTGCCCGGATGTCTGTCTAAATCGACCAGTCGCAGTCGACAGTGGACTGGCATGAGTCGCCAGCCCGACACTCCATTCCCGACAGCCACCGAAAGACATCGTAGCGTGACACTAATGTGTAGGCTGATCAAGACGTTATTGATAGAGCAGCCAATCGAAATCAGGAAGAAGGCTAACCTTGAGTTAAAGAAGGTTCTGGGGGGACCAGAGCGGCTTTCGAGGGGGCTATAGATGATCATACTCAGGGAGCGTTAGGACGGTTGCTTGAAAAGATGCTAGCACACAGATAGATGTCGATTCGATAGCGTGGGCTAACGTACTTATTGAATTGGAGGTTACGGCAAGGTTCGACTTGGGGATGAAGGAGGGTGAAGGTCGTAAGGAAGCCCTGGAGACTGAGTGGTTTCAAGTTTTCAGAGGACAAGGTCTCATACATACGACGAAACGGGCTTCACCTGCTGCACTAAAGGATGCCAATTGAATTTGGATGGGCAATCGGCCGGTTCAAACGTTTACCTATCTGTCTCGTCACAGAAACCGAAAGGAGCAGATATCAGATGGAGGGAGTAGACTTGGCCGCCACCAACACTTGCACCCACAATTCAATAGGCCCCAGAGAAGGTCGATGGTCGAGGGTTGCTCGCCGAACTAGCCTATAGGCTCCCGCGAGATGCTAAGTAAGGACTATCGGGTCAAGCTTCAAGACGTCGTCGCGACCGGCTCCGTCTGTTCCTTAGAGTATCATCGGTCCTCTAGCAACCTACGCCATCCAACGACTGGTCGGCCTGTGTGCGTTGACGGTTTCCAGTGGCGTTCGCTGGCGCCTAGATATCGATAGTGCACAAGATAGCGATGCGCAGGAGCGCATAGGAGAGCGCTGGAAAGGCGGGCGTAGAAGCGTCTTTTTCGAAAGCGTGGCGGGGACATCGGCGTAGCCTGGGACTCGAGAAGGGCGGACATGTTTTCACGTGTCCTGTAGTAGCAAGTCTTTTCGAATTCCAGGAAGCTTCAAGTGTTGGTTTTGACAGTAGTGATTGACAGAAAGGCTCAGCAGGTGAGGTCCAGGGATCTTCGGTAGGCTGAAGCCCACGAACGAGGTCATAAGTTCCTTCGAGTCCAACCGACCCCGAGTCCTCCAAGTTCGACCGCACTTTGAAGTTCACTCGGTCGCGGTAGGTACCTATAAGTTATAACTTTCGTGAACGCAAATGAAACCTAGGACAAACGTTATCGCACCTCTTTTTCTCCGAGTCACTGTTGCCCAGTTTCTCTTGCGTTGCGGTTCAAAAAGTCCGCTTCAGCGTCCGGAAAGTCGTAAAGTCTGTACGCTTCGCCACCAGATTGAAGACCCATTCGCGTACTTCGTGAATTCAAAGAGACGGCCGGGACGTCGCGTACGGCCGTAGCCTGAGATTCAAGAAGGAATTAGAAAGGCCTGACGATTCGATGGCGGAGACGTTTTCACGTGGACCGAAGCAATTTGAAGTTTTTCAAGATTCTAGGAAGACGGCCGAGGAGGTTCTTTCGACTTAGTGAAGTGGGCGTTGACAGTGATTGGCAGGAAAGCTCAGGACTGGGAGTCAAGAGGGAGTCAAGTCAAAGTCCAAGTATTTTCGTGTCAATGTCACCTGAAGCGCGAGTTCGACCGAACGAAGGCGAAGCAGCGCGACTTGTACTAGGCACCTGTAACTTTCGTGAAAACGCAATTGAAACCTAGGACAAACGTTATCGCACCTCTGTTCCTCTCTTTTTCTGCCTTCCTATCTTCCTCGCTTTCTCTTACTTTCTTTCTGAGTTCTTTGCGGTGGGGTCAAAGGCGCCGTTTCAGCGTCCGCGACCCATGACGCGGCGACGCGGCGAGCCTGCTGATAGTCTATACACCCCGCGAACCCGATAGTTTATACGCTCCGCATCGCGTCGGTGCAGCCCTACCTACTCGGACGGTTGCTCGAGCATTGTGGGGCAACCTCGACCTCAGGCTCAGGCTCAGGCTCAAAGTTAATCGCGAAGTGGAGATTAACTTGAAGAGTAACATCGAACAAAGGCCTGACTCGACCCGGGCTCGGAGTCGGTGCTATCTAGGCGTGACGGGTTGCAAGGCTGGAAATTCGAGAGCCGGAGGACGCCGCTCACTCGCGTCCGCGTGAGGGGCATTCTGTGAAGCTAGAGCCAGAGCATGAGGCCGCTATCCTCGCCATCTCTGTGGGAAATCGACGCATATACTTAGTCCAAGTCTTTGAATAGAACACACTTTCGTGCCAGGTGGGCCCGTACGTGGGGCGAGGCAAGGACGAGTCATGATGGTCGCGAGGCCTCTGTAAGTCTGTAAGAAGCCTGAAGCCCTGCCGTGAGACTCGAGCTTGAGCGTAGCGTCGTATACGGTGGCCCAGAAGTGCAAGCCTGCCCTCTCTGACTTGATGGCTCACGAAAGACACCGAAGGGGGGTCCATGCCAAACACCCTGCCAAACACCCTCGAAAGCGAAATCAGCCTTGTCGTCGTCGACGACGACGAGCGCAGCAAGTATATGCTACAAAAATATTTAGGAGTAGCTCTACAATATTAATAAGCATTATTTAGAGAAAAAATCGAGCACATGAGGCCCAGTAGAGCCAATGCAACACTTTGAAACGGGAAATAGTCTACCTTGCATGCGCGCATGTGGCTGTGCATTTGGGCGCGCGCGCTAATGGCGTGTCATAGATGTACGTTAAGTCAATCACCTTCGGCGTCTATTAGTATTCGAGTCTGTGAAGCTTGGGCACGATATTCCTGAATTAACTATTGCTGCCTTCCCCGTGGGCTTGTAAGTTTGACTAGATGATCAAGGATGTAGTATGAAATACTTGGCGACCTTACCAGCCTAAGTATCGAGATTATTCGATATACTTTATATGCAAGGCCTGCGCTGAGGCACTATCCGTGCTTGAGCAACAGTGGAGATTCACACAGCTTGTCCTTAGCTGCCTGCTTACCACGGGTTTGAGAAAGCTGGGGGATATGACAATTAGCATTAATTTCCCTTCTCGCCATGAAAGATACGATGGATTTTGGAGAAGCGGACTAAAAGAATAGATTATACCGTCATAAATGCCCGCGTCTTGACACGCCATTAGCGCGCGCGCGCCCAAATGCACAGCCACATGCGCGCATGCAAGGTAGACTATTTCCCGTTTCAAAGTGTTGCATTGGCTCTACTGGGCCTCATGTGCTCGATTTTTTCTCTAAATAATGCTTATTAATATTGTAGAGCTACTCCTAAATATTTTTGTAGCATATACTTGCTGCGCTCGTCGTCGTCGACGACGACAAGGCTGATTTCGCTTTCGAGGGTGTTTGGCAGGGTGTTTGGCATGGACCCCCCCTCGGTGTCTTTCGTGAGCCATCAAGTCAGAGAGGACTTCTGGGCCACCGTAGTCGTAGAGCACCGGAGTACGTACAATGCCCCGCGAACGTGAGCGTGAGCATGGAAGGAAGACAAGGGCTAGCC